AGACGCTGGGCAGGAGAGCGTCAGCAGCTCTGATCGATAATGAGAAGTTCTTGTGGGTTTTTTTTTTTGTGAGTGTGTATTTGTGTGTGAGGGGGTATATGTGTGGCGCTCTGGACTGAGCCACTTGATCTGATAACCAACTCTTTATTGTAACAGAAGTATTTCTAATGACAGGTTCAAGTACTGCAGTTGAAATCATACATAATGGTACTAAGGACGCCCAGTGAAAAGCTGGTTTAATTGATGTTTTTGAATGAAAAAACAGACAAAATTTGCTTTAAATGAAAGTTTTGGTTTCGAGGATCCATCACGACTCTACAACAGCTTCTTTTTCACTCATTTTGTTTCACTTTCAGCGCTCCGGTTGGCATTGAATCTGACTGCAACAGGCAGTTGTTTTCACCAAAGAGAGCGCCTGAAAAAAACCAAAAGGCTAATAAAGTAGCACATAAGTGAGTAGCTGGTTGTATCAGAGGATTAAACAGCTTAAGAGCCAGATTTTTTTTTCTTTTTTCTCCAAAACTTAGAGGTGGGTGAGAAAACAAAACAAAATAACAAGACTGAAAGGAGTGTGAACCAGTGCTTGCTAGATTGGAGCTGAACACTGAATAAACACTCGCTTAGTTGAGGTGTTTTATTTGGATGTGTTTGTGATACTGAGTGTAAGAGGTTATAATTGCGTTCCCCGCCTGTTCCTGTTCCTGCCGCCCCAAAACTGTCAGTGAAGCAAAACAGTTAAAACAAGTTTACCTTAAAAGAATTTGAAGTCAGTTTGTGTGTATCTTGTTGTTGTTGTTGTTGTTGTTGTAGGAGACGAGAGCAGTCGAGCTGATGTTGCTTGGTTTGTTATAGCTGAAAAACCCTCTGGCTATCATTAAATTATACAATAAGACTCTCTGTTTGTCTGGTGAGAGGAGACGGAGTTGACCGAGAAATAACCTGAGGAGCAGATGCGCACAGAGAGCAAGGCGGTGAGGATTTTTGCTGACTCAGCGTTTCAGTGAACATCATCATTGCTTGTGAATGGTGTGATCTCGTTTTCCAGATAAAATGTCCCTCTGCTTTACTTAACAATAGTTGGTTAGTCAACAAATAATGCAATCATTATCAAAGTTATTTTGGTTACTACTTGATCATGACTAACACCTTAAAGGGATAATCCCGCGTAAAATTAATTTAGGGTCAAACACACCCTAACACTGAGTTAGATACGCCCATCGAGAGATTAATGTTGCCAACCGCTTGCTTCTCTCATTACACCAACTTTCGTAACGACCGCACAATAGCAATACACAGCGGTCTCAGGAGCCACGCGCTCAACCAAAAAGCCACTCTATAGCCACAAATAATGCTCAGAACAGCACCTAACTTCATCAACAGTACATATAGGGTCCCAGCCAAAGCACTAGCCACCAAATATCTTTTTAACTTTGCCTAATTTATTTAGCAAAGAGACTAAACACAACTCACCTACTCTCTTCCAGCAGCCGCTTATTTGTACGGAGACCTTGGGTGAGTCCATCACTGACTGCAGCAGGTGACGCAGCTCAAGGAAGAACATTTATGATCATTACTTTATCATTTCCTTTAAATAATAATCACCATATTAACTTTTTTGCACTGCAGACACGATAGGTCTTCTGCCTCAGCGTCTCGGTCTGATTGCATATTCATGAAGAAATGATCATAAATGTTCTTCCTTGAGCTGCGTCACCCTGCTGAGGTTTGTGTGTGGCTCCTGAGACTGCTGTGTATTGCTATCGTGCGGTCGTTGTTAAAGTTGGTATAACTCGAGAAGCAAGCAGTCGGCAACATTCATCTCTTGACGGGGTTTCTAACTTGGTGTTGCGGTGTGCTTGACCCTAAATTAATTTTATGCCGGAATATCCCTTTAACATTAAGGACATAATACAAGTCAATATTGCTGTGTTTGGCCTGATAACCATTAAATTAAACTCTACCATCTTGCTTCTTCTGTCCCTCTGCTTTACTAACACACACATGCTTCCTGTTCCTCTCCCTTGTGCAACTTCATCGCCTCTCAAACTTTGTTGTGCATCAATCAAATCCCTGATGATGTGTTGTAGCCTAACAGCATATGCTCCACTGAGAAGGAGGGAAGGGAGGGTGAGCTCCATTTGTCATGCAAGAAAAAATAAGAGTAACAAGAGTAATAATTTAATCTTGATTATCTTGTTTTTATGAGGCGACCCAAATCCTGAGTGGAATGTGATTAATTTTCCTGTCGTGATAGTGACCAAACAGGACAATCATATAATGTAATGGCATTTGCTCAGTATTGACAATGAAGTCCAAATGTGCAACTACAAGGATATTTATCAACCTGTCTTCAGTATTTATATTATTGTAATAGTTATTGCTTTAATGGAAAAGCGCACAAAATGTTTGTATTGCAGGTTGCACTTATTACTCATCTTCAACTGTATTAAACCATAGACTGTATGTAGAATGGACGCTGTCTGCCTCCTCGCTAGGTGAAGCCACTCCAAGAACAGCACCCCCTGGTGACAAGCTGCAGTATAGGTCATAAATCAGGCTGCTTGCAATGTTGACATGTAGTTACTGTAAGACTGGTTTGTGCTCAAGTCCTCTTTTTTTCAGCTCCATTTTTAAAAGTTATTAGGGAGTTCATGTTTTCTATGATTGACGCTTGATACAGCCTATAGGTGTACGAAGATTACGTATATTGCGTAGCTCACCCGGGGGATGCGCTGTTTGAGCCGAGCGTCATCACAGCGACTATTCCGAAGAATCCGTACAATGCTACTGCGCAAGTGGTGAAGTGCATACAACACTACTGCGCAAAGTTGGTTTCAGAAAAAGGAGAAAAATCGCAGAATACCGAGAGCTTTACAGCTTCAAATCCGTATACTGGCGAAAGGCGGAGTCAAGTTGTCCATAGTATATACAGTCTATGTATTGAACTATACGCCATCTTATATTAATATATTCTTCCAACTGTCTGTTTACGCCTTAAAATCTGATTATATTTTGTAAACTCGACAAAGTTTGAAGTAGCACAAAACACTTGGTAAAAGTTCAAATGTTTTAAATCTGATTTGGTGTAATTGATGGCTTTCTTCACCCTAAGATACACTACCTTTGTTTGATGCCAACCGTCATGATGAAGTATCCTTTTGTGCTGATTAAACCGATGATCATATCAGCCTAATTGATGAAACGTCAATGAGAAGCAGAAAATTTGAGCCGTCAGTGTCGTTTGTTAGCCGGCGAGCGGCAGACAAAAAGGCATCATTTACACTGGCACAATGAGCAATGAGTATTGGCTATAAAAGATTCCTCTTGTCATCCTCAGCCAACTAATTCCATTTCACACACAGATCAGTTGTATTGGTGGCAGCTCGTTCTCATTTGAAACCATTAATGACTTTCCTGCAGAGAATTCAGGAGAATGGATGTGATTATTTTGTCTTTTTATGGGTGTGCGCCGGTGTCGTTTGTGTGTGTGTGTCCAATTTATTTGCTCACATATCAGTCTGAAGTAAGTGTTTAATTATTGTGTTGTTTGAGCCGTGCCACAACGTGCTCTGTCAACATTTGTCCTGAAATGAGCGATGAAAGACTTAGCCTATGAAAAATATTCATATTGATATTGGCCTCGTCTTTGGTTTCTGTTCAGAGGAATCTTAATTGTTATTCATCATCGCTTACCTCCGTCTCGTGCTTTGATCAGTGGTGGCAGTAGTAAAGAGGATATGTGTGTGTGTCTGTGTGAGTGTGCAGGAGGTAATGGTGGCAAACAAGCAGCAGCTGAGCAAACACAGGAGCCACACTGTGAAAGCTACATAGAGTGTCACTGCCTCCTAGTGGCGACTGAGAATCCGGCAAACCTTGAACCATCCTCTGAACTTCCACTTCTGTGAATTATTAGAGGATTTCACAGAAAAGTAAAGCACTGTTTCATTGCCAGAGGAAAAAAAAGCAGCCTGAGACCTTCGTTGGTATTAATAAGTGTTTAAAGATTGGAGACAAGAATGGCCTAAAGAGACGATTTAGAAATCCCAAAAAAGGCTCTTTGCTAAGTCACATTTATCCTCTTTGCATGGCTGCAGAGCCAGAGCATGACAGTGAAGGATTAAACAGCCATTCATAAACCCACTCCTCTAACCTTTAGGCCTCCTCAGCAATATCACAAGTTTTTATATTCAGTTCATTTTGATTTGTATGAAATCTGTTTGACATTCACTTTTCATCTGCTGTTGTACAAATATCTTCTTCTTTATCAGTGTGTTAAATATCTTCTCTGCATGTAACTTTAAGACCTTTTTTTGTCCTAATCAAGTTTCTCTAGAATCCTAGACCCAAAATCCAGTCAGATAACCTGTTTTAAAAAAGGTAAAATTCAAGCTAATCTTTACCAGGCATGACTACAGGCATTAAAGTTTGGACTTTATTTCATTCCGCATTTACAATTTCCTTCCTCCAAAAAGAAATACAAGGCAAATATTAATAACAAACACATGAAGGATCCAATTAAATAGGAATAAAATCTGAATTAATTGTAAACTGACTGAAAAATGGAGGAGGGGGAAGCTAAAACTTTCTCTACTCACCCGAAACAGCTTTATGAAAGATGAAAAATATTGACTCATGACTGAAAAAGTTACAACTGAAAACCAAACTGGCAAATCCCTTTTTTAAAGTTTACAGAGATTGACAAAGTCATATTTTATCTACATAAAGATACATTAAATATTATGTCAAAACCTATCAGATATTTAATTTCACTTTTGTAAAGTTTTAATGTGCCCTATTCTCAGATCTATAGGTGTAAAATCTAAAGATGCACTGATACATTTTTTTCCGATCCAATCTGATCGGCCAATACCTGATACCAATCCAAAGCTACTGTTGACTGTATACCTTGCCCTGTAAGTGAAGGCATCAGGCTTGACATTAGCATTGTTAGAAAAAACGTAACAAATTAACACAGATGTAAATTTACTTCATTTTATTAAAAAATAACAAATTGCACATTAGCACACAGTAAAAAAAAAATTTAAAGAAAAAAAAAAGCCTGGATCGGAACACTGGATCGGCATCATTTATTCAACATTCGATCCAGTTAATTTGTCAATATTGGAGCCGATATCCAAACCAAATATTGAATCCCTGCATCCCTACTACAATCTATCCAAAAATTAGCCTTTAATGTTACAGGTGCTGACTTACAGATACTTCCTGCTGCTGTCGCCTTTCTGTTGTCTAAAACTATTAATAACTACCTAGTCAAGACAGACCTCTATATGATGCAAATCACAGCACAGCAGCACCCACAGTGGCCCCACAGGAGTAAGGCTTCACTGCAATGAAATAAAACTGTTGTCTAAATCAACATGCAACTGCAAAAATAGATAAATAAACATAAATATACATATAAATAAAAGAGTAGATTGCAGATTGAAACTCCTGCTGCCCTTATGCTTTACACAGTACCCGTGAATGCAGCATGTTCCTCCTGAGTCTTGAATAAATCCACAAAGCTTTTTTTTTTCCACCAGTAAATTTGCACAAATTAATCTGAAGTAGAAGCGAGCATAGCCATTATACTACATTATACCTCCGCTCAATGGGTAAAATTTATGAGAAATGAAAAGTACTGCTATCTTCATTGTGACAAATTCTGTTTCTGGTGTTTATTGGGAACACTTACTGTGGGTATATTAGAAGAAAAATCAGATTGCAATTTACTGTGAAGCCCTGGATTTTATGTGCCTGATGATGCTTTCTTGGCTGCCAAATGGAACAGACGATTTATAATTCACCCATTATCTGTGTCACACGAGATGTCTTTTGGAAATTATGTTCGAGAGTGAAAATAAACCCATTGCACAGAAAAGAGTCAAGTAGATCTGCTGTATAGGGAATGTAAAATATTTATTCACTTTAGCAGGAGGAATGCAGTAACAAGATCTAAACTGATGTTACTTTGCAGCAGAGTACATTTCTACATTTGCAGTAATCTTCAGGAGAGTATAATTATCTCTCCACAGACTACCAGCTGCTGCTCCCATTATAATGAGTCTCTATCTGATTATCCCTTTCAAGATCATCCATTTTAACAGATGTACTGTAGCACCTTACTTTGATCCATGGCCCTGAGCACAAAAAGACCCCTACAAAACCTTAAAATTGTTTGGCTGGATAATAAAATACTGCAGAAGATGAAGGGATTCTTCTTTTCAGGGGGACTTTAATGCATTAGAAGAAAAAATCTAACTTCTCTCTGTCTCAGTCCACTTCAGCCTGGATGGATTTTACCTTCTGGATATAGCAGGAACTACAGCAATGATAATAGATGGAACAAAAAATTTAATTAGCACCAGGATTATATCCCGACTGTATTAAAACTCATCCTTTTCAACCTCTACCTCTTATCAAAGAACACCCAGACGAAACCAGCCTGGAAGTGAAGTGGCGGTGAAGTGAAATAAAAGACCATGCTGTGTAATTTGTAGTTCTGGCCTCTTTGTTGTAAAAGTTTGCTGTAATCCATCAATGTGAAATAATTCTGTCTGGGTTTTGAGCCAGATTTTTTTTTGTTTTTTTTTCTTGGTTTGATAAAATGGTTCCTTGAAAATTAATAACTGCATCAGAGTATTCAGCATGTGGGCTAACTTTTATCAGAAATGAAAGCTACAAATGTTGATTTGACATGTATTGATTAGGCAATGAGATGACCAAACAAAAGGGACAAAAGGATGAAGGAGACGTAAAGCTTAAAGTGGTGTATTTCAAAATCCTTGTACATCTGGGTCACTTCTTCATTTTCCCCCTTTCCTTCCTTTAAATCTGCCAATAAAACAACATTTCAGAATCAATTACTGTATCTCAGAAAGTTAATAAAGCTTATTTTCCTGTTCATGGTCAAATTGATGCTAAAAATATCAATACCATAGAGTAAGAAAAAGCCATGTTGTAAATATTAAAAGACCAGCTGCATTAGAGAAAAAGAAATTGCTTCGTGTTAGATAACAATCTTTGCAATAGTTTGGAGCAACCGTCCTCTATCTCCCTCACACAAACAAAAACATCCGCCTTTAACCATGAAAAGTGTTTATTATTGGACTATAATGCTTTAGTTCAAGTAGGAAAGAGGAAAATTAGTAAGAAATGGCATAGATAGATAGCTTCTGTGCATGGGGATAGATTGACAGCTGAGCTAAACAACCGCCCCAAAAGTTAAATACTTCGACATCCATATGCTTATCATGCTTGTTGAATATAAGTGAAGTGGTTTGTGAACAACCTGGACTGTGACATTTCAGATTAACCCTTAATTCCTACAGCGCAACCTTCCTTCAAAGCAAAAACCTCCATGAACTTCATAAAAATCTGACTATTGTTGACATTTCTCATCCGTGTGACAATCCTGCTCGCTGCCGGAACTGAATAGAAACATGGACACATACTGCCCTCTAGTGGCTACATGTGGAACATTCTAACTCTGACTTTCACGCCCTCTTTTCCCCTCTAGAGGGCCCTCTTCTCAAAGTTTTTGTCAGGTAATTCTCCTCTTTTTCTGTCACACACTTAGGCAAAATAAGAAGTATCTCAAAGTGGACAAACACAGCATGGACCCTCACTTGTTGCTCAGTCAGGAATGAGTCAAAAAATACAACATGTGATGTACCAAACTCAGACAGAGAGCAGACATCCCTTCTCCTGCCTCTGAGGACTCAGAGCAGATGGCATTTCATAACCAATCACCATTTCAGGTTCTATTGCCCAATCACTTTTACATTTATATGTAAAGTAGCTTCTTTTCCAGCAGATCAACAGATGGCTGGAATGTATGCTTGGGGGGCACTTATGTAAAGACTTGATGATTTCTCTTCCTCGTTTCAAACTGACAGGCTGTAAAGATAGCAGAGTCAACGTGCATATGTGATAACACATGGTGTAATTGAACCCCATGGCAGAGAAGAGGCTGTGGTGTTGGAAGATTCAGTGGATTATAGGCTTTACTTTGATGTTTAGTGCATGTTAAGTATTTTGTTTTTGTCTTTATGGTCATTTTATTCTCGATTTTAGAGGGAGAGTTTTAGACCAAAGCAACAAACCCATGACTCTCGAAGGAAAATGATTCACCAATTGAGTAAGAAGTGTACACAATTAGAAGTAAGAGTTTAACTTTAAGAGAGCTTGTTTGGCCTTGTGGTTGAGTCCAGAGACTTAACCTAGGAGAGAGTGAAAAACTGAATCTGTGACCGTGACAGATATTTTTGTTTTACTGAATTTATGAAGCGAGGAGGCGACACAAGCTCGTTTCACAAATGATGTGTCATTCTCACAATCACCTGACAAAAGCATTGTCTCGATTGGGGCGGTCTCTGATGTATCAAGAGCAATTATTAACTCTGAATCATAAAGAGCGGTCGATTAGTTTTGTTCACCCTGTTACCGTTATTTTTCCATTCAGCCCAAGTCTTTGCTTGTACCAGCTACTTTCTATTTTTGTGTTATCTACGTAATTTAGGGGAAATGAGAGCGCTGAAAAGCTTAAGAAGTTGAAATATTAAGCAACCTTTAATCAAATCAAAACACTTACTCATGCGGTGCTCCGTTCCTTTGGTTTTAATAAAACAACACTGTAAGAGTTTCACATCAATCTGTTTAGAAATCACGTCTACAACATCTCCGCTTAAAAATGACAATTGTTCAGCTTTGTTGGAAGTTTACAAGTTACCAGCTACATATCTGTTGAGTGCTACATCCATCAGTCGTGTAACAGTTGTTCTCTCTTCGTATTAAGTGCATCACTCCTGGAGAATGCGCATACATGTTTTCAGATATTAAAAGGATTTATTAAATTCACTGAGATAGGAAGCCATGTATCTCCTGTGCTTTTTCAAAGTTCTTTAAGGCTTTGTTTTTTTTTTTAAATAGAAAAGTGTAATGACATCTTCTAGATCTGGCATGAAAAAGATTTAGTCGGAAGCAGGAGCCAATGAGGATTATTCACATACATTCACGGAAGAGTTACACAGTCATTGATAAGCACTATAACCAAAAAATTCCTCTGTAGCTTCAAAGCCCCACTTTTGACATCTTTACACAGCACTCATGCATTCACATTATGTGCTTTACATTCTTTTTTAGCATGCACCACACTTCGGCCGACATGCGAGGAAAACAGCAGAGCGAAAATCATGTCATGGTCGAATCTTATCCCTCTTTAACAAAAAAACAAATGTCTTCAAAAGCAACAACGGACAGAATCAGCATCTTATGACATGCACAAAAGAGGTCCAACACGTTAAAAATACTGTTTACAGTCTGTGCAAATACCTCCCCTTCAAGTCCTCTTTACACTGACTTCCTTCTCGCGCGAGGGAACTCCAGGAAGCTGTGCCCAGGTGAGAGAGTGCTACCTGGGGATGAGAGTCCGGTGTTGTCCCTCGAACCCGGGGAGCAGCCCTCGATCCTGTAGGACACTGAGTTGTAGTACACAGAGTTAATATGGCAGCCGTGTTGGTGTTCGCTGCGAGATACGAGAGGACTGTCACACATCCCCAAACGGTAGCACACGCATGAGCAGAGGGAGCTGAGGCTGGACTCTCTCCTGCATCTTCCAGTCTTGATCTGAAAATGCAGCCTGTGTCTGCAGGGGCTCCTCTGTCTCTCCTGGTCCTCAATAGGAGAGGAGGTGATGAGGTTTGTGCGGCTGGTTCCCTCCTCCATCGGGAGGAGAAGCGCGCTGTGACTGTGACTGTGGCTGTGGCTGTGAGTGTGGGCTACGTTGCTCCTGTTCCTCTCTCTGCGACTGTCTCTGCTCTGCTCCCCTCCAACACGTAGACCCCCATCCAAGAGGCCTCTGTCCCTCTTCAGGGACGCCCTCTCTTGGGCATCCCTCCTCTCATCCTCTGTGTTCATGGTGAGGAAGCGAAGCACAACCAGGTTCAGGAAGGCCCCGATGACAGTCAGCCCCACTAGGATGTACATGAAGCTGAACACCACATAGGGTGTTTTCTCCTGGAGGTCCTCCTTCTTCTGCAGGGCCACAAAGTCTCCAAAACCAATGGTAGTGAGTGTGATGAAGCAGTAGTAGTAAGCGTGGAAGAAGCTCCATCCCTCAAAGTGGGAGAAGGCTGCAGCCCCTACACAAAGCGTACCGATGCAGGACAGGAACCCCACCAAGACCATGTTCTCCATGGACACCTCAGTGCGTCTAAATCCCAGGCACTGCTTCATCTTATGGAGGAGATAGCGGACGAATGTGTTCATCCTTTCTCCAAGGCTCTGGAACATGACCAGGGTGAGAGGGATGCCCAGCACGGCGTAGAACATGCAGAAGACTTTTCCTGCATCAGTGCCTGGTGCTGCATGTCCATAACCTTAATGCAGGGTAATGGAAATGAGAGGAGCATGGTGATGCATTGACAGGGAAACAATCTTCAGTCTGTGATTAAGCATTAAATAAAACAGCAAATGAGACATCCTCTCCCAATGAGACATTACATCAACTTACCAATGGTGGTGATGACTGTTATGGCAAAGTAAAAAGAGCCTGCAAATTTCCACTGTCTTCCAGCACGATGTGGCTCAGCTTGCAGCACCACTCGCTCGATCTCTCGGTAGTCGTCCTCGGAGAAACGGTACTTCTTCTTCATCTCATTGCGCTTCTGCTCCAAGATGCGCCTGCGGGAGTTCTCCGACTCGGACTCGAGCGCGTCAAACACCGCGGCGCCGACCAGCAGGTAGGAGAACATGCAGAGGATGAGCGACAAGGTCCGGATGTTTTGCTTCTTCATCCTCGGCTTCGGCATGAAAAAGTCGGCGGAGCAGAGAGGCGCAGTTACAGGTGGTGGGACTGGTTCTTCAGCCGAGACTCCACATTGGTGGTGCCGCCTGTTGCGTAAAACGTAGTAGCAGCAGAGGCGTGTGAGGGGAAGAAAAACTGCGTGTTGCCAGGTTTAGATTTCACGTTCAGGTTAAAACGAATATATCCTGCTGTGCGCATCGAGAGAGATTGATGCTCTCATACAGTCCGCGAGGGGTCTCGGTCTGCCTATTCGCATGCGCAAACAAGTCACCAATTAAAAGCTGCGAGTAAAACAATATCTGAGTGAGAATCATGGTGAAATCCAAACAGCAGTGTTCAATCGTTTCAGTGCTGCGTGTGCAACAAGTGAGGTCCTGACTCGACCCGGCAGATACCAATCAAAGACAGGAGGAGGGGGGTTCAGCACCTTGGACAGAGACCGGGGGATTTAGCAGCTCTTAACTGCAGAAACACTGACTCTTTTATAAGCTTTCCTTGTTAAATTTTTGATATGAGTGAGTCAATATTTTTATGGACATGTAAGACAACATGGAAATGCAATAAAAGGTCGTGTTGGTTAAATTAAATTCAGTCTAAAATGTTTCTTTATTTAACAGAAATTTAACTTTGACTCTGAATCTTGTGGTTTCATAAGATAAAAATCCATCTTTGCTTCTTTTTGATATAATCATAAACTAAAAATTAGGTATCTTCATTTCAATCTGTACAAAACATGTATGTGAAGTCAACATTTTAACCCTCCTCCTGTGTTAGGGTTAGGGTCTGCACCGACCCCTTTTTTGATTGTAAATGCTTAAAAGAACCACTTAAATTAGCCACTTAACTTTTTTGCATCAAGATTTTTTGACTTTTTCAGGAACCTCTATTTCAAAAAAATTAAAATTAAAATGACTAAATTATAAAATGCTCTTATTAAAACTATGGCACTTGTCGTGTTAGGGTCGCTGTTGACCCAGTTAGATTAATATCTAATAATAACCAGAGCTTAAACTAAAATCACATGTGCACTGTCAGGCACCACACTAGCATCAGATCCTCTTCGAATCATGTGAGATTTAGGAAATTCTCATTTTGCCCTGTTTTTCCCTGCATAAAAAACTAAGTCGAGCATGTCCAGACATGTGAGATCAATGCAGTATAGATGATTGTATGAGGGGTATACTGCCACTTCCAGATGAGTACCAAATATTTACTTAGCCCTTTTCATGAAAAATCTAAAGGGAAAACAAAATACAGGAGCTAGAATTCAGCATACAGAAGTAACCAGTCTTGTCACTGATAATCTAATTTTCATGTGAGGAATTGTGCCGACTACGAATGTTTCAGGACCCTAAGAAAGTCAGCTAAGGTAAATTATGTAGTTTGAAAGATTTGAGATTAAGACATGAAGTTTGGGGGAAAACAAGTAGACAGAAAATTTAAACCAAAGAGAAATATTCACATTTAACAATACTAATATTTGCTGTGCTCATTTACCACATGATTAAGTTAAAATACCTCAATCAAAGTGTGTTTTGAGGGGATATGTTTCAAACTGATGCTGATTTAGTTTGACTTATCCACTCGTGTCAGCCTGAATAGTGAAAATGCACAATAACTGTCACTAGGTTATGTCTTTACATGCTCATGTTGACCTGTGTTAGTAGAAATGTGTGTTCAGGCGTGTGCATGTGTGTATTCTCGCACATTATGCTGATGAATGCACATACAGTGCCTGAACAAACGATGCTGCTACACTAGAGGCTTCTGCAAACCAACACTAGGTGATGCCGGTTGCTATGGTTACCCGTACCAGAATCACAGGCTCGGACTGTCAGTTGTTTCAGATATAAAAGTGAATTAAAGCCTCATGTCACAGCAGGTATCAGAAGCACACATAGGTAACTGCAGGTGTGTTACTGTATGTTCCTTTTTGTTCTCCTCTAATAGAGCGACCCGCTGCTCTCTGCCGCCCTGTTTCTGTGTTAAGTGGCTAAATCAGCACACTTACACCCCTGTTGTAATTCAAACCAGCTCTCCATAAATCAATTACATCTGGGCTGATAAGAGAGGCACCTGAAGCCCTAACAGGCTCCCATCAATGCGCACGGTTTGTATTCACATCCTTTTCAAAGACCAAGGACCTGGAACAAAGCGAGGAGGCCCATCAATCCCCAGCGGCCCTGGGCTTAAGGAGAAGTATCGAGACTCAGAGAGATGGACCACTGATTTAGTTTTTTCTCGTCTATGCTCTCTAAGGTACATTTTATCCAATTGTACAGAGCATTAAAACAGATATTTAAAATTGCAAATGATCATGAAGTACATATCAGTTTGTTTGTTTTTTATTTGACGTGTAAATTTCAATTTTCCACTTGAAAATTGAGCTGAATGTTAAGTTTATGCAGGTTCAGTTGCTTATGATGTGTTGTTGCACTCAAGTTATATTTTTGAGGACTGCATTTTCAGGGGGAGAGAAATGCAGAGAAACCCTCAACAAAAACAAGATTTTCAGCTGAGAATACAACTCTTCGTCTTTCCGCTTTTAGGCATTCATTTTTTAAGAAAAAATGCTGTCAGTTTTGTTTCATCTTGTCCCCCATCTTGTCAAAGCTTCATGGTTTTATCACAAGAAATCAAAAAAACAACCTCCTTGCTGTGTTTAGTGATTCTGTCTGAAAATAATGCAGATGGTACAAAACCGTCTTTAAGATGCACATGGCGTCAAGCAGAGAAAAAAAGGGACCTTGTGCCTGGAGGCGTATTCCTTTTCTAAATACCCCCCCTTAAAAAAAACCATCTGCCAATTCTGCAGGAGCGAAAAATAAAATGCAAATTTGGCAAAATGCTCGGGGAAGGCATCTAAAAATTAAGCTCCTCTGTGAAACGGCAAACTTTGAGGATGGTCTGTGAGAGGGAGCAGCAAAAAGGAAATTATAGAGATAACCTTTCGTCATATGAACCTTTGGAAAACGGATGAAAGAGAGAAACATTGTATGGAGGTTGATTACAAAAATACCTACAAGAAGTTTGAGCTCTTAGAAATAACAAATTCTCCCTTTTAAACTAGTATTTGGCAAGAAAAGAAGAAACATAACCCTCTGGCATCTGATGATTTTTTAGTCACCCTAAATGTATTAAGGGAAAGCAGGCAGGGATTTTTTCTTAGTAGTGATTAAATAATCACTTCAAGTTTAGACGGACCTCTCTACATCTCTAGTTAAAGCTCCTGTGAGGAGAAACAGGCTGACATTAACAAAGATGCCTCCTTATAGCCCACAAAAGCAAAAGAGACCACTAGCAGAAAGACTAAGAACTACTACATGGTCATTTTTTAAGACCTGAAACTGCTGTGAGGGGTTAGTCCATACAGGGTAACAAAAAATTATATGAGAAAATAAGATTTAAAATGCTTGGTGTCATGATACAATATTATAGTTCTTTTACAATGCACAATGACTTATGACATGAGACAGTTATACCACAATTTCCTTATAAACCAACAGTAAGGTGAACTCACTGCAAAAGACAGGAAACAAAAAGAACAAAAGCAACCTTGAAACCTCCGCCAAAAAATCTTTGAAGCGGCAGAGGGACAACAGATTCACAAACTACAACATTATCATTTCACCAAATAAAAAAGTGAGGAAAGAAGTTCTAAAACAGCCAGAACAAGTGTTGCTTTTGGTCACAAGTGAACGTTTATCCTCAATGAGAGGTGCTCAGGAAATATGAAAATGTGAAAGTGTATAAATAAAAAGTCCTGAGTTATGTGAGACTAACAAATACATTTTAAAAGGACTTAGTTGTGTGCTTTCTCAGCATGTGTTTCAAAATTCACCAATGGAATTTCATACTTTCATTGATAATAAATACAAGTTTCACTAAATGCAGCCACGGTAAAGGTAAAGGTAAAGAATCACACATTAACAATCAGTTTAAGCAGGTTAAGTAGTTCGCAAAAGCAGACGATTCATAAATGTAATGCATGCTTGACTCTCATCAAAAACACTTGCACTTTAGTTACCATGACGACAGACCATAACTAAATATGTAACAGTAAAAGTATTTGCTTTCCTCCTCACAGGAAATAAATAGACAGCACAATATAAGAGGAGCAGACTACAGGATTATCCTCTCAGATGTGATGCTGACAGACTGAGTTATATTTGGTGCTGTCTGCTTTGTACTGTACACAAGAGAGAGCGCATTTGTAACATGTGGTAATATCTTAGTCTGCGAGGAGTCATCAGTCCTTGTATGCTCTCTTCTAACACAGCGCCGCAAGTGTTTGTATCTCTAAGAAAAAAGATTCCTCCTTTATTTGTTTAGCTGTTCATTGAATAAGTTAGAAGTTTTTGTTCATTCTTGATTCATCATATGGAGTCATATCTGAAGTTAACTAATGCTCTTAGATCTCCTTCTCCTAGATTGCCTTTTGTATCATATTTGATACATACTTTTATATAAGCTTTTATAAAAGCATAGACTACCAACTTTCTTGACCACTGACTAGTTAGTAGTGGCTCTAACTTTTTAACAGAAAGTTTTACCATAATTTAAAACAGACAAAGTTAAATACTACTTTAAATGGTTGAAAGGAAGCAAGAAAGGAAGAAATCATTAGGCCTTAATATCACCAAACCAGACAACACAGAGCTGTATCAACAGTGAACCATCATGCGCATTTGGTTCAGGAAGGCACAGGATTTCGTTGTAAGCAAGGAAGGAAGGAAGGAAGGAAGGAAGGAAGGAAGCAGGAAATAATACATCATTAGGCCTGAATATCACCAAACCAGACAACACAGAGCTGTATCAACAGTGAACCATCATTAGGCCTTAATATTATCAAACCAGAAAACACAGAGCTGTATGCGCACTTTGCACCAACATGCGCACTTTGTTCAAGTAGACATAGCATTTCGTTATAGGCCTACTCACCCGACTGCCACGCTTCCTGCTGGTCTTGTGTAGGCTCCTGAGAAATCTCCAACTCCTCTGTAGTTGACGAAACTTTTTGCTGTCCATTCTCACTTTAAAACCATCCGTTTGACCCTTTTAGTCTGGTGTGACCCGTCTGCTTCCCTGTCCTGCAGCTTGTCCAAACTAACAAACATTTCCAACTTTCCTGGCTTCGTAGTGAGACTACAAAACTGTGACAAAAAAACAGTGTGAAGCCCTCAGACACCACAATCCAGGTGGTAGGTCAGGAGAAATTTGGGCAAATGCAGGAAATATGTTGCTTCAGCGTTTTTATTCGCATGTTTCACTTGGGTTTGTTGAATTTGAGTCCTTCGGCGTGCCCGCAGGGTGGTGCCTTTCTTGATCAGAATAGTTGCGGTTGCGCGACTTTTCTGCGCTAGATCAGTGAAAATTTTGATTTTGAAATTTTAGCATTTTAATAAACAAATGTAAAATTAGTGTGGAAACTCTTTTGTGATCAGACTAATCCTCAGATGACCTTCCACTCAACCCACCAGACTCTTTCAGCAGGAAACGCAAATGATGTGATGTGGAGTTGTAAACTACTCAATCCTAAATTCATGTTTAATCCTCCTCTAGCCAGCCAGGGTTCATATGATAATAATGTTTTCATAGGCCTGTATTCATCTGTATGAGCTCACTGTAAATATGCCAATATGGAATTCATTTTATAAACCAGAAGCACTAAATAGCATCAGCAAATACTGGATGCCTGCAGAGCCCTCTGGTTTCCACAGTAACTAAAACCAAAAATAGAAACTCACACCAGCGGCCATTCAACGTTGAATCCCTTGTGATAATACACGGATCTATTTATAACCTCTGATAGTGAAAATGCTCCCATGGGTGAATGCATCTGTCCAATTACTGAAAAGAAAAGACAACATGGTCCAATTAAATGATCATACCTCTGACTCTGTCTTTTGGCAACTGGTCTTGACAGTCTGAAAACTGAACCTAATTTAAGATGCAATAAAATGAAGATATTAAACAGAGGTCTAGATTTTAATAAGGACTGACTTGATCAGAGGATGAATTGGAGTGAGTCTGGGCTGTGAGTTGTGAGTAGCTGCTCTGTTTCTGGAGATTGAAACAAAGAAGTACTGCAGTAGATTACCTCATAGCATAAATTTAGACAGCTGACAGATAGATAGATAGATAGATAGATAGATAGATAGATAGATAGATAGATAGATAGATAGATAGATAGATAGATAGATAGATGTTTTCTACCAGGAAAAAAAGCAACAATAAAAAACATGATTACATGTAATGTACTTGTATTTGGTACATTACTCTAACTATATGTAATCTGATTACTTTAATTGGAGTGCCCTGATTACCTGTAATCAGATTATTGTGTGGGAAAGTAATTTAAAGATACTCTGATTACATGTTTGCTGATTACTTTCATGGAGTACTTTTTACAATATAACTTTTAGTTTGATGACTTCTAACAGCTTGTTGTCAACAAAGGACTTTTTTGGATCAGGTACTGTGATAGCATGTAAACAAATACTTCTGGAAAAATCGCCATTGACATGTTACCATATTATTTTTAAAAGTACTGATTACATTTAATCTGTATGTTTTTTAAAAAAAAATTTCTGGTTAATTGTATTTGTAACTTTTACTATTACTCTAAAAATAAACCCAGACCTTTTTTCTTTCTTATTTGGCAAATGGTTTTATCGACATACCATCTGCATGTAACCAAATACTTTTCCGTACCAATGATCTGATTACCTGTAGTCAGATCATTGTGGGGAAAGTACTTGAAATACATGTAATTTGATTATTAATTAAAAAATACTCTGATTACATGTCCACTGATTACTTTCATGAAGTACTTTTATAATATAAATTATAGTTGCCTTGAAAGTGAGTGTTGTCAACAAATCATATGTTATTTTGGGCGGGTCAGGTACTGTGATAGCATGTAAACAAATGCTTGTGGAAAAAATTACTATACCATTGTTTTTTTAAGTACTGATAACATGTAATCTGTATGTTTTCAAAAAATACTCTGATTAATTGTATTTGTTCATTTCATTTTTTCCTCTGAAAATAAACCCAGACCTTTTTTTCTTTCTTTTTTTGGCATATGGTTTTATCTACATACCATCTGCATGTAACTGAGTACTTTTTGTACTTGTACACATACATAGCCATCTGGTAATTTGAGACAACAGGCCCAGTAATGCCAACCACAGAAAGCTGTAATATTTTAGTAGAAACACATAAATCCACTTACTGTACATAGACAAAGAGAACTTGATCCAAACTTCAAAAAAGTCAAGAAAAAGTGTTAGATGTTTTATTTATAATGTTCCAAACAGGAAGGGGGTAGAGAGCTATAGATAGAAGCTGGCATGGACAATGCAAGAACAAACAGCAAACTCAAACTTGAACAGTTAGGTATTTTTTCTTCCTGACTCACAGCCTCCACTGCACACTGATCCTGAAGTCTCAACAGATTGCGTTGCATCAATATCTCTACCGTCTTTCTTCTTCCCTCAGTTGCGAGTTCTTGTCTTCACTGAGGCTGGAGGAATCGACTGAAATAGACTAGTCTCAGGACTAGGAGCAAAAGCTGACATCTACCACAGTGTTATCCTGAGAGTTACTATAGAATAAACTTGAACTGGGGCCAGACTTTGGCTAAACACAGATCAATTTCATACAAACATCCAAAAATAGTATTACTTTATTCTGCTTTGTCAACAGCCAGATATGTTGTAGGGAAAGTCATTTATAAAGAATTCAGCATTTTTGTAAAGTTATTACCATTTCAGTCTGTAAATACCAAAACTCAAACAATTAACTGTGAAAATTAAGTGCAAGTATAAAAAGATGCATGGATTTAATTGTTGCCTTGATACTGCACCCATGTCAAATTCACAAACAGTGGACTTTAAATTACAGCCAAAGCTTTATCAGATCTGCTGACATACACGGACATACTACAATCAACCAGTCTCATCACATTTTTGGCAAGGCTCTCAATGTTCAAAAGTCTACTACCCAAATTTTGCAGGAAAACACAAGTTGTGCAAGATTACTTAAATATAACTTAATCAACATTCAGCCCAAATCCTTTTTAACAGCAGGGTCCAGCAGAAACACAAACCGGTGCAGAGATTTCACTCACATAAAAACAGCTCAAAAAGGGAAAAAGTTATCCAATTAACTATCCTCAGTGCAAAAGAAGGACCCATTTTAGAATATTAAAGTGTTGAAAACGCTGAAACCTGATTATTTTTATTGATATACATTAATAATAGAGCTTTCATTATTAAATACTAGCTGACAGTCTTAGTTAATACACATCTAAATGATGAGTCTGGTGATACTCTATGTTATTGTCTGTAAATCTAATAGACGGTTTTTGCCATAACGTTTCACCGTTGTTCAAAAACTTCACTATGAGACGAGCTGACTTGTTTTTTTATCACAGTACCAAATAAACAGTCCTGCTGTAAATACTCCTAAATCCCCAGGTGAGAAATATCAGATGATTTACTTCTAACATTTGATAAATAACAGCGATACCTTTGAGAACATTATCTTCTTAATTTAATAAATAGTCTTACGAAAGAAAAACAGTAACTTGGACAGTGTCATGAAGTATGAGGAAATAAAAGAACTTTTTATTGTTGTTCTCATGTTCGCTGTTGGGTTTTTACTGCTCGTCATAACTCAATATTTCACTGTTTTTAATAGGGTTCTTTTGATTCATTACTGCGAAGTGTCAGGATGAAATATACTGCAGTAAAAAAGGCGATTATTAAAGATCATATTTGCTTTCCTTTTACTACAATAGCAGACAGCTTTGCACAACTTATTTACTCCTCCTGACGGCCAGTGAAGCTCTTTCAAAAAAGATGGCACAACAGGTTTTGTGGGAAAATCTTTCAGTAATTTTTACAGCCATAAGACATTTGGAGGATAGTCTATCAGTCCCACCTTTATGGTTTTTGAGCTCACAGCAGTCAGTCTGTGGCGTCTGTTAATGGTTACGAACTTGCCGTAGGGTTTGTTGTAAATAAATAAACATAACACAGAAAATCACCAGCCTCATCCTTAAATATTTTCTCATGACTAAGAAGAAACTGAGTCACATCCAGTCCAGTTCTCAGAGTTAATGAATTCATTTCCTCCCCAAAGTGAAAAGAATCAATAGTTAAACATCAAATATAGTAGAAATAAGGCCCAGAAAAACCACACTGTCCTTATATTACATTTCATTTATACTTAAAACTAATGTTTATTCACCTATCATCCACTTTATTCAAGAATTCCCCATATTTTGGTCTGAACTTGAGGGGTTTGAATCCATATCAGTATCCTCTGACTCTTTACCATTGGTCTGTTCGTCCACACTTTTCTCTGTGACCGTCTCCGACCCATTAGTCGCCGACACATTTTCCTGTGACATTTCCTCCTCTTCCTTTTTATCTGGCACTTGATTATAATCAGTCCTTGGGATTTTTTCCTCCCTTCCTGACGAAAGTGAGGGCGAGTGTTTTGAAGTCTTAAGGGGGGTTTGTGATGATGGGCTCGTTTGACCGGTGGCTTTATTAGCACCAGTTTTTTCCTCCATCTGCCCACTGGCCAAGTCCCCTGTGGAGCCGTTGCTTGGCAGCACCTTATTATCTTCTCTCTTCTTCTTCGGTGGTTTTTCAGTGTCTATGTCCCCATCTGTTTGCATAATGTTGTCTGGTTCCTGGATGCTGTCCTTTGGGTTGTTGGTACATTTCTGCTCGCTGTCCGCGCTGGGCTCAGGCTTTGACGTCACAGAGTTAGGACTAGGCGACTGATCCATCTTATCCGCATCATCTGTTGAGTCATCTCCATTGCCCAAGTTGTCATTACAAGATTCTTCTTCAGCATTTCCATTTCCAACAGTGTCATTGTCTGGTTTTGGCTCAGGAGATGCCTCTCGCTCTTTGTTTTTGTCTTTACACACAGTTTTGTCAGTTCCTTTCTGAGCTTTTGTCGCGTTATCCACCCCATCCTCTTTCTGTTGCACAACCGCCTCTCCATCTTTGTTTTTACTCCTTGAATACACTTCCTCCTTTCCATCCCCATTCCCAACTGCATCCAATCTTTTCTCCGCCTTTCTGAACTGTTTCTGAATCTTTCTGGGACACCATACAAACTTATCCTTTGGCTCAAAGTGAAGATATGCAAAGCGCACAAGCTCCTGACGTTTCCTCTTATCCAGCACTGCGAACAGAAAGTAGTCGAGCACACTGCGTTTAACACTGCTAAGGGTCTTTTTAACCAAAGTCTCCTCCAGAAAGAAGCGCACAAGAGGGGCCTGGTAGTGCTCGAAACCAAGCTCCCCAAGACTCTTCAGAATGCGGGTGATGCGCAGGTTATTGTGCATATTCCTGCAAGAAAATTTGAGACTGAGGTTACAAACCAAAAGTCCGTATCTCTGATGCTGCTGATGCGAGAACATTTAGATACTCACCGCTCAAGATTTCCAAATCGCTCCTTCCAGTTGTCTGCTCGTTTCACTTCACCGGTCTCTTTGTTGACCAATCTGATGCCATAGAAGCCCAACATTAATTCATAAGACTCCACAAGTCTCTTCTTGGCGTCCTCATTCTTCTTAAACGCCTATTAAGAAAATAAAGAGGAGACAACAATATGAAAAAGTACACTGCATCATGAAACTATTGCCTTTACATTTACGATCAAATCTAAAAGTAACATGTAAAAAACAAATACATCATATTCAATTGGTGAAGTGTACCTGTGCTTTTGGAGTATACTTAGATTTGAAAACAGACTTCTCTGGAACATTCATACAGTAGAAAGTGTTTGTCTTCAATCAAAGTTTACCAGATATTAAAAGAACTCACTGACAGTAAAATTATTACACAAGGTAATTTTTATTCCTGATAACAAGGGAGTGTACTTTTAATAAACAAGCCAAGACCTCACCTTTGGACACCACAGTAACTAGTGCTTAAGATCAGGTCATATTAGGTTAGTCAACAACTGCTACAAATCCTGCTTAGACTCATCCAGAAAATGTTCATGTTGACTTGTTTAACTCAGCTACAGGGGGTTGTAACAACACGTCTTAATTTGGATAAGGGTCCTTGATATTCCTTTTTTTTCTCTATGCAATGATTTGACCAGTTTTGACCACTGGACCACCATCTAACTCATACATTTCACTTCTACAGCGTTTTAAAAAGTTCTCGCAGTCATACAATGTTTTTTTTTTTTCCAAAGGGACTTTAGCTGGTCCATCGATCCCAAGACAAAGTTCAGAAACATTACTAAGTGACAACAGATAAGAATAAGAATAACTTTATTAATCCCCGAAGGGAAATTTAATTGTCTGTTGTCTCACATAATATGTCTCCAAAAGTCATCTAGTATTTACACAAGAGTTATAAAGTCATATGGCTGTTGGTACAAAAGATCTTCTGAATCTTTCTGTCCTGCTGCGAAGAGAGAGGAGCTATCCACCACCATTGGCCCTTTGGTCCATCAAGGTGTTGTGATATCTGATATCTGTTTTGCTCTTGAAACTTTTGACATTTTCGTATAAACATTGAAATAAATCTGCTTTATGTTCTGCTAGACTTTCAAAGTCACTGATTAAAACTAAACTTTACTCAACAAACTGTTTGAAACACTTACCTCAATTTCTTTCTTGGTGAGTTCTGAAGCCATATAATTCACTCCCGGCTCCCGAAGTGGAAACAGCCTTGTGATGGCAAAGGGTTCAAGAGAAAAACACAGAACCAATTAGCACCTGACCAATCTATTTTTAGATTGATAAAGATAACATCAGATTTTCAGAGTTATGATCATCCAGTGAATTAAAAATTTGCCCTTTACACTTCATACCGTAAGATAAACCACTGATATCAGCTGTGCTTTTCATTGTAGAAAAGGAAAACCCTCTGAAAACAACATTAAAGCAGCTAAAGCTGGTCACTCAAATTACAACAGGTGTATAGATATCTCTAAACTGACAATAAAGACACCTGCATGTGAACTTGTTGGGGTAGCCACTGTGTATATGAGAGGTACGCTTTCATTCCAAACTTTTTTTTATTTCAAATGAGAGCTTGAGATGCGAATGGGTATGCAAGAATGTTGTTTTTTCCTGGCAAGACCGTTGCCAACGTTACCAACTTGCTACCAATCAACTAGCTACCTTGAAACTTGCACTAGGGCAAACCTCACCAACAAAAAAACTACTCTCTGATATCATGCCTCAGTTATGGCAGTGTGTAGCTGGCTTCCAAGTGCAAGATCACCAGAATAAGTATACAGTCTCTTTACAAAATCCTTTTACATAAAGGCAAAGTATACAGCATAAACAATACATACCACTGAATGTACGAGTGAACCCTCTCCAGTCTTTTGTAGTCATTTTTCCATTCCTTCAGAAATGATTCAATGTAGACATCTATGCCACAAGATAAAAAGACCATCATGACACTAAACACACACTTTCCAGAACAATGTTTGCATCTAATTTAAAGGCATAAAATTAATTTAGGGTAAAACACACCATAACACTGAGTTATCATTTCTTTATCCTTTACTTGAAGTAATAATCGCCATATTAATCATTTTGCACTGCAGACGCGATAGTTCTTCTGCCTTAGCGTCTTGGTCTGATTGCATTTCTATGTAGAAATGATCATAAATGTTCTTCCTTGAGCTGCGTAACCCCGCTGCAGTCTGTAATGGACTGGCCTGAGGTCTAGCTACAAACAAGCGGCTGCTGGAAGAGAGTAGGTAAGCTGTGTTTAGTCTCTTTGCTAAAGAAATTAGGCAAAGTTAAAAAGATGTTTGGTGGCTAGTGCTATGGCTGGGACCCTATATGTACTGTTGATGAAGTTATTTGCTGTTCTGAGCATTATTGGTGGCTATAGAGTGGTGTTTTGGTTGAGGTTTGTTTATGGCTCCACAGACCGCTGTGTATCGCCATCCTGCGGTCTTTTCTTGAAATCTCCAAAATCCGGCAGCTGGACTGTGTAGTTTATCAAAAGTCACAGTGCAAAATATTGTGCTACTTTGTCAAATCCATTCATTTTCTGCTGCTTATTCCCGTTCCCAGGGTTGTGGGGGGGTTGGAGTCTATCCCAGCATCTTCAGGCGAAGGCAGGGGACACCATGGACAAGTTGCCAGTTCATCGCAGTGGGATGTGGGAAGAAACCGGAGGACCCTGAGTAAACCCACACAGACACAGGGAGAACATGCAAATTCCACACAGAAATGCCCTGACCCGTTTCTGTTCTGACTCAGGACCTTCTTGTTGTGAGGCGACAGTGCTAACCACTACATCACTGTACCCCCAAATTTGCCAAATCTTATGAGCATTATTTTCAGCTGAATTTTTGACTTGGAGGTTATAATTGAAGGCAGTTCTCTTCAAAATGTGTCCATGTGGTGCCAAGGCGTTTCTCCCTAAGGTGGGTAGCAAAGCACAGTCCAGTTGCCGAATTTTGGAGATTTCAAGAAAAACCATGACCTGGATGAATGAGAATCTACATGGACCTATCCTGTAGTCGTACCTAAAGTTGGTATAACTAGAGAAGCAAGCGGTCGGCAACATTCATCTCTTGAGGGGGTGTCTAACTCGGTGTTACAGTGTGTTTGACCTTAAATTAATTTTACACCGGCATATCCCTTCAAAGTCTAGGTGTTTACCATCAGGAGCAGAGGGAAATTTGTTGAGATAAAACTGCAGGTTGTTCATTTTATCTTCTGAGCACTCGTCGTCTGTGAGATTCTGCAAGAAGAAAACGCACAATTTGATCTCTCATTTCTCAGGGAGAGGACATTTCAATAGGATTATTTGTCTCTGACTTACTGGATAGCCTCTTCTGTAGTTCTGCATGTCCTTGGCTGCTCTCATGTTTCTTGGCGTGTGATGCCACTGTGGATGAAAGTGAAAGTAAAATTCACCCGCTTCAAATGCTTCTATTTTTAGCAGGGTGCAGTATTCCAGTTGACTTTAAAAGGATATTGACAGGTTGAGTTTGAGTTATCAGTGATGCCATGACCTCAAAAGACTATAGCAAGCTGGCATAACGTTGAACAAGTTTACATAATGATGGCCAAGCTAATCCACGTCCAACTCCCAAAACAAGCCTTTACACTTGATTTAGATGTTTCATTTTAAGATTTGATAGATATGTCGTGCATGAAAAACACTGACAGCTGCCTTAAATTTGTTCTAAACCCCTAAATTAGCGACTCAGTCACTCAAAAGGGAGCCAACATAAGCGGCTAGCTATGCTAGTTAGCATCAGCAGCAGCAGAGGATAAAGCTATCATTAGCTTTCCAGTCATGACAATGTTAGCAAACGCCTAGCCGGGTGTAAAAGCAACAAGGTACCAGTCACTGTTTTCAACAACACAATGACATTAAGCAAAACTGTGGTCTGGCTGAGTATGAATAGAAACACGTACTACTAAAGTCCAAGGAGTCTTGTTTTTGTCTTGACACGACCGACGGGTTTGGCTCTCTCCGGCCGGGTCGTCTCCATCACTCTCTGTGTCCCAGGTCGAGTCGTACTCACAAACACAATCGTCCTCCATCATTAAAACGCTATATTACTAACTAAAGCTAGGTAAATGTGTAACCTGATCTAGCAGTGTAAACTGGCAGGAATCATGTTACACTTGCATGTTCAGGTTATGCGGGGACGGCCCTGACCATCCGTCTTTCCAGTCTACCATCGTCAGACAGCGGCACCGTTGGCGGTTGCAGTGCTGGTGCTGCCTTCAGGCGCTTCCTTCACGTTACAGTTTTTCTAAACACATACAGCTACAGAACAATTTCTCATACATAGACATGTAGCTTTTAAGACACAAGGTTGAAGACGCAAAATATGTTGGGGCGATTTGGCCGTCTTGCTTAAACACCCTCCTCTGACAGCCTTTATTACAAAAATTAAAATGTCACAGTACAGTGGTGTTATTCTGTAGTTTCTGCGGACGGCTGAGGAGCTTTCTAAGAAATATTTCATTTTTTCGAGTGTACCTGAAGGCAGCACACTTGCTGTGTTGGTTGAAGGTGATAAAACTGCAAACCAGCTGATATGAGTCAGGAAGCTTATCTTAGGTAGCCTACATGATAACTGTCTCACTTTGCTCTTATATAATAAAAAAAAACTACAGCAGTGGTATAGATTTTTAAAACTTCTGTTATCTTACAAAATAACAGACGTATTACAAAAACACTGCAAGTCGTTACACAATAAATATAGCCAGAAGAAAAATAATTACATCTAATAATTGTATGATTTCAAGAGAGAAATCCACCTTCACTATATGTCATCAGAGCTCATGACATGCAACTCACATATTTTAACAAGAAAAATATGTAAAAGAGATCCAGAAAAATATTAAACATAGGCCTATAAATAAATCTCAATATTCTGGAGTAAAATCTAGACATGAACTGGGCAACTTTCAGGGCTTCTTTCCTTAAGATAGAATGGGACAGATGTACAGGGACACGTCCAGAGGGATGGTCAGGGGCAGCAATGGGCCCCTTTGAAATGTAACTGGCCACCCCGTCCATCCTACAATCCTACACAATGTTTGGCTTTTTATTTTATTATCAGCTATTGGGGGTGCATTAACCTTTTTGCAGAATTGGTGACAAAAACGTCCACTAAGGATCACTTTTTCATCTTAATTTGACCATAACTTTCACTGTATTGCAGCAAATGGCATGATTTAACAAACTGACAAACTTTATTTTTTCATATAATTTGAAAATATGTTTTCAAAAGGTTAATAGTACACTGCTGGTAAATTTACTACCCTTTAGTGGTATTAGTGGCTGTTTTCAGCCACAAACTTTGACTGCTGTAAAAATATATCAGATAAATATTTTTTTTTCATTATTTTTTAAATAAATCTTTTAATAAACCTCAGTCTTGATCGAAACTACTAAATATTTTTAAAAAATTTCAAAATTTTAACCCTTTGAATGCCTATTTAAAAAAGAAAGTCACTGATATGGGAAAAAATACCAATTATGTTACTAATCTTTGACATATCCAAGACTGTGATAGCAGGTTAAAAAAAAAATCCTGTCTTTTTTTTATTTATATATATTTAGTAGTTTTGATCAGGAAACAGTCCTTGCACCAAATAAAATCAGGGTAACTCTAAAACTGGTTGCAAAAAAATAAACTTTTTAGATAAATACTCTTGTGTGATGCATCTGATTTGGATGAATTGATTGTGCTCTAAATGAAGGGTATATGTCTAACTCCTTGAATAATTGGCCCGAGCAGGAAACCCCGCATATTTTTAACGTTTTTAGCTCGGCCCACTTTCTTACTGACCGAAAAGGTCTCCCCTCTCTCAGCTCTCTGCCTCCCCCCTTCCTCCTCACCCCTCTCGGCCCTGTGTACAGAGCTCCACATTGAGTTCAGCCCCTTCAGTTCAGCTGGAGGCTCGGGTTTATCTGGGACCGAAAGGAAGCCATTCAGGGGCTGCGCGCCGTCAGGTGAAGGACGGCTCCGTTGCGGACGCTGGGGGAGAGTTAGAGAGGACCGGGATCTAGGGACTTGACCTTTCCGTGTAATCTTGGGTTTGTGAGGGCGACAAGGAGCAATGGCGGTGTTCTCTGCTCTTTGGGTGCTCTTACTGTGCCAGCTTTTGTCATCATCTTCAGCCCAGGTAAGAGTCACTGAGTGCTGCATCCATCCCGAAATTCAGCGTCAGGTCTCGCGGTGGTTTTAGCGGGTTGCATTACCCCACAATAAAAGTTAACGTGTCTTATAGATAGGTAAAGCCTATGTAATGTATATTGTTTAGAATTGGCCTGCAGGCCCTCTATATTAAAACCTGATTCATCATATATTTTCCAGTGCATGTTATTCTTCCCCTGTAACCATCATAGTCTGACTGTAGATGTTAATCTGTCACTCCTCAGGCCTCTCAATTCTGCCTGATTGTGTGCAGGTGTCTGTGCTTTTTGCACTCTTTGGTGAAGTTGGGGTTATGTTTTCTCTGAACCTGAGGAATGCACAGATTGGAGATCAGTGCCCCAGCACACAATGCCACCTCTGTTCATTCAGACTCTCAGACTGAGCTGAAACTCAGGGGGTTATTGAAAAAATGTTCACTAAAATAACTTTATTGTGAATAGATGAACTGTAAACTCATTTATTTTTGTTTTTATTTAAAATATGTAGCCTTCTCTTTGGGTTCTTTGCATTTACCGTGGATGTGGTTGTGTCAAGTCTTACGTAGGTTAAGTTCTGTCCTACAAATGAAGCAAAATGATTTCTTGTTTATAGTTAAAATTAAACATTTCAAGACCAAAATGTAGGCTACTAAATTTGCCTTCTTCTGTTTCATTCATGCCATATTACAATTTTTTTAATACATTGAGTTTCTGTGGCAATGCCAGGAAAATTGCATGTGTAACAGGACTGAAAAGTAAGTCTTCTCTTTGATGACTTTCTGTTGCAGAGGCCGGGCCCCAGAGGAGCCCCAGGGCCCCAAGGACCTCCAGGGCCACCAGGGAAGGATGGCACTGATGTGAGTTGATCTGAGCTCAGCATTACTCCCTCTCTAATTTGTTGTCTAATTTTTGCCCAGTTTAAATATAACCAACTCATGTGTGAAACAAATATGTAAAGTGTTTATTAATTATCCATGATGATTATCCCTTATGTTGTCTCATCTTTTTCACCAAATAAACTAAAATTAGAATAATATCATATAATAAGCTCAGTGTCTTCATGTCCCTCTGAATTCCCTCTCTGTCTCCTTTGGTCTTTTTGTGTAAATATGACTGAAATTTCTCAAGATGTTAGTTTTTATCATAATAACTCCTCCCAAAGCTCCTCCTACAACATACTTCTGTATGTCAGGTAGAAAGAGTTTATACATGTGTCGACTAAATGGAGCTCTGTGCCAGAAAAACAGCCAGGTTGATTATCATGTCCCCATGTTCCATATCCACATAATATTTTATTATGTTATCAAAAAAGGCTTTTATATTCTCTTTATTTCTTACACTCTGTATAATAACAGCCTGTGACTGGGTGTGATGTGGCTTTGTTTGCTCTGGAGAAAATTGGATTATGGGTAAGCCAAGTTAAAAGAAAAACATTGGATACCGGATACAAGATAACTCTTAATCTCTTTACACGTTTAATCCCCGTGCATTGAAGCGTTTGGTTTTTGTCAAACTTTTCTCCTCAACTAAAAAGAAGTGACTATTCAGGAAATCTGAAATCTCAGAGTTTCTTTTTTTTTTGAAGTTGTGATTATTTTTGGGACTCTGGTGAAGTTTAGGCACACAGAGGGTCCATTCATACATTCCCCAACCCTGTGAGACCATCTAGAGTTTCTCCTCACACCTCCTTCCCTGCAGCTCCAGCCCCCCTCCTCAAAACCAAACTGAAGCTGTGATCATGTGACCAGGTAGCATCGGGTGGTTTTAGTGGTGTTTGCTCTTCCCCCAGCCACTGCGGGGGGATAAACATCAAATCCTTTAGTCTTCTTCCTCCATAATCGAACCATTTAAGCATAGAGACTAGTTCAGTCTGTGCTGCAAATGTGTGGCTGCAATACTTATATTCTTTATTTCTCATTGGCAGGGCAAACCTGGGCCTCCTGGACTATCAGGGAAAGCTGTGAGTATTCCAACAAGTCTGATTTGTTTAACTTCTAGACTGTCAGAAAAGTATGGTGATTGTGGTCAAACATGTCCCAAGTTTCTTTCCTTTAATAGAGATATTCAGAGCATAATTAAATATTAGTTTAACCCTTTTTGCCCCTATCAAAAACTCCCCCAAGATTATTCAACCAGAGGAACAAAAGAAGAGGATTCAGATTGTCCGTTGGCAAAGACAATGACTTTACAAATGTGTCTTTTTAGGGTCCCAAAGGAAAAGCAGGAATACCGGGGGTAGCAGGGAAACCAGGTCTACCAGGACTCCCAGGGGTGGATGTAAGTGTCCAATTAACACTCACACACAGAAAACTCTCATGCTAACATCAACACAGCCTGTTTGTCTTTGCAAATAAATGTGCTTAAACAGTATTGTAGTAGATCACGGAGTCTGACTGATGTTCTTTTATTACAGGGTTTGACTGGTCCTGATGGTCCTGCTGGAAAAGATGGACCCCCAGGGGAAGCAGTAAGTGTGTGTCAGTCTTAGATCTTTCTCGGATGCTGAGGATACTCCTAAAAGTGCACTCAGCTGGGTTTTATGACCTCTTCTACTCCAGACTGTCCTCCATTAATCAACCGGTTAAAGAGACGAGTAGAGCTTACAGACGCGTATCTATGCTAAACCCGTCATGTTGGTCGGCTGCTGTTGTATGAAGATCTATCAGAGGGTGTATCGGGGACAAGACCAGTGTTTCCTCTGTCGGCCTGGATTTGTCAAGGCGGCTCAGCCTCATGGGGGGAAATATTTTTAATGAGGGATCAGAATCGGATTTATTTCTGCTGCTTCCCTAATCCGGCCCGGAATGCACACTGTTTCCCACCAATCTGTTAGACTGTAGGTGGATGATGATCTGTTACCCCCAATGAGATGGAAACAGGTATTACCCTTAGAGAGATACAAAAGACAAAGCATGGGACTACATGAGCACTGCTACATCTAATGTGGATAAACAGGAAGGCTGTTATTTTCCACATTAGATGTAAGATATGAAAGAATACAGATTAAGGGGCCTTCACTGTTAGGCTGCAAATTCACTGTCAAGACAGATAAACCCCCCTCCTGGCAATTCAACTAATTAGCCAATCTAATGAGGAAGCCTGCATCAACCAGCATCCCTAATTACACAGATACTCCACTGTCATGGCTGCTTGATGGTGCTGATGAGTCAGAATCAAACTAGTGATGTCTAAGAGCGTAAGCTAACTGTGCTAGCTCATTAAAATAAAGCTGCAATAATGATAATAGAAATTTAAGGGAATGTCTTCTTTTGTACTCAATTAGTTTTGCTGCATCACATCTGGTTTTGATTTTTCCGCCAGTGCTGTCTCGTTTGCAGGAATGTGGAATAGAGGTAACATGTTTCTGTTAGGCCTGTTTATTTTGAGTCTGAGACAACACAAATACAGCTGTGACGGGGGAAACAAACAGGGGAGAACAGTGGCGCCGCAAGAAACCACAAATGTATCAGTGGAAGTGTTTTGTAGGAGTTTTAGATATAATGGGGAAAAAGTGATGAAACAAAAGACATCCATGCAACAGGTATCGTACAGAAAAGTGAATGCTAGTGAAAAAAGTGAACACAAGAATGAACAGATTTCTCACTACACTTGCTGTCAAAGCCACTTATTTCAATCAAAACCTCTATTCTGAATTGTAGTATCATCTTAAAGATCAGCAACTTTGAGTTTGTGTCGATTGTAGCGCCAACTGTGGACAGAGCAGGCTTTTCTTATCTTGTCCTAAGTCATGTTTTTTTTTTCTTTTTTAGACATTTCATTCTGCTAACTTCTGACAGCCAAATGTACCATCAATTATTAGAGAAATTTTGCACATGCTATAATTTATCCCTATAGTCCTACACTTTTTCTGTGTCCATTCACTCTTTATTGTTGGTAGAGTTTTAGATGAAACACAGACATAGGCTTTGAAATCCAGATTAAGAGTGTAGATAATGATTTTTAAAAGACACTCCTTGTGCTTACTTTTTATTAGCTGGAGTGTTACAATTGTCTGAAACATACAGGAAGTCTTATAGTTAAAATCACAGACACTATAAGCCAGCAAAAACAAAGCAGATTCAGATAACACAGTATGAATCATACACATGAAACACTGGCAGCAACTCAATGTGGCAAATACATGTATTTTATTAATAAAGAGGCCCAAATACAAAATTACATGAACTTGTTTTGTGTCCACATATGGCTGAACAATCCAATTTGCTCTGTCTGATAATGTCACAGAGATTGATTTTGTCTTCTTTTACACAGGGTGACGCTGGACCTCCTGGGCCCGCTGGACCTCCTGTAAGTACCTTCATAATCTGCGTGACACAAAAACAACCACAAACCAGCGCACAGCAATCATTCCTTTAGTCTTTTGATGTGTATCTGAGTGTTATTACAGCGACGACATTACCTAAGATCTCCGTTTATGTCCCCACCAATCACCACACCTAAAGCAGTTTCTCTTTTTCAGTCTGCATCTGATAATTCTTTGTTCACAAAATCAAGCGCTTTGTGTTTCTTGTGCAGAGTCAAGGCTATAACTCAGCTCTAATAAGACTTTGATGCCCCTAGGTGAAAAAAAAAAGATAATGAGGACCCCTTAAAGCCGCAGTGTCGCTTATTGTTGGAAGAAGAAGAGATAATCAGATTATAGCTTTCTGTGATCCGACTGGGCTGCAGAGGAACATATCCAGCTTACAGCGACAACCTGAGACAAACTTTCAAAGTGAATTTAATGCAGTAATACATCACAGGCTGGATATTGATGCTGGGAGTAAATCTAATCACCCTCTCTGTGTTTGTGACTTAATTTGTCTTCCTGTGTCTTCCGTAGGGCAGAGGGAGACCAGGAGCCGCAGTGAGTACACAGCTCTGCTTTTTTAAGACCATGCTAATGTGCAAAAAGACGAAGAGAGAGTGATGTTTTTGGATACGTCGTTTTAAATTAACGTAGCATGTTCTTTTGTTTCTAGGGACTTCCCGGAACCAATGGGTTGCCAGGCGGAGTCGGACCTCAGGGTGCAGCGGTGAGTATCTCTCCGGTTGTCCAAAAAACACATCCTGTTGTCCTCCACAAGTGGTTACATCCTTTAATTGTCAGTGTCTATTTTATCACTGAATGCTCCATTTAATCCCCAATTGGCTGTAAAAAGCAGCTTCCATAAGTTATCATTCAGTTAGTGTAATGCAGGCATAACTCCTACAGGAGCTCCTGCAGCAGAAAAGCTTGCACTGATTGAAATCGGGCAGTGCTTTACTGTTAGCCGTGAGTACAACCTTTCCCTAAAACCTTATATAATGTAGCTGAAACAGGAGGATAAGAATAACCACCTGAAAGGGAGGACACTTCAGTATGTGGACTGGACCAGTGTTCCCACATGGTCACACTTTATATGGATTATCCAACAATGATACTCAGAGTCTGGGTTCCTAAAACTTGCCTTTCATTTCCAGAACATTTTTGTTTTATTCCTATTACTTGTGTTTTTGTTATTTTTACAAGATTAGGATAACAAAAGAGATCAAGTCAGTTTAGATGCTGTGAGTCTTATCAGATGATTATTGTATTTGACTGTGATAAAACAATAGGTCAAATGACTATTACTGAATTTTGCATCACCTTTGGTAGATTCTAACAGTAAAAAAAAATTCACACATGTAAAAATGTTCAGTTTGAAATAACAATTTGTTGCCTGATATGTTTATTTCATGGGAAAAGTTCAGTTACCTTGTTACAAATTCAAAGAAGCACGTCTAGAGAGATATCCAAGATCCATAAAACATGCACATAAATTGTGAGTGGATGGCTCAAACTTGTTTCCTCAGTGTTTGTCCGCTGGGGGATTCAGATTTTTAAGTAGCATTTTGGACCAGGATTAGCTTCAAAACAAGATTCAAGGGCACTAGATCCTGCTCCTACATCCCCGAAGTGAACTTAGACTGAACTTAGCAGTCTCCTAGATTTAACTAAAGGTATCAAACTCTGCGACAGTATGAGGTGAGGCCCAGTTTGAGTGTGTTAACTTCCCTTCGTGCTGTTTCAGATTTTCTCTGATTGCTGAAGAAGCTACTAAGCTTTGTGATTTTTATTATCAGGGTGCTGAGGGTCTCCCGGGACTTCCTGGACCTCCTGGTGCTGATGGACCACCAGTAAGTAACTTTTGTAACATGGAAGCTACATGGGTTTTGAATGTGAATGGGTTAGTACAGTAACAGATTTGTTTGGGGAGAGGGTCATAGAGGAAGAAGGCTCTTCTGTCACTGAATCGCTGACTCTCATTTTGTCTTCGTCAGGGTCTTCCTGGTACTCTTCAAGACCTTAGTGGTGACCTATTGGTAAGTTGTTCACTGTAGGAGCAGCAGTAATTTGCAGATACATCCTCTATGATAAGTATGAGTGGTGTGGAGTCCTCAATGTTTGTGTCCTCTGTAGTGTCCTGCGATCTGCCCACCTGGTCCCTCTGGTCCTCCTGGGATGCCAGGATTCAAGGTAAACAGAGTTTTCATCACAGCTTGTTTGTTATGCATTAAATGCAGCCTGATATATCTTTGGGAAATTTCTGAACTCATGTCACCTTTAAGAGCACTGTTAGTGTGTAAGTGTGTGTACTTTTTGTTTATGTAGGGTCACACGGGGCATAAAGGAGACAAAGGAGAGCTTGGAAAAGATGGAGAGAAGGTGAGTTTGTAGGTTGTGGATATCCAAGTCTTCATTGAAACATTGCTGTGGACTTTCCTCGTGAAAGAAGAAACATCTATGTTCAAGAAATTGCGTCTACTGAGTACAGTCTGCTTGTGATTTGGTGTCCTTTAGTAAGTGTCCTTTTCTGTCTTTAGGGTGATGCTGGTCCACCTGGCCCACCAGGTATTCCTGGGACAGTGGGTCTGCAGGTGAGTTTTACTCTCTCCTCAGAGATTTCTTGAGCATCCTGCGTGTGTCGATGTTTTTATGAAGCGTCATGGTGCTCAAATCCTGTGTTTCAGGGCCCACGTGGTCTCAGAGGTTTACAAGGCCCTATGGGAGCTGTAGGAGACAGAGTAAGCATCTTTAAGGACGGATTCATTCATTCATTTTACTAATCATGCAAAAACAAGTCACTGGTCAGGTGTTTACACACTGTGTTTCTGTCTCTAGGGTCTTCCTGGTTTCAGAGGCAAACCTGGCATTGCTGGCATAATCGGGAAGACAGTGAGTCTCTCTTAGTTCGCATCATAGTTAAACCTAAAAAAAAAACGTATTTGGTAGCATATCACAACTCGGATAGACGGCTGGTCCCATCAATGAATAGCTGTGTGTGTTTCATCTGATGTCTCCAGGGTGACGCTGGAGAAAAAGGACCACAGGGATTCAGAGGACCCAAAGGAGAAATCGTAAGGAGACTTTGATTTGTGACTTTGAGCTTTGCAAGTACAAATGAGACATGAAAATAAAACTGTAATGTGTCTTTAAACAGGGTAAAATCGGTCCCAAGGGAGGTCCTGGAGGAGCAGGACCCAAAGGAGAGCCTGTAAGTGTATCCCAGAAAATGATAATGATAATAATAATAATAAGCACAATGTGTATTAAATCACATACGCTCTACTTCATGTCTCCTTCAGGGTATTCCTGGCAGAGATGGCAAAGACGGAACTCCAGGATTAGACGGCGAGAAGGTAAATTTTGCATGTTTTCAGCTTTTATTGGTCACATTATCACTGTGTGAACATGGCTGATGTCGTGGTGTTTGTCTGTGTCCTCAGGGTGACCCTGGACGCCATGGGGTTGTAGGGGAGAAAGGACCAAATGGCCTACCTGTAAGTATTTGTTCTAGGCTCTGTTTTTATCCCAGTACCTACCCCCAGCACTCTTTTGATGTGTTAAACTCATGGGAAAGGAATACTGGGGAAAGTTTGCAAGTATCACACACCTAAACCTGCTCTGATCACATTTTTATTTTCGTATCGCTCAGAGAAATCTTTGTTTTGTATTTTCTCTCCTAGGGTCTCCAAGGAAAGGCTGGTACAAAAGGCTCCAAAGGAGGAGTTGTGAGTATTACACCAGAAAGATTTGAACCTAGAGGCTGAGATTAAAACTCTTGAAGTTAACTTAAATCTTTTTTTTTTCACACCAGGGGGATCCAGGGAAGCCTGGGGAGACAGGACCCTCTGGAGAGCCAGGTATTCCTGTATGTATCTGCTGGGCTCTTTAACAGGGGGGATTACTGGGTCATAGCCTCTCTGACATGTCACTTAACCCTGCAACTTTTGACACTCTAGCACCTCGGCTCTAAACTTTACTGACTTGTTCTTATGTCTTTCCCCGCAGGGTGAGATTGGCATCCCAGGAGAGAGGGGAATAGCAGGACCCAGAGGAGTGGCTGTGAGTTAATAGTTATACTCCAAACCAAGGCAAAGCATACATACTCTATCCAGAACCCAGTTTTTAACAATGAGGTTAAGACCAAAGTGTACATATGAGCCCATGGCAGAAAAGAAAACTAAATGAATGTAAATGTCGTCTCAGGAGACCATGATGCATCGCAGCAAACACTCTGAGAGAAATAGATTGAGCTCCTGGCCTGTGAGGTTAATGGTACTCTGCTCTCCTTTGAGACTGAGTATTGTGGTTATACAGTAGCTTGTCAACATGGAATTTGTTAGTAAAAGAGGGCCCATAATAAGAGTGGGTATTCATCAAGCGGGACTTCATAAACAAAAGGGACGTTGTTTTTTTTACATCAGCCCCTGTGGCAAGAAAAAAATAAATCAAACAGCAAAGACATTGATCTACTTCTCTCGTACGCTGCGCTGCATAATGAATCATGTCTCAACCAAGCTCATACCTTCTGTTTTGGTTCTTTGAGAAGTTAACAAGAAAAACATCAAGTGGGAAACATTACGAATGCTCAGTTTGTTTCACCACCGAGTGATCCTCACTTTGAAATCACCTGACTGTATCTAACAGGGGGGAATTGGACCAGTGGGCAACCCCGGACCTGCGGGAGTGAAGGGCTTCCAGGTCAGTCGCATGACATTAACAATTATTATCATGTTTTATCCTTTTTTTTTTTTCATTTTTATCATGATTTTTCTCACAAACTGTGTGCGCTGTACTCTATAGGGAGTAAAAGGAGCCTTAGGAGATCCAGGTCTTCCAGGTCCAACAGGAATCCGTGGAGACTTTGGTGAAAGGGTGAGTTTGACGTGCGAGACAATATTAAATGTGTCCTCAGGATGAATGACATCACGCGGTGTTATCTCTGTGCAGAGCTGCAGTTTTCACAACATTGTTAAATCAGATCTGCTCGATTATTATCAAATAATCACCTCATTATTTTCCCTATTATTCACATATCTATCAAAGCCGTTTGTAAGATATCTAAATGTCGTGAATAAAAATAAAGATTTTAAGTTTTCCTGAAACTTAATTTTTCTTTACTTTTTAAAATTCTTTTTAGCATCCATCGTTCAAAACTGAAGGGAAAAAAAAGAAATAAAGTCAACTCTCTTTTAAATCAAGATAAAAAAGTCCATATTTTGGCACAGTTGCCCAATCTTTTGGTGCAATAACTGTTAGAAAATCCCAGTGTTAGCATATTGTTTAATTCACCTGTAAATTAAGACAAAAGACATATTAAATTGAGGAATATTATTATGTTGATTTAAAATTGTGTGATTATAAAGAAGTTTATGATCCAAAACCTCCACTCACTGCAATCACACCACTTGTAAGAAACAAATGAAACAGATTCAAACTTCAAAAGCAGAGACTAATTTTCATAAAGGACCTCCTCAAAGTTACTGTACCCTGCATGCAGACACAGTCGGTGCAGAGATATAAGGGCACCCAGCTGATACCATCCCGTCCCTCGTCAGTGTTTGGAGTTCAAAACTCAAACCTGAAGGCAGGGAGAGATCTCAGACACAGAGAGGCCTCCTGTTCAGAATCCCAGGACAGAACAAAGCGGCTCTTTATGCAGCTCCAGGTTCCCCTCAGCAAGCCCACCTCACTTCCCTTCATCCCCCCGTCCGTCTGCCACAGCCGGCCCTCCACTAAATGCCTCTTCACTTATTCTCCGTCTTCTTTTTTTTTTTACCATGTAGGGTCCAGTTGGAGCTTCTGGAGCCAAAGGAGACATGGTAAATATGACCTCCAAGCTTTGATTTTTCTTCATGAGGCATCGCTGTACAATTTAAGAGACATAAAGATAAAATAAATTCATCAGGCGACTGAATCAGTTAATCCAGATCTTGTGTGTCTCTTTAGGGTGTGGCAGGAAGTGACGGTTTACCAGGAGAAAATGGCGAACCTGTAAGCATGCCTCTGAATTTCATGACTGCCAGCTTAAAATGGTAAAACATTTCACTACATCTCATCTTTTATCTGTTGAGTAAAAACCGCCCTTGTTTGCAGGGTCCCTTTGGCCCAGTTGGACAAAAAGGAGAGGTAAGCTCTATCAGTGTTATTGTTTATATTAATGAGTCTTCTGTCAGTGTTTAACTCTTTGCAGAGTCAATAAACTGTTTTTTACACATAGTACCGATTTGCCAGTTAGCTCTGGATAGTGTTGGATCAGATGTTGGGAGTGGGCGTAATTCACAACACAAGTTTGTTCCAAACTCCCTCCACGCTAAACAATGAAACCTGGTGCGTAGCTTTGAGCTGTCGCCCACTTGTCAGACTCTTTGCACATGATTCCGCTTCACATTCCAGGTTTAATAGGATTAATTAGAGATTGGTACTGCTGCTGGAGCTTTATTGGCCTGTTCGCCGCTATCGCCACAAGGGAGAGAGACGAGTCGCATTAAACTGCCGCGCAGTTTGTGCTATGAGAGACACAGCAGTGATGAGCCTCACTCTCGTGATCTCATTTACTGTTTGCTGTACGCATTCAAGTAATTATCGAGCAACAAGACGCCATATGAATCCGCCCCCACATCGTCTCATCAGACCCAGTTTGATCTTCGGATGGTGCTTAGTCAACATTCAGCTCAAGCTTACTTGACTCATGTTTTAAAAGAAATCGTTGTGTTTTTTTTAAATCATGAAAAGTCATCCAAGAGTATGTGTTGATTTTAGTCTGGGAAGCGAGGTGAGCTGGGACCAAAGGGCGTATCAGGCCCACAAGGAGAGCTCGGGGCAAGAGGGCCCCCAGGAAAACAAGGACCCATGGGCTTCCAGGGGGAGCAGGGTCAGCCTGGAATCGCGGGAAAGACAGGTGTACCTGTGAGTGATTTTAAATCCTCCTAACTTGGGGTAGAGTTAAGCAAACTAAATATTGAAGTAATACAATTCTGATTAAACTGTTTTTTGTTTTTTCAGGGTAAACTAGCAAGTGAGCAGCACATCAGAGAGCTGTGTGGCTCTATGATCGATGGTGAGAGATCTTTTTGTTTTAATCCACTTTAGCTTTGCCTGATGGTAAAATGGAAAATAACCCTCCGGTGTTTTTGTTTTCTGTTGTCTTTTATCTCGCAGATCAGATTGCACAGCTGGCTGCTAACCTCCGAAGACCCCTGGCACCAGGCATGGTGGGTCGTCCTGGCCCTGCTGGGTCTGCAGGAAGCCCTGGTGTTGCAGGCTCTATTGGGCATCCAGGTGCCCGTGGACCTCCAGGTTACAGAGGTCTTCCAGGAGAACTCGGAGACCCTGGTCCAAGAGGTAGAATATAAAATAAGATTTTCAACCCTCTTTGAAATTACTGACTTGTTTTGGACTCAAGCAAAGTTGCAACCAACTCCAAAACTTGTCAAATACAGAAAGGATTCCCAAATAATCACAAATCTTGTTCCAATACTCATATTTTCATACTGTCTAATAAATAAAATGGTCTTTGTGTCTTCACTACTCCAATAATATTCAAATCGAAGGTTTTTGCATACTAAAAAGGGGAGTTGGAGCTTGTAAAGAGATGTAACCTTCCTTCAAAGTCGAGTTATCTTTAAGTAATATTGTGTCAAATAAAAGTGGCAAAGAAAAAGTAAAAGTATAGACAAAATGGATGTACTCTGGTAAATTCATTAATTTCCCTCCAACATTGATTAAACTCGTCTATTTTTTCCTTCAGGTGATGTTGGAGAGGCGGGTGATAAGGGATCTGTTGGCAAAGCCATTGATGGCCCATCTGGAGATCAGGGATACCAGGGTATGTACACCGAGACCACAGCTTGAGCTGATGGGATCCAATTTTTTTTATGACCAGTTTAGAAGTTGTGAAATTTTGCTGTGTGAGTAAAGTCTACTGTGGGTTAGTTTCTTTAATTGGCATCAACTACACTAACAGATGTCCAGTTTGTCACCCCACCAGAAAACTCTGATACTGCTGAGTTCATTAAGCAACTTTATGTTGGAAAATATCCTCCAATCTAAAAAACAAGTCTGTTTGTCGTGAAACGAGGCGCAGAAAGGAGGACACAATGGCGAGACAACGAATCAGTTTGGCAAGGTTCAATAAGGCAGGCAAAGGTAAACAACGGCTAGACTATGACTGAAAAAATACTGGAAGGAGACACGAGGTACAGCGAACTAGCGAGGAGACACACAAGGTTAAATACAAGAGGTAATGAGGGTGATGGGAAACAATGGGGAGACAACATCAGGTAGCAGGTGTGACAAGACGGGGGCAGGGCAGACCAGACAGGAACAAATCTAGACGACAGAGACAAGGGTTAGTCAACTACAAAATAAAGCTGGAAATGTGCAAAACATAAGTGTGCAAAAATAATGGGAAGTAAAAGGAAACTTAACAGACATGACACTGTTTCAAAACAGAGCCAACAGCCAAACTTTGCCTTTGCTTTTTTCCCTTTAGGTCTCCCAGGTGTACCTGGAATTGTCAAGGATGGGCGTGATGGATCTCCAGGAGATCCAGGTGAGCCTGGAGAACCGGGCAGGGTAGGCAGGACTGGACACCAGGGACCTCCTGGAATCTGTGACACAACAGCCTGCCAGGGAGCAGCAGCCGCTGGAAAATCCTCCAACCCCAAAAACCATTAAACCTGACTTCCTGCCACCTGTTGCCCTCCACCCAAGAGAGCAAGGCTGACACATAAAGGAATAAAGGAGTGGAGGAAGCAAGTGATCAGAAAAATGTCCTCTTTTATTAAAAACCAGTATCACAGGATGGGAGGAGTAACATCAGCAGGTGTGATACACTGAGAGGAACAGAGGAACATCTGAGGATTGACACAAAAACATGGCAACTGAGAGATAAAAACATCAAGATGACATCCAGAAAAAAGTGGATAGAGGTAAAGAAGAGTTCAAGAGAAAACTGCATCACTCCAGATTCTACAATATCAAAAAACAAGACTTGACTTATAAACAGCTGAAGATGAATGATGAGTCCTTTTTGTATAAAAACTGTACATGTTGTTTCCATGCCCCCTTTTCACCTTTGCCCGCAGCGTTCTGACAGATGACACTTAAAAACAACAGTGACTGTCTCTAAAGTGAATGTGCATGTCATCGCAAGTGTTACCTCAACATGCAAGCTTACGGTGTGAAATATGGAATTACAGAGGTGAAAGTAATCTGTCAGAGAGCTGTGTGTGTGTACTGTCAAATAAATAAAAAGCACTAATACACAGGTGCTAACAAATTCTGTAGATTGATGGAAAAACCTTTTTGATAGTCTTTTTTTACAGCTTTTTTTATTACATGTGAATTTGGTTCTCTAGAGTTGAGAATCAGAAACAAAATAAAACGTGTGGATGCATACATCAGTCATTGTAAAATCAATTGAAGGAGCAAAGTAATTATTTCAGCATTTTTTTTTTCCTGCAATGACCACATCCACTATGTACTACCGGTGCTGTAACTATTAAATATACATGACCTTAAATACTATTTATTATTTGTGGGTGACTGTTGTATGTACAGTAAGATGCTACAGCGACATGTTGTAAGAAAGAACAAATAAAGCCACTTTTCAGTAAAACATCACTCTTCTCTACAAATCAAATGAACAGTCTGTACTTCACAGTTTAACACCATAACAGACAAGTAACAGGGTGTAGCAATACATCTGTCTTTTTAAAACACTAAAATATGCAACACAGTGTAACAAAAGAAATATATTCTAAAATGAAATTGAATCAAACATGAAGAACATGGAAAAATGTTAAAACTAGCTGTTTCATTCACTATATTTAGAGCCTGAAATCTTATGCCTTTCAAAGAGAAACAGTGCCACCTATGTATGACTTTTGGAAATGCCCCCTTTACAAAAGTCAACTGGACTAGGAAATCTGAGGGCATCAGTGGCAGTAGAGATGGCTTCTTAGATTAGATAAAATCTCAACTGTGTAATGTTGAGATGCAGAAAATAACCAAGTATGTCTGAGTCTTAATATTTATAATGTGGCAGAGTGGAACTCTTTCGTCATTTTAAATATCCAGACCTCAGAGGACATCTCAAAATGACATTAAATCTCGTACAAGCATGGTACTGATTCACTAAACAGTAAAGGGGTTACTGCTCGACTGCAAGGGGAATGGTGAGAGTCTCGTCAGTCTCCCTACCAATCTGGTCATGGGCTGAAGAAGGGCTGGATTTCAGAAAAAGTCCTCTCTCATTGTGGAACATCCTTTTAAACTCCTGTGAAGAAAATAAAGAACATAACACGAAAAAAAGGGACAGAAACATGATCTGATTCAGCAGCAGAACTTACAACCATGGCAGCAAAAGGAACTGTAAATCATCTCTTAATATTCAGCCCTAGTTTTGGGTCTAAAATAAAGGATGAACAAGACGAAAACAAGTTCAAACAGCACAACCTCACCTCTTTAAAGGTGTCCCCACAAATCTCATTGATGTATCTGAGGTAGGCAGTGGTCCACTGCAGGGTGGTGACTTTGTCTGTATCTGAGTTACAGAATGGCACCAGCATGTTCAGCTCGTCGCAGTACAGACGGATCCTCTTCCTGTGAAAAAGGGAAGACCATACAGGTGTTCTGCATCTGCTTTTTAAAAACCTGCAACCCTTTTTAGGATCCTGCCTCATATGGTTACTGATCACAATTTGGATTTTACCTCTTTCAATATTAGTATTGGTACTGTGGGGCTGCTCACCTGCGTTCCCTCTCCTTGATGTTGTGCCTCTCCCTGCGCTGGCTTACTGATCCACCAGTTTGAGTTTTTTTCTTAGTGATGCTTTCTGACCCTACAGCCTTGACACCTGTTTTAGGACGAAGGCTAAAGATGCCACCATGCTTGCTGTAAGCAGCAGCTGTTGCCACGTCATCTGTCAAAAACAAAAGAGTACAAACCGGCATAAATGTGTGTTTGCACTGTACCAACATAGAAAACTTGAAATTATCTGATAAATGAGGGGTTTAGACTGCTGATGATTACTCTCTTTGTTCGCCGCCTGCTGCTCCTCAGATGAGTTACTGCTATTCATGTAGTGACCTTTATTAACAACAGTGTCGGGAAGAAAATTAAATGAAACAGTCTTTGGGATGATTAAACCCTGATGCTTAGGGTTTATTCTGTGGGGAATATGGCCGATCACCTGTAACGAAAGCACAGAAAAGTAGATTCGGATAATGAATGTTTCCTGTGGTTGATATCAAAGTGTAAAAAAGTGCATTTTGTTATGTTTTCAGCATACTTGTTCATGCATGTTAGCTACATGGTTGAAAACACCCCCTACAAATGGGCCAGACATCTCATAAGGATTTGCTCCGTCTGCAGAGGCAATCACACACTTCTGCATTTGAGGATATATGACTCCATCTTGAGCATCTGAAGGCTGGTGAACTATCGTCAAAAAACTGAAACACATCAGAGATTGTTTAGTCAGCTTTTCAGCACATTATGTTTCAATATTTACTCACAAACGAAGACAAAAACTCTATAAGTGAAGCCTACTTGCTGAGAAGTGCAGACTGGATATCTTGCTGTCTCTGGGTATCAGCTGACACAGTGTTGAACCTTGTCTCCAAGCAAACTCTAGCAGCTGACTTGGATCGCTTCTGTGAAGGTGCGCTGCTGTTGGGAAGTGGTTCAGTCGAAATATCTCCCCCTCTCACTCTGGTCAGGACAAAACCTGGGACTTCTCCAAAAGAGGTTGGAGTCTTTTCTCCAGGCATCACTTGGTTGTGTTCATCAGTGGCGGTAGAGAGGTCCATAGCTTGGATGAAGGGGGAGATCACTGCGGATCCAGTGGTAGTAAGTGGAGATCTGCCATCAGGCCCATCTGAAGGAGCAGCTTGTGTCTCCATCTGTGACTGGATTAGACGCTCAAAGTGTGTATATTCAACCTCTGATATCTCCTCCAGACCAAGTTCTGGTCCCAACATCTGCCCTTGATCGTGTGTCAAACATCCACCATGGCTCACAGAGACAGAGGTGTGCTCTCTTTGTGAGGGGGACATATGGATGGTTTTACAAAAGAATGACATCCTCACTCTAGAAATCAGATGGTCAATAATATTAGACAAATGGATTTAAAGATGATATAAATGTGCTGTTATTGTATAATACTCACAGTTGACCGTAGAAGCAGGTTATGTATGTAGCGTTGATTTAGGGAACTATCTGCCCCCCGGAAGCGATTAAAGTTGTCCTAGGAAATGTCACCTGTAAACGTTGAAAAGCTGATTTTGAAGTTTAAAAAACCATTACAAACAATTTCTCAAGAGCATGTAAGTGTTATTCAGATAAATCATAAAAAAAAACCTGTCAACCAAGTTAACGTTAGCTTGACATTTTTAAGCTAACGTTTATGTAGAAGAGCTGATTATGTATGCTACGACAAAATGTCGGCAATCATCGTCCTCTAACAACTTAACATAAAAAACGGTCAATTATTAAGTTACTCGATTAAAAATAGACTTGAGGTTATCTTTCGGCTTTTTTAAATATTCACATTACTCTTACTTCGATGACCGCGGGTACCTTCTTACTGTCAGCCGAAGCCCCTCTGAATGTTCAATAAACCTTTATTCAAATTTAATCCACAAAGTTACGAACATGGCACTGAAGAGAAGCTTTTTTTATAGCACTTTGCCTATCCTGCTTATACTCTTAATAAATGTATTCGACTTTTATCTTTTTTCTATCTTTTTCAAAAAATAAATAAAAAGTGAGATAAAATTATTAAAAATGCATTATGCCTAAAAGCTCACTGTCTTCTGTTTAGTACAGTTATATCTGTTAAAAAATTACGTGATTTCTTGGATTACCTTTTTAGTTGGGAATCCTGTTTTCCTCTCTATTAAAAGAAATGAAAAAAGATTCGCAGCAACCTACCACCTGTCGCACCAGAGCCGGAGCAGCCAATCGGGAGCGTGCGATGGCACACCTAATTTACATAAAGCCTAATTTAAACACAAGATCGGGGACCATTTCACTAAATACAGTCGTGTTCAAAATAATAGCAGTCCCACATCACTAACATGACAAATCACTGTTTTTGTTAGAATTTCAACTTCTACACTGCAATTAAGTTTCTAGAAGCTTTAGTAAATGTGTAGAAAACCAACAGACATGAAATGCATGCTGCTGATTCTGTGAAACTGAATAATTTACTGAAAGTGTTCAAAAAACAATAGCAGTGCCGAGTTCAATTAGTAAGGTCATTGATTATGTGAAAAAAATTGAGGTTTACTCACCTTTTTAAACACACTGCTATTATTATGAACATAACTGTACATACCAGACAAAGCCAAGTCAGAGAAAACACAAAATACAACATACAATACTGGATTATGACGACCAGGGTTGTATCGGTGGATAAAAACAGAATATAATGACTTGCAAATCCATTATGACTTATATTCAACTGATTGCACAACAGAGCCAAGATATTCGATGTTCAAATTGATAAACTTGATTGTGTTTTTGTCAGTTTAATTTTACTAAAAATATTCACACAATTCCAATTTGATGCCTGCAACATGTTACAAAAAAGTTGGGACTAGGACAATTGAGGGGTGCTCTAAAAACACTGGTGAACCAGTTCAATGGAAACAGGTGAGTGTCATGATTGGATATAAAAGGAGCATCCCCAAAATACTCAGTCATTCACAAGCAAGGCCATGAGGCCAGGTTCCCCACTTTGTTGACAACTGCGTAAGAAAATGGTCAAGTGGTTTAAGAACATTTCTCAACCTACAATTGCAGGAATCAAGGCAATTTATCATCTACAGTCTGTAATATAAACTTAAGATTCACAGAATCTGGAGAAATCTGAGCACGTAAGCTACAAGGCTGAAAAGCAACACTGAATGTCTATGACCCCTGACTCCTCAGGTGGCACTGCATTTCAAACTCACATTCTGTAAAGGATTGTACCATGTGGGCTCAGGAACACTTCAGAAAACCATTGTCAGCTAACATAGTTTGTCACAACATCTATAAATGTAAGTTCAAACTCTACCACACAAAGTCAAGGCCATATGTCAACAACAGCCAGAAACACTGGCCTCTCTGGGCCCAAGCTCATCTGAGACAGACTGATGCAAAGTGGAAAAGTGTGCTTTGATCTTGAGTCCACATTTCTTTTGTGGGCCAAAGAAGAAAGGACCATTTAGGTGTTGTCAGCCCTAAAATTCCAAAGCCAGCATCTGTAATGGCCTACCCCGAACTATAACACTACCGTCCATACTAACTTGCACATCCGCAAAGGCTACATTAATTAATGTTTTAATTAATGCTAAAAGGGACATAACAGTTTTGGAGAAACATATAAAGCCATGTCTTTTTCAGGGATGTTAATCAGTTGGAATAATATTAAATATTAAATATCTTGTCTTTATAGGTTGAAACAGCTTGTTTCCCAAACATAAATACAAGGTTCTTACCTTGTAGCAATTTGTTTTGTTAGACAAAATTTGTCAATGACCAAACCCTCTATCCAGAGTTAGATTTAATTTCAAAAACAGAATAGAGTCGCACTATTGTTAAATAGCCCCTTAATTGAAAAAAATACCACCTTTCGGTACCACTGACATAGCAATCAGTAAATCTAAATATTATTGATAAAATCATACCAAGTATCTTTAAGAGTTGAGTATCATTTATTGTTATTCTGACATTCTAAAAGAAGAAAAAAATCTCTCAGTGCAAGAACATAAAAGCCATATCAGGCCTACTGTACAGACACTATGGCTATGTTAAAGACAAAAAACAAAATCTAAACATTTCTGTACAAAACATTTCTGACTTTTTTGAAGAAGAAACACATCCAGTAGCTGAATCAGTCAAAAAAATGTAAGTGGCATGTATTCATAATGAGCTCACAAAAATATGCACAGCTACCTCAAATGCAACAAGACGAACAAAAACATAGTGAAATAAAAACTTCTTTTCCCCATTTGCACATGAGTTTTCAACATCAAACTTTCACATGGTTTGTTCTCCAGGTCATGTTTAAATTTGACAGACCAGTTTCCTTGAGAAATTACATTCATTGGGATATGCTATGAATTATGATACAACTTTTACAAAAAAAAAAAAAAAAAAGTTCAACAAAGCTGTCCTTCCATTACTACCTTTACTTTGTTCAACTGTTGCCTCCATATAAGCACCAGCTACCACCTATTTGTTAGCGTCATCTCCTCCATCTTTTTTCCCTCTACTTTCTGTGCTTTTATCAATAGGTGTTCTGGTCTTATCAGGATATTTTTCTTGCCCTTGATTTTTCCCTTTCACCAGCTCTCTGTCATGACTTAACTGCCTAAATCTCTCTGAGTGAAGTGCTTGTCTATGTTGTGGACTACAGCTTTCAGACTTATTGATGGTGCGGTTTGGGAAGCGAATGAGACCTGTTGGAGTAGGAAGTAAGGCCACTCTGTGTCTCTGGGGTTTTACTTCATGCTGATTAAGTTGGTTTTCTGAACCAGGGTGTGAGTTGAAATGGGGTGATGCTGCCCGAGATCCCCCTGGGCCTAACCCTGGGCTCTCTGTATCAATATTCCACCTTTCAGGCCCATGTCTTAAATCAGACCTTTCAGGAGTTGGTCCTCTTATGTCTGCTTTCTCAGAGCTATGTCTCCTGACTTCTAGACCTCCCCTCCCCCTCCTAAAGTTATGCCCAAATCCTTGTCTACCTGTTCCAGGGTTCTCCCCACCTACACCTGGTCTTTCAAATCCTTGCTCCCCAAAATCTGAAAACCTCCCATCTGCTGCTGGACCTTCAATATTTAAATTTCTGTTTTCATGCTCAGAGTGTATTAAATCTGGACCCCTTTGGCCTCTTCTATCAGGACCCTCAATCTCAAATCCTCTGCTCAGGCCTGGACGTCCTCTACAATCTTCAGGTCCTTCCATGTGTCCTCCCCTGAAATCTGGCGGCACACAGTCATTCCCCATGTTTGAACCTCCTCTCATGTCTGGACCTCTTCTTCTGTGGTGTAATCCTCTACTGCCTGCAGGCCTTTCCTCTCTAAAGTAAGGACCAGTGTCCTCTCTGCCTGGCCCAGCAACCCCTCTCTCAGGCTCTCTCCATACATTACCAGGTCTTCCCCTTGCAGGTCGTTGATACACTGGATCATCCGGGACAAGACCTGGATCTCTATGATCAGGGCCAGTCCATTCATCCCCTGATCTACTGTAAGACCTAGAAAATGGCATATTTGGTCTTTCCTGTTTTGGTCTTCGCTCTTGTCTTCCAGGGCCTTTCCATTCCACACAAAATTCTTCAACCCGTCCATCTTGGCTGTCATGTATTGGGCCTGGACCCCTGTTGAAATGTCTATTCCAGTCATTCCTGGAAAATTCTCTTTCATCTTCTGCAGCCATTGTATTTGCACCTTTTTCATCTGACTGTTGATGCTTTGTGTCTGTGCTCCTCCAATCAGGCGTAGACTCTCTGAAATCTGGTCCTGTCCATCTGTCCCCCTGATTGCTCAAATTTGCTCTGCCTCCTCTCATATATCTCCTCCTAGGCCCTCTTCCTCTCATGTGTTGATCGCCATGGTCCTCTATACGTGGGCGCTCTTGAACAGATTCTGATGCAAAGTCAGGCCTTCCTCTGTCAGCTCCATGGTTGGGACTACCTGATCTTCCCCAATCTGATCCTGGGCCCCTAATATCTAAGCCAATTCTTCCAGGTCCAGGTTCCCTCAAGTCAGATCCTCCTGAATCGTGTCTATGAGGTCCTACTCCCCGAATTTCTTGCCCTCTAATGTGACCTCCTGGTCCTTTAAAATCCCAACTTTCTGTCTCACCTGGTCCTGGACCCTCCATGGCTCTATCAGGCCTCCCTCCTCTAAAGTGTTGACTTCTCCTATTATATTCAGGGCCCTCTTTACCAAGAGGTCTCGTTTCTGGCCCGGTTCCCATTACATTAATGCTATCTGGACCGCTCCTGTATTGTCCTGGCCCCTCAGCGTTTTGACTTGAATGCTCAAGCCCTGGTACCCAAATGTTTGAACCTCCTGGCTCCTCCATCCCCAAATCAGGTCTTTTAGGCCATGGTCCCTTGAAGTCTGGACCCCTACCATCTCTGAGCTCTGGGCCCTCTATACTTGAATGTACACTTTCCCTGAAATGCGGTCCTCTCTTTCCTCTACTGTAGGTCCCTGGACGTGCCATATCTGGACCACTGCTTTCAGGCCTCATTTCTATTAAGTCAGGCCCAGAAACACCCATGAAAGACCCTCTCCTGTCAGGTCCTAGAACTTGCATGGACAGACTTTCTGTGTTACACACAGGCCCTCCTAAGTCGGGACTTCTCCTTTCAGGCACAGTTCCATGGAAACCTGAACCCCGTGGTCCTTTCTTACCAGGCTCTCTAGTGTCCACACTGTGCACTTTGTCATGAACTTGACCTTGAAATCCTATACCCCTAGAATCTGCACCACCAATTTCCTTCGATGCAGGTCCCAGATTCTCCATAGCTGAACCTCCCCATTCAGGCCCTGTTCCTCTGCAATCTGAACCAATGTATTCTCCTCTATTATCAAAAGGATTTTCTATGGGAAGATCTCTACATCCAGTTTCTGTCCTTCTAAAATCTGGATCTCTGGGCCCTCTCCAATCAGGTGCACAACCCTGCAAAGTAGAACCTCTCCTCTCAAGCCCTGTTCCTCTAAATTCTGGATCTCCAGGTCCTCCCCTGCTAGGCACAAAGCCCTGCATGGCAGGACATCTCTCTGGTCCTGGTCCTCTTAAGTCTGAGCCAGGGCCATCACTGTGTAGCCCAGGACGCTCCACAGGTGGACCTCTCCGTTGGGGACCTGGCCTTCTAAAATCTGGACCTCCAGATCCTTCACCATCAGTCCCAGTATCCTGCATAGCAGGATATCTACCCTCTAACCCTGGTCTTCCAGGTCTCCCCCTGTCAGGTCCAGAATTCTCATGGTATTGTCTTACAGATCCTGATCCTCTGATATCTGGATATCCAGGTCTTCCCTTGTCATGAGTAGGATCCTCCATAGGAGGCCCTCTTCTTTGGGGACCTGGTCCTGGTTCCCTGAAATCTGGATCTCTTAGTTCTCTTGGGTCATGCCCAGGACCCTCTATTGGAGGACCTCTCTCTAGAGGACCTGGCCAGATTAAATCTGGACATACAGGCCCTCTACCACCAGGCCCAGGACCCTGCATTGCATGATCTGTACCATCTGGCCGTGGTCCTCTGAAATCTGGATCCCAAGGTCTCTCAGAATGGCTAGTTGTTAGGGCTTTACTTTCATAACCCGATCCTCTGAAATTGGGACCCCTTGGTCCTCTTTGGTCATGCATATGACCCTCAAAAGAAGGACTTCTTCTTTCATGACCTGGCCCTCTTAAATCTGGACCTACAAATCTTCTTGTGTCTGGCCCATGACCCTGGATAGTGTGATCCCGAGACTCTGGCCCCAGTCTTCTAAAACCCTCAGGTCCTCCTGAACCATGCCAAGAACCCTCAAAAGACGGACCTTCTCTATGATCACCTGGCCCTCTGAAATCTGGACCTGCAGGTCCTCTCATGTCAGGCCCAGGACCTTGCATTGAATGATCCCTACTTGGCCCTAGTCCTCTGAAATCTGGAACCCTATGTCCTCTTGGGTCATTACCATGACCTTCCAGAGGGGGACCTCTTCTATGAGGACCTGGCCCCCTGACATCTTGCCTTTCAAGTTCTCTCCTGTCAGGCCCAGGACCCTGCATGGCAGGACTTATTTTTTCTGGCCCAGCTCTGTTGAATTCTTGACCTCTAGGTCCCTTTAAGTCATCCATAGGACTTTCCATTGAAGGAGCTTGTCTTGGAGGATTTTGCCCTCTTAAATTTGGACCTCTGGGTCCTCTACTATCATCACCAGGATCTCTAAATAAACTTGCCCTTGCAAACCTTTGTCTTCTGAAATCAATACCTAAAGATTCTCCACCATCAGACCCCTGCCCTCTGGAATCTGGATGTCCTAATCCTCTCGTTTCATTGACAGGACCCTCTACAGAGGAACCTCTTCCCTCAAGCTCTGGTCCTCTAAAATCTGGGCCTCTCCTGAATGGTCTGGCACCCCTTCTACTTTCAGGCCCTGGTTCACTGTAGACTGGGTGTCCAGGTTCTTGCCTGTCAGTCCCAGTCTGACATGCATTTACATTGCCTGGTTCCAACACATCTTGGTGTCTGGGTCCTCTCCAGCCAGGCCCTGGGCTAACCCCCCTGTGACTCCTGTTTTCGGGGCACGGTCCCCTAAAATCTGTTCCTCCCCTGTTAGACCCAGGACCTTCAACAAATGGAATTTTGCTATCAAGGCCTGCTCCCAAGAAATCATCAGCACCTGATCTGAGGTCCTTGAAGTTTGGATTGATGTCAGACCCCAGCTCTCCACAATTCAAGTCTATCGCATGTCTTCTGCCAGGACCCTGGGTCTCCAAATTTGGACCTCTCAAATCTGTCTGACCTCTTTCATCATGTATAAATTGTCCCCCTTTCACTGCGTCTGATCCCCTTTTGTCTTTTCCTCTCCATTCATCTCTCCTGTCTGATCCTGGATCATTCCTGATTTGATCCCTCACATGTGGACCCTGGCCCTCACTTTGACTTATCTGCCCCCTCACATCAAATCCTGGACCCCTCCAGGCTGGATTTGTAATGTTTGTAATAGGACCTCTGTTTTCTTGATTTATTTGTAAATGTCTCTCTTGCAGCCAGTGTCCATGTATACTTTCTTGCTTGTCTACTTCTCCTCTACCTGGCCCCTTTTCTTTGATATCTCTGGTGCCTGTATCCCCCACACCTGACCAACCCATATCACCCAGAGTTTGACCAGACTCCATGTGTCTTTTTTCTGCCACATCTGGCCTTCTAAATTTGTTTAAAGTATCTCTTGTGTTAGGGTCATGCTTATTTCTTTCAGACCTGACATGTGACTGTGGCAGACTGATATGTTCTCTAGACCCTATGCTGGCTTGTTCAATGTAAGACATACTATTTTCATAATTTATGTCTGGTACCAGTCCCCCTGTAGGTAAATCTTGACCTTTTTGTGTGCCACGCCTTTCCTCTGTTATCTTTGCTGCTGATAATCTGTCCCCTTTCAGAACTGAACCATCTGCATTTGTCGACACATTTGTATCTAAACTGGTATTTTGACTACATCCCACCCTGCTCATTTCTGCATTGTTTTCATGTGATTGGAAATCCCCTTTCTGGCGAACTCTTACATCTACAACTGGACTGTCATCTTGCCTTGATTGCATCTGATCACTTCCTGAGCATCTCACATTAAAAGTTTCTTCACCTCTATCTGGGCATTTCATACCAGTCTCAGAACTGATATCTGTATTTTCCTGTTGGGTGTGCGCTGTTGAGGTGATTGCCTCGATTCCACTCATTGCAGTTCCTAAATCACTCACACTTGTCCCTGGACAGGTATTAGCAAGTGATTTTGTGTGTTGCTCAAGACCCCAAATGTTGGGACTCACAATGTGCATGCCTTGATTTTTCATGTTAGACCCTGGAAAGCTCTCATCTGTTTTTCTGAAGAATTTTTTTGGTTCAGTAGGTCCAGTCCCCTTAGTATCTGGTTTTGGACCACTCATACCAAATACTGAACACTCTGTTAAAGGGTCCATGACAAGTCCTGAGCTCTGGATACCTGAACAGTTGGCTTGATTTAAATTTCCACCTACCACATCTGATGTCACTGGATGCTTTAAGTTTAGACTTTCCACTTTTATTTGCTTGTCTGTCTTTTCCAATGCTTCACCAAAAGGACCTGGAGCCTGGAGATTTAGAATCTTACAATCAAAATTTTTGTCTTTTGAGAATGAAGTAGCTCCCAATACATCGGGTAACATTTCTTGGCCACATAAGGACAGAAAACTATTTTCAGCCTTCACAGGTGAAACTGAGACACTGTTATTTTCCTCTCTGGTTTCTTCAGTGACTGAGTCACTTTTCTCTGAGCTGTTAGACTTCATGAATTGTGGCTCTGGATCAGGGCTATCAGGAGAATCTTTGATGGGTGGATCAATTACTCTCAGTGGAACTATGGTTACAACTTTGTCATTAAACGGGATTTCCTGATGAGAGGGTTTGCCTGCCTCAGTAGAACTATTGCATTTGGTGTTTTGGTCAACCATTGAAAAAAGTGGAGGTTCCTGAGATTCTGATGCTTCTAAAACTTCAAGCTTCACATTGTGAAGGATTTTACCTTCCTTCTCAGAGCTCTTATCAAGATGACCTCTAAACTGGTTCCCATCAGGGTCTTTCTTAACAGTAAGCATATCAGGGTCTTTCTTAATGGTAGGGAGCAAACTTGAAGATGTTTTACTCTGTTGCTGACCAACAACAGAATTTGAAAAGTCTGGATCAGTGCACTGACCACTTGATTGCTTTAACTTCTCGAGGACCTCAGGGGAATGTTCTCTGTGCTGTTTTGCTGGCGGAGTAACAGAATCCTTTTTTCTCTGAGAAGACGGGGACCTCCCATGTTCACGAGAATGCCGAGATGTGGTTCGTTCTCTTCGATGGCGACCACGGCGTTCAGAGTGGTCTCTGGATCTATTCCCTGACTTCTCCCTCTCACTACGTCTGTGTCTATCTCTGTCTCTGCGTCTGCGGGAATGAGAAGGAGAACGCCTTTGTGACCTTCTTGAGGGACTTCTATGTCTGTCTCTCTCACGATGACTCCGCCTCTTTGGTGAAAGCCTCTGCTTTTTGCTGTGGTATGAATTCTTGGTACTGCCCTTTTGACTTGTACTATGCCCTGTTTTAGACGAAGATGAGTCATGAGTCCCTGCTCGAAATACATCATCTTGAATTTCGTCAAAAAGAGATTCATCCTCAGGATCATAAGCTACATCAGAATCTTCAATCTCTCCAGCAGAGGGACACCCCTCACCTTCTTTTTCCTGTGTTTCATCTTGCTCTGTAACAATATTTGTATCAGTTTTTGAATCAGGGATGGCAATTGTGCCCTCTATATTAGCAGTTTGTGAATCCACATTGGAAGCATCAATAGTCTCAGTAAGACTGCTCGTCTTGTTTGTTAATTCTGCAGGCTTTGACTCTGTTTGCATTGTGCCACTCTGCACTGATGACAGTTGGCTGAGAGGTACAGACTTTGATGGGGGAGACATCAAGGAATCAGAGACAGAAAAGTGAGCCATGAACATACCCACAGCCTCTCTTTGTTGGCGTAAAGCTTCTTCCTGCTCTTTCAGCTGACGCTTTTGCTCTTCAATCTGTTTATTAAGCTCCTCAAGCATTCGCTGTTGTTCAGTTAGTGTTGCTGCTGAGACAACTACAGTGCCCATTGGAAGGTGCCCTGTAACTTCACTGGGGATAGCAGTCTGTGTTGGAGTGGAGGCAGGAGCAAGCGCTGTAGATGGATTGGAGGTTGGTAATGACAGGAGATCTGGTGTATGGCTTGGAGCAGGGGGAGCCGAAACAGTAGAGTTGGTTCCAATGTCACTTTGAAAATCTGCAAAGATCGTCTCGTCCTCTGGATCATAGGCAACATCATCATCTGCAGAGCCTGATAATGTAGGCTCATCTCCTCTTTTGTTTCCTATGCTATGTGCTGTAACCATTCCATACCCCAATGCTGGTTCATACTCCTCCTCTGGGTCATATGGTCTGTCAAAGTCATTTTCCTCCTCCTCTATTTCTTTAACTTTAGATTTCTGTCCATACTGTTGGACAATTGGATCCACTATTGCCCCCTGAGAAAATGCTGGGATATTCTTACCAGAAACTTTTGGAGTAGAGCCTCCACCAGAAGAGTCTTTGGGGTTGGTTTTCTTATTGCAGAACAAAGTCTTCAAGATGGTCTGCAAAGGTGTTTTATTGTTTGATTCTGACGGAGGATCCTTGTCAGAGAGGATATTAGAGGGATGAGGAGAAGCAGCAGAGACGGATGTCGAAACGGGAGGCTTTGTTGTAACGGATGTCAAAAAAGATGGTATGGTGACTGAGCTAGAGGAAGATGATCCAGATGGGGAGCCAGGGCAAGGTGGAGAACTGGGAGGGGTAGTGCTTACTGGAGTCTCGGGATCATAAGGCTGGAACATCTCCAACTTGTCAGAGCCATACAGGACTGGAGGTTTTGGGATCCACATGGCATCCTTGGACGGGCAAACTTTAGGTCTCTTCTCCTCAATTTCCTGAGTGACGCTTCCTGGACGTTTTGTTCTCTGAATGATCGCCAGGCCCAGAAGAAGATTGGGTCGATTTTTCTCAAGTCCTGTGAAATAAAAACTTTAGATTTACCTGTTGTGAAAATCATTCAGGATTTCAAAAAAACAGAAGCAAAGTGTTACATTAAAAAGACTTGACTAAGAACTCTGGACTGAACTGTGCCCTGTCTTCCCTCCTCATTAGGCTTGGATTTGGGAACGGTTCAAACTTGGAACCGATTCTAACTTTATGGAATACATGAATTTGAAAAAGCGTCCAGCTTTTTGGATACTAATGGCAACATAAATCTTTCAGGATTAAATCTCTGCAAGAACTATGCAGTCACAGGAAGTTTTACTTATCTGCCACGACCTGCTGTGTATGTTAACATTACATCACTAGTTACATAGTACATACATGAAGTTGTGAGAAGATCATGGCAGACCACAGAAAGCAACATTTTCGGTTTTATTTTTTCTAATGTTTAGAAGCAGAATCAGAACCAGAATCAGTACTAATGGGGAGGTATCCTTCATTATTCTTTTTGAACTCTTTATAGGGGAGATATTTTGCTTGGGTATTAGCCTCTTCTCACTGTTGATGTCTGTAATGTAGGTGCTATCACAAGCCAAAAAAAGCCAAAAGACTTTTTACAGGAGTAAAACAATATCTTACCTGGTCCTTCAAAAGGTTGTAGTATGGGTGGAATTGATTCCTTTGCACTGAGCGGAACAAGGTACACATCTTTGATGGAACGACTGATATTAGCAACCACACCAAAACGTCTTCTGCTGCTGAAGTATGAGAAGAGGGAGACATATGCCACCTCCTCTTCCTCTGTTGCAGGGTGAAACCGGATCACACATAGCTCCTAAAAAGCAAAACAAGATTTAACAGTTTCATTTTCAACAGTTTGGTACAGGTGCCTAAAGAAAAATTATATGAACTACTTGCCTTTGTAATGGAGGTCTTAAGTTTGGCAACATAATCCCACACAGTTTCGGGCATAATTCGTCCCCCAATTTGAATGGTATCAGGGAGATCCTATAAGAAGAAAAGAAATCTTTACAACTTTGTTCATCATGATGACAGATCTCTACAGATACAACTATGAATAAAAAAAAATCATTTTACCGCTTTGAGATTTTCAGCAGGTCCTGAAACAAGATATGCCTTGGTGACAAACTTTGCCACAGTAAGCATGTTTAGGAATCCTTTCCATACAATGTCTCCTTTAGCCAAAAACTGAGCTGTCTCACTGTCAGCTGGTGATACTGATAATGCAGTCCTATGATAAAAAACAGAAGAGCAAAATAAGTCAAAGATGAATGTTATCGTAGTTCTGATCAAACCAATTCTAACACATGAAGAAGTACAACAGTTAAAGGACTATTCTCTGAACTTTGATTCCTACATACCTTAAAGGTGTGCCGTAGAGTCTAGGATGTGTAGAGGGAGATGGTTTCATCAAGATAGATTTAGGTAATTTCTTTGGTGGTACTGAAGAGGCTGGTACTGAGGGCATGGTAGAAGTACTCTCTTTACAAGGGGCATAAGGAGTTGGCTGGTTTTGGGTTGTAGTTCTGGTGCCAGAGTTGCTATTAGATGAAGCACTAAACCTGCCAGCTGCTGTACGGGGATCCCGCCTTGTGATTGTTACTGTGGAGACAGCTGGAATCACAACTGGTGCGTATGCCCTCTTTGGTGCAGAGGCTTTGACAGTTTCTTGAGTTGGGGATGCGGGAGAGTCCATGACAGGGGAAGCTGGAGACTCCAAAACTGGGGAAGCTGGAGAATCCATAGTGGGGGAAGACGGGGTTTCCACTGTATTCATACCTGGAACATCAATGATTAGGCGGGAGGACGGATCAATTAGGGATGATGTTGGAGAATCCATGTCAGGTGAGTCAGGTGGAGCCATCAGCGGGGACTCATCTCCTGCAGACTTTCTCCAAGAGGGTTCATATCTATCTCGTGTTTCAGAAACTTTTGTCTTTTTCTTCATAGGTTCCTCCTCTTCCCCAACAGTCATTTGGCCTTTAAGAAACAATAAAAATCTACTTTGAAAAACTGTAAATGACCGAAAATTTTACATAATTTACATTTAATATTGTGTAGCCTTTGTAAAAAAAATGTCAACACACCGGTGCATATCTTGCATTTCAAGTCAAAGAGGTGAGCTTTGTGCTCTGATGTTGTGTCTTTCAGCATACAAGCAAGAATATCTGGTACAGCATTGCTCAGGTTTGGCTGGATTGCTTTAGTCTTGAGAGAAGGCGCAGGTAGACTTTTCTTTTGTTCCTGGGTGGCAACATAAAACATTTACACACAGACAATTAGACTTTGCCTAGAAGAAGTAGACAATTTAGTAGAAGTAGACAATTTAAAGACCCTACAAGCACCATCGTATGAAGGCAAATTAAGGAGTACATACTGTGCTTTTAACTGGTCTGGCAGGATTCAAACTGGGCAAATCCACCTTCACTGCCTCAGGCTTCTGAAGCAGATTTGCCACTTTAGGAACATCCTTAGCCTGGAAACACAGAAACAGTAGCTGAATCACTTTTTACCCAAACACTGCTTGACCCCTCTGAGTCTGATAACAAGTTTAAGCATAATATCAAAATTTATCTTTGTGGTTATGTTTTTTAAATTAACACTTTACCTCTGTTGCTGGTTTTGGACTTGGTTCAGATACTTTGACAGCCTGCATATCCTTCTGGCTCATCCTGACCAGTCTGAAAGGACTGATTTCACCATGTACAACATGGGTCAACAAACCCTGAAGAGACACGAAATGACTGTGAATTTGCTGAAAGTGGGCGCAACTAAGAGTTGCTCCTACAAGTCATTTTAGAAGATTTAACAACAGTAATATTCACAGATATGAGATTTAGGACCTTAAAAACAAACCTTGTTTTTTGGGTCTTTCAGGTTGAACATTATTGTTCTGTACTTGTTCATGTATTTGCTGTCTGTGTTGCGAAATATGTCAAACATTTCCATCTCGATGCTTGCCACGAGCTTTATAACTTCACTTTCTGTCATCTCCAAATCCTCACAATCGCACACCCTGGAGGAATGGAAAGAAAGTCAATGAATCATCTGAGCAGTGCTTATCCAACTGATAGAGATGCAAATTTTACTCATCTACCTAATCTTTATGAAATGCTACCACAGATAGGACCCACTGTAATGATAAAAACCCAGGTAGTGAAGTGAATGTTGACTTTAAGTTAAATGCTCCTTTCATGGTAGTGTAAGGTCCTGCTTGTTAAATCATTTCCATGTTGTTTTCATACACGATTTTAAGGCTCAGCATCCATGTTTTTGCACTTCTTCACTTGAACTCCTCAAGAAGCTTATCAATAGTCTATCAGATGAAGTCCAGCACGCCTGTGAAACTGCTCTCACCTTTTAAACAGGATACTGGTGAGGGTGCGCTGGATGCTCTGTCTGACTTGGTTGTTGGGCTGAGAGGGTCTGGAGGAGGGAGCGCTGGGTGCAGGGGGCACCAGCAGATTTCTGGTTTCGGTCAGCAGCGGGGAGGCCGAGGATACCTTTTGACCTGATGTGGAAGCGGACACTTTGCTAGATGGAGGCTTGGGCGGTCCAGACTGCTTCTTTGGTATGACATATGTCGTTTTGCCGACCATGAGCGCCCCTGTTTCATGTTGTCTTGGAGCTGAGGCTGATGGGGATTGAGTGGCTGCAGATGAATTTGATTTTGCTGAGTTAGGTGGTGGGCAAGAAACTGGTTCTGCAGTGTTCTGCACTGGTGCATCACTGCTGATTGTTTCCTTTGGTTTTTCTTCAGTTTGACTCTGTAGTGGGGCTGGCTCAATGGTGGGCTCAGAAGCAGGAGCAGCATCTATAGGAGTTTGTTTTGAGACAGTTTCAGCCTCTGACTTTTTCCTGTCCTCTTTAGCTGTGAGAAAAAGAAAGAACCTTTTATAATGACCGATCAATTAACAATCTGGGAACTGTTATAAACCACCAATAAAAGAAGAAGTGAGCAAGGAAGCATTTCAATCCATAACCTGATGGCTAGATTTTACTAAATATTTCCATTTTTACACTCTCTACCTGTAAATAGCTGGACCCTCTTCATGTAAAAAGAGCCATACAGTCTGTCACTTCTTGTCATGTCGGATTTCTTTATTTTCTATAAATGAAAAATACCTGGAATAGTTGTTATCGATGACTTTATGCTGCCTTACTCACTAAGTTCACATTGAAAATATTCTCATCTTATTCAAATTATAAAAACTTTTTTTTTTTTGCAGTAATGTTTTTTATCTCAAAAATGCAGATGGATAAAAATCAACACAATTGCTTGCAAATTAAATCTGTTTTTAATTACTTAAAAAAATCTATGTATTATTTTTGTGTTTTGTTTGTACAGATTTTATGAATGAATTACTTAAAAAGTTGTGTCCCATATGTTCTAGTAAGACAACCTTAAGTACACCTGGGATATTTTTAAATTGTGCATCTTTGGCATCATTCTAATTAATGTAGTCATCCAACATCTTCCTTTATTATTTAGAATCATGACTTAATATTAGTAAGATTTGTTTTCTTACTATTGTACTTGTACTTGTAAAATATTGATATAGAAGTAAGGTATCTCATTTTCAAAAAAAGATTTGAATACTTTGTCCACCAGCGTCAATCAGAACTACTAATAAGCTGCACTGCACCATCAGAGCTGTTATAACAGCAAAGGTTTGACTTTGACCCATATAATGTGACCTGAAAAACGAGCATACATGTCTGGAGTTGTGTCATGCCTGTGTTTTGTGTGTGTGTGTGCATGTAAAAGTGGGGGAGAAAAGAGGAGAAAACAGTAGGTCAGTGTTGTTCAAGCTACAACGCTCCTCTGCTAACTGTGAGAACATCTCAGCTGCCCCTTCAACTTCTTCAAACTTCGCACACAGTGGCTCTGCAGTGTTTTGAGATCAGAGCAAGAAATCAAACTCCATCCTCATTTTTTAACACTCAAATGTTCTTAGTCAGTTTTTGTTTTCTGTTCATCCTTTTCTCTCTGTGGGTCATTTAGTCCAACTCTGTTCTTCTGTCTCTATATTCACCATTTTAATACCATCTAATCTGTCAATCCACTGATTTTGGAGCTTTTCTTACAATTTCTGTCATTCAGACCAACTACTGTGCAGCCCACAGCTCCCCATAAGCACCATTTCCTCCAGAGATTCAGCTGAGTTTCCATTAACCTCCCACTGGCTTCACCAGAGCGTCTCTGAGGGACCCTGCTCTGACTCTTATTTTTGTTCACGGGTAATGAGGAAGCTTCACATCACAAAATCACTAAAGCCTTTCTTGTTGTTATCCTCACAACACAGTCTTTTAACTCATACATCAAGATATAGTCCATGGATTCAGGTACCTGACAGTGGTCAAAGAAGTAAACCTTTCATGCCAACTTGAATGTGCTGTGACATTAGAAACGTTTACACATTAATTAATAAATAAATAAATTGAATATTGGTTGCTTTCATAACAGGCAGTTTTGCTTTTCCTTCTGTCACTTCACATTCAAGTAATAACTTTTTGTCTCTTCTTTCATTTAAACAATCAAGTTATTTATCTCACACAAAGAAATCTTTAGACTTATTTATATAAAGTACAAGATTTCTTTAACAACCTTGATACACTTTTCACTTGAGAATAAAAGTAAAAAACCTTCTATTCAACACAGCTCAACTAAAAAAAAATCAACTAAAAGTGACCTCAATATCATCTTTTTCTCCTTTTGCTTCTTTTAATTCCTCATCCTTCCTCATACAAAAAAACAAAAAGGGTGGTGGTGGGGGGGCATACTTCTCCTCAGAAAATATTTTCCGTTCAGAAACATCTAAAGGGCTTAGATATTTCATAAATGCAGCAGCTTTGGTTGGCTTTTATTTCTCACTTTTGAAGGGACAGCCTGTCACAGTTTTGACTCTGCCTCTATGAAACACGCTAGCAATAAAAGAAAAATAAGCATAACTGGTAAGAGACTGCCCTTTCACCTTTTTTCATACTCATTTATAGAATCTTGGACTTGAAGCTCAGTGTCAGTAAGGGTGATTAAACAAACCACAATTCGTCACTACTTGATCTGAAGCATCAATACTCAACACAAATATACAGTACTTTTTCAACTACTGTTTCAGCCCGGGATTTTTACCTTCACTGTCAGTGAAACCTCTGTTGAAACTTTTTAAATATATTTGTTGAGCAGTGATGAAGCCCATGCTTCATATTTCACTGCTCTGTGATGAGTGTCTGGTTTGCAGCAAAGTTGCTACATGGTCACACAGCCCTTTACCATGTTGCCACAACCTAATCAGATTTTTATGTGCTTTATTTGTTTGGGCAGAATATGTACAAATCCTTCTTCCTATTTGTTACTTATTGTGTGTCTGTGCTTGTAACTCTGACAGAGAACCAAAGGGGGTCTTGGCTCCAGTTCTGCATAAATCTGCGCTTCAGTTGTGTACAATGGACAGTTTTTGACAATAATGGGTTGAAGCAGAAGTTTATTCTTTGCTAATCCCCTTCTCATTTTATCTTGCTCTTGATGAACTATTTTGTTTGTATGAAGCTAAAAAAAAATAGTTATGTAAAAAAATAAAAATAAAAATGGACTTGAAAAATCCACCATGAAAAGGGGTCTTCGAACTTAAATTTTAATGTTTTCCAAACACAAGACCTGGATCAGTGCTCCAGTTTGTCTCTCAGAGGCTCCATTAAGTAAAATACTACTCTCTGTTCTATATCACATCCCTGTAAACTAAATAACAGAGCAAAAGCACTGCTTGTAGAGCTTCTACTCATTCATATGACCTCTGAAAAGATAGCGAACAGGTTACTAGCTGCAGGCCTTTCATACATATAAAAGTGACATCAATCTTCTTATTACACCATCACCTGAGGGAAAAATTACCATTTGCTCATAAATGATAAATGTTATCTCTAGGGGCATCATACATTAATCCCACTTGCCAGTGTAAATCACTGCAAATCTTGTGTTGTATGATTCTCCATCACAAAAAATATATTCCTCAGTCATTTATTGTTGTTTTTGTGAAATCCTACAGAGGGCTCACAATAGGCGGAAGTTCCAGGCAACAATAAGGGTCATTCTCCTTTTTTTCCTCCTTATTTCCTGCCTCATAAGTCTTGTGCCTTGTAATAAAACATGCCTGTAATTTATGCACACACACGTACACACATCTTTGGGTGCCTTTTTTTGGACTATTTTTGTTAATCTCAGTGAGCCATCATCACTCGATCTCTGGAAATAATATTGCTGGAGAAATCTCAACTAATATTCAGAAAAGCATATTTGGGGTGACATAATCAGCACACTATAAAGTCAATTATATAAGGTACGAGAGAGGGGAAATAAAAGAAAAACTGTTTCTATGAAGGTCGGTCACTGTGTGGTTGCACATTGTAAGAAAAGCCAGTAGAGGGCGCTTGTGTTTCATAAATAAAAGCTGAATTACTGACATGATCCGACTCTTACAGAGCTCAGAAAAAAAACGCTCAGAGGGGATTCGGAGAGTGAAGCAGTAAAAAAACTACAGAAAGAAAAAAAGATTTCTGTTAAAAGCAAACACTCTTCGGCAACACCGCTGTTAGAAAATACCTCTTTCAGACTTTAAATTCCTACTCAGCTTGTTTCTTTGAAAAATTACTTGTGGTGTAAATCTGTGTCCAAAAGCCACAGTGAGTTATTACATCAGATCGTCTGTGAGGGCATTTGACAAAAACCACAAGCTGTTTACATGCCACTGTTCTCTTTGGGTCACACTGCACTCTGGCTGAGTCAACAAATCAATTTACTGAACACCAAGAGATCCATAATTAGATTAAGACCCAATTCAATAAAGCTGGGGCAATCTTTAATAACAAGCAAACTTCCTTAATGGCTGATTCATGTTCCTAAGAAATTCAGTTTAAAAATAGATAAGATAAAGATAAACCTTTAATGTCTAAACTCTTAATTTTTGACCGGGATATCTTTTGGTTTCTCTGCTTCTCTAGTTTTGTTCTGGAGCTGGTAGGTTATATATTACCTAACATCTTTCTATCTGAGAGAAATTTTCTGTTGATTTAACACCAATTTTTTTGTCTCACTAAAAATCATTTGGTAATTCCTTTTTGTCACAGCCTTCAAATTGTCAACACACTTGTGTCACTGCCGAGAAATTATTAACACAGACTAAAAGCCAAGTATTTATGAACACTCAGATCCAAGTGAATGAGCTGTAATGATGAGTGCAAGTTAAGGGTGCTTTCATTTGTAAAGTCTATGGAGAGTAGCTTTTCTCAGACATGATCGAATGAGTTTGCCTGATACAAATATACTAGCAGTACACCTGTTTTGGAGATAGACACAAGGCCCAATCTTCCAGCAAACAGCAAATGGCTTTTCAGCTAATGACAGCGAGTAGACAAAGTAGGAGAAAGAGGCTGTTCCGTTGTTTCGGGTTACAAAGTTGAGAGTGGAGGGAATACATTTGCTAAAGTTAGATATATAAACTTCAAAAATCATGACCAAGTGTGATGTTGTCTATCTCGCTGTGAAGAGTTATGTGGCAATTGATCGTTGTGGCTACATGAAGTAATGCTTTTGATAAATCTTCCATGTAGGTGTATAAGTGAAATGATTTTTCACCCCTTCACAACCCCAAATCAAGAGGGAGTCAACTATTAAAGGAAATGTCTCCAGTTAAGGTCTAGAGGGATCTTTGTGGGTACAAAAGAAGGCATCTGGGTTTAGAGGTCAAAGCCAACAGCTTTGTCAGACGTCGATGAATGTAAGCAATGTTGAATCACTGGTTGCATGAATGCTCCCTTTTCAACAAGATCCTGAATAACATAAAGTCACTTGAGGCTGTTTTGTATCCATGATGGTCTAAAGGTGGAAGACTAGCTTGAAGTCTTGATATGCTTTGACACCATTTAACGGCAACTTCAAAAGACTCATTCACTGTATGTTGTGTTGATTGTTGGGCTGTAGTGTGTTGATTGTGCACAGATCTCTCCTAGAGTGGAGATCGAGAAGTGTGTTAAACCAAAAATTTCTCTCTTCAAAGTTGTCCTTTCACGCCTGATTTGATAAGTGGTCGGTTCAGTGCTTCACAAACTGAAAGTGAAATGTGAAAAAGAAAATGTGGGAAACCTGGTGCTTGATCAACTCTAAAGAAAACCTTCAGCTCAAGAAATGAGAGTTAGAAACGAGAATGTTGATGCGCCAAGTGTAAGCCCAGGTAAAACCCATTTCGCACAGCACTGATCATCGTCTTTAATCACATCCATGTATCCAGAGATTTTACTGCTTTCTACAGACGGCTGGGTTATTTTAAATGTTTGAGCTTTAAAAAGCCACTCAAACATCGAAATACTGAGATTAAAAATGAAGTCATGAGTTCTTTTACGCTGCTTGACAAGAACTTGTCAGTGTACGCAAGTTTTGATCAAGTGTGTCATGTGAGACACCACTCACACTCAGCTACTTGCACCAGGACATTCCCACTACGGTTCACTTAGTGTCCTTGAATGTCCAGATTGAGCAACTTCTCATGCCACGAGTCTGGATCATCTCCAAACCTCACCCCAAGTGTAAACCTGTAAAAAGCCTGAAACACAACAGCTGGATCCCTTTCCTTTCCAGGAGGAGGCAGCTTGGTGACGACCTCAGGAGCTGCATATTTAAAGGGGGTTTCCAAAGATGGCCATGATGGATGATCACAACGGACCAGTGCAGCTTACGTTCAAGAAACTCAGGGCATGTTTTTGTGTTTGTGAGTTTGTTTGTTTTTTATTATCATTTTGATTTGGTAATCTTCCTAACTTTTTTTTCCAAAATGTTGTGAACAGCCGGAGTTACAAACATCTTGATATTTTTGTAATCAGAATTTTATTCAAGCTAAAGAGACCATTATTACTACTTATCCTTCACTTTTGAAGAAATTTTATAGAAGTTTTAAAATCTTGTTTTTTTAAAGGAGATGGTATTACATTTTTTTATACTTCAAAAAAGGATAATGTGTGTTAAAGTTGGGGCTACAAGGTGCTAGGAATGGCTTCTTCAAACCACCGCCCCCCAAAAAAGGGCAAATTTGTCATTTTAACTTAGTTGCTTGGCAACAGTGAAGGCGGCTTCCAGAATGATGGGTTCTGGAACACTGCAAGGGGGTGGGGGGTGGGGGGGGTTAAATGAAGCATCTCACAGCAGACTGAAATGGTTAAGAGTTTGTTGAACTGTATATCATGCATCAAAGGGGTTATATAATCTATACAAGCTAGAAAATGAGCACTCTATCAATTTTACATTAGAACTGTTACAAGGATATTCCGGCATAAAATTCTCTCTTCATCTCTTGGGGGGGGGGGGGGGTATAACTCGGTGTTGCGGTGTGTTTGACCCTTTCTTAATTTTACGCTGGAATATCCCATTTAACTGTTCACTCTATTTAATGTCCATCACTATCTAGATTTTAATGTTCAAAGGGTCTGCAACCACCTGATATCAAAATAATGATAAATTATTAAAATAAGTTTGTGAGGCACTTCTTTTTCCCAACTTACAATTCAGCTTTGGATTCCTTCCACCAACAATCAAAACAACGTTTTCTTGCTGGATCACAGGCTCCAACATCACGCAAGCATGGCAAACCTGAAGAGACCCAGGAGGGCACCCCCAGGTGAAACCAGATCAATGACCCTGCTAACAACTCTCAGGTGACCAGGTCACCCATTTTACAGCTGGACAACCAACTTTGGCTCCTGTTACTTCAGAACAGAGGAAGCCTTTTAGAAGAGGTGCTCTTTTTTTGACAAACTACATCTACAAAACTTTAAATTTCCTACTAAAATTCAATTACACAGGGACTTGGAAATATATCTACTGCAATGTCAAGCTTGTTTCTGACACAGCTGTAGACAGAATTTAAAACACGGTATATATTTTAGTTTAAGCAAGCATAAGAGGCCATTCTTGTTGGTAGTTTTAATATCAGTAATTAAGCATTCTGTGTTTTAAGCTCTCTCTGCAGTGGAAATTTTGTTCATTAAAATAACTAACCAGTTGCATTGTGTCTGTGATGTATGTTCAGTGTTTTATTTTCGGGTATGTGAGTGTGAGGTGAATGTGCTATTTTTAAACTGACATCTATTTAAATGTTCAGAAGCTGACTTCAGGTAGGTGATCACAAAAAAAAAAAAACAGAAGTAGGAAGTTTGTTTGCAGAAATCTATGTAGTGATACTTTAAAGAGAAGCATGGGTGCATGTATGAGTGTGTGAGCAAAAAATAAGGGTGTAAATGTTAAAAATATCAGGAATGAGATTTTAACACGATTTTGTACCTGGAAATTACAATGGGTAAGAGAGGGTAATGAGCCATTGCACCCCTGATCTCTAACTTTCAGTGCTGAGATGCTCCATCCCAAGAAATTGAGTGCTTGTGTGGTGAACTGTGAGCCATCTTGATTTGCAGATGGGTGAGTCATTCCTCAGACGTTCAGAAAAACGAAGCAGTTTTGTGGAGGTGGCCAGCTGACACTTCAGAATCATCTTCATGGGGATATGATGACAGTCGTCCTCAATACGCTATTTTGCTGAACTCAGGGGGGGTTGACTTCATTTTAGCATCCACCTGGATGAACCCTCCAGTCTCCAATGTGACGCTGCAGCAGGAAGTCAACTCCTCCACCACCTCCAAACCAGCTGCCCAGTCCAGTTCATACAGGATGATATCGAGCTGATGATGTTGTGTATGTGCATGACTCTTCAAAGTCTGTGTGTTTGTGTGAGTTGAGTAAAAGTGCCCTATAAGCTGCGGCATTTCGAGACATGACGTTAGTCTTCCAAGAGCAATGAGGTTTGAGGAAGGACCGCAGTTAAAGCAAAAACCAAGAGTATGAACTCTAACACTGTACGGGCTTTTTCATGTATTTCATGCATTAAGTGCAGATATACCTTAAATCTACAAAACATTTATGTAACTTGCAGGAGAAGAGATGTAGCAATCCAGAGGCTGAAGACCACTGAGACTGGTGCTTGAATACTGAGGTCTGAGAGAGCAAGACAATGTGCTTTGCAGACAATCTGGGAGTGTAACGCCTTTAAGCTGACTACATGACTGATGCGTACCGGGGTGTAAGTGTTGGCAGGTTTTATGTATTGGCTGTGTAAGAGAGCAAGAAATGCTGAGTGCTTTAAATGTTACTGAAAATGTCAAATTAATCGTGTGGCAAATGAGTATTCATGTCAGTGGGACAGCTTAGACCGTAACAGTTGCACTTTTCTCTCACAATGCTAAAAAATTTTTTCACCAGTCATCATTCTTTCTCATGTGATAAATCAACAGTCCAGGTTTGGGCTGCGCTGGATTATAAGTTCAGAAACATACGATTGCCCCCCACAACATGACTGCAGACAAGGGATCTTTTCAGATGCACCGTGATTTGATCTTTCCAACCAAGAGGAAATGTTAGCATAACTAAAAAAAGGTATTTTGGCCAAAATTTCTGGCTCATCAATACAGTCTGTAAAAGAGTTTGCAGATTATAATGAGCACATCTTACGGTGTTTTATGAAAGGACACACATTGTCATGTGCAAACCTTTTTGATAAAAATGAATGTTTATATTTAAACCACTTGTCCAGTCACCTAAAGCAGAGGGAAGTAGTCAACCTCAGCAGTCAACCAACATCAAAAAGCCTGAATTTCATTTCTTTTATCCATTCATCCACCCATCAATTCACTCATCCATCCATCTTCTGTACGGCTATTTGTGTTGAGAGTTGTTGGAGGCTTGAGCCAATCCCAGTCATTGGGCAAAAGGAAAAAAAAAAAAAAAAAAAAAAGGTCACTAGTCAATCACTGAGCTACCATAGCAAGCAGTCCTACTCACACTCACACCGAGAGGCAATTTAGAGTCTTCAAGCAACCCAGAGAAACTTGGACTGTGGTAGGAAACCCAAGCATGCATGTCAGGTCCATGCAAACTGCTTTCTGAATGAGCACTGTGGTTTCAAAACTAGTAACCTTCCTGCATCACCAGCAGTTACTGCACCGCCGTGCAGACTGCCCACTCCCTAATGTTTTCTGGAAATAACAAGTTTCCAGATAACTATAAAAAAGTTAATTTGTTCAAAAATAAATGATGGGAGTTGAGTTCAACTCTTTGGAGTTTGAAAAAAAATCTCATCTTCGAAATTATGATGAAATATGTTGGTAACTATTTTCAAAAATGCAGAAAGCTGTATGTTCGAATCTTCCCTTTTGCTGTGGAAACACACTGTGCTTTTTTATGTGTACTTCAGTATATGATTCAAACATAATCTTGACTGGAAAGTCTTCGTCATGCTCTTATAAGCAAGCACTTTATCCACAGTACACAACGTGTTACAGAGTGAGGCGCTGCTAAATTCAGCACTGAGACGTGACGCACTGAGATGTAACCCTAAAACCTAAGACCAACTCAAGCTTCTTCCACCTCCTGTTCATCATTCTGGGGATGATTGTCATGTTCTGGGTCAAACATGTCGGATGCTTTTTCACAGAAAAGGAGAACCTTCTGAAATCCTTTGTGATGTCAGAGATGACTATTGGAGTCATGTGTCAACACACTGATACCCATCAAAATGAAACATCCTGCTTCCCCACATGCTACAGATGAGAGCTGCAGTTTCCAGTTTAGGGACTGGTTGAGAAGAGTGTGTATGAATGTGTAAACCTGACCCGTTTTGACTGTTTGAGCACATTTTGGGAATTCAAACCAACCAAACTCTACAGTGACCATACTTACCCTGTTGAGGAACCCTGCAACTTGTCAGCCAGAAACAGACCGCCAATGTGCTTAAGTGTGTATGCTTTGGATGATTGTGTTACGTACTGACAAGTTAGACAGACAGGGAGGTTTGCGTAGCGCCAAAATAGGCTCATTGTGCATGTTGTGTAAAGTGCTGCATGATATGAGTGTGTATGAGAAGCGAGTGGTACATACACGCTGTGTAAAACTTAGATGGTGGTATGGAGGAGGCCTGAGCTTCTGAGAGACCGGGGTCGCACGCTAAGGAAGACGCAGCCTCCTTTCCTCCTCCATCGTCCTCCTTTACCTTCTCCTCTTCATCTTCCACCTCCTCGACTCTTCCTGCTAATCTCTTTGAAACTCTACCAGACCTCTGACCCTGTGATAAAAATCAAGATCATTTACATTAACCAGGAGATGTTTACGCTGGTTCTACACACAGACTAAAGGTGAGGACATACCACACATAAATTCAATTTCTTGGTGTCCATGTTGAAATGACTTACCTTGACTGTTGATCTGGCAGGAGAAGCTTTTCCACGTCCCCGACCTTTAGATTTAGGCACCTTAGGGCCAGAGAGAGTCTTCATAGTGAACGCAGCATGCTGAAGGATGCAGTCAGTGCCACAGTACACAGAGTCCTGTAGGGCTTGTTTGGAGCAGCCAGGTCCAATGCACAGAGGATGAGTGCTGGCTGTCTCCATATCAACTTCAGGTTCAGGTATTGGCTCTGACTTAATCAGAACAGTTGCCTTCTCCCTTTCCTCCTCTTCCTTCTCCACCACCACTGCCTCCTGAAACCAAACTTGCATCTCAGACACACAAAACCAAACTTCTACCATGCAAAGCAGCCACTGAATAACAATGGAAATACAATAAAGTAATGGAAAATAATAAAACAAATGGTAAATCAGAGTTTCATCATCACTGAAATACAGGCAAGAAAACAAAAAAACATCCCATTAAACAGCCTGAACAGCAGTGAATTGTGAAAACCTTTAATGTAAATGTGTCAGACACAACATGCTAACAAGTCCTAGCTGGGCATTTAGCTGACGAAGTATAAAGATGTAGAATTGGTGGTGAAAAGCTATTTGAAATATACAGAATTCAAAAGAAATGTGTTGCAAATACAGGTATTATGTAAAAAAAGGAAAACAGGAACAGACAAAAGCACTAAAAGTTACAGTAAAAGTTTTAGCAAGTGTCCATACTTAAAGGACTGCGTTGTGACACACTTAATACTGTCACTGTGTTTAACTATTGCAGATTTTTCTGACACTATACAGGCACACCATGAAGACATATCACATACCTAAATATCAGACAAAAATGATGTTGCTGCTGAAAATACAATTCTGTATTTAAAAGTGGTGTTGAGAAAAAGCAGCCATTAGTAGACTGATGACCAAAAAAAAACCACATTTCTTACCTTCACATCTTGCAAATCTTCATTCTCCTCTCCTTCCCCACTGAGAGCTCTAGGAAGGCTTAAGCATTCAGGAAGGATAAGCTCAGGCTCTGGCTGAGGATCGAGTAGGGGCTCAGGTTGGAGTTGAGGCTCAGGTTGGAGTTGACTCTGTGCAGTGCAGCGGGAGCAGACGTACTCTTGCCCTTTCCTATCCACATAACAGTCCTGCGTCGCACTCAAGCCAACACAGTCGCCATGAAACCAGCCCTGGCAACTGTCGCAACAGATCATGAACCTGAAACGTTGAACCAACAACCGTTAACAGCAAGTGAAACTGACAGATGATTGAGGTATGCAAACCTCTGATACCCCTGAGATCCTTGAGCAGTAATGAAACTTACCTGCCATCTGGTTTTTGTCGACAGATGCAGCACAGAGTATCTGAGTCCGGGCCATCAGAGACTGATTTGCCTGAATACTCTCCCCCACTTTTGTCATCTTTATTTATCTCTTCTTCCTCCTCCTTTTCTGGGGGTTCTGGTGCATCATCATACTGGCCAGGAGTTACATCACTTGCGGCGTCTAAATCTGAGTCTATGATTATGCAGTCAGAGCTTAATGGCTCAGCAGGACCCAGACTGACGTCAGAGTGAGCAGGCGGTTTCTCTGTTTCAGCGGGGCTGTGTGAATTGTTTATTTTCCCCTCCTCTTGCAGCTGCTCTTCAACTGGACTAACAAGCACCACATCATCATCCTCATTGTCCATAATGTTGGATAGAAGCTCCACCGCTCTACCCCTTCCTCTGCCTCTACCTCTGCCTCTTCCCTTTCCTCTACCTCTGCCTCTCCCCCTTCCCCTGGCCTTTCCTCTTCCACCTCGGCCCCCTTTCGCCCCTGTGTTGCCCTGCCTGTCTTTGGCTGCCATCTGCTCCTTAATCTGTATCAGAGTCATGTCATCGCTGTCGTCTTCTTGACTGGAGATCAGCACGACACTGTCAGTATCTGCGGTGTCAGGAGCAACTGGCTGTGAAGTATCCATTTCGTCAGAGGAGTCAACGTTATCGGCCCCCTCAGCTTCATCCATAACCTGTGGAGGAGAGGGCTCAAGGGCATGACTGGCCCCGAAAATGTCCGGGATTGCCTGCGAGTCGGACATATCCAAAGACAAGTCCTCACCTCCGCCGAGCAGCGAGAAGGCTGTGTGGAAGGCGGACCCATAATCTTGCCACAAGCTTGGGTCGAGGGTCACCCCTCCTGCTGATGTTTCTGATGCTTGCTTGCTCTCCTCTGACGCAGGTGAGGATGGCGCAGACCACTCGAGGTCGTCTATAACACTCTTGGCTGTGCGAGAAGCTCTCTGGGCTGTGTCGGTTTCTTTAGGGGCCTGAGGCGTCTGGTTGGTTTTACGACCTCTGCCTTTGCGGACAGGTGGAGGACTGTGGCTGAGATCACCAACTTCTTCCAAGAACTCCCTTCTTGCAATTGTTGTCCGTCTGAAGCCCCAGGACTTTTTAACCTGAGATAATGACGGCCTTACATTCAACTCTGAGTCTTCTGACTGGTTCTGCTGCTCTTCTACAAGAAGACAAGACCACCAGAATTATCAGAGAAAGTTTTTCTCTCATGAACACAAACTCAAGTCTTGAATATTACCTGTATTATTATCAGCAGCGTTGTTGTTATCCATGTCCATACTGACATCCATGGGTTTCAGGGCTGTCTAAACATAAAGGATGTCATTTGTTAGAGTGTGTCCTGTAGGGAAGGTTGGATCATAGCTTCATACAGAAAAACACCACCAGGTGGCTGCCAAAGCCTCATTTTTTAGAGTCATGCCTGTTGTTCTCCAGACAACAATAACCAGCCAATGATATGGCAGAAACCTTTTGCATGTAGACATGAAGGCATGTTTGAAACAAAGCAACTCAAAAGTGACGAGTTGGGATTTCACTGATTTGTAACTTGTTTTTGTTGTTGACGACCCCTGGCTGAATATTTCCAAAACTTCCAGGCCTGAATTCACAATAATGACATAATTTCGATCACTGTCACTGTAATTTCTGTTGAATACATTATCAGCTGAACTTGATAAGTATAAAGCTTTTATGCTGTGTTTCCTCAATAGTTAAGTAGTGTTTCCCATAGATAGGCCTGATAAACCAAACTGTATACAATTATAATCTAAGCTTGATTAAATAGTGTGTGATCTCCCTTTGATATGCAACCCCTAAGCATCTAATGGTAAATATGAGCCTTTCAATTCTGTTGTCTTTTATCATTTGGAGCATTTCTGTACACTCTTAGTTCTGTTATTTTCTAAATAACAAGCCTATCTACACCAAACTCAGCTGTCATACAAACAAAGTCAAAAAGTGAAACTCATATTTTCTAGTTGCTAAATGTTTTGCAATCACTGCGATGAGTCCTAACAGCTCTTTGTCTTAGGAGCTCTCATTAAGACTAAAATATTTCCCTTTACAAAGATCTATTTCTAAACTTTTAGGCACAGTTCTTGGAAAATTCACATGGAAATTTGCTACTAAGAGCAACTCTTTGTGTTAATAACAATATAAATATGACTGATGATCTATTTTGGCTTCTGCTTGCAACTACCACTTCTTGGTACAAAAACCCCCAGATTTATAAATTGTAAAACACGCTGAGAGTGGCAGTCCTCCAGTGTTAGACAACAGAGTCTGGTGAGACTTGTTAAAGATGATGGGTGAACATATGTAACCTATCTTATTTAGATATTGGGGTCAGACTTTGGTGTAAACAGCAAGACTGCTTGGACTAAACACCTTTGTGGCTGATGATTTAATTAAAAGCCACAGTTAATCCTTTTAAATGTTAATGTAACACTAAGAAGCATGCACTCAATAGCCTCCAAAATCACCCAAAACTAATTCAATCAAGCTTGTCAGGGTTGTGGAAGAATTTGTCAAACCAACAAAGGTGAACTGAGAAAGATGGAAACCTAATGTGACTTAAAGTGAATGTTTACCTGTAACTCTTAATACTCATGCACATACCTCAAGCTGAAACAATCCCTATTTCAATTATTAACATTATGACTATTATCGTTTTAAGATGTAAGGTTAAACAAAAAACACGTTGTATTTCGTTTGTTTTGATCTAATATGAGCTATAAAAGCTGTTGTAGTGAGTTAAGGCAATAATAATATAGTAAGCTACTCCTATGCAAGATATTCATTATATCAACATAAGACTGACCACTCAAATGCCCAATAGTACATACTTTAAACAAACTTGTGAGCGAATTCAACGTGAAAATGTCCCTTGCTTCTTTTACAAACTGAAATGTGAAAGTCGACAGACATTGTTCTCTGCAGCTAATATTGCTAACCGCTACCTGCCCAATTAATGCTATAAATGACAATGCCACGCGACACAACTTGATAAATAATGTTGCAGAGTTACGAATTTACACCGCGCATTAAACTAATACCATACCTTGAATACAAACGATAAGTTTCCAGTTCTTGCAGTGTTCCCCTTAGCTGGGATGCTATCAAGCACAGCCGTCCATTTTCTCTTTCTTGCTGCTTAGGTATTCTCGCGAGATTTTCTCACAGGAACGCAATCCCGCGGTTTGTTGTCTATGTGATAACGTGACCCATGTCCCATGCTATGATGGTGTCCGTAGAAAACGGTGAATGAGGGGAATGCCCACGGTGATTTAGTTGATCAGAGTATTTTTATTTTTTCTTCACGACTCCATTTATTGTATGTACAGCATGTAAACACGAACGAGACGCAAGCTCATAACAAACATGCTCACAGTAAAGAACAACCAGCCAAATGCAGTTTTATTTACTCCTACCAAGTTCTTAAAGTCTGGTCATCAGCTTTGGATAACAGTTAAACAGAGTTTGCTCAGAGCTGACATTCATGTGAAGTGATTCATTTTCAAATAACTTTGTTTAGACACATAGAAATGTGATTTAATTAAACATACTATAAAAACACTATATATAGCACTATAAATATTGTTCAGGTACTTTCTTACAAAACTTTTTACAGTTTACATTTTTTAGTTCTTTGATAAATCACAGATTTTTTTTATTCAGGTCTATACAAATGAAGAACTGCGTAACAAAAACAATGTATGGGCCAGGTGAAACATGTCACAAAATGGTTTAAAAACCAAAACTTGCATAACTTATACTTTGATGGCACTTTGATGAATAAGCAACAACTGCCTAGAGCTGTGTCAGATGTTTCTTTCTTTTTAATGAAATGGAAAGCATTCACAAGTAAACAGCTATGTACTCAAGCAGCATTGAAAGTGTTTGTGGCAAATATTGTGTTGTGTGACTGGATACAGTCTTGTTCAGCCTTGAACCAGAGGGAAAGAAAGCTACAGAACAAAACTACAGTATGAAAACATACAGACTCACATTTTATTACTCAAGACAGACTTCTTTCACTGGGTTAACGTCCACATGAACACACACCTGTAGATACTCCAGATGACAGATGAAACAAAATATGGGAATGAAAGTGATTTGTCAGAGAGGCGCAGGCCTTCAAGCTTCGAGTTCGACACAACAAATACAACAGCGGCCTTGCGAAATGTCTGAGAGTAACTGTAGTGTAGAAGTTAGGTCACAGTAACACCAGCACTGTCTTTGCTCTTGTCCATATACGAGGGAGAGTTGCTTTTGTCTGATATGGATCCTGCTCCTGAGGGCAGGGTCTGTGTGGAGGGAGAGTGTCCTGATGGTTTGACTGAAGGGTCTGAGTTGGATTCCGCTTCTGGCTCCTGTTGAGAGGCTGTGGCTGGAAGACAAAACAAAAGATAAGAAATGAATTCATGGACACTGTATCTTTGGTATGTCTCTGCAGAGTCCGAAGTCAGACTGTTGTTTTTAATTTGCAGAGGTGCATATATTTTTACACATGGTGGTGGTTCCATGCTTATTACACATTTGGTATAAAGTAAGAGATTCTGTATTCTTCTTGTTTTTGGAGAATACAGTATAGAGAGGGAACCGTCTTAATCAATCTTTCTTCATATCTATAAACTTCCCCTCAAACTAAAAGTTTGTTTTGGTCTATTAAATACAAATATATTGCAAAATATCCATACAAATTACTAAGCTCTGTATCAGACTGGGTGTTGTATTTTATACTAAGGGCAAACCATCAATGAGACAACTCAGCTAGAGGGCTGCCATAGTAAAAACAGAAGAGCCTTTCTGTTTATTTTATATGGCTAATGATCCAACTGAAAATCACACTCCTAAATTTATGCTACAAAGTGCCAAATAAGAATAAAACAAAGCAAAGGGAACAGAAAATCAAAAAGAAATGTTAGTGACACTTTTAAATGTACATATTGTTTCGTCAGTGTGTTTATGCTACCTGACTGTGTGCAGGACTTCATGTGTTCTGGCCAGTGGGCCTGCTGGCAGGGGTAATCACAGTAACTTGTATTCCAGCAGCAGTAGAAGATGGCCTCTTTCCTGCAGTTTGCGCACCACTGTTTCTTTTTGGTCTCGTCCACTGCTTGCTGCTTTTCTGACTCCATCTGCTTCTTCACCTCAGCCACCAACCGTTCTCTCTCCTGCTCCAGACTCTGCCTCATCTCAGCCATTGTCAGTTCTGCATTCAGATTGAAAAGAAATGAACACCTTAACTTGCAAAAAAAAAAGACAGACCTAGTTCGTTGATATCATCAGGGAGGAAGCCAACTTACCAAGATTGTGCTTCATCTCTGACAACTCTTGCTGATGCAGCCACTGGAGCTTTTCAATCTCTATCCTCAGACGTCTTATCTGTTGAAAAACACACCGAGATTAAAAATTACCCTTGAACTAGTCTGACATACTTGTATGAATTTATATAAGTTACCTCTGCGATTGTGTTCCCTGATGTACTTTTAGAGAGGTCATTGTAGATTTCAGTCATTGTCCCTTTTATTGTGTCCATGATCTGTGGAGTTTTGACAAAAATATATATATAAATCTACAGTTTATATGAAGAAAAGTTTGCCTTTAATTTTTCTGTTCTCCGTGATATATACATACAGCTATGAAAATGATAATTTGGAGAGATAATAACCTTTTCTTAATAACAATAACTCAGTCTGATAAAATCTGGTGTGTCATCATAAAGAATAGGATTCTTACTTTGTTTGTGTACTTGGCGATATCTGCAGCCACATCTGCTGAGACTGTGGGAATCTGCAAGTCTCCTGATGTGTAAGAAGAGGAGCTCGCAGATGTGACTGGGGCACCTGTTGAGGAGGATGTACTCTGAGGGGGGTCTTTTTGTTGCACTGCATAGGAATAAGGTGATATCATACATCTTTCGTTCGCATTACACTTAATTAGAAGTTAAATTCGGATTAAGAATTGCTCTAGAGTTGATACCTTTCACTGCTTGTCTGGTCTGGTAGCGGGTACTTGAAGAGGAGTTCTGCAGCTGCTGTGGGCTGCGAGTCTGATTCTGGGCCTGTGTCTGAACTGTTGACTGCTCTCCATGCTGCTGCTGCCTCTGCACCTTCTGCATGTGCCACTTCTGAGAAGATGTTTGGAACTTAGTTGGATTCCAAACCACTGCACGCTGCACGGCCTGAGCCGTCTCTTTAGGCAGTAGAGGGCGCTGTTTCTTCGCTGCTGCAGGAACTGGGGATGTCGCGGAGATGGAAGTGGCTGCAGAAGAGGGAACATTGGTCGAAGCTGTGGTGGCAGTGGGTTGGCCTGAAGCTGCAGTGGACACAAGGTTGAGGGCCGCTGTGATGGGAGGTTGTGAAGAGTCTTTCAGGTTAGAGGCAGCTTCTCGTGACGGTGTAACTGCTGCGGCAGCTGAAGGCACTTTACCTAGGCACAGTAAAAAAAAGAATAAAGTTCCTTTAGAGTGAGACATCTGGACTTTTTTATGTTGCTGGTCCCCTAGTTTTATACATCCTCACATGTTCACAGTGAGTTCACTTAAAGTTGCAAAAAGAAGGTGAAAACAGCAGGTCATAAAAATGTGTTTTGAAGTGGGAAATTAAGAGTTCTACACAGCTGAGGCTTGCACCTGATCTCTGCTCAAGGCTGGCGGCCCACAGACATATTTGCAGTGACTAATACACTAGAATCTCTGACCCACTTATTAATGGTTCAATCACACTGAGGATAATGAAAGGAACAAGTTCAGACAAGTGGGGAGACTGTGTGGGAAACGATCTCTATGGCACTCTTTAAAGCAATGGATGTTTTGTGAAGTACTTCAGCTTTTTGAATTTGTATAGACTTTGTATAAATGTGCAGAGGCAGAGGAGACTTAAGAGTTTTGAAAAATGTGGACTGAGTTTGTTTAGTTTAATCGATGACGTGGATAAAACAGGTACAAGGAGGGCTGCAGCACTCAAAGATCATGATAAAAAAAGCATCATTTGATGAAAACAAATTGACTATTTTTGGTTGGGACATTTAAGTGAGTGAGAAGATAAGTAAGCTTTATGGGAATGAGGATTTTGTCTCTTTCTCTTAATCACAAAAAGGTATCTATTCACAAAACAACCGCAGATTAGAGCTTTTCTTGAAAAATGTTTATAGAGTCCGAACGACACATTTAATAAAACTAACTAAAGACGTCGTTGCATTGATCACTCAGTTAGACAGACCCTGGAAGATGAGTTCAATCCAACCAACAACAGCAAAAGAAGAGCTATTGACCATTTTAAATAGTGCAAACCCTTAAGTGTTTCACTGATCCTTTAAAACCTAATTTCATGACTGATTTTCAGTCTCAACCTCCAAGTTAAATGGATTCCCAGCACCTCTGCGTTCTCCTAAAGTGTCATTTGTCCTTTTTTGCAGTTAATGAGTAAAAATAGTGCATTTTGGAACAACAGTAAATGTTCACTCCGTCCTATTTATGGCAATTTGATTTCTCATAAGATTACTCTTATAACTATTTTAAAAGTCCGGATGATAAGAGGTGCATGTTCTTTTACATAACGGTAAAATCATCTCAGTCAGAAACCTGAGTATAAGAAGATCTGATGAACACAGTATAAAGTAGGCAAAATGTTTGTTACGTATTTTGATGGACTTCTATTTTTCAGGACCTCAGTCGGAGGTGAAAGTGGTTAAAGTATGTTAAACACCTTACCTTCCAGCTTCACTGCATTTGACTCTTTGGGGGTTTTGGCAGCAGAAGCCCCTGCCTCTCTTCTTGCTCTCTTTGAGTCACGGCCCCCATGTTCATCTCCCAGATCAATGACCAGCTCCCTTTCAGAATCAGAGTCCTGCTCAGTCATTGATGCAGAGGCTGCTGCTGCTCTCCCTTCCTCTGAGGCTTTGGGTTTGTCAGAGTGATTTTGGGGCGTTCTGGGCTTCTCATGGAGGTCCTTATCTGGGCCATTACTAGCCTGTTTGTCTTTGAGCTGGGGTTCAGAGGTGACTTTATCCGCTGTCCCTGTAATCCCCTCCTTACTCTCTCCCTCTGTGCTTGCTTTTGGCCTTTTTCTCTCTGTTCGGTCTTTGTCATCCTGCGTGGAGCTCTTTGGCTTGTGGTCCTCGTCACTCAGATATTCGCTGTCACTTGAGTCCGATTTCTCAGAGTCCTCAGAGTCACTGTGATCCACACCTTTGTACACGTCTTCAGAAATCTCATCTATCCCTGTATGAGGAAACACAGTCTTAGTTGGACAAAAACATGGTAGCACATATTTCAGCTAGAACATGTTTGGAGTGAAATCTAATAAAAACAAATGAGGTAAAACTATCATGACATCTAAAAGAGTGGGGTCAAGTTGAAAGGATAACTCGAGCTTAAATCAGTTCACTTAGAAATCAAATGATTCCAATAAAATAAGTTCTGCATACCAAGCTGTGCTTTGCAGCTCTCAATTGTTTTGTCCAGGCTCCTGATAGGCCTCTTTGGGGTCGGGAGGGCAGAGGAAGACCCCTGCTGTTGCTGATTCTGTTGTTGTTGCTGTTGCACCGTCTCACTCAGTTCCTTCAGATCCATCTCAGCCTTTACTCGATCTGAAATCAAATTAAATGTTTAATTCAAGCATAGCAGCAAGATGGCAGTGGTAAGGAGGATATGAGGACTTTTATGACGACATCATTTCGCTATGTTTGTGCTGTATGTACCGACCTAGGTTGAGATTAAGAATGCCACCTGTGGCGGTGGTCCTTTCCTGCTTTGGCACCAGTCCAGGGTTAAAGGGTTTTGGGCTGCTGGTCACGCTGCCTGCAGGACCCATCTTTCCTGACACAGGAGAGGCTGGCACAACAAAATAGAAACAGTAAAATTTAGTTCCTTCATTTCCACGTAGTAAGGTAAAATAACTTATCATATTAATCATGGCTACACATCCATATTGTCTCTTTGGTATTTTGGTTTCTTGCTAGTTATACACATCCAGCAGCGACAGACAACACTGTGTTTTTCAGCACCTTGTGAACTTAAAGAATAACCACCCATGTGTCTGAAAATGTTAACCGTGGGTCGTGTTTGAATCATCCTAAGTGCATGATCCAAAGAGTGCGACACAAGGTGAATCATAAGGTGTTTTTTTTTATCGAAGTGAAACACAATCTGAGCACTAAGTAAGGAGCTAAGTCTAAAGAGGTTTTATTAAATCCCCTTAATTATTCAGAGACGTGTTTTAACATGAATCAACGAGCTGGTGTCTCTGCTGTTACTCTTTCTAGGAGCCCACAGACAGGTATGCTGCTATCTACACAGCAGATTTCAGCCTTCCTCTTTCATTTCAATAAACACACGCCACTTTATGAGTCACGTCAGCGCATGGATTAATGTTAAATCCACTCAAACGACCCCCCCTGCACAGCATGACTGATCAGGGACTTTCCACATTAACAATCATGTGAACATTTACACTCCAGGTACTATTTCATTAAATATTAAAAAACAGGAAGTACAGACAGTATCTACATTTAAGAGAGGTAGGTCCTGAATGACTGTTTCTGCTGCTGTATATAGAGCAGTCAGTGACATTTAGAGTTATGTTGAAGGACTGTTGAAAAACATTGCTCCATTGTGTGCAAGTGTGTCAGTTTTGGCACGTAAATGAGAGAACAAATAGTGAAGGCCATTGACCTCTCACCCTGTAATTGCTGGTTGCACAGGGCTGAGGTTAAACAGGTGTTGTAAGATAGCAGTGATAGTGTACTTTATTTCCAGGATCCGAAGATCAGCAGATAATGTATTACGAGTCTAAACACAGCTAAGCGTCTTTGCATATAGACAAAGTTATGCATGTTGAGAACTCTTTTGTTCATTTTACTGTCTCACTAATAGCAGGAAAGAACCACAGACCAGGTTCTATGTCTGTCTACGACAAATTCTTTTTTACTTCCTCAAGACAGACACTCGTTACCTTTGTGCCTGACCACACCTTGTTTTAAGATCAACACACCCTCAGGTGTAAACATGTGTGCAAGTTCTCTTGCTATTTACACAGCGTGGGTGTAAATCCGAACAGGTAATAATGAAACTTGTGCAGCACGCTACAACATTGTGTAGAGCCAACTGTCTTTACAATACGCATCTATTCAGGAGTTACGTTTGAAATAAAAAATGACATTTATTCACCAGTGCAGTCCATTGATTCCTCTCCAGTGCTGTAGTGGTAGGCAGGATTCCTGCTGGGCTTTTCCATATCTTGCTCCCCATCAGACCCTGTGTGAACCGAGGAGTTGGTGCTCATGGGAGACCGAGGCATGTCTGTCATGGAGACCCTCCGACTCATACTACTAGGAGTTGAACTTTTGCCAAGAACCATCTTGGGAGAGGCGGTGATATCAAAGTTGAAGCGGAGTTTATCCGGTTTCTCCGTCTTTACTGTCCCAGCGCCGGGGTTGGAGGGGTCCACAAGCATCTGCAGCTGGTTGTTGGGTGTGAAGGGAGTGCGGAAGGGTGCATAGTTAAAGACCCCGAATTTCTTGCGAATGTTTTCCACATAGACCTCCATCTCTTGCATGGCACTGTTGAAAATGCTTTTAGTCTTTTTCACTGAGAAAGGGATCTCTTTGGACATGAGGTAGCAGTTGTTGATGGGGACCCAGGCCCTGAATAAAAACACAGGAGGTATGTCAGTGCTATGTTGTTTTTCTTTCTCCTGACTGATGAATAAAAAGATGGGAACATGCTACAAAAATAGGGATGATCTCACCTGTCATGTTGCCCGAAGAAGCGTGCGTCTACCTGCCCGTCCTTATCCCGAAGTGCTTTAGCCGGCCAGAAAGGAAAGCCCTTTAACTTGGCCCACACCAGAGGATGGGGTTGACTCTATCAAACCAAACAAAAAGACACTTGTTTACAACGAGTGTTATACTCAGATCAACTGTAAGTGAACCATAGACTGTATAAAACATGAACATACTCTCAGCCTTTCAATGCTAAATATCACTCAATTCTCCCAAAGTGTTCATAAAGCGTAATTACTTTCAATTTTGATTTCATTCAGTCATAAGGAGGTTTAGTTGATGCACTAAAGCCAGATGTGCACAAGGATGTGTCTCATCTGTGTTTAATATCTGCATTTCATTTCCTAATTTTAGACATTCTGAGCAAGAGAAGAGTTTGTAATAATAACACGGCGCAGTGATGGCACAGATTATTCTCAGGTGGGTGTATAAAAAAACGGGGACAGGCCTGTGTAATGTCTGTATTTACTCAAGAAGGAAGACCGGTTTCATTTTGTAATATGATAAAACGCCTCCATGTGCTGCGAGGGGAGGGAAGATGAACAGGGAAGAGTTATTACTCAAAGCGTGTAGTTGTGCTCTGATCACTATAAAACCACATGCTGTCTCAAACCTCCAAACTAAAATTTTCCATCACTGGTTCAATATGATTTTCAAGATATGCAAAGACCTACACATGGCTCACAGAACCAGTTGTCCCTCTTTTGGCATGAAGACAGGTAGCACTCTGGACACACTTCAATCTCATTCATCTGCAGAAAGCAAGTTGAATAACAAAGACATCATAACTTCATCTGTTTGACACATTTAGTAAATCATTTCACGAAACGAGTGAATGAATCTTTTTTACCTCATGTTCGCAAATTTTTACAATGACCTTCGCTGTGGCTGTTAGTTTGTGGTTACCTGGAAGAAAATTGGAATCAAAGTTAAAATTTTCTTCTTGAGAAAATTGGATTTGTGGAAGTTTTGTGAAAGTGAAAGTAGCTTACCTCCATTGTAAATTATGCAGTTGTGCAAGATCCATTTCATATCCGCAAGAAAAGCCTCTGTGCAGCCGTACATTTTCTTTTTGATATTCTATCAAACACAAATGTAACACATTCAGACAAAGAAACATCACGGATAATCATCAACTGTAAAATAAAATCTCTACCGTAATCTAGTAGTAATCTACCGTCTTACTTCAGAGAATTTAATGGTATGTTTTAATGTTTCACATTGATTCTTTTATTGTGGACTAAAATTTGTAATTTGAAGTTACCAATAAAATTTAGATTTTACTTGTTAAATTATTTCAAATGTAACAAATTATTGTATAAATGGTGTCAAGTTTGGTACAGCTTGATTCCCTGAACAAATCTTCATGTTTCTGAGAGGATCCAAATCTTGAATTCATCAAAATATTTCATCCTCTTCTGCCTTTAGTCAAAGTTTGTTTCTGTTTTTCTCTGTCCGTTCCGTTTTTTGCCATTTTTATGTGTAATAATGCAGAAATGTCACCTTCTCTAAAGTAGACAGGTCCATGGGGTGGAAAATGTACTCTGCATAATCCGGGTGCTGTTCCAGGGACACCGGCTTCTGAAAAGGCTCAGTCTGCCCAGATTAGACGAATACGTGGAACAAAAAGCAAAGAGCACATTAGAGAAGTGTGGAAGTCTCATTTTCAAGACATTCGTATTGAACAAAACTCTTTTCAAGTTTTAAAAGTTCATCTGAAGAAGCATTCTAGGAATCTCTTACCCCAGGCTGTTTAATCTTCTGAAGTGCGAATTTGAGCAAGTAGGACAGTTGGTCTATTGTTAGCATCGTCATTGCCTTGCTCTGGGTTTCGATGCATTCAGCGACTGTAATTTTCTGCAGCAACGACAACAGCAATGAATGTTCAAGAATTTATGACATTGATTTACATTTAACCACAAAATATAAGCTAAACACGGATTATAATTTGACATCTAACTTTTGTAAAGTTCAGGACTTCTACTGTTGTTGATTGAACTTAAACGCACGTACGCACACACACGTATTTTTACATATATTTTTGTAAAAATACTGTGAAAAAAAGTTTCGCTTAAAAGTAAAGAAAGGAACGAAAAGCAATCTTCTAAAATCTCCCAAATTTATAGTTTCAGGGGTGTCAGACCATGTGTCATGTGGAGAGCAAAGACTTGTGGACTGGTCACAGGCAAAAAAAACACCTGATAAAATGGACCTGCTCTACTTCCTGACATGGTCTGACATCCCTTGTTGCCCACTGTGCAAGGAGGATTGTGTCTTATTTTCACAATCAGTTGTGTACACCCACAAACATACACACGACTACAACAGGATACCTCACACTCTGGACAGAACCAGTCGCCCTCGGGCTCAGCTGGTAGTTTGAGGCACTTGGCGTGGTACACCCTGGGGCAGAGCTCACAGCAGAGCACCTGGCCCTCGCGGTGGCACAACCAGCAGTAGAAGTCATTCCTGCCGTCCTGCGGTACAACATCAACAGGGTCTGTGGTGAGTGCTGGCTGCTTCATATAGTAAAAGGGACCATGTCTTAGCTCTGACTGAAATGCAGGCAAGAGAAACAGGGGGGCAGGTTTCAAAACACACGCAAGGAACACAAAAAAGGTGCAGTGCAACAAAAACAGGGCAGCAGTGAGGGGAAGGGGGAGCAGGTTAAGCAGCATAGAGGGGAGGTAAAGGATATAACCCAAACATGAAACATTTCAAAGCACATACTGTAAGTAAAGTAACTAAAGATTCAATCATGTGACTGTTAAAACTGGGAGTTCAACAATCTCAACCAACTGGTTTTAGGGTGTGAGCTCTAGGAAAACTGCTGATCCTTTTATGTTTTGATTGGATAGCTCATCTTACACCGAGAGTTCACACAGCCTATAGTGCTGCTTTCTGAAGAGTTTCATACTGGTACTGTACTGATTAGCTGACTTAACTGATACTAGATTTGTGTATCAATAGAAACTGATTAGCAGATGTCAACAGGATGGTTCAGAGTATTGATTAAATCTCCTGATCTAAAAAGGCATCCAATACTTTAAATTCATCAATGTTGGTAAAATTCAGATGAAGCCTATCTGACATTCAAACCATTTTTTTTTTTTTGTAACCAAACAAAGCAAACAGTTAGCACACTACAAAAATAATAGTATCTCAACATCATGCAAATTTAACTAAAACTTGAACTAAAAATTCAAAGAAGAATCACCCACCACCAAAACTAATCCAGCCAGCAACTTTGATAATGTAAATTTACCTAAACTGATCAGTTAAATATGCAAAGATTTCAAGTATGCAGATATGTACCATGTTAACTAGGTGATAATGTAAACAGAGGCAACCATGCACTCGTGGCACTGCTGCCAACCCTCACAGGACACCCATAACAAGACATATCTCCTGTCACTGCGAGACACACCTATATTTATCCATCTGTAAGCCAACAGCAAACTACAGTCAGAATATAAATGGGTAATGTGACTCAGTTCATACGGTCAGTACTTCTGTTTTCACCCTACACTAGAAGACCGAAACCTCAATCAGGCAGTGTGTGGTTTCAACTTTAAAAATGAACACCCTTACTTTGAAGGCAAACTTGTGACCCTATCTTTGACTTCAACCATACCTTAGGGTAGGCAACAAGTCCTATAACCTACTCAGCAAACCCCAGTCAGCTGGATTTTGTGACAGTTTATAAAACCTTCATCCAGAGTTTCATACTTCGGACCAAAATCCTCTCTCTGACAAATTTTCCCTCTCTTTTTTCTCTCTCCTGATTTTGCACACATCCTTTTCGCTCTTTCTCCATCTAGCTCTCAGCAGGCTCTTTGAAGGGGTCTTTTGTGGATAATCACTCTTACTCACTATCCACCTGCTGCTCTTTGGATTAAACACATTGCTCATGTTGTCTGTGTCGTTCTTTGTCCTATTGCTTTTACTCACTCCACTATATGGGGTGCAAGGACAGACTTCCTGTCTTCCTGCCTTCGAAAACAGACCAGATGTTGGGATGAGTATCCCTGAGCCCTTACCTGGTCTTTGCTGTTGCTGTTGATGGCCCCGGGTTTCTTCTTTTTCTTGATAGGGCTGGGGGAGGTGTCTGAGGGAGAGTGTCCATTTGAGGAATGGGTGGGACTTGAAACCTTTCTCTTCTGTGCTGCACCCGGTCGTTCGGCTGACCCCGCCGGATCAGGAACTGGATGCAAAGAAAATCAGATGATAAAAGATGGAGTTGCATTCTTCTTTGTCCCAACAACCAACACATTAATGACGCTCATGAAGACTAGAAAAGAGAGGTTACAAGCTCTTCTTAAAATAGCCAAAAGAATGAAAATAATAATAGCTCTCCTGCCGTCAAATTTCTGAAACCAACTGTTATAAAATCAAGCAATCAGTTTTAGCTTAACTGGTTTGATTGCCAGATGCTGCGTTCTGCTTCATAAATTTTCTCATCAAGAAATCACTGAAATCTGCTGACAGCAATTACAATTGATCTGAGGAACAATTACTGAAGATGCCACCTATGGATATCTAACAATCACTTTAGCAGTAGCAATAGCTTCAGGGCTCCCTCCAAACAAACCAGACTCTGTGTTAACACTTGACACAGATTCTAAACAAGTAGACAGCCGGGAATGATGGATTAACTCTCTGATCCTGAGAGGCAAACAAAATGCATCACACTGCACTCGTAACTCGCAGTAAATAACCCCTTCGTTCTCTGAAACGAGCACAGCCGAGATGTTTGAGTCCTAATGTGAGCTGCTCGGCCTGAAAGACTTACCTTTGGATCGTGCAGATGCATCCATCCCCTCTACCACATCAGACTCTGTCTTTACCTCCTCCTCAGCCAGACTGCAGAGCACGGAACAAGCACACAGGAACACAGAAGAAGGAGAGGCAAACACAAAGTCAGAAAAGGCTGTTCAGAAACCACATCAGCATAACAGTAAACAAGTGGAACACCACCTAAGGCACCAGGGTCCCATAGGATCTGTCAATAGGGACACTGCAGGTTTCCATTGTTGTTGTTTTCACTTGATTTCAGCACATCTCTGACATCGAGGGTACCAAGTTCAAATCCTCTCCATATTATCAGTGACAAAAAAACAACTCTGAATATTCTCTTTATTTGTTGAGAATGAGAATGGTAACAAATCACCATGGCAACGCTCCTCTTTCCCGCAAAGCACAAGTTGATATTCAGAACAACACAAAGGGTAATTTAGCTGACAATACCTCGAACCTTCGTCCTTCAGAGTGAAGCCTGGCTAGGCTCTGATCTTTCCTGTGCTTTGACCCTGACAAATGGAGAGTGGTTTCACAGTACTCCGTTTCACTGGAGGGACAGTGTCTCAAGGCGATTAACAGTATGTGTATCTACAGCCTCTCAAGCTCCCTCAGTGACAACAGGGTTGCCTCGAAGGATTTGGGTACATTCTTTAAGACCAATAACAGGGTTGACCAAACGAGTATCTTCTTTTCATGGCATACACATTTTAACAAACTGTACAAGAGCACAAACCATTTTCCAGCTGTAGCTTTGGCAACACATTCCTGCACCATCCCTCCAGGATTTATCATTCTTTATTGTTATATACTGTACATACAACCCTCACATTAGATACAGGACTCCAAAGTTAAAACTTGTATTTTAAGCTTATTCGGACATGTAAACGAGTCACTGTCTATGTTTTAGGAAAAAATCTGTCAGAGCACAGCCAACAAACACCCCAAAAATAAATTATCTTCAAACATGTACCCAGCACAGGAAAATAAGGATTTCCAGCACACCAGGCTACCTCTCACCTCATTTCCTCTGAGGGGGAAAAAAAAAAAAAAAAGAGGGTTATGGCGATAAGTGTTTGGCCCCTCCTTTGTCAGAGCCACAGAAGGGTCTGCTTCCAAGGATGTAGCCTTTATTCTCCTGCCCCCCAGGAGAAAAACCCTCCCATAGACCCCTGACAGGTCACACTCTTGACCAGTTCATAGCTTTTCCTGCAGCTCTGGTTTCCAGCTAGGTCGATGGGTTTGCAGGCTACAACTCAAAGGTCAACCACATTTGTGGGATAAGCCTTTTCTTCTCTTCTGAATGTTAAAGAATGCTCTTCTCTTCCCCTCCTTCCCCACCCAGAAAGACATTCCACATCATGTTGATCAAATGTCCCTTCTCTGTTTGACAAAGACAGATTTACGTGCGTATGCTGAGTGGTTTAGTAATTCAGATATGACTAAAGAGACTGGATGTGAGCACATCAGATTCTACACCAAAGCCAAACATGAGGTTTACGTGACAATTCAGAGGTTTTACAGAAACCAAAGATTCTTTAAAACCTACCAAATCCAAACTTTAACTGAATCAACTGTAGCTTACAACCATCCAGGCTATCAACATAAAGATATTCTTAATTCTTGGTGGTTTCACCGAACCCAGAGTAAAGACAAAATATGCATCTCAGCCTGTGTTGTTTGAGAAACAACGTAGGTCACACAGAGTTCTTTAAAATATGGCATATGGGTATCTTGTTCCAGCCTGCCAACAGTCTCTCTCACACACACTCACACCCCAACCCCTCCGGGGCCTTCCTGTTCCGGACTGAGAGAACAAACGAGGCCCACATGAACACAAGAAAACGCTAGCCAAGTTGCTTTGCTGCGTGCATCACAGCAGTAGAAAAGACACAGCATTCGCAACAACCCTGTGTTATAAACACGCTTAATACTGATGGTAAGACACTGCTGCAACTACCGGGCAACTGGATGATCAGCAGGAAAAAGAGTGTGCTGATCCAAAGGGCAGATCAGGAGCTGTGATCCATCACACAGGAAGAGTTAGGCAAATAAATCCTCATCAGATTCTGGGAGATATTCCAGAGAGACGTGGGTTCAACAAGAAAACACTGACAGTATTCCCCTCTGCATGTAGTACCTGATGGACAAAAAGGAAACAACACTGACTCAATGCCTTTGGATTCCACTCCTGTGAGAGACGAGCAGGGTTCTCTCGTCACAGAAAATGGAGGCCAGAGCTTGCTCCCCTCCCCCCTCTCCCCCATCCCCCACTCCGAGGCTCAGACTCAGGCACTGGCACATCCATGCAGGAGGACCACAGAGATCTGAGGAGATTACAATCCAACAATTTTAAAAACACAGCTTTATCAAGACAAACCTTTTTTTTTGTCAATCGTGGATATAAGAGAAAAGAGAGAGAGACACGAGATAATCCAGCAGCAGGGAAAGTAACAATCTCTCTGGGTTATTTTTTTATTTATTGTTATTCTTTTTTATGTCCTGGATTTTGGCTTTCCTCTTTCCCTGTGACTACTGCTGTCACTGAATAATTAGATGTTATTTTGAAGAAGGAGAGACCAATGCTGTGAGGCCACGCTCATATCCTGGAAAAGCTATTCTCCGTCCTAAAAGAATAAGACAGATTTTTACACACCGAATAGATGAACATCTGGAAATTTGATTACAAGTTATTTTTTCAACATTTATCTGTATAAACCTACTCAAAAAATACCCTGTTGTTTTTGATTTTAAGGTTTTGCCAGAGCCATCAGTTTTTGCAATACTGACAACCTCATGCAAACAAATACTGAATTACATACCGACAGTTTTTACAGTTCCTAGAATGTAAAAAACAGCAGAATCACATTTAGAAGTTATAAATCCTATTCTATAACCATAACTTAATGACTTCAACACCTGTTTATGCACTACCTCTCTGAGCTAATCAAACAATGTTTGAATGTTGGAGTAATACACCTATTTTGCGAAAGATATATTTATAAAAAAGAAAGGTTTGACCTGGTTTTTATATAAGGCTGTAAAGGGCGAATCAAAGATGGCTGTGGAATTTTCCAGAAGGCCCTTGCTCTCCCTGCTGCTCTCCCTCCGATTGTCAATCTTTTACCTCAACTGCAGCTGCAATTGGCTAGAGGGCCAACAGGGTAGAACATTATTGGTCGGCTGAGCTGTGCCACACGGATCACAGTGTGCAGGCTCCCCTCTTCCTCTTAAAACACATTTTTGCTGCAATGCAGAGATTTCTCTCCGTTTATTTTCCTTTAGTTTATCTTATATTTCAACACCACGAGGATGGCATGAAGCAAGAGAGATTTGACAAAGCTGTCTGGGAGTTTTTTTTACTATCTGCACACCCCGGCTGCCCGATTCATAGGCTATGTTTCCTAAGAGAGAAGTCTGGGCAACTTGTCTTACACCATGACACCAAGTAACGCTGACATTTTTAACCATCAGTGAAGCATGTACGTCACATGGTCAAAGAAGCACTAAGGAGCAGCTCATGACTGTGTTACGTTCCTGTTTGCTGGCTGTGATGAAGTGAAACATGCCTCATGTCAAGAAGACATGAAAGAATGACACATTCTTTACTCCCACCCACGCAGTTGTGACTGTTAAAACTGAGAAAGATGATATAACACTACAATCCGCACTCTAACCAAGAAAGAGTTTCTTTACTCATCTTGTATTTTAATAAATTTCTTGTAAGTCCTCCAACCTGTGCCTGGAACGGTAAAAAACACGCATGTGCAGTTAAAAAAAAAAAGAGGGCAGATGGAAAGCAAACACAAGAGTTTAACTCCCTCAGCTAAATAAACACACTTCATGTAAAAAACACGATGTGCCATCTCATATTTAGTCCTGATGACTGGTTGCTGAAGAGAGTTCTCGTGTTTTCCTGGAGAAAGGACAGCTCATTTTAACACAAAATGGCTACTGCCTGTGTGAGGATCAGAAAGTGGACTGGAGGAAGCAGTGTCGCAACAGTGCTGCAGAGCTGACGGAGCGCGGGGCTGTAAACCCGGGGCCTGTAAACAGAGGTAACCTGTGTTTCTACATGTTACTCCTAAAGATTAGGCTTGGAGGAGTGCAGGATTCCTCTTTCACAAGCGTTTTGTTTCATTTGGGTTAAACCCGTGACTGGCATTGAGTCTTGAAACTCAATCCTTTCTAAATTTGTGAGGTATGGTACAGTTTCAGTGTCTGGTTAATTCATGTTAAAGAATAACACTGAAACTGGAATCTAGGTATGCCCCGAGCTCCTTGTCCTCCTAACAAGCACATCTGTTGCCTTTCATGTATGCTTCCCGGCCTGGCATGACACACAAGAAAACAGCACAGATCCAATCCACTTACAAAGGGTACATAATACCCCCTCCTCCTTCATTGCCCATCCCCCATTCTTTCTCTGCCAGGCTGCAATACAAGACTGCCACAACAGAGAGGAGTATGGGTGCCATTTTCAACTCTAACTCTCTTTTGCATTATAAAAAAGGAAAAGGATTTGCCATGGTCCACTCTGCCTCCTGTATGGCAGCTTGGTTGTCTGGGGCACCCATGTGACCCTGAGACACAGAGAGAGAGCAAGGGTGAGAGTCGTTACCCAACCCCCCACCCCTCTTCAGCACACTGGAGCAAAGAGGCCTGCCGAGGCCTCCAATCCACCCAACTCCTCCTCCTCCTCCTCCTGCTGCTCATGCACATAAACTGATTTTAAGGTGTGCATATTCATCATGTGAAACCAACAGTCAGCACAACAGCAAGAAGGAATCCATGTTGTTATCAGAGAGTTGAGATAAAAAAGACAGAGCTTACCTCTGTGGATGCATGGCTGCCTGACACACTGTTATGTCAACACTTATAAAACATGGAGGACACTCTCAGCCCTCAGCCGGGGAAGGCTCCGCTCTTCAGGCAAGGCGATCAGGCCCCGGTGATGTTAGCCAGATCCTGACTGGTCGCTTTCCTCACAGCCACGATGCAAGGCCGCGTCTGATTGGCTGAAATGTTTCCTGAGTAATTATCTTTGTTCAGTGCAGGCAGGGGCAGCACTGTGAGTGTCAGAGAGAGGGGAAGAAAAAATAAGCTGAGATCTAGGCCTAAAAATCATAAAAATACATGATTAATCCAAGAGTTTTTGACATACAAACCCTGTATAACATCATGTTGAAGCTCCCTGTCACAGAATCCTGCAGTGGTGATCGTATTTGGAGGCTTTAGAAGGAGAAATGGCAGCTTGTGGACTGAGGAGCAGGACACCATGGCTTCTCTGCACAAGCCTCCATTTTTTATGTGGAGAGGGCCTTTGTTTAAACTCCTCCCTCCCTCTTGGCTGTTACAAGAAAAAAGAGAGGCTGTTGCTCCTCACCTAATTTACCGCTGCGAATAGAGAAAAAGAAACAGGGGAACCACGATGAGGAAATCTGGAGTCAAACCACTTGTGTGTTCTAGAGAAGGGGAAAAAAAATCCTACATTTTTGAGGAAGCTGTACTTTTACAAAGCAAACAGTACTGTTGTACCCAAAATACACTAAATATAAAATAACCCAGGGAGTGGTTACTTTAGTAAATAACAACCATACATACCCATATTACCTTTTTAAAAAGGATGAAAATTTTACAGTAATTTTTATGTGATCAGATTATTTTTCTTGCATGATTTTGCTGTAGAAATGTAACCATTAAAGTTGGACCTAGCTAAATTAACCACCATCTTTTTTTTAATGTCTTTTAATCAGTAGTGTTAAGAAAAAGAAAATCTTATAAAGGTAATTTCACACCACAACTGTTTTTTACCTGTGATTATTTCGAATATATATTTTTTCGAACCTGTATCCTGTCAATACAAGCGTTCACATCAGCGACATTTTCCTGTCCTGCGATATTGCGGCATTTATTTTTTTGAATCATGGTCGATTTTTCTTAAGTTTCGCATACTGTGCGTCCACTTCTGACCAATCAGATAGCGTGTTGTTGCGACGTCAGATTCACCGGTATATCCAACAGTTTGCTAAACGTCTTTGTTTTAATTTTCATCTGTGCTAACGTAAGCTAACGGTTGTTACCATTGTTTCATGCGCTTATCTTATCGCCTCTGATTGGCTATCAGTGCTAAACATTTGGCTTGAGCTTGTGATGACGTTTCCTGCTTTTCTAGCCAATCAGAGGCAAACTTCTGAATATTTCATAATTTCTTGTTCTATATTCGGGTTGGCCTTGGTGTGTCAGGACCTTAACACCCAGCAAACCTTTAAATCTCTTCTACCTCGTGACCAGGATGAAAGACATCAAAAATCATCCTTTTTAACTGATCCCAAATTATTTGTTGATTAACTTTAGTATCTTTTAGAGCAGGGGTGGGCAATTATTTTGTCTTAAGGGCCACATTGGGTTTTAGATATCAATAGGCCAGGCTGGCCAGGTGGTGCACGAAAAAAACAAAAACAAATGCAGATTGGGGGTTAACTTATAATCGTGCTTGATGATAGGGGAAATATTTTGAAGGGCCTGTTGCAAATTACCCCATCAGAGACAGTTGATGACCCTTTAAAGGATTTTGGCCCCACTTTCTTGAGAGGACATGTTAGCAAGCCTGACAAGGGGCACTGTTTGTAACAGATCAAGCTTACAATATTTGGCTCATTAAGTACTCTTCCTTTTTTTGTGACGGCTCTGCGGGCCTGATGAAATCGTTAATCGGGCTGCATGTGGCCCCTGGGCCTCAGTTTGCCCACCTCTGATTTAGATCATCTGATGACACAGAATTAAACTGAGAAGCTTTTCTAATGCTTTCTATAAATAAAAAAAAAAAAACCTCACAGGTAACAGACAGGGTATAACACCTCTGCTGAAAACTCTTAACTGTTGTACTTCATGTTTACTATTGGAAACCATAAGGATGCCTAAGGTGGTGTATTTTGTTATACTACTTTGTTTACTGGCTGGCATCACTGCAATAAGCATATAGTTCATCATATTTCATTGTATGGTATTGATGTCTATTCTTTAGCAAAGTCTACATTTGTTAATTATGTGAAGCCATCAAGTGCCTACTATAGTGCAAAAAAGAAAAGGAAGTGTCGCCCAACGTGGGGCTCGAACCCACGACCCTGAGATTAAGAGTCTCATGCTCTACCGACTGAGCTAGCCGGGCGGATGTTAAAGCAGCTTTCGGTGTCAGCAGTTTTCTCCATGGCAACACGGACTTCCTTACACCTCACCAGGAAAAGAGGGGGTCTGTGCTGTCCTCTCTGTCACATACTGCCCTCTAGCGTCACAGAACGGAAGTTCTTAAATCTTGATTTTAACTCGCAGTGTTGGACACAGAAGAACAAAATGCCCGAGCCCGTTAAAACAGTTTATATCTTCCACTAATATAAATAAAAACATTGCAATTATTGATATAATATAATCCTAAGTGTCCAACTTTGAAGTAGGTCCGTACATTAAAAACGACTGACTGCACTGGAAACGAAAGCGACGGTTTGTGGAAAAAAAATAGCACTGTCACTGTACTCGACCACCTCAAATTTAACTATTTTACGGTTTACTCTCTTGAAATTGTTAATTTAAGTTTATACAACACAACATGCTTGAACGCCGTGAAATATTACCTGGTGGTAAAGCCAGCCAACGTGTATTCGTGCAGTTCCCGAAGCAATAGTCGACCGTAAGCGACAGCTAAACACCGACTAGTAAGGTCGTGCACCGACGCGAAGTTTATGCTAAAGCATGATTATGTCCCGTTTTAAAATACCAAGTTAGTTACACACAGGGCTTTTCGTCGTCTTTTGCTCTTAACAGGTATCCATTTACCAAACTTATTGTTCCTCACCGGTCTCGAATCTCCAGCTCAAAGATTGCAATACTGAGCCTGACAATTCCCCCTCCGCCAATCAGAGGACAGTATCCCAAGACATGTTTTAATTAAACGTTCAGGGACCAGTGGGAACAAATTAGTACCCCAAAAAAGCTATGTTTCTAATGAATCCTCACTGTTGTTCATTAACTTGACAAAGTAAAATGAGCCAAACTGATACAATTTAAAATTATGCATTATTATCAGGTAGTGAAGAGCCAATATTACTTGTGTACGGTGGCCGAGAACCGCCACTGCCGCAAATAAAAAAAGAATGCAATAAAAAAAAAAAAAAGAAGCAACAATGGAGGTTACTGATGTAAAAAAAACGAAACCGAAGCCTGCTGCAAATAAAAAAAGAGGCGGTGCAGATAAAAGTGGAAGGTAATGACGCAAAGTTTCCAGTTAAACTGGAAAACACCAGGGTAGTATTAACTTCAGTTCAACTTCATTTCAACTCAGGTGCTACATGGCCTAAGCAAATGACACATTAAAAGGCACAGGAAGTGAAATTAAACAATAACCTTTCCACTAACGTCTTTGCTCGTCTTCTCACCGTCGTCATCGTCATTATTGGTCCCTGGCAGCTCACTTCCATTGTGGCTTTTTATTTGCATCCTTTTATTTTTGCAGTAAGTGAATTTTTTTTCCCATCAGTATATTTTTTTGGATTGTTAACTTCCATTGTGGCTTTCTTTTTTTAAACTGCCCTTTTTCTTTTTTTTATTCGCAGCGGGCTTCCGATTCTTTTTTTTTTTTTGCATCAGTGACTTCTGTTGTGACTTTTTTTTTTTTTTGGCATTCTTTTTTTATTTGCAGCAGTGGCAGTTCTCGGCCACCGTACTTGTGGTATCCCTACTACCCAAAGTAACACATTTCAACAATCTGAACTGAAACTCTGATTCTCTCATCATAATTCTGTACTTTCTCCATTGAACCACTGACTCAACTTACCCCTGATCTACGATTATGACTTTATTAGTCCTCTAAGCTAAAATGGTGGACTTTTATGTTAGGTTTCTGACCTCATGTTGTCGCTTATAGATGCCACAACTGATGTATAAAACAGATTCAAAATGATCTTTTTTTTGTCTGAACACAATTCTAATAAAACCTACAACAGACTAAATTCACTTTCAAGAGTGAAAAATGTTTTTTTTTTTTTTTTTGGAAATAAATGTCTAACCCAATGGTTCTCAACTGGTGGGTCTGCAACCCAAAAGTGGGTCACGGACACGTCCTGGATGGGTCGCAAACAGCTGGTCAAAAAAGTAAAAAGTTAGTGCCATGTTAATTAGATATTTGATTAATTCAGTAGTTGTCGTCCTCATGTTGTCCCCTTCATGTGCTCTGAAATGCATGTAACTCAATAAAACAAGTGGATTTATGTTAAAGATTAGAGTCTTTAGAGGTTTTTTTAAAACAAAAATTACCTTGCTTGGTTTGAGTTCTATAAAAATGGGTCACGACTCAATGACCATGGGAAAATGTGGGTCCCAGAGTGAGACCAGTTGAGAACCACTGGTCAAACCCCTTCACTCTTGTGCTTCTAACCTTCACAGACTCCATGAATTGATGCCCATCTCCTCAATATTTGGTCACATGATCGATATCTTTTACCATTTCCAAGCAATGGGGGGTGGATCAACTTACCCCACTCTCCCCTATAGGCAAATCATCCTACCTTAAGAGATGAGTCTTTATCTTTGGTTTAATTGAAAGTAGCCTACATATGCACATTCAGCACCACTTGTATAAATTGCCTCAAAGAAGTGCCTCTTCCTTTTCGTGCAATAAGACATAAGATTGTAATTGTATTATGCCCCATGGCGTCAACATCACAGTGCATAACCACTAGCTCAAAAATTAAGAATTTATCATAATCAAGTTTATTATTTTCCATATATTGATATACCCTAAAACAAACTGATGGTATATTCCGAAGCAGACGCTTACGTGCAGCACGTGAAGGCACCACGGGCCAGGGTTCTCCTTCTACGTCAATGACACTGGGCGGTTCATGAATGGGTTTCTGAAGTGGGAGGGCCCGTCATCTGACTTCACCAGGCAGGAAAAAAGTGGGTGTTGCTGCGCTGTAGTGTTTGGTTTTGCTGCGATGCATCTTCTTCATGCCTGTTTTTAACACAGAAGCAGCGGTTTACTGTGCGCACGGACTGCGGTGGACTTTTCAACCGCTTACGGAGCAAACATCCGTCCGCTGTGAGACGACGCGCAGGCCGAGCACTGCTGTGCTCCAGCCCCGTTAGACTGGAGAGGGGAGAGCGGGGTGTCGGTGAGCCATGGGTTTCCGCAAGAAGAACAAGAGCCCCCCGGTGCTGAGCCACGAGTTTGTGATCCAGAATCACGCCGACATGGTTTCGTGTTTAGCCATGATTATCCTCCTCGGCCTGATGTTTGAGGTACAGTGTGAGTGGAGCTGTTGTTAGCCGAGTGATGCTAGCTGCTGCTAACTAAGTAACGTTAGCTGACAGACAGCAGCAGCTCTCCAGGGGCAGGGCGCTAGCGTGTCTTTCCCCTTTCCTTCTCATGTGTCTCAGTGCTTGCCAAAGAAGATGGCGAGGAGGCCCACAGAGCTTACAGGTCTTTCTTTTTAACCACTGGTCATATCGGCTGCCCCTATACTAGCAAATAAATATCATAACGCGTACCTTTACTCGGTAGTCATGGTGAAAGTGTGGGTTCATGCTGCACATTTTATGACTCGTATCGTGACCCTTTTGGATGTAACAGGATATCTTTCCTCAAAGTAACATGTCCTTATCTCAACTAAGCTGGTGTAAATGATAAGAAAATTGGTCCGAGTTTGTCCTCATTGACATTCATGTATAAAGATGCTGCATGAGGGTGAACACTATCAAAGTCATGACACAAAAATATGATGAACTTTTAACCCTCCTCCTGTCTTAGGGTCTGTACCGACCCCTTTTTTTGTTTTTAAATGCCTAAAAGAAACACTTAAATGAGCTTTTTTGCATTAAGACTGTATGACTTTGTCAGGAACCTCTATTTCAACAAAATAGAAAATAAAGAAATTAATTTACTAAATCCAGTTAAACCTGTCCCCCTCAACCAACATATATACTGATCATATTGATCACAGTGCAATAAATTAATCTTATTATTTATACCGTATTGTTATCTCTATTATTATATCATATTGATCACAGTGCAATAAAACTGGGCTTCACTGTGCAACAATCAGGTTGTCAGATCATTCCTGTTTTGTATCTGTTTATATTACTGCCTTTTACTTTTCTTATCTTTGTGCTTTTAGTAGCTTTTATTTTGTTTTTGTTTTTTAATTTAAATCGGATTATTTTTGCACCAAAGAGAGCTGCGCTCAAATTTCATTGTATTGTGTTTATAAAATGCTCTTATTAAAATTATGGCACTTGTCGTGTCAGGGTCGCTGTTGACTGGGTTAGATTGATATCTAATAATTAGAGCAAAAACTACAATCATAAGTGCTCTGTCAGGCACCACACTGACAGTCAGATCCTCTTCCAATCATGTGAGATTTAGGAAATTCTCATTTTGCCATGTTTTTCCCTGCACGAAAAATAACGTTGAGTTCAGACATGTAAGATCAATTCAGTATAGATGATTGTATGAGGGGTGTACTGACAAAGAAAGGCCCAGAGGACCGCAACAAAAAATATTTTAAGCAATATTTTCATGGATAATGACACCTATCAAGGTAACCTATGGATTAGAACCAAACTGGAAGATAGAGAATTGTTTTTAACATAATTTGCAGCTGATTTAAAACACAGGTCGAAACCGACCCTTAACATAGTGAGTGCATAGTAAAAGCTAACACAGGAAGGTTAATAGACGGTGTTCGAAGGAGTAGTGCCTATTCATATGCAAGTATGTTAAAGTGTGCTCCAACAAACCCCCTTGTCACTAGACTCCAGTTAATAGTTAAAAATATGGGGTCTAACAATGACAAGACAGGCTCTGCTCAATGCATATATGCAGTAAATATTAAAAGATAAAGATAACTAAGAGTATCTAACTGGCACAGGGGCATTTAAGCAGCTCATGCACACATCCGTTTCACAATCTCCTTCTTCCTCTGTGTTTTAGGTCACAGCAAAGTTCGCCATCATGTTCATCACAGTGCAGTACAACGTCACACAGGTCCTTGGTGAGCCTTTCTTTTTGCCTCTTCTAAGTTAAATAAACTTCTATTCATGTTAATTTTGTCTTTTAGTTATAAGTTATGTGTGAAGGTTTTAACTTCGTTTTTTTTTCTGCAGATGAGAAGATTGAGCCAGTGAACCTCTATCAGTATGGCCCCAAAGATGTGGCGACAGTATTTTTCTACCTGCTCATCGCGGTCATCCTTCATGCATTGATACAGGAATACATTCTTGATGTAAGTACATTGACCATCACAAGGACACCCATGTTCGTTATTCCTCTTACGTCCTTTGGTGGAGTAAAGCCAAGCCAAGGCTGTGGTCAGATTCAGTTTATTGTATTCAGTTTTAAAGCCATACAACATTCCAATCATACCTCACCCTGACCGGTTTGGTTTCAAAAATGATATCAGATATCAGTGGTAATAAATACTTGAAGATGTTTTCAGTCCAAAAATTAAAAAAAAAAGTCATTTTAAGGACCACATTCAACAGAGGAGAAATTTTTAATATCTGTTTCTGTTTAAAGTTTTCACATCATGAAAGAAAAATACAGAACTAGAGGTCCTCATTAATCCACATTTGATGTGTAATTTGTGTTTGATTTCAGAAAATGAACAGGAGGTTGCACCTGTCAAAAACCAAACACAGCAAGTTCAACGAGTCTGGACAGCTTGCAGCGTTCTACCTGTTCTCCTTCATCTGGGGCTGCAGCATCCTCACAGCGGTACGAGGGTCAAGACCCACTGAAACACACTGTCCCAGCATGCATTAGCCATCATCTAATTCAGTGTCGTCTTTTTTTTTTGACAGGAAGACTTTGCTACAAATCCTACTTTCCTGTGGGAGGGTTACCCACACACTCACATGGTGTAAGAACAAATGATATCTTCTCATAATTGGTTCATATTTGAAATGAAGTTTCTAACATGATTGTAATTGTTGGGACGAAAGTGATATTTTGGATATTAGCTCAGGCATTGTTAGAATTTAGATTTACATTAATATATTTGAGATCTGTCCATGCTGAAATAACATCTAGGCTCTAACCTTAACACAACCTTTCCTCTCTCCAGTTTTCAGGTCAAATTCTTCTACATTTGCCAAATCGCCTATTGGCTGCATGCACTCCCCGAGCTGTACTTTCAAAAAGTACGAAAGGTGAGTGTCATCCTAGGAAGAAAACACAGACTTTGTGGTGAGAACAGCAACATTTTAGGGGCGTGAATCTGCCATTTTTCCATTGTAGATATGAGGCGAGAGGGATTTTTAATTGAATTTGGGTTATAAAGCCGTTAAAGAGTCTCAAATCTGCGGTGATGATTGTACATTAGCAGTGTGAGATGTTTTATTCGGGGGTAATCGGCATGAAGAAGCTTTGACTTACTACTGAATGCTGCCTATGTGTGTAGATATCCTATTATTTCAAAGGTAACTGGAGCCATGCAGATGTAGAGGCCTATGCATCTCAGTGTCAAAGCTAAAAGGTGGTTAATGAGCCCTGGTCGGGTTTGAATGCATACTGAGGAACTTTATTTCTTCAGTTAAAGCTTTCCGAGTAATGCGTCTTCATGTAGCTTCCTCTTCAGCAGACTTCTGTGCAGTGACTAATGATTCTTTCCACCTTATTTTGTTCTGTTTCCACAGGAGGACATCCCCCGCCAGCTCTACTACATTTGCCTTTATGTTGTCCACATCACCGGTGCCTATGTGTTGAAGTGAGTGAAGGATTCCTCTGATTTTTAGTCTATAGTTTTCAATGTAAAGGACATTGTTAGTTACCTTGAAAGTGCTTGAAAAGTTCAGGAAATCAGAAACTTTCCCCATCTCATCCTGTTTAGCCTCCACCGACTGGGCCTGGTGCTGCTCGTCCCTCACTATCTAGTCGAGCTCCTGTTCCACGCTTCACGCCTCTTCTACTTCAGTGATGAGAACAAGCAGAAGGGGTAATTCCTTCATTCAGCCGACAGAGAGGTTTTTCTTACCCGATCTCAACATCCTGACGTGATATGTCTTGTTTTCTCTGCAGTTTCACTCTGTGGGCGCTTCTTTTTGTCATTGCCCGCCTTCTCACCCTCACGCTCTCATTTCTGACGTTCGGCTTCGGACTGCCCCGTACAGAAAACCAAGGCTTCTCTCTAGCAGATGGAAACTTCAATGTACTCACCATAAGGCAAGAAGCTAGAAGAGCCTTGATATCATTGGCGTTTATCCGTTTTAGTTTTTGTTTGTTCATGAATTGTTTCTTTCCCAACCCTCAGGATGACTTGTCTGGCAGCGATCTGCCTGACACAAGCTTGGATGATGTGGAAATTCATTAACTTCCAATTGAAAAAGTGGAGGGAGCACAGCCAGAACCAAGCATCAAAGAAAAAGGTTGTCAGCCCGAAAAGCAAACCTCCCAAAAAGGAGCCTTCAAGAGGTAACAGTGTCTCTAACCCCATATCTCCTCAAACAGATAAAGCATAACTGATTATTTTTCAGTAATTCTCATTCTTGAAACTTTTCCACTCACCTTTTTTCTATCAGGAGGTGCTGCCAATGGGGTTGTGAAGTCAGAGGATAAAACGTCACCGCGGGCAAGAAAAGCCAAAGCTTCGTAGAGACGGAGAAATTTGGAGGGAAAAAAAAAAACACTGATCGAGGGAAATCTGACAATGTGACTTTCTGTCTTTACACAACTTCAGATTTTGTCATCTGCTCTCCAAAACAAATGCGCACTAAGAAACCTTACATAACTGTCCCTTTGCAGTTGAAACTCTGCTCTTGAGAAAAGTTCACCGTCATTGTCGGCTAGAAATGTTTTATCATCGGTCTGGGTTGTCTGCAGATGGGATGTTGGCAGGACAGCGGTGGTTCTGATGCTTTAACAGGATAGATTTAGCTCTTCAAAGTGTCCTTTTGTGTTAAACTGGCTGGGTACTTTCAACTGAGTTGGTTATTTGACATGGATCAGATCACCTCACAGTAACCCAAAAAGCGGATTTTGACTTCAGGCTAATCTAACTCGAAGTCTTGAAATACAGATTGACTGTGAGGTGTGTTTTTTTTTGGAAGTTTGGGCCTTATTCAGTTCAACTCACAAGCCTTTCTTTCTCTGCAAGTCAACTCTATGTTATTCTGCTGTTGTAAGGAAAAGCTCCTAAATTAACCGCTCCAGAGGAACATTTGTGCTATTAGATATTTAGCATAGCTGCAGCCAGAAAACTGAAGCTTGTACTTAACTCCTTAATCATTAACTGCCATTATCTGACAGCCTCTGCCTTTGAAGTCCATCAGGATGGAGGCACTTTTGTGGTTTTGTCGGCTGTTATCTCAAGGCTGGTTTATCAGCTTCGCCCTGGTACAGGGTTTCATCCAGGTTTGGTGACTCACCAAGAGGAAGCTGCACTGTAACCTGTGATGCTGTACTGTATGCACACAGTTTTAAATCCTCATAGTGGCATGATCGGAAAGCACGAAACTCTGTTCGAGGCCGCCATAAAGTCTCATATATGGTGATGTTAATGCATGATGGTTTAAGGCTAAAGACTCAATGGCTGGCTCTTACCTGTGCTGTTGAGTTTGCATCTCTCTCTCTTTCTCACACAAACACACACAAACACACACACAAGCATTCAGTGGCCTTTTTACAACTGCTGCAAGAGGTTTGAGTTATTTATTTTTGCCATATACTTCAGAAAGATATTATTTTCTATGCTTTGAGAAGCTATAACCAGCGGTACATAGCAACTGAGTTTAGTTAATCCAAACAATACAATCTTTCTTCAAGTGTCCTTATAATGTCGGTGGTTTGTATCACTCGTTCTGCTTGTGTTGCGTTCTGTTTTGCCTTTTCTGTTTTGCTTTTTTTTTTTGACTCTTGGGTATCAGGGGACAAGCTATTCACCACTTAACCCTGAAAGTTACAACCCATGGTGCAACGGGAGGCGTGTTTGTGTGCCTGCGCACTTGTGTGTGTGTACAGTATTGTTTTGCCTACTGTGTGTGAATGGACTGGGGGTGGACGGTGATTATGATGATGATGATTATGATGACAACAACGTTTATTGCTTGTCTTGTAAAAAAAATTATATTGCCTGCGTGCAGAGCATGAAATGTGACAATCTGTTCATTGACTCCTGCCCTCTTTGTTCGACTCCTCCACCCTTTCCTGTCTTTTCGTTCTCTTCGGTTAGGCCCAGCTCAGATCCGCTTCAGTGTGCGAGACGCTGAGTTGCGGTTTGGTGTGCGTTCTATGGGTTACTAAATGCTTATGTGCTCACTGTCTCCACCCCTGTGAGAGAGATTCTGTGATTTCTGTTCGCCAAATGTGGCAAGTCTACTCCTCCTTACTTCACCTTTTCAGTGATTCTGACATTGCTATGGAGCACATGCGTTGAACGTGCAGTTGGCCAAGTCTTTCCCCCTTAATTAGACCGACTCCTGCTCTAATACTGAACTGCACATGTGCAGAAAAAGACTGAAGTTTGGAGTCGAGGGAGGAGACGAGGATGCCGCTCATTTTTGCTCCCTTTAACGCTCCTTATTGGGACTTTGGGTGGTCTTTAAAAGGCCTGTGTCTGTGTATGGCAGTGTCATAGGAGGAAAGGAGGAGTGGAGGACTTTCGTACCAGCCTGTTATTAAACTGTCTCAGATGTAAAAGAAAAAAAAAAAACAGACTTAACACTACACTGTACTAAAAATGTGTCAGATTTTTAAGCTATTTTTATAGAGGGGGAAATTTCACTGTTGTTCGGTACACACGCGTAAAAACTTGTTTTGCATCCATATCGATATAACTTTTTGTTTTCTTTTTTTTTTTTATAAAAGAATGAAGCTTGCTGAACTGTTAGCCTGAGTATACATTGTTGTAAGAGTGTAAAAATTTACTTAGCCTAATGGTTTGTTTAACTTCATTGCCTTATTAGACTAAACAAACTCAATTGTATAACAGTACTCACTGAACAGTATGCTGCAGGTTTACTCTGCAGCTTTCACAACTACATGTTTAATGATAGTGAAATTACACCATAATACTGTTACCATCACATGATTTGAAATATATGACCACAGGAGAGGAGGAGGAAACTTTCAGTATCGTGTTTTGTTTGTTCCAGTCTTGCAGGTGTTCTTCGGTTCTTGTGGCGATTGCAGGCCTGCATGTAGAGCAAACCGGCTTTATTTCGCAGAGTGAAACCATCTGTAAGGTTTTCCTGTTCATCAGATGTCCGGCAGTCAGCAGACAGGCAGGCTCTGAAACACGAGCCGCTTTGTAGTTCGCGGCCCTCCTCGCTTCGAGACACAATGGCCGGTGTAATCCCACAGGAATGCACTTTTTTTTTTTTTGTTTGCATAATATGCATAATGTCAGAGCATCGCAAGACATCTTCCTGACTCGGTCTCTCTCTCCACTGACTCCCTGTGATTTTACAATTTGGAGTTGCTCACTTTAAAACTGTGCATTTTGTATTTGTAGAAAACACACGAAAAGAACTGCAATGACTCAACTGTATGAGCAACCTCTAGGTGGCAACAATCAGTAATGCATTCGATGCAAAAAAGACATGCACAGTAGAGACACATGTTAATTGTATGCTATTACATCACTCTGCATTGTTCCTGATTTTTGTTTTATTTTGCTGCCTGTTTTAAAATGTTCTGATATATATTTCCTTTTCAAATATGTTGTCTCTGAACTGCTCTAATGCTAAATATTTATGCAAATTCTTGTGCATTCTGATTTTTTTTTCTCTTGTCACTATTTTTTTTATTTCATGTTTGAATAAAGCTTTTATTCATTACACCAACTTGCTGAACATGCTTTCAACATACTTCAGTTCGACCACACTGCTCGTAGTCCAAGTGTCTCCATGGGAACTCTGTGTAAAAAAAAAAAAAAAAAACACACAGGAGTTTCAAATTGCATGGTAAATTATGAGAGCTGTGGGTAATTATCCACTTCTGAGGTGAGCCAGCGCTGAAATTCATCACACAGGGCTACTGCACATGAGATGTTTGATTTTGAGGTTTTTCTTGACACCTGCTCATTTGAGATTTCCACCTGTTTGATTAAAAGTAGTGGGGAAATTTTAAATTAAACCACCCTTTGGGGATGGTGTCAGGAGGCATGAAGATATATTGGTCAAATCCTACTTTCTGGCTAATTACCACCAGGGGGCAACACTGAGCTTTTTCGCCTGAGGGACATGAACAGTCTGCAGGGGCATAGCTGCATACAGACCTGCATTAATAAATCACCAGTCAGAGTGAGAAAGACTGGAACATTGTCTTATCACACGGCGTAAAGTCCAACACTCCTGAGAAGACATAAATGTGCAGAAACAGAACAAAAATGAAGCAGAGGATTAGCTGCGAGACGTGGCAGAGCAAATATGCTGCTTTGTTGTGTTGTTTGTCTATCAGGGGGCACAGGAAACATGACATCCACCCCGGTCTGTGAGGGCCGAGTCCCACACAGAGGAGAGACACCTGCAGCTCACAGCTAATGCTTTGTGTTGTTTCAGAGTAATGGCTTTTCTACCAGTAATCAGACAGCATGATGGATCTGAGGGACCCGGGGAGGCAGACTGGAGCTCTGCAGGGTCAGCACAAGGACAGGAGTTCACACACACATTCTCCATCACACACACACACTGATTGCTGTTATACCAGCCCAAAGGTACATGACCTGAACCACCTGTGTGTGCGCCTCAATTGCAAACTTGCAGACGGAGTCCAACAGCAGGGTCCAGCTGAAGTGAAGCAGGGGGAAAAAATGACTACCCCTCTTTTTTCCCCCTTTAATTCCTCCCCTTCATCCAATGAGGATAAATCTCTGGCTGAATCGTCAGTATTATGTGTAATTTCCATATAAATTAGCTTCATTAAAAGGGGAGTACTTTCTTATTTAACGAAGCTCATTTGAAATTCTGTATTTAATAAGACATGCAATCCCAGACTTGCAGACTAATAGCCAACAATTAGCAGGACTGGAGCGTGTGCGTGTGTGTGTGTATGAGTGTGTGTGTGTGTAATCCTTTGGAAGTTTTGTAGTCCTCCAGTGTTATTTTCATTGATTGTCTTAAATGAGCAAATTGGGCAGCAGCTGCTCTTTCATTCAGGTTTACATGCAGTGATCCATGAAGCAAAAGGGGGGAGATCTAAGACATTCACAACCTCATGGCTATTTGAGGAGCGAGCAGAGAGGAGAGAGGAGCGTTTGAGGTGAGAAATAGAGCAGGTGTAGAGACCAGTGTAGAACAAAGTGCTGAAGAGGTGGTAACATCTGGATCAGAGGGAATAAAAAGCAGAGTTGAAGGAGGACAAAAAATGAACCTGGAATTGAGAGAAAGATGGTCTGTGAGAGCAAGTTAGAACAGAGACTATCAGGAGGCGATAGAGAGAGAAATGAATTGAAATTGAAGGTGTTAATTCTAAAACCATTACACAGCATTAACATAAAAGGAGTCTGGCACCAACATTTATCCCTTTCATGCCTGACACCACAAGTTATGGCCAGAAAATTCTTTTTTTTTTTTGAGTTTAAATGTTTATTTCACTTACTACTGAAAACAAAAAAAAAATCTGAATGTCCTTAAAATTTTACAAATATATTTGTTCATCTCGTTTGAAACAGTAGATGTTTTTGGAAACTGATAAACCACAAGAGGACATTTTTATCCATCATTTTTATCTTTTTTTACTTGTTGATTTTTATCGGACTGTATTCAGGTGTTCTTTTAGTAATTTGTTGATCATGTTGATTTGATAGAAGTATATAAAAGTATGTATCAAATATGATATAAAAGGCATTCAAGGGTTGAAAAAATAAAGTCTGATAAGTTCAACAGTGGTTTACAGCTTAATCTTTAAAATAGTTTGTTACAGTTTGTTCGGAATGATGGTTAACGCTGATACCAGTCAGGTTGACCGATGACTGATATCTGCTGCTGATATCACATTGTGTGTTTTGTTTTTTCCATTTTAGAAAATAAAACTATTAAATAATTCCAACTCTTTAAAACCAAATAGAGAATATTTACTGAAATTGATATTCAGGACTCTGTCGACCCAAGAGAAGGAGAGGATGTTGATGACTGCTGAATCAAGGCCACAGCGAACATAATCTTAGGTCTTAGTGTACTTCATAAATTTTTCCACTCTCTAGATCTTTGGTTGCTTTTCCTGTTTCATATCATGGTCCTCCTCTGTTCCGATCTATCCACTCTACTCTTCCGTTACTCTGCCATAACCCTGCACTCTCCCTTCCTCAACCTTGATCTGTCCATGCCTTAACCATCAACTCCCCTGCTTCAGCTCTGCTTTCTCCCCGCACTGGATTCATATTCAGAAGCGTTACACTCAAAGGCAGCAGTCTTGAACGTCATACCGCAGGACTTCCTGGCAAAGTCCACCTTTGAAGGATCTTCTAATTTCACAATTGAAATACGATAGTCGAAAAGGAAAGCTAGAACTACAGTGAGTGGAAGCCCCCTGCTTGGATTAGAAGGCGTAATCTTTTGATTATGAGACAGAAGTCCTCACTGTTACAACACAGACTTGCTGGTAGCGCTGGCTTTTCTGAGCTTTCCATTCAACTGTTTGATTATGATGTCAAAGCGCTACTAGAAATACATTTCTTTCCCATCTCTCCCGTTGTATGGATTCAAATCCAGAATCATTTGATTGTCTTCACCGTTAATAAACAGGTTTGCCTGGAAGTTCTTAGATTGAAGGTTCTTTCTCTGCCACAGTTTTATTGTGGTATATCAAAAGCAGAGCCTGGTCTCCAGTGAGATAACAGCATTAGTATTCCCAGTTCTCACTGATCTATCATCGATCTAGGTTTTGAACCCAGAATCTTCCCATTTTTAGGGAACAGTCCTCATGACTCCACTGTTGCAGTCTTAGTTAAGAAAACCGTCTCCCACTTTTTCCCGCTGCAAGCACCATGACGACTGAACTTCTCACAAGTACGTGAGTCTGAACTGGCGCCAATCGAAATGTTTTCCTTGCGTGTCTCACGAACTGGACCAATCAGTCATTTTTTTAAGATGACGACACAGGAGCATCGCTTCAGCGTATGTGTTAATAACTAAGATGGCAGCTTCCATTTTTGGAAAGTCTGATGAATCTGCTACGGCAGCCATTTTAAACAAACTGTATATGTATTTTCATTAAAACAGGACAGAACAACTGCACACACAGCGGTCACTGGTGAGAAAGGTACATTTCTTTCCTCAGCGTACAGCTGTCTGTTCACATTACTGTGGCTATGCTGCATTTATCTCACTGGACGTAGGTTTGTACAATCGCTTCCAGAGGAACTTTTGAATGCGACCGTTGCTAACGCCCCCGGAAAAATGGGATGAATTGAGCGGTGCCAGACCCATTCACCAAGGTGAATTCATCAAGGTGAAAAGGTCTAGCAACGCCAGACTAATCCTCCTCCGCTGCTGGACAAATTCAGTCATGGTCAGAGACAAATGTGATGTACGACGCTGTCTAGATGAGTCCTTTGTTGCTTTATGTTGGCAGGCCCACATTTTGTCGAGATTTATTGTCAGGCTTTTTGTCTTGATTTGGAGAGGACAGGACGGTGGCCGGAGAAGGAAACGGGGTGATAGAGAGAGCTGGAGTGACATGAGGGAGGGAAACGAACCTGGGATCACATGCAAGTGTGACACATAAAGACCACTGTTGGGAATTCGAGCTAGAAACCCTTGTGCTGGACAAATTTGGATTGGCTATAGCTTGAAATTGCTTAGTGAATTAAACTTGGGTGTTCATTATGTTTACAAAGAATCTTATTGTGGTCTGCATACAGCTGTTTGCAAGACATGGTACTGCTTGAGATGCAGCAGTGCGAGCTCATAAAGCCACTGACAACCTCAGTTACAGAATGAGCATGTGCAGCTTTGACCTTAGACGTTCACATGGAGGAATACTGAAACAGACTCCAATATAGAGGGAATATGAGTGTGATTTGTTCATATCCTCAAGACTGTGTGTGCAACATGTTTTCTGTGCAGTTTCATGACGACAAAGCTGTGTATTTGGGATGAGAATCTTTACACACTTACATGCGCGTGTAAATACACACTCATGCACACACGGCCCAGCTGCAACAGAAGACAGCTGACAGCACATGCAGGGTCACATGTTTATCCAGGCTCATCTGTTTCTCCATCGCTCGGGCTTGCTCAGCCACTGTCAGTTTGCTGATGCACGCTTCCACAGTGGCAGTAAATACACAACACATGCCCAAGTGCACGCTCTTTGATGGCTTTTTATCTCGGTGGCTCATAAGCACAATGAGTGTTCTTCTCTGATTATTTGGCTGCGGTGAAGGCCCCCTTGTGATATCTTTTCCTGGTGCCCAGAATTCCTGGTGACGCCCTTGTGCATATTTGAAGCTTTTCCACTACCCTCTTGGAGCCTCGTCTCTACCTGTTTGGAATTTTAAACAGCTTCCCTTTCACTCTCACCTTCCCATAACTCTCTGCAGTCTTTAAAAAAATACTTCTGTGGGAATGTCTCACCAATAAGATTATATTTGCTATCTTATATTCACACTGTACCGAGTTCAATGGATTGTTATTTGGCGTTGAGTGTGTTTTGTTATCTTTATTCAACGCTAAGGTGCTGGTATAGTAGATTTGACTCTATCGGATGTGTGTATGTGCATGTGTTTCTCCACATTACATTTCATTTTCTGTCATTTCCGCTTTTCTTTTTCACCCGCAGGCAGCACAGTGGAATTTTCCAAATAATGGACAATAAGAACCATAATAATGTGGTTTTAAGTATTGTGGAACTGCAACCTGAAGCCAGCTGGCTGTAGGAAAACAATTCTCCCCTGTTTCACCCTATCGAGAACAGGAATAATGAATTAAAATACGCCTGTCCAAATTGCAAGAGCTGCTTTTAAACCAAAATTAACACACGCAGATATTCTCTGAAGCTATAAATGTTTCAAAAAGATGTAATGACTCAATTTATTTTCAAGCACAGGTCTAAAACAACACTAAATTTCTATAATAGCCCAGATTAAGTTGTTACATTTGCATAGTCAACAATTACAACTTTAAAATACAACGTTTCACCTCTCAAATTATCCCGGTATTACCCACCCAAGAAAAATAAAATTCTCTTAAACAGTCAAGTCAGTGGTTTCACATTTTGATTTTCGCCAATCTTTTCTAAACAAACCCCACTTCCAACATTGTCCGAAGCATTTAGTAATGTTTTGTAATTATGTTTTTATACCTCCAAGGCAGTAATTACTTTTCTCTCATTTACAACAAGAATTGACTCAGAAAGGTAATAATGTTTCAGGGTTTCATGCATAAATAAATAAAGTCACAGTGAAGGTTTTTATTGGATCATGTTCGAGAGACGGTTACGACCCTCCAGCATGTGTCCATTCCCCTTCACTGTCAGTTCATGCCAAACTTTGCTCGTACAAAACATATATGGATTTTTAAGGAAAAGTAAAAATGTCACATGTATAACGAAAACACTTTAAGTTCTTGCTCTTTCTTTTCTTCTCTCTTTAAATCTATTTGTAACTTTTATGCATGTCCCTAAGTGTGAATTATAGTATAATCACTTTGTAAAACCACAGCGAAACCAGGAGACCAGGGGATGTTGTCTGTATTCATCTACAGCTGATGGATGCAACATAAAAAGATGAAGAGCTAGTTTTGTAAATGAGAAATTGGAGATAAAACTTTCTGCTCTCGCTCTTCTTTCGAGCTTGAAAAGTGAAATTATTTATGAGAATCTTGTGATTCCCTTTTTTTAAGAACATCAACATTTAGCTGAATAAGTTAAACTCAAATCACATTTTCCTCGACTTAGATGTTCATGATGAATTTTGCCTGACCCATGAGGCTAACTTCATGTAACCTTACCCCCTGCTCTGATTTCTAAACCTTCCTACTCTTATCCACTTTCCTCCTTCTTGTTTGCCGTCCCTTCTGCACTTTGAGTCATGGTACAGAAGTTCTTGATCTTTTCATTCCCCTCAAGCCAAAAAACCTTCCCTCTCCAACACCCTGACAACTCCACACTTTCCCCTCAAGTCTTCCTGGTTATCTTCAAGCACCATTTATCATTATCTGTGATTTTGTCTCTGTATCTTCTTAAACCGTCTCAAACTCCTGTCTCATCATCTTGTCTCACTTCTCTCACACCTTCCTGTTCTCATCTTCTTTCATTCCCACTGTCATCCACACAACAGGATCCTTACCCACTCTGTGTGTGTTAGAGAGAGTTTCGTACCCATCCTTCTATCTCTGCTCCTGTTTGTCTAGCATCACCATAGTGACGGATCTAGGTGCTATCTTTCCCTGTGTTGTATGTCTTGGCAGCACTCGAGGCGTTGTGCCGACATGTCCCAGTTCGTGGACCACCCGGCTCCCACGTCACCTCTTCATGATGACCCTGCCAGCTCACATATGGAGCCCACATATGGGTGTCATCCATAAGAGATAGATGGCCTGAAGGAAGTGAGCCTCTAGTGAAACAAACTCATGCAGGATGTGAAGAAACAGTCTGTACCATGGAAGCGAAAAAACTAGGCTTTAAATAGGAGTACAGAGTTTTATTCTTTTATCTGTAAAAGATGTGCTCTTACATTAGACTATAACAATACAGCCGACATCCTAACGTGTCAGGGTGTTATTCGTATGTCTGAGTCTGGAGACTTTTCACTGAGAGAATCGGTGAAGTACCAAATAAAGAGAAAAAATTCAATCAGTAACAGGTAGATGACCTTTACTGGTTGATTTACTGGTCGATCTACGTGCCGATCCTCACCTATGCTCATGAACTTTAGGTAATGACCGAAAGAATAAGATCGCGGATACAAGTGGCCGAAATGGGTTTCCTTCGCAGGGTGGCCGGGCTCAGCCTTAGAGATAGGGTAAGGAGATCGGACACTCGGAAGGTGCTCAGAGTAGAACCGCTGCTCCTCCACGTCGAGAGGAGTCAGCTGAGGTGGCTCAGGCATCTGGTTAGGATGCCTTCTGGATGCCTCCCGTGAGAGATATTCTGGACATATCCCACGGGGAAGAGACCTTGTGGCTGGCCCAGGACCAGGTGGAGGGATTATATCTCTTGCCTGGCCTGGGAGCGCCTGGGAATCACCCCGGAGGAGCTGGTGGAAGCGGCTAGGGTGAGGGCCGTCTGGGCTTCCCTTCTGAAGCTGCTGCCCCCACGACCCGGACCCAGATAAGTGGAAGAAAACGATGATGATCAGTAGCAGGTGTGAGTTTAGTAGTCTTTCGATCAAGACATCATTAAATTCAATTTGCATTTGTCCACCCAAGTGGACTTGAGTCTGCAAGGAGGACCGATGGCTGGTGGTGCTAGCTCTGCCAGCATTAGCAACTCTCCGCATACTGATTTGACATTTACCAGAGACCCTCTGACCCCATGTGTGATATATTTTGTCTCTTTTCTGAACGTTTATTTTTTTTTTAACCTTTGAACAGTGTTTGAATAAATGTTTATACAGTTTCAGAACATAAACAACACATAACCACCATACTCTTCAGTTTTATCAACATGTTACACAGTGTCTCAACTTTTTTTGGTATTAGGGCTGTACTCATAGCCTTACAGTCTCAATATGAAAATTACTGGAAAATAACTGCTGCATGAGATAATGAGTCATTTGACATCATTTTAACACGCAATTAAAGATCAACTGTGACATCTATTACCACATGCTGATACAAAGTCACCTGCTTTAGATCTGTCATATCTGACACACCTCACCCTGACTGATGAACAACTTTAAAAAATCCTTTTATACTGAGGTGAAAATCTTCCCCAGAGGATCAAGGATCTGAGAGGTCAATGAGAAGTCAAGAAAATTATAATTACCATTGGTTACACAAGATTGTGAGACAATCGCTTGTAAAATCTTCGATAGCTTTCCTCCTAAGACAAATAAACAATACTCAAACAACAATCTGAGATGCTAGATAAATTTATCTTAAAGGTTCATATTTTAAAGTACAATTTAAAGCTCTTGTGAGGAGTTATTTGCAAGCTATGACAAATATTGAAAGTATACTGATGGGTCTACATTACCTATTAGCAGGAAAATTATTTTTTCTAGTTATTTTCACTAATAAATAACAAAATAAACAAAAAGTGATAAGACAGTAATGGAGACATGTTAAGTTGGTCTAAGTTGTGTTTTTCTACTATATGGCACTCAATGCTGTCCTTGCATCTGTATGAAATCCAAGTCGCAGACTCTTGAAACTTGCTTGAGTAAGTCTACATTACATTTTGTCACAGTGACATTAATTTTTCCACAGGAATGTCATTAAGGCACCAGATTTATTTGTTCTCTCAGCAGTGTGATAGCTCCCGGCAATAATGTGACATAGATAAATGCAGACTTGATGTTCTGCAGTGATGGATCGCTCAACACAAGCAAGTTCAAAGTCACAAGCTGAGAGATTTATGTTGAGCAATAAAAATAAATTTGATATGCGGAGATGTATATTAACATATATCTAAAACAAAACAAAAAATCATGGGGTTTAAAATGTAACACTTGTAAGATTAAGTGTGAGATTTGCTGTGGGGTAAAACATGCCAGACAGCTGTTGTGGTTCTTAAAAGTGGACTCTACTGGCACACAAGTGACACTTTTACATACAAATGGGCCAACTCATTATCAGGATGAGGATAAGACCTTTGCGTCCTGATTTGCTCTCAACTTTAGACTCTCTAACATCTGTGGTGCTCAAAGTAGACACTGCTTTAGCGCCTCAAACCCTCCTACAAACAACTAACTCAGCTCTCCTCGTCGTGAATCAAAGTGAAAATCCACGCCGTGGCATCTCTCCCACTCTGATATCGCCGCTGACATCCGTCTGTAGGCTGCTAGACAGAAAGTGGCTGGTCCCCTACCTCCTCCACCCCCTCTGCCTCCCCCCTGCGGTGACGGAGTCCGCCTCTGTAGTTTGTATCCGGGTAGAAAAGCAGCAGCTGAAAGCGCCGCGTTCCACTGGATGGACTCACTTACCCAGAAGCCAACGCGACGCCTCAACTTACTGAACTGGCTTCTTAGGCTTCGGGAGTGTTTCCCATTTAAACAAACAGTGCCGAAGATGGCGGAGAGTTAATGGTGTAAAGAAGAAATTATCGACCCCTGCACAGAGATACGCTCACAAGGTAAGCGCGTGCTGTTTGCTTTGCTTATAATCGGTTAATCGGACTCGACTTTGCATGCCGATCGAAGACGGAAATGTGCAGACTTGGGCTCACACACAATATTGGCATCGGTACGGTGCGGAGGGCACAGTGCATGGTCATTTTTATATGTGACAGCAAAGGTTCACTCACCTGTCCGTGACCGAGATGAAGTGGACTGTAATCTCAAACAGGGAGTGATTTTTCACGCGGGTGCAGCAAAATGAATGAATGTTTCTGTAAACTTAACTTGATCGCGAAAGCTGGCCAGTTTACGCACAGGATGGTGGATCGCAGAAGTATTTCAAATAATACAGCAGAGCCATGAGAAGTTTTTCTGAGCGACACACACACTTTACGCACACATGTTATCGCTAAAAACACACAATCAGGATGATTTTAAACCATTTTATCCGGCTTGGTTCCTCCTGACCTGTCCGTGATAGTCGCTGTAGTGAAACAGCTGAGCCTGACGCTGTCGCGACACAGAGGGATTTCGACTAAACATGTTTGCAGACCATGTGCATGCATGTGCTCAGGTGCATTTTATATGCATCATGCTTCAGAAGGCGCTACTATTACATGTAAGTGATTTTGACGCTGCGAGCATGCAGTGCAGGAAAAGGCAGACGATGCAAGCTGTCTGACTGTCACCCAGCCTGCATGACTGCCTGCCTGCCTGCCCGGGTCCAGACTGATGAGCGATAAAAAGTACACTGACTCTACTGTATGCCTCCGCTGACTGGAGCACGCTTTGCCAGTAAACATACGAGGTGAAAGCGTGAATGAGCATGAATGTGCTCCTCTTTAACCCTTCCTGTCATCTTCATCTTCATCTCTGATTATGTGTCTCACTGTATCTGCAGGGGGCAGCAACGTGGCCCTCTACATGTATACTGTCCTGTGACTCTGAGGGTCCAAGGTGTGAGCTGAAAGAGTGTTGAGCAACTGTGTGTTTGTGTGCACATGCAAAAGCAGCACGTCCTTGGGCATGATACCAAACCCCACTACAAAACCTGCTGGCTTTGGATAATAGCAGAGTCCACCCTTCAGTGTGTTTAAACAGCGGCGGACTGGAAGGGATGCATATGGTTTTGGTGTGGACAGGTAAAGGGATATCAGGTGGCGTTTTTAACATTCAACTCAGCATTTGAATCAATTTGGAGTAGCTGAACAGGGATGAAACTCATCATTATTGCCATGTTTTATCAAGAAATCAGTGTATATTTTTTGGGGGAAGATAGAAATCATCAAAAAACTCCAATTAACCTCCTCACCCATGGAGCAATAGACGGCTATTAGACGTCTAGATTCGTCTGTATATTTTTAGACGTAATTAGACGTTGCACTTTAACCCATTATTCAGTAACTATTTGTTTCAAAAAGCAACTGCATAACTGATCTTCAAGTACTTAACCTAAATAATTATGATAGTAGTTGAGCAATATACTGTGTAGTATGGATATAGCCCAGATTTATATTTAGTCTAAACTTGGTCTAGAATTAGACGTCTAAAAAACTTCATTTTTAGAAGTGGTAGCCTGATTTTAGACCAGTCGTCTAGGCTAAATTTAGACGTTTATTAGGCAGACCCAAGCTCATATCTATCAAATGACTTGTTTTGTCTGTACAATGGCCCAAATACAAAGATTAAAATGATATAAATTTAAGGAAGATGAGCAAGTACATGTATTTAGGTATGCTGCAACCAGTAATGGTTTAACTTTTCGAGTGTTAAAAGGCATTAAAGCGAGTTTTCATAAAGCATAAGCTTGAAGATAAAAAAATCAATTTTTAAAATTACAGTCATGAACTTGTTTTCTTTAAAAAGTTCTTTTTCAGTATTCTCAGTCAGCCATCAAGTGGCAAAAAATGTGGTTGAAAAGATACGGTGAGTTCTTTTTCTTGCCTTTTCAGTGAAATTTATTTCTAGGTTTTAATACATCTCTGACACAAAACACTGCTGAGGTGATAAAAGGTTCTTGAGTTGTTTAAAAGCAGACAACCTTGCAGAAAACCTTGCAGTCATTTCTATTTTCATGTGATGAAGACTGTCGTGAATCGACGGGTTAAATTTAATATCGCTTTGTTTGGTGGGTTTATTAGAAAAATGATTGTTGGTTAATTTTCATTTGATGGTAAAAAAAAAGGACGTATCCACTGTCAGTCTGCTGCACACGAGGAGGGGTGTGGCGGCGTGAAGCCCTCGTCCTCTTCCACAGCACCATACCCCTGACAGATTTACAGTCGACTCTGTGGCCCCGAGTCTCCGCACACGTGCAGACAGACACGCGCCTGCAACCTGCTTACTAGGAACCAAAAGGACCGTGTACTGGGAGGGGTGGGATCCATAGGCAGCCATGAGGGGGTCTTCGCTATGAGGATGGCGGGATGAATATGCGGACTAGGAGGAGGAGGAGGATGACATTGATGCATGATGTTTGCTGAATGGGAAAAAGGGGACAGAGGTTAGCAGGGATGCTGGTGACTGGGTCAGGCGCTGGGGGCAGGGCTCACAAGGCTTAGAGAGAGGGAGGCAGGACCTGGCACACCAGCATGGGAGTATGGGAAGCTTTGTGTGTAAAAGGCAGAGGAGGGGGTGTGTTCAGTGAGAAGAGCTCAGGTGCTGGAATTTTACCTGACAGTTTTGGTCTTTTGTTTCATTCCTGGGGCTTTTGTGGATCTCTTCTCTGCCCTTATCAACTCTGCACTGCCGTTTTGGTGTTTTTTTCTACCTCATTTGTGGAATCAGGAAGTTTTCAGATTTAAACAGACCACATTCTTGGCTCTCTCTCTCTCTCTGTCTCTCTCTCGCTATGTCTCTCACTGCCCCCCCCCTTCCCTGCAGTGTAGTGAGCTGAGCTGTTGTGCTGTTGTTGTTGGGGCCTCTCTCCCATGTGTCAGGATGTGTTAACCAGAAGTTAATCCTTGCTTGTTTTAATTGATACTGCTTGATGGAGGAAGGGTCCTTTTTAGTTACTCATTTTGCTCCCTTCACTTTGTATTTGGACCTTTCAGCTGTGGACACAACTTCTTCTGTAAGGCCTAATCTGAAGTAGTCTAACGACATTTGTTTCAATGACAAGGGCAGTGTATTTTTTTATTATATTGAGTATGTGGTATTACTTTTTTTTCCCAGGTTTGCCTTGGTTTTCTAATAAACTGCAACAACAATCACTGTCTATTATTGTCTGACGGCGCTATGGATGAGATAAGATGTACTTTGTTGTCCCTGAGGGGAAATTTGCCTTGGATAATAGAACGAAACACACCAAATTATTTTGGAATTTTGTAACTTAAGTCTCACATTAACAAGCATGGCACACGAGACAATAACCATAAAACGATCAAATGCAGATAGAATACAAGAAATAGATAAGTTCCATGGATATGCAGGTGATGTGCAACAAATTTGTCCAAAAACAGGTGTCAAATTTTCTGTAATTAGACGTGTTAGTTAGCATTCAGCGACTTACAACCAAGAGTTTCTTTTCTGTGTAGCCTTGAGACACGCAACAACAAAACCTTCATTTTTCGTCCCTAAGAGAAGCACCCGTTCTTACATCTCAATTTAATTTAAGACTAAATGAAATGGTCTGTTTGCCACTGTCCAGTTCTGACTATTGATTTGCAATAAGATTAAACTGATAAGACATTGCAGTGTCAACGGGAGCAGAAGGAAGTGGCAGATTTAATAACGCACTGCTGTATCTTCACCATGTTGTGCTACGATCGTGCATGGAGTCACAAGTGGAGAGAGGAGAGCAGGGAGGGAAGCCGGAGAGGCAGGTGTGTGCATATGTGTGTGTGTGTTTGTGTGAAAAGCACAGGTACAGAATGAGACAAGTACACAGAGACTGTCACAATCACATGCGTTAATGAACGTTAACATGTAAGCTTTTGCCCGAAATAACTCTAAAAATAACTCTTTTTATTTTTTACTTCCACTCAAATAATTTTGATTGTGATTTATGCCGTGATGGAGTGGTCGTAGTGGACAGCAGCAACTCTTAATGCTGGTTGACACCTGCCATAAAACTGTGGGAAAACGAAGAAGCAGCAGGAGCAGCAGCATTCTCGCTGTAGCAGCCCTCTGAAATATGGTTAGACACTTTTAAACCTGATGTTCAGAGGTTTAATGTGACTCCAAAAGCAGCTTAAGTTCAAGTTGAACATCCATAACCTCAACTGCTCCTTTTAGCTGTTGACAGTCAGTTTCTTAACTAAAGATCTAAAGGAAGTTGTGCATACTTCTTTCAAAATAAAAGGAAATAAAACAACAGTAAATGTTTGCTTCTCACTTAAAACACCAAACAGATTTTCACGTCACTTTTGTTATTTTGTTAAAACATCTCTTGCACCATTCGGGTTCCCCTGCTTTTCCAGAAGCATAGCTAGTATTTGCTATGCTATTCAAATGTTTTGCTCCTCCACTTGTTATAATGAAACAGAGTGGATTTGTCTATTGGCTTTGGCTTTGACACCCAAATGAGCTGTGTTTTTTTTCATTGAGCTAACAGTTTAAAACCAGAAATACCACCCACATCCTGTTAAAAAACCATCTTGGCTGCTGCAAAGGCTCATAAGGCCACTCTCCACTTAACTATCAATAAAAATCCTTCATGGAGAGTCTTTTAAGAGCTTTGAATTTTATTTATTTAACATTAGACATTTAAATTATCCTCAAGTGTAAATGATGATCTGATCTACTTGTTGATTCATTTATTACAGATATCTTTCTCTCTTAATCTGTCTCTCTCTCTCTCTCTCTTTCCCTTGAGTACGCTCATAAATATTTCACACTCATAAACTATTACGATTTGTACCTCTTATAACGCAGATATACCTCTCTTTATTTATTCTTCTTGAGCGCTGTTGAGCTCATTGTCAGTGCAGCGTGTGTGAATAACATGACTTCAGTTGACTGGGTGCGTTGGAGTGGTTGGGCAGGAAGTTGACGTGCATTTCGTGAGTCAACATGATACGGGAAGTGATGTTTGTGCCACACACAAATTCTCAGTGGAGACACACCTCGCAACTTTACACATTACAATTTGTTTTTAAGGAAAAAGAAGTCACAAAAAAGCCCAAACCTTCAACTGGGATGAACAAACTTTTCCACAAAACAAGAAAAAAATCATAATATAAACACATGTTATAGAATGACAAGTATATGACAGTGATAGTGATATCTTGTGGAATTAAGGCATCAAACTTATCTACAAACAACTGGCTTTTATAAAGCAAAGTTTGAATTGATATTTTGTCGTAAAGCTTCCCAAAGGAAATTAGTTTGATGTTTACGCTCTTTTTAGTTTCATTTTGGTGAGGGAGGAGGAAGTCACTTCTCACAGATGCTTTTGGAGAAAAGTCAAGACACCTTATTGATTTATTTGGTGAATATCATAAAATCTCCATTGCAGAAAACTTCTTGTTAAATAGAGCTACAATTGGGTTCACTTAAGAAGTCCAGCACAGTGGTACCAAGGTCTTTAAGGCACATTGTGTGATCAGGGATGGTAAAATAATCAGCTGAACATGGGAGTATAAAAGTATTCTTTATTCTGTAGATAGTGCATTTTTATCTGTTAAAAAGAATTGAACATCAACACTTTTATTAATCGTTATTCATCAAGAAGAGTCATACGCAGACACAGTAGGTGGCAATCATAAACTGTGTAATGACTGGACATAGCCTTGGCGACTTCACCTATTTGTTTCTCAAGTGGAGTCATGTTAGTGACGCCGACTTAACCCACCAGAGGCGGGCCTTTAGCCTCCATGCAGTGTGCCTGTCAGTCAAGTCAGCTGTGCTCTGATTGGCTGACAAACTTCAAAATGAACTTTCTTTCTTTCTTGTTTATTCATCTCAAACTTTAAGAACAACACCAAAAAAAACTAGTATTGAACAAAATAATACATATGTAAACCAAATGACTGTACATGTCAAACATAAATTTACACAACATATGTATAAATACCTACATTATATACTCAAAGATATCTGCGTAACACTAAATAGGTTACTTATCATAATTATTTGCATATTATAATACTAATCAGTGTTATAATACTCATAAATCTTTTAATACTTCTCTATAGTTTGGTTTAAATATTTTTATGTTATTGGACTTGACAGCGCTTGACATGTTAAAGGTGTTAGACAGCTACAGAAAGGTTAACAGGGACAACTCAAAACTGAAGCTGGACAACAAACCAAAATAATCAATATGAAGTTTCTCTAGCATACTACATACAAACCTGCTTTTAATTTTATCTGGATTTTCAGGAAGTGACAACAGCTATAGATATCAACTTAAGGATCAATCATTGAACCAGCTCCTCAGGAAGACGTCAAGTTATGGAAAATTTGCACCATATTCTAACATTTTATAGTCCACAAATACTGATTTTAAAGTGTTTATAATAGAAAGAATGAGATATAAAGTCAGAATATTGTCTCAAGTGTTGTATCTTATTGCTAACAGTAGTAGCTTATGTCAGACCTGTGTTTAACACTGATCAGGAGGGAGTTGTGAAACTAGGTCACTGAACACGCTTTGACCTGCACTGACTAACAAACACAGGTCGTGGCCTTGTGTTAGCCTGAAATTGATCTAAGAGACGTGTTTGTCAGCTCTGCTTTTAAACTCAGTCAGTCACTTATTTGTCCTTTACGTAGAGATTTTGACGAATGTTTTAGGTCGAGTTAAGAAGCTGGAAAATAGTTTGTACAGTCTGTGATAATGGAATAGCTTAATATCAAACAGAGCTTCGCATAAGAGCTGATGGGAAACGGCAGAGAGAGAAAGAGAGAGAGAGAGTAAGGGGTGAGCTGCCTGTCAGAAGCACTGTCGGCTGTGTTTCCTCTGCTTCTGATTCCTTTTCCCCCAGAATGCCTCAGTGCAGCTCATGTCCTCTGCTGCTTTATTTTTCTGAGAGCTATTTCTTCTGTGAGAGGAATGTCAAGTGCCCATCTCGCTGCATTTCTCCCTGTTCTGTGTTTTGTTGTGTTACTTTTGATTTCCGTTTCTTCTTTTTTTTTTTCTCTTCCTCCTCCTCCTTCAGTCTTTGTGTCTCCCCTGCTGCGTCTCTTTCTGCCTGGCAGTACAAAATTAGCCGGTGCCCAGGCCTTCATAAATATATAAATAAGTTTGTGTTATTAGCAAACATATTGTCTTTGTGCGACCGTGGCTGTCTTTTGTGTTAGCACAGGTCTGTGTGTGTGAGTAAATGTGTGAGTGTGTGAGAGAGAGATGAAGGAGGAGAGGAGGAGGAGGAGGGGGGAGGAGGAGAGACGTGGAGAGCCGTTTTATTAACGTGGTGACTCCCGCTAAAATTCAGGGAGTGCTGTTGCATCCAGCTGTTACTGGTTGCGCGAGGCTTCGTTGCCATGGCAACACAGCCCTGCGCGCCTGCTCAAGGTCGTTCATCCAGCTCTGAACTGAGCAGCAGAGGATGCACATGGAAAGAGCGAGCAAGAGAGAGAGAGAGAAACAGAAAAACTACTTCAAAGTGACCAATCAAAAGCACTTCAGTGACGTTGTGTTCAGTGAACAAACTCAACACCCTCCAATCCCCCCCTTTTCTTACACACACAAACACGCACACATAGACACATACACACTTACTTTGTTCAATAAAAAACAAACAAAAAAGAACCTCTGGCCTTGGGGCTTGTAGCTTCTTTTGCCAGCTGATAAAATATTTAGCTGGTCAGTGTGAGAGCGAGGGATACGGTGGCTGGAGAAGAGGCGAGCAGCAGAGCTCGTCTTTGTGTTTTCCTTTCTCTAATGGTGCATTGCTGTGAGGCTACCTGGGGCTTCCTCCACCTCCTCCTCTCTCTTCTCCTTGTCTTTACTCAGGGGCTGCAGCATCCCTTGGGGGGCTCCTCTGCGTGTTTGCCAGCTCTGACTGGAGTGAGTATGGCCCCGTAGTATTTTTTAAGGCCCAAACCCACTGCAGCCCCTTTTTACAGGGCCTGTTCGAGACGGGACTGTTACACCTCTGCCATCGCTCTGCCATCAACTTGAATGTCAAGGAGGTGTAACGGTGGTGTCTTTCTCCTGCTGAGGTTGTAACAGAACTAGAAGGATAGATTACGTTATATGGCGAGCCTCATGCTGGGATGTAAATGCAAAATAACATCTGCACAAAAAAAGATGAAGGTTGATATTTTACAGGAGATGTCACACTGCCATCACGGCTTTTATTGAGACCAAATAGAGGAACTCTCTCTCTCTCTCTCTCTCTCTCTCTCTCTTGCTAAAGCTGCTTTTTTTTGCTTTGTGTGTATGTGGATTTCAGTGTTTCTGCAGCCAGCCCCAAGTGGACGATTGGGGAACTGCAATTTGTAACACTTTCGCATTGGCTTAATTTCTCAAGATTGGAAGTTGGCGCTTGATGGTGACCTTTTTTTCCAATTCTAAATGTATTTCAAATCTTAAACTATTACTGGCTTGTGATGAATACAAATTCTGTTATGAATATACAAACATAAGTAATGTTCAGAAATCGTAAGTATAACGCCATGTATTTTACTATTTCATTTATCAATAAAAATGTGTCACTGGCTCAGATAAACATGCGTAGGTGGGTGTATGGTTCTTGCATTTTTAGGACTCTTACAGTATGAATGCAAACGGAAAACTAACATTGTCACCAGACTCGAGAAAAAAGTTTGAGGGGAACAAAAACTACATTTGATTAAATTTTGTGACTCGCTTAAAGGGATATTTCGGTGTAAAATTAATTTAGGGTCAAACACACTGTAACACCGAGTTAGACAACCCCTTGAGAAATGAGTGTTGTTGACTGCTTGCTTCTCTAGTTATACCAACTTTAGTAACAACCGCACAATAGCAATACACAGTGGTCTGAGGAGCCATAAACAAACCTCAACCAAAACTCCACTCTATAGCCACAAATAATGCTCAGAACAGCACCTAACTTCATCATATAGGGTACATATAGGGTCCCAGCCATAGCACTATCCACTGAACATCTTTTTAGCTTTGCCAAATTTCTTTTGCAAAGAGACTAAACACAACTCACCTACTCTCCTCCAGCAGCCGCTTATTCGTAGCGAGACCTCAGGCCAGTCGGTATGGTGGTTTCAATCAGACTGAGACGCTAAGGCAGAAGAAGTACCGCGTCTGCAGGGCAAAATGATTAATATGATGATTATTACTTAAAGGAAATGATTTTAAAAAAGTCTCCCGGGGGGTGTCTAACTCGGTGTGAAGGTGTGTTTGACCCTAAATTAATTTTACGCCGGATTATCCCTTTTAAATATGAAAAATGGCAACCGTGACAATTTCAGGGAGTGTAGTTTGTTTACAGGAAATTTCAGGAAATTAATCTGGTGATTGTTTGGTTTTCAAGCAGCGACTATTTGAGGACTTTGTACCTAAATTTGGGCTGTTCGAAAGTTTTAGTTTGATGACCGAAGATTTAAGATGGTTTTCCAATGATCTCCTCGAACTGAGGTGAGAAGAAATATCCGCTCTGCAAACACACAGAGGTGAGAAAGCAGAGACAAGGTTTACAGAACAGCCCTACCTATTTTTGAACGTGCTTCATATCCACGTTACGACAGCATGTCCTAGTGCCTGACAAGGAGGTTGGTTTCTTGTCCTTTTCTTCCCTTTTTTTCTGCCAGTACGGGTGCACACAGAGTTCACAAACCAGTGCAAAATATATATACATATATATATATATATATATCCCAGTTTTCTTGGAGAGAGGTGTCGAATCTTGTAGTTTTCCTGACATAATTCTCATGGCAGATGTGTTGCATGTGTATCTTTGTTTGAGAGAGAGTTATAAAAACAAAAGCTTTCACGTCTTCTTAGGCGTGCTGAAATGGATTTTTAGAGAGAGGAGGGGGTTAGCCACACGACTCTTTTCACTGTAAGGTAATGGATGCTTATTAAAGGGGTCCTCAGAGGGGTTTGTGTGTGTGTGTGTGTTTAAGGAGAGGAGCTCTGTTTTTTTACTTATTTTCCATTGTAAAAATCCAGGCCTGGTTTATATGTGTTAGAGCTCCTTTACGTGCCTCCACACACACACTCACACACACACACAAACATTTATGAGGTAGGAGTCGAGGTAAATGTTACCAGCTGCAGCACAGCAAGCAACTGGCTTCAACTCTGTCTGAACCCGGCTGTTACGTGACCACCTCCTCAACTTAATTCAGCCTTCCCCTGAGCTGCCACACCTCCTATATCACTCTACCCCCCACCACAGAATCATAGACACACACATTCAAACACACACACACACACACAACATCATCTCCATCTCCATCCGGCGGCTCCTCTCTAGTGTCACCAGCAGCAGCATCACTCATCTCAGGATAACAGGAGAGCACTCCAAGGTCTGCTACCCCCACCTCGTCACCTTGGTATGGAGCAGCGAGCCGGCCAGGCAGGCTTCATCTGATTGGCTGCCCCTCGCCTCCCCTTCGAGGTCACACTGTTGACACAATGATGTCATGGAGGCTTGTTTATCCATAACTCCTGTCAGGCTCCGTTGCAACATACTGTACAAAACAACAGCACCTTGCGTAAGCCGTTATTGTAGAAATCTGATTTATTTTCACGCTAGATCCTAGTAGGCTTTTGAAGGTGGTCACCAGTCTACCAGGGGTCCAAGAAAAACCAACAAACCAAGAATAAAGACTGAGTCAGACCACACTGATGAAAAAGTAACAAGAAAATAAGCCAGATATGAAAAATAAAGGTGCTCTACGATCTGATTACCTGTCGGTGAGTTTCATCTCCTCAAAAAAATCTCAACAAACTTCTAATCCATGATTTCATTCATAAAACCTGTAGTTAGTTATGTAAGAAGGTTCATCCCATGATAAACTCAGTAACACAGTTAAGTACTTATAAATAGAGCCGGGCAGGAAAAACTCATTATAGCGAGAAATCAGCATGATTCAGTTCGAGACGCTGTTTGACTTGAGTTATGAAACCTTTGGTTGTGATCAGTGCTTGAGGATGTGATCAGGACTAGAGGTTGAATAACAAATGAGATATTAAGTTGATTCCAGCACAGAACAGAAAGTAAACTCTAAATCTATGAGTTTTCCATATTTACTATGAAACATAACTTATCACTACAAATGGTTCCAAAGATGTCCAGTCGTACCGTGAGTGAAAGCTCTTGTGAGGAACTGTGGCGCCCCCCGTCTTTGCTTATCTTGTTCTCAACATTCTTATTCAACGTCTTCTCACCAATAGATCTCATCCAGCTGATACATTAAAGTCAAATATCTTGTTTGTGTGAATATATAATACAGTATAATAGTGTTTTTTCTTCAGTTGATCAGCTGACACTAACCCCTTTACCCCCAATTTCCGGAAGGGCTACAAAAAGGCTGTATCCACCGATCGTAGCTGATAGTAACTGTTCAAGTTAATGTGTGATAATGTTAATTTTCATCGGCTTGTTTCTGTTCCGCTGCGGATCGCCGGACTCCACAGCTGATTGCAAGAGTTCTATTTTTTTCCGGGCGCCGGAGCATACCGGATAAAATCAGCACAGATTAACCTGTGCTGGAAAGGAAGTCCGGCACAGACACAAAATAAAACATCCGGCTTCTTTTCAAAATAAAACGCTCCGTGTTTCAGGTGGATCATATTTCACACCATGCAAACGTGCGGAAACAAACAAGTAAAAGGTTTATGGACAGCGTTTCATCCTGACGACACCGTAGATGAGAGGATGATGATTTTTTAAGTCTAGAAGTAGATTTCCTCCTCTGGAAGGACACGATCTACTGCTTATATGGTTAGCCTATGTGGCTAGAGACAACTGGGTTCATGTTAGTTCTCATGTTTTCTGCTGTCTGTAATCCGCCTCAAAATTCGCCTCACAAACGGATCCGGAAGGAATTGGCGTGCGGTGGAAATTACCTTTAGCTCTGCACATCTGCATCAGACCTAAATGGACACATGAGCTTTTCTACCCCTACTTCATACCCTATGTATGTATAATGTTGAGTTTTGGAAATATTCATCGCGGTTTTATGCATTCCTGTAGTTAAGGAATAAAAAACACTCGTGCAGGTCTAACGCTGAAGGTTTGGATTTCCTCTCAGTTCTCTGTGTGCGTTTTTTAAACTATTTGAAAGCTCGTAAGCATTTATGCGTGATGGAGTAGAAGCCATTTTAATTGATCCCATTTGACCTGTTAGATGTTATCAATGTACTTTACTCCCATGAAACTTTATGACACACTCGACTTGACACATTTAGAGTGTGTATATGACGTACATGCATGAATGTAGAAGGCTCAGGCTTTGTTTCTACCTTCACCCATTTGTTTTCGCTAAGCAGGGAAAGGTATGAAGTCCCCTGTGATGGCGGCAGTTTTTTATTTTTTATTTTTCGGGGGGGTTTAGTTGTATCTGTCTCCCTCCCTCTCTCACAATGAGCCTGCTGGTCCTGTGAGATCCCAGTTATAGTAAACAAGCAGTGACATCGACATGCTCTCTTTAGAGGAATGGAGGCCAGAATTTAAATATTGATTTGATGCAATGTGAGACAAAGATTCCTCTTCTTCTCGTGTTTCTCCTCTTGCTGCTTTTTATAGCTGCTGTTTGTGTATTTTTAGGTGTTGTCCTGCATATCAGACTTTTTACCCAAGAAAGCTTTTCTGTTTAAGTTTCCCTCCTGCTCTCGCTTTGAATTGAGTTTGTGTGTGTTGCTTAGTCTCAGTTCCACATCAGTAAGACCTGATGCCCAGGATGAAATATCATCCCCTGTTGGACTCAGCTGCCCACTCAGGTAACTATCAGGTGAACGGCCTTGACTTGCCTGCAAGAAAGCTGTCGGTGATGTTTATTGAGCTGATCAAGCCAAACGGACGGATCACAGACTGACCAACACTTGGTGGATTCAGGTGTAATGTGCTGCTTTGAATGTTTCCTTTCCTCTATGCATCTATAGTCACTTCTTAAACTGAGTAGCAGGAGTGCATAGAAAAAGACAAATAACTTTTTTACTGGCAGCTGTTTACCTAGGTGTGAAAGTAGCAAAGCCACAGAGCTTCAATTGGCAGATGGACCAAAGAAAGAGACTTTTAATTCATGTTGACCAAGATTGTAATTCTCTGCATTGACTCTGTTAGACGAGTTTGAGGATCAGCCACTTTTGTCACTACATATATTGAGGGGAAAAAAAGCAAAATTAGGTTAAAATCAAAGCTGAGACTTGGAAATTTTAAGATGCAGATGAAACTGTTGCTATTGATCCCAATCAACCGAGATAATATCTTTACTGGAAAGCACTTTTTTGGTTGATGTAGAATATAAATTTTGTTGCATTTCTTGTCCTGTACACTTACTGTACAAACATCCTTTCAAAAACAGGGAGTTTGGTCACTCTGTGTTTTCCTGCAATTATTTCGGACGTTAATATTTTTTTTGAACCCGTATCCCGTCAATACAAGGAAGTTTTCCCGTCCTGCGATATAGCGGCATTTATTTTTTCCTATCACGGTCGAATTTTCTAAAGTTTCGCATACTGTGTGTCCACTTCTGACCAATCACATTTTGTGTTGCTGCGATGCCAGATTCACTGGTATATCCAACATGGCTGACCGGCTGATTGTTTCCATGTCGGAGAACAGAGTGCTTTATGATAAAAACACAAATATTATTAAGATAACGACCTGAAGGACAACTTGTGGAAAGTCATAGCGACGGATCTCCCATATGACGATGGTTTGTGTGCTTTAACAGTTTGCTAAATGTCTTTGTTTTAACTTTCATCTGTGCTAAGTAACTTTAGCTCATAAGCTAACCTGTTCAGATACAACATACCATATGTATTTCCACTGTCTCAAACTCAGTCGTGTTGCTGTCACAGCACAATTAGGTCTCAGTTGTTACCTTACGTTTATGGATTATAGTTTAATGTGCTTATCTGGTACTGGCCCTGACTCAGTACATGTTATCATGACAGACAGTCATCTCAACAATAGAGTCTAATCAGAACTGAAAAACACTCAGTCTTCTGTTGTGTCAGTCTTCTCGCTTCCACCCGAGACGCACCTTTTTTCCCCCTTGGAAAGTCGCAAAATCGCATCACGCTTGATGTGTATAGTCAGGTGCGTCAAAATTCGCCTCTGGATATTTCGTAATTTCGCCTCATATATTTGCGTTGTTCCTGGTGTGTAAAGACCCTAAAGATAATCAAATCGATGATCTTGGGTAGGCAGATGCTGATGTGTGAGAAAAAAAGGATGACAGGTCAGAATTTCTTGTTGAGATCGGCCAAAATTGCACATCACCAAAAAAGATTCAGGGTTTAGTGGTTTGGTGGACTTCCTGGAGAGCCCGACTCTCCAGTGGATGTCTGTTACATTCAAGAGACTCTTAAGCCTAATTGAATGAAAGCAGCTTTTATGTGATAGTACAGTAACCGCACATGCATTTCACAAGGTGCTAACTGGAAACCATATTTTCTCATACGCTAGTGACAGCTCCTCCAATAAAGGCCTGGTGGAGAGTACGTGTTAGCCCGGCACCATCTTCCTCCATACCTCACAAGCGCTAAAAATAACACCATCTCTGCATCAGACTTACTCTGAGAGAAAGAGGGAGGGTGAAAGGCCGGGAGAAGAAGAAGAAGAAGAAGAAGAAGAAGAAGAAGGGGATGAAGAAGGAGACAGAGCGGGGAAACAACAATCAAAGAGGAGAAAAGTCTGATGGAAGGGGAGCAGAGGTAACAAGACATTAATTATTTACCTGCAGGACCCCTCAAGTTCAACCTTTAGCTCTGGTCAGTGGTGTTCAGCATCACGCACGAGTGTTGTGCACAGTGCTGTGTAGTGTTTTAAAAGCTCTTTCACATGATCAGACTAGTGAGCAACGTCTGGAAGTCTGTGCCCACAGAGACCGTCCAGGTGTGCTCAGGTGCTCAGTGGGTGTTCAGGCCTGAAATAGCAACAAGATAAAACGGGTACCAGTGAGAAGATGAAATATGATCTAGGAAGGATTCGTGTAAAAGATTCATGAGTTTCCAGCTGCCTGCACGGTGGTAGACAGGATTTAGGTTTTAATTCTGGGAAGTTGGTGAGAAAACTGTGAAGTCATCCTTCCTGGTTTCAAACAGCTCAGTTATGGGGAAAGAAATGTAGTGTGTATTTCTGCAATATGAAATGTCATGGGAAGTGCTTTTTCAAGTCACGTGAATACCAATTTATTCACTATGCATGCCAGAAATGTTTAAAGCAGGTTAACAAAAAGTTTAAAAATCTCAGACACAGACGATCTGAATAGACAGTGGTGTCAAACATCCAGCTACTTCTCACATCAGAAAACTTGAATCTGTTCAAATGAGCGCAACACCCTGAAAGCCTTTGAAGAGAGACTGAAATTTATGCTCCATTATCTCCATTTGTGGGATTCATTCCTCTTCTGTTCTCTCTAAGATAGTTTTACTCTCAACTGCGAGTGCGGCCTTTTGGAACAAGCTTGGCCTTTAAATTCAGTCGGATGAAACTTTGTATGGACTACTTTGTTCAGATCATCAAACAGACTTTTCGCACTTCTTGTCAGAGAAATACATCGTGAACAGGATTAGACTTGATCATTCGATGGTAGAGGAAAGATGAAACTTCTGCCTGAGGACTTTTCTCTGAAAACTAGTTGATTAAGATACATTTAGTCAGCATTAAATAACAACAAATACGTGAAATACGTCAAAGCAAAACAACCAATAATGTCAAGCAGAAAGATCAAGTGTGTTTGCGTCCAGATGTGTTGTCTTTAATCAGAGTTTTAGAGACTGTTGCTGTGCGTCAAAAACTTTTACCATGGTAACTGAGGGACTGGCTAGCCAAAGCTAATGTAAAAAAATGATAAGTTGAGGATGAAGATTGTTTTTCATCTTGCATTTCAAGAAAAAGTTGAGATGTTTGGAGTAAAGTTTAAAACTGCAAGAAGCTGAAGTTAAGAGTCAAAATAGTCTCTTCCTCTAAAGCTGTAAGGTTTGGGATTTGGCGCCCCCTGTGGACAAAGCTGTCTTTCTGTATCTTGTTAGCTACTTGCTTTGGTTGTGTCTTTTGAAAGCATTGCATCCCATTGACTTTTAACAGTGAAATGTTTTTTTTTTCATGTTAATATTTCATGTGGAAATTGCGAAAAACAGGGCTGGATTTAGGCATTGAAGATCAGGTTATAAAAATCATCCTTAAAAAATCCTTATAAAAATCATGCTTTTCAATGCCACGAAAAGGCGTTAAGATGTAATTTAGTTTTTGTAAGAGATGTCAGAAAACTAAAAGGTTGTTATTTAATTTTTCAAATAAAGTCAACAGCTGCTAAGTGGTAATGCGACATATCCACAGAAAACCGTTTCCAGGTGGGAAATGCTCCTTCACTCCATGGCAAGCGCTCACTTTCCTCAGCTTCTAATTCATTAACTTGTAAATAAACTAAGAACAAATTGTGAGCAGCCCCTCCTCTGTCGAATAATTGTACCCACATGCATTTTTTTGTAAACATCTCGCCTATTTTTACCGGTAATGACTTCAAATGTGACTTTTATCAGCACGATACATTGCTGTCTAGCACATCTTTACCAATGAACCTAATTAAGTTTCGCTAACTTCAGCAGACTTTATTAAAGTTTCCTGTCAGTTCTTAAAGAGCATAGCTGAGTATTAAATTAACACAGATTTAAAATATACTGAAAATAATTTTATGCAAGAGTGTGATGCCACCACTTTGCAACCATTTACTTTTTCCTGAAATTGTCTTTTCTCTTTTTTTTTTACATTAAGTTTGCATTTTTTTTCTTAAAATTGAGCTTTTCATTTCTTTGAAAGTCAATTTTTTTTATCAACACAATGAAAAAGCTTTAAAAACAGACTTTAAACTGATTTTTAGTCATATCAGAGATCAGTTTATCTGTCCAGCATGTCTGCGCACATTTGGAGGGTTTGACAGGTTACAGAGTCAACACGTCCACACGTTCATGTTTGCGGTCGGCAGTTTTATTATTTGCTTTGCCTCCTGCTGATTGTATACAGACGCTTTACTTTTCCATTTGACTCCCCAGGACTCAGACACGCACATTTATTTTAACTCCTGACTGGTTTGAGCTCATTTGTGTCTGCTCTGCGTTTAACCTTTGTCCTCGCTCATTTCAGCCGCACAAAAGCACAGAAATATAGCTCCAGGGGCGGAGGGGAGGGGCTGGGCAACTTGTTGCTGTGTGACCGCTGATGTACGCCAAACACTGCCTAGCGTGTGTTTGTTTTTGAGTTTGTATTTGTCAACAAAACAAACCGAGGTCCCGGTTAATGGTCAGGGACTCGATGAGGCTGAATTTTTCCACGAGCGCTCTTCTGCTTCACTGAGGAGGACGAGAGGAAGAGAGAAAATGAAAGAGAAAGAAAGAAACAGGGCGGGTTTTGGTTTCGGTGGCAAGGGGAAGGTTGTAGATGGTAAGAAAAGGCGTTGGAGTTGACATTGTTAAATTTCAAGTGTTTTTCAAACAGTCCATTTATTGTGTAACCTTACAGCCGGGGTGACACCGAGGCCTCTCTCCCCCAGGCACAGTGTTACACTCCATTTGACCAAAGCGGCGCAGTCGGGTTAGAGAGCTTTTTGCATATGCTGGTTGTTGCAGATCATTCTGGAACCTTTTTTTCTTTTAATGTAAGCCTCTTGCTTAGGTTTGCTGCATTTGTTTTCTCTAAAGTTGTTGAATTGATCAATGAAGATCAGTATTTTGGAAAAAAAAATTATCAAACCTCCATCTTCAGCTCATCTGAATTAGGGGTGGGAATCATTGGTGGCCTCACGATACTATATTATCACGATACTTGGGCCATGATGCGAAATACTGCGATTTATACAATTTTTTCAACTGTTTAGCTTATTTCACATTTGGCTTTCCTTTATGTTTGTCTTATTTACACTGTATTTTATTTTCATGTAGCACATCTTGCTAACCTTATAAATATTTGTTGTACTCACTTTCTCCTGCTCCATGATGTCACTTCTGCCAACCTCACTGGACAAAGAGTTAATTTCATTTTTCAATTATCATAAATGTAACTTCAAATTAACAATTAATTTGAAAAAATTGATAATTGGTTCATGAGACGATACGATATATCATCAGACAAAATATTGCAATGCCATGCTGTATCATTTTTTCCCCCACCCCTAACCTGAATACACGGATACAAACTGTACAAGAAGTTTTTTTTTAAAAAGCAAGATGAGTTATAGTAGAAGAGAGTGTAAGAAGGAAGATGGATGACAGGGATGTAAAGTGATCTGACTGCAGGTGTTTTATCAGCTGATGGCAGAGAGATGGCCTTCTTCTTGCTGGTTGGCTCTCAGTACCATGATTTTAATCCAAGTACTTTCTGGCAAAGTTTTCATTAACATTTTATAGCTGGAAAGGTTTGAGTTCTTTGAGAACTCTTTGGGTGAAATATCTTTTAATAAAAACCTTCTACAAGAACAAATGTGCCAACAAAATACAGCATTGCCCTTTTTTATAATTCATTTTTTCAGAGGTTTCTTGCAGAAGGGCTCGTAACATCCCCACATTACCCTTATTTGGTGAACGGTGAGAACCATAATTCAAAGAAACAGCGTATTTGCGCTTTATGTAGAAGTGACTTGTTTAAAGGGATATTCCGGCGTAAAATTAATTTAGGGTCAAACACACCGCAACACCGAGTTTAGACACCCCCTCGAGAGATGAATATTGATGACCACTTGCTTCTCCACTTGCTTCTCCAGTTATACCAACTTTAGCAACTCATCTCCTCTCTTCCAGCAGCTGCCTGTTTGTAGCGAGACCACGGGCCAGTCCATTATGGACTGCTGCGGGGTTACGCAGCTCAAGGAAGAACATTTATGATATTTTTTTATCATTTCCTTGAAGTGATAATCATCATATTAATCATTTTTCACTGCAGACGCAGTAGTTATTCTGTGTTAGAGTCTCAGTTTGATTGCATTTCCATGAAGAAACCACCATACCGACTGGCCTGAGGTCTCGCTACGAATAAGCGGCTGCTGGAGGAGAGTAGGTGAGTTGTGTTTAGTCTCTTTGCTAAAGAAATTAGACAAAATTAAAAAGATGTTTAGTGGCTAGTGATATGGCTGGGAACCTATATGTACTGTTGATGAAGTTAGGTGCTGTTCTGAGCATTATTTGTGGCTATAGAGTGGCGTTTTGGTTGAGGTTTGTTTATGGCTCCTCAGACCGCTGTGTGTTACTACCATGCAGTCATTACTAAAGTTGGTATAACTAGAGAAGCAAGCGGTCGGCAACATTCATCTCTCGAGGGGGTGTCTAACTCAGTGTTATGGTGTGTTTGACCTTTAAGTAATTTTGTGCCGGAATATCCCTTTAATACAGCAAGTTAGCTACAGGTGGAGGGTAGATGTCTGATCATGTCTATTAGTCCGCCCTATCCACCATCTACACATTCATAGTGTTCACAGCCTGCTGCACCAATGAAGATGTGCGTTTCTTATTTGTGTGTGCCAGTGTGCGCCTTATTATCACAGTCAGGTGGATGATGGAGGAGGAGGAAGAGGAGGAGGAGAAGGAGGGGAGTCGGGGCAATTGTGCAGCTGATGTGGGGGAGAATAAAACAACGGGCAGCTTCTTCAGTGACCGTGGTGGCTGTTAATTAATCAAACACACACATTCACGCACACAGACAGTGATGAAGAGGCTATAGAGAAACACGCACACACCAACACACACATTAAGTCTCCTTATGAGAGGCTTGAAGCTCTTCTACTTACCGCCGACCGGCTCTGCTCGCTCTATTTGCAGAGCCGCCCCTCCCCTCCCTGATGCTATGATCTAACTGCAGCCTCCTCCCCCTTCACACACACACACTCCATGCTCACATGCCTGCACTTCCACACAAACTCTCACACACACACACATACACATACACACAGGGAAAGGCAGGGGTGCTTATGCATCCACAGCACACATGCAGCATGCGGGGTGTGTCTGTGCAGCGAGTATTTATGCTGTTTTGATCGACTGTTGTTAACATGGACTGTGGACTCGGTGCCGTGGCATGCATTGTTCATCCTGTTGATCTCGCGGTTTTCGGCCCACGTGCCTTCTTGGTGGCATCAGAGGAAAAGTACAGAAAATAAGAGAAGAAGAAGAAAAAAACAAACAATACAGCCTCTTGTTTTTCCTCTCCCTCTTCTCTGTATCTCCTGAGGTTTTGCTTTTTTGTCCTCTGCGATCGAGGACAAATAAACATGCAGAGGGAGAGGGAAAAAAGAGGGGCTTGCTTGGAAAAAAAACATGTAGACGTATAAAAGAAACAGTAGTGTTGGTATAGTAACAGAGGTGAGCTTCACATCTTTACAGTCAGATCCACAGAGTGGGTCAAAGTTCCCGTGCAGCTGGAGACGTGTTCTGATTGGTTGCGGAAAGGTGAAATTAAAACCACGGTAAACTTTTGACCTCGCAGGAACAGGCAGAGGAACGCCCATCGCCGGAGCCAGAGCGAGCTTCTCCTCTTCCTCCTCCTCCTCCTCCTTCTCCTCTCCGCTCTCCCATCAACGCAACCCCTCCCTCCTCCTTTCCCCCTCCTCTGTATCTCTCACTTTCCCCTCACCTCTTTCTCCCCCTCTTTACATTCCCATGTTGAGTCTGTCATTCGCTCTTGTTTGCTGCTTTCTCTCACTCCAAACTATCCTTCCAGTTTAACCCCCCCTCTTCCTCAGTTTTCTCCTTCGCTGTCTCTTTTTCCCCCCGATGAATTTGTGCCTTGCTGCATACAGCCTGATGAGACAGAGGGAGGGAGGGAGAGAGCAGGAAAGAGCTGGGGGAAGGGTATAGAGAGGGAGGAGACAGGCAGAGAGAGAGAGAGAGAGGAGAGAGGGGGGATGGGAAAAGAAACAGAGGGCGAACAGCAATAGAAGAAGAAGAAGAAGACACGGGGAGAGGAGGGCAGGAGGAATCCAGTCCCCCTCGCCGCACAAACTGATAGAGAAGAAGAAGAAATCTGAAGTCGAGTGAATGTATAAATAGACATGTAACTGCAGCTCAGACGAAGATTTGCCGGGCAGCATGGTGGGGAGAGCCCATTTATACTGCTAATGGTTTCTCTCATTACACATCAAACAAGTGGAGGGGTTGTGTATGTGTGTGTGCGAAGTGGGGTGGGGGGAAGATTTAAATGATTTCATGAGCCAACGAAAAAGAGCAGCCCTCTCCCTCGCTGCTTTGCATGCACGCAGACACGTGGGCTCGGAGCTGCATTTCTATTAGCATATCTGAACTACACAGTGTGGCTGAGTACCGTCTACTGTAACTGTTAGTGCTTTTCACAATTAGGCTGTTTAAAGAGACCACCCAACCCCTTTCTAAGCTAATAGGGCCGTATTTTAATTAATCTGCTCATATAAAGCATTTACTGCGCACCACAGTCTGGACTAATTTGTCCACCACAGTCTGCAGGTGTGAAAGCTTCACAACGCCCAGCCGTACAGTGCAGATTTATACCCCACATTCAAGATGAAGGGGTGTGAGAGATAAGCCCTTCATAAGCAGCAATCCCTCCAAAGCTCGGTGCGATGCTACACCTTTGTTCTGTTTTACTTCTATCCGAACTCGTCACATCCTGCACACCTCTGTTACAATCTCAGCTATCCCACCTGCTTTTCAGATATGCACTCAGGAAAAATTCAGGTACTTTTCAAGGTCCTTACACACCGAGAACGACGCAAATATATGATGCGAAATTACGAAATATTCGGAGGCGAATTTGGCAGGTGCGGGGGGAAGAAAGACGCTTCCTGGTTGGAAACGAGAAGACTGACATAACAGCGGACTGACTGTTTTTCAGTTCTGATTAGACACTAGTGTTGAGATGACTGTCTGTCATGATAGCATGTACTGAGTCTGGGCCAGTACCAGATAAGCACATTAAACTATAATCAATAAACATAAGGTAACAACCGAGACCTAATGGTGCTGTGACAGCAACGCGATTGAGTTTGAGACAGTGAAAATACATATGGTATGTTGTATCTGAACAGGTTAGCTTACGAGCTAAAGTTACTTAGCGCAGATGAAAGTTAAAACAAAGACATTTAGCAAACTGTTAAAGCACACAAACCATCGTCATATGAGAAATCCGATGCTATGACTCTCCACAAGTTGTCCTTCAGGTGGTTATCTTTGTGATGTTTGTGTCTTTTATCAAAAAGCACTCTGTTCTCCGACACATAAACAACCAGCTGGTCGGCCATGTTGGATATACCGGTGAATCTGACGTTGCAACAACACGCAATCTGATTGGTCAGAAGTGAACACACAGTTTGCGAAACTTTAGAAAAATTGACCGTGATACGAAAAATCTGAACGCTTGTTTGACAGGATAAAAAATATTCACAAATGAAATAATCGCACGAAAAAAACACTCCCAGTGTGAAAGGACCTTTAAGGACTCTCATCTGGAAGTTTACCTGACTATGTTGCTCACACAGACTTCTTCACGGCATAAAGTCTCCAAACAGACAGAGAAAGGACGTTGAAAAAATGGTACAGAGCTGTCAAATCGTTAGCCGTTTTTCTATGTATTACATCAACAGGGAGACGACCTGACAGTAACAAGCTAAAAGGGGGCGTGTCACTACCTACCATAGCAGAGGCGGGCACGCATCTGTCAATAATTCTGTTCTTTCCCAGTGTGTAAACTAGTACAAGGACAGCAGACCAGTTAAATCACCTAATCGAGCTTTAACTGTAGCTCCACTTAATCATGAAATGAGTATAAAGCCATTTCACAGCATTTTACCTTTTTTTTTGTCCAGTCACATTCTGTTCTTTGGGGTTTTATAATGTTTTCTATTAAGATGGGCTACTCGGCAGCTCTTTGCATGCCAAAGGAGTACTGTTTGATATTTGACATATTGTTTGATAGAGGACATCAGTCTTCGTAAGCTTCTCTGTAGAGAATCAAAACAGACTCCTAAATCTCTGACGATACAAATATGAAGGATCGTGGCATGAGAAGTAATTCTGTACTGAGTTCATTCTTTGACACAACCGATGAACAATCGTTGATAAAAGTTTCATAAAAGTGAACAAAAACAGGCTGCCTATACAAAGCTATAGAAGCTACAGGGGAGAGTGGGGTAAGATGAGCCATTTTTCATATTTCAGATCACTTCATCAAGGCAATCATAGTTTTGTCTCGAACTAGTGTATCTGCATAAATTTGCAGACGTGCATCCCTGCAAACCAACAGAATGAGTGTAAACAGAACTGTCTTGATAATATAGCATGCCAAAAAAAGTGGTCTCCTATGGCTCAACTTACCCCACTCTCCTGACATGATACCAGGTGGCCAGGAGGAAATATTCTGGGTGAAATCAGGTCCTGCATTTTCCAAATTTGTTCGTACCCAGAGATTAGGAGTAGGTTTGACGCCTCTGGACTATTTGCCAATCATTTAAAGAGCTGACACAAAGAGACAGAAAACCATTCATTATCGGTTACACCTATATTGAATTAATTAGCTGATTCACTGCTTCTTAACTGTGTGTTTTCTGACTAAAGCGAAGGATTTGATCGGGATCACGAACACTCAATTGGCACACAACACAGCCTCATTGCAGGTCATTGACACAAAGTGTGATCACTTTTCAGATTTTAATACAGTTAAAGTAATCCTTCTTTGGTTTGGGTTTGGTTCTGGGATGAGTGCACAGAAAGCTAGCAGAGAAAGAGGAAAGGTGTGGAGGAGACGAGAGCCAGAGCCCGTCGTCTAAGAAGAGAGGAAGCAGGAGGAGAGAGACCTTTTTTTTTTTTTTCCTCTTTGGTTTTCTTGCCAGCAGAGAAAAAGAGAAGGCAGTGAGTTAAGAGAGGAGGCTGTGGATGTTATTGAGTTAACCAGACAGAGCTGTGGAGAGTGAGTGAGAGGGAGGGAGGGAGAGAGGGAGGGGGAACAGCGGGAGCCGAGAGAGAGAGAGAGAGAGTGAGAGAGTGAGAGAGGGGGGGACCGGCTCGGTGGAGAAGCTGCGCTGCGATGCTCCGCTTGCTTCTGCCGCACAGTGGGCACCATATGCTCTCATAATGTATGGAGCACACGTCAAGACACCCTGCCTCTCCCCTCCAAAAAAAATTAACTCCTCCTCTTCCTCCTCTTCTTCTCCCCGTCCTTCATTTTTCCAGCCAATTACATCACTCACGAGACAGCCCATTAGGCGAAACACACACACTCACTCACCATGCATCCCATTAGGTAAGGAGCACCCTGCTGACATGCACCCATGATAAGAGGCACTCCTAACAAACATTTGGTTCTTTCGCACCAACACGAAAACAAACACACACTTAGATAAAGCTCCTCTCTGCCTCTAATAGGAGAGAAGATTGATACAGACAGAAGAAAACAGATTTCTCAAGATGTCGCTCTGCCCCTGCTTAGCTCCTTCCTCTTTAAATATTTAAAGCAGCCATGGTATGTTTTATTCCCCTCATTGTGTTATCATTGAATTGGTGATTTTTCCTCTGATGCTAATGCAAGTTTTCCACGCGCACCGTGCATAAGCAGCTCCCTGAACGTGTGCTTGATGTGTGCTGACAGTGATGTGCGTGCAGCTGAATGCAAGTTGATTTCTGATTGGGGAATAGAGTGTGTAAGCAGGGATTGCTTTCTCCTGCACGCTGTCATCTGCTTTCAAGGTGTGTCGGCTGCTCTGTGACTGTAAGTGTGTGTGCGTGTGTGTGTTTGTTTGTTGGTGGTTGTGCATGTTGCCGTGCAGTTTCCCTGCCTCTCTGCCATGTGCTTTTGTCTGTGGGAGTGATGGATGTCAGGCAGGCGGCTAATGTGATTTAGATGCTCCACCAGGAGCTTGTGTGTGTGTGCGTGTTTGTTTGCGGGTGTTTGTGTGTGCATGCGTGCGTGTCCCATCCACGTGTGTGCAGCCGAATCTGCAGTGTTTGTGCATCTACCTCTTCTCTTTTTCTCTTCTTGCTCCTCGTCCTCCTCCTCCTCCTCCTTTCTCTCCCCCCCATCATTTTTCCCTGCGCTGTGCAGTTTTTGGACTCTGAGCAAATAAATAGAGGGAGGTGGGGGGTGGGAGGGGAGGAGGGAGGGAGGTGTTTATGTGGCGAATGTGCTCCCTCACTGTCAACGCGACGGGCGAAAGCGTGAGGAAGGAGGCAAGGAGGAGGAGGAAAGTGAGAGAGGTGGAGGGGAAGATGGTGTTCTCTCACTAAGACCGCACTGATGGGTTATTGTGATCCAATTATGTCCCATTCCCACTAAAGAAAGTCTCACAGCTTATTGGCTCTCTCTCTCTCTCTCTCTCTCTCTCTTTCTCACACACACACCCTAACTCATCATCACACACATGCATCAGCAAAAGAAGTGCTCTTTTTCTCCTGACAGCTCCAGCAGTGAAGAGAGAGAGAGAGAGAGGAAGAACTTGAGATTTTCTGCATGCAATTTATTTTGAGAGAGAAAAAAAAACATCTTTACTCTGAGACGCTCTTCTTTAACACTACCTGAACTGTCCCTCTGTGGTCTGCCAGGTTTGATTTATCCGTCTTTAAATCAGTCTGTAACACATCATGTCTGTTAAATACAATACTGGACATGTGTGACTCTTTTCTAATCACATTGACACCATTACTGAGCCTTTTACGGGTTTTTATTGAGTCCACTACTGATACTTTTCTACTATTTGACACCACTTTGTTTTAATAGTCAGCTACTGCTTTTAGTGATCACTTGAATACATCTTTGCCTGAGTAGCTTTGATTTGGCTGATTTTAATAAGTTTGACAAGAAACACTTCTGTTACAGACACTTGGCTTACTTTGTCAAAGCGGTTTACCTGTCCAGCAGAAAGGTTACAGGGTTCGTAAGATCCCGAAGCGTCCCCCATCGTTTATACTGATGTTGACCCCGCTTTTTAGCTCTTGTTCGGTCGACCTCCTTTTTAAGCGCCCGTTATTCCACCAGAGTCTCCAGTATTTACTTCATTTTTTTGCTTGCGTTGGCAGTCGTGGACAAAAGGGGATTCAGACAATTTTCTGTACTTTCAGCGACAAAACACAGCAATATCATGATATTCCCAAATGTCATCAATAACTTATAGCTATTGACTGATATTAAAAGCTTTTTTGTATAGACACAACAAAAAAGATGCTCCTACCCCACCTTTAATTCTTTGATACTTGTTTGTTCAGAGACTTGTTTGAAACTGCTGGAAATTTTCTAGAAATGTACAGCATTTAATCCTCAAGAGTTAAAAGAAACAGTTACCACAGTTTGACTTTAAGGAGTGTAAAGTATCATGGCTCACCAGTTGCGCTACATTACGGGGTCAGCACTGTTGACTTATGTACTCAGATGTTGGTTCATTCCAGGACTGGAAAGAGGGCTGGCTCCGAGCCGAGCTGCTCATCGGTACTGTAAATACCACCGTTTATTTGATAAAGAGAAGGAATCAAAACCTTCAACAACAGGCTGTTAAAACTATTCTCAACTACAACAACAAAGACGACAATGAGAAATTCCCATCTAGATTTATTAGAAGTTAATAATATTAGCAGTGTCTTCATGGAGGTATTGTTATTGGGGAGTTTGTTTGTAGCTAAAACAAAGATACCATCTCTTCCCAAGCAGCAGATTCAGAGGTTCATTTTTAATCTTGTTAGAATTTTGTACAAGTTGAAACAAAGGCAGTTGTAAAACGATTAAAAGCTGAATTACTTGTTTGTTTTTGAGCTGTATCTGGATTCGAATTGAAAGTTCTTGATTCGTGGCACGATTGAAATCTTGTCAAGGATCCAACAAGTTCTTTCGAATCTAATAAATGAGTTTTGATATAGGTCCAACGATAACAAAGATATTTATGTGTGCTATTTGTGGGGAAAAAGGAAATAGTGCTGTTTATTGGGTTAAATTTACATCAAATTACCTCAAATTTGCCTCTGCCGTAACACTCAGTCATAGAGGCAGAAGTAACCTTCACCTTTTAATGACCGAGAGGCTGGGTTTACAATATCTGTGTTTGTTGCCATGGCAGCAGAATGTCCATCAGAGGCAGGGTTGGTAATTTGGGCATGTCTCATTGACTCAGTCCTTTAATTATTCTTGGTTTGTTAGAAATTCATTAGAAATAAAGTGGTGGTACCGAAGCAAGGTCGCTGTTGTGTGGATGTGGTCGAAGCCCTCGTCGAGCCTTTTTCTCCGTATTTTTCTTCTGTCATTTATTTCACAAGCACTAACTGAAAGCAGGTGACAACTATTTTCCTGCAATTCCACCACATTTCTCTCCTCCCCACGAGGCCTGTAACTTTGTAATTTACGCTTTGTGATGACAGGAATGTCTTAAGTATTTACCAAAGCTGCAGTCATTCATTGCTCTTAAATATGACAACCTTTCTTCGCCGCTCATTGTTAATTAACTCACAGAAATGGCGCTCTATGTTCGGTAAATGCACAGCTCCTGCATAATTGACGGCTTCCAATGAGGCGTCTTATTTAACCCGGCTCTGTGTTTGACATGTTAGACTGAGAGTTTGACACATGTTGCGCTATCTCAACATTTTATTGACCTGCAGAGTTCCTCATTGTGTGAGTCCACGTGGGGATGTGAGGTTTTCTTCCGGGTTTAGGAGACAAACACAGGCACGTGCGGTTTACATCCTTATCTTATCAGGGATGTTTGTTGGCTCCGCAACATTACTGCCGTCAATTAACACTCAGGCACGCGACCATACCGTCATACAGTCTCTCCTCGAACAGCGTCTTCGCACACATGTTCAGCACGTGGCCGGGGTCAAATAAAGTAGCACGAACAATTGTTGACAGTTTTTTTTTTTTTTACTGGTAAAGGTTGGACTGAAACACAAGATTACAGGAAAGCTTTTTAATGACCCCTGTGTCACGTGACTGGAGAAAATCCATAAAGGTAACTCTGAGGCTCCTGTGTTGCATGATAACACAAACCTGACTGTTTTGCTGTACACACAAACACATTGTTAACATGAACACTGGGGAGAAAATGTACGTCTGTGGTAGATGTCCATGGGGAAGTTGACTGTTAAACACGAGTCTGGTTCTGCTTGTTGTTTCTGCCTGTTAAAAGAGAGTTTTTCTTGTTGCTGCTGCCTTGATTGTATTGATTGAGAGATTGACATCCATTTCTTTATTATAGAGATAATTCACTTAAAAACTGGACTGTAAGTAGAACATTTCCCAGCAATCCATCCTACAAATATAAAAAAATTCAGTTCAGACTAAAGTGTCTGTCCCTTCCTCTGTTATGAGAATTAAAAATAGTAAGTACTTTGTATTTATTGGTACACATGATTTCCATCTATTCCTTCTCTACCCCAGTTCAGCGATGGCAGTTAGCTGTCCAACATGAATCTGGTCCTGCTCAAGGTTTCTACCTGTTAAAAGGCAAGTTTGGACAAGATGGGTCAAATCTTTCCCATCTCAAGGTTGGGTCTAGAATGAGTTGGGTCTAGACCAGACCTGGGCATTTTACAGCCGTCCGTCCAACAAATTATCAAGTGTGTTGCTTTTATTTTGAAAACCTAGCCATTGGACGCACGTGCGTACATCCTAGATCTGCATTCGTGAACAGAGACAAGTTTAAACATCGGTGAAATATACTGTACGTAGACGCCTTACAGTTGCCAAGTCTGCTTACTATAAATGACTTTGGGCTTGTTTCTCTCAGAAGTTGCTTGTAAAACTCGTGAGTCGCGAGTGTGCATTTTGGGCTTGTTTTTAACTAGTAGCTGCTTATTTGGGCTTGGTTTTCTGTATTCGTGAACCCCAACCCCCAACCCTATTTAAAGTTGAAGTTATTGTTGATTAGGCCCTCATACACAGTTCAAGTTTCTCATGTGGCCCCATGTAAAAATTAATTGCCCTCTCCTGGTCTAGACTTTCTCTTTTGGAAAGTGTCTTTGGATAATGACTGATTTGGCACTATATAAATAAAAAGTGATTGAATGATGATTTTAATATGATTTTGCAAATTAATTTATGTACTTATACAGCTTCGAAAAAATCAAATAACATGCCGGGGTATTAAATGAGACATGGGAAGAATCAGATTATGAGGGAACGTGCAGGATGTTGCTATAGGAGTGGACAAAAGTTAAAAGCGTGATTTACAGTACACCACTTAAGGAGACAATAACTGATTATCTGTTAATATAGAGCGTAAGAATATAAATAGGAAAAAAAAGAGGAAGAAAGAAAGCGGTGTGTGTGTGTGTTTGTGGAGATCCCTTTACTTTTGATCTTCAAACTCTGTCCCTCAGTATTTGATACTCTGTGAATGCTAAAAGAGCAGAAATTGCCTGTTTTATTACATCGAGTGTCGGCCTGCACTCAAAACAGATGTTGCTCTGTAAAGTCATTTCAAAGTGGCCTTGAGCTATTTCTGCAAAAACCCTAATGTAATAATTTTTTCTGTCTTTTCTTTTTTTTTTACGGTTGCCTCTTTTTCAACAGTTTGCCTTCCTGGAGATTTGCTCGAACCGTGTGTGTGTGTGAGTGCAGATTCATTGTTGTGGAGTTGCCCACTGTAGCATGCTGTGAGTCTGCTTCCTTCTACCTTCTTGGAAAGGATGACTCATGCTAACGCCTCTTTCTTTTTTTTTTTTTTTTTTGAATATGTAAATGCATGTTTGATGGCAGCAAACAGATGACACACCCTGGATGGCTGGATGAGTTTTAGGTTCAGACCTGTCTGGCCTATTTCTGCCTTCACCAGACGCTCTTCTTCTGCTTTTCTTCACCCTCCTCCGTGTCTTATCCCCCCCACTGCTCTGAAGTGTGAAGTTTGAGCAGCAGGCTGTGGGCTACGATAGCGGTAATTGGTCTAAAGATGAAAAGTTCTCTCTCATTTTGCGACCGGACTTAAAAACAATTTGTTTTCAATAACTTTCTTTAAAGCGGAGAGCATCAAAGCAGGATTTAACAGCAAATAAAGGGGGTGGGATGATGGAGACGTTGGAGGAACTGGCACTTTCTGTCTGATTTAAAAAGCAGCGCTCTGTCTTCGGTTCAGAGAGAGGTAGCTGAGAATGGCTCCCCTCTTTGGTACCCCTCCGTCTGCTGGTCGAGCTTTAAACTCAGAGTTTTTTATTAGCCTCTGTGGTCTGATTTGTTTAAGGCGAGGCAAGGTGCCAAGACGTGGCCTGGCTCCTATTTTTTTCCCCCCAGTGTGAGTGCTGGAGTTGTTGGAGGGGACAGGGGCTGGAGCGAAGCTAAAGCAAGGGCTGCTCCAGAGTACACACACACTCACACTTCCACACAATGTACTTTTATGCGTTCATCTCTGTGCTGCTGTGTCTGCTGGCTGGCCCGCACAGTTTCCCTTATTCACAGTCATTACAGAAGATGAACACATGGAGAGAAAAGTCCTGCTGTTAAAAGACACACAGTAAGACGAAGGAGGCAAAGAGAGGGAGAAGATTAAAGCTCGCAGAGAAACAAGTGGTGGCTGTGGCTGAAATTCATCTCCGTATCAGTCCCTCAAATATTTCTCTAAAGGGGACATAACAAAAGCATGTCAGCGTCTTTTGATAGCTGCTACTTTCTGAGGCTTTGACTGGGATGACTTTGACTCCACTGGTCTTTCCCAGCCGTCATATTGGGGTTTTGATCCCCACGTCCTGCTGCACACAAAGCTTTCTTGTGCTGATCACCAAACCCTTTATTTTGCCAAATACTAGCATGTGAATATGTGCAAATATGGTTAGATTAGTACACAGCCTGACACTTGACAGTAGCTTCTGCATCAGTGTGTGAACTTGGAACGTTTAAATCTCTAAGTTTCTTTGATTGTTATGAGGATTACATACAATAACAGCATTTTCCTAGTTGTTTGAATAGTTGGCTGAGTTAAAGGGATATTTCTGCGTCAAATTAAGTTAAGGTCAAACACACTGTAACACTGAGTTAGACACCCCATCGAGAGATGAATGGCGCCGACTGATTTCTTCTTTGCTTATACCAACTTTAGGAATGACCGCAGATAGCAATACAGAGATCCATGCGCTCAACCAAAACGCCACTCTATAGCCACAAATAATGCTCAGAACAGCACCTAACTTCATCAACAGAACATATAGTGCCCTAGCCACAGCACTAGCCACCAAACATCTTTTTAGCTTTGCCTGATTTCTTTAGCAAAGAGACTAAACACAACTCACCCACTCTCTTCCAGCAGCCGCTTGTTTGTACGGAGACCTCTAGGCAAGTCCATCGACTGCATCGGGGGAACGCAGCTGAAGGAAGAACATTTGCGATCATGAAATGCAATCAGACCGAGATGCTAAGACAGAAGAACTACTGCATCTGCAGTGCAAAATGACTAATATAGTGATTATTACTTCAAGGAAATGAACTAATGATCTTTAATGTTCTTACTTGAGCTGTGTCCCCCCCGCTGCACATTCATCTCTCGACGGGGTGTCTAACTCGGTGTTACAGTGTGTTTGACCCTAACTTAATTTTGCACTGGAATATCCCTTTAAATAGTTTGAAACTATATTAAAAACTTTAAACATATGGATCGAACTGCTGCTCATCTCATGACAAGGCTGTAGTCTCACACATTTCGTAATGTTTTTCTCTGGCCTGGCTGTGTTTATGTGCGGTGCGTGTCTAGCCTATCTTGTATGCAAATTAGGGTGTGCCATTGCATGCTCCCGATTGGCTGCTCCGGCTCCATTCTCGTAGTACTTTTTTCTCGCTTTTAGCTTGGTGAAGTTTTTGTGTCGTGATATTTCTTAACTGGCAGTTTTTTTCTTGGTGCGTGGGGAGGTACTAGTGTAGAGGATTTAATAATGTATACAGATTTACTACTGTGTTACTTCACCTAAACCAGATGCATCAAAGCCTAGATGTGAGTTTTTGACACAAAATAAACTGCTGGATGTTTGCTCAGCTTCATACGAGTGCTGATTTGGTGTCTCGTCCGCTTTTGAATCCCTCCACCAAATGCGAACTAAAGCAGTGTGACACGTTAGATACATAAAAAAAAAGGACAGAGGAGGAGACACAACCTCAACTAATGTAATGAGGCGCTGACTCAGACTCTGTTTTTGGTGGCTCTGACTCAGACTTGGACCTTGGGGTCTCCAGACTCGACTCAGACAGAAGTTTTGGACGCAGAGAAAAACTCAGCTTTCATCTGTTTCATGTTCGATCAATGGGTTTCTAAACATTAAATAAAATAAAAAGACTTCACAGAATAAACATATAAATCTGCAGAGCTCCATGAAGTCAGCTGAGCACATGCTTGCAGTTATTGGTCAATACAGAAACTTTATTACCAAAGTTAACAGCCGAACCATCAACCCTGACATCCATTAGGGTACATTAGGTGGTTACTCCTTCAGTATCATGTTACTTTTGAAGATAAAGAAATCCTCAAACTCGCAACAAACCGACCACCATGTTAATTAAGCTCCTCCCACATTCTCGTTAAGTTGTACAGCTTTGAAACGCAGATTTATCACAGAGTCAAGTCTCTGTTTATTTAAGCTTCTTTGTTCTTACGATGATAAACTGAGTCATTCAGGTCCGTGAAGTTAATGGCTTCTGTAAGAGCATCCACTGTAAAACATGAACTCTGCCTGCATCTTTATTGCGGTCCTTTTACTGCGTTATTTTAACAAGAGCGAGAGACACTGTTGGATAAGATATTTATTGTGCTGCTCAAGCACACAAACATTCATACAGCGAAAGGTCGAGAGCTTGTTTAGATGCTGGTGAGGAGTAATTGAACAGCGCAACTAGATAAACAGACACATGTAGAGAAAAAAAAGAGAGTGGACTGTAAAAAGGCCTCCGCGAACACTTCTCCATAGACTAAACCTCTGCATCTGAAGCCCATTCACACTGCTTTCACATTCAAGGCTTTTCATGAGTATGAGCAACACCACATGCTCCTAACTACCATTTTATTTGCTCTACTTTCATTGGCTGTGTCACACTGAGTACAGAAAATAAGCAGCCGTCTTCTGCTCCTACACCAGGAACTCTTTTTTTTTTTTTCATATTTAGCCTCAAAACTTCTGCACGAAAAAATGGAGTCCGCTTCTTTTTTTGTTACAAGCGAGCAGTAAATTCTTCTTGCTTAAGCAGCCGCTCTCCGGCTCTATTTTTCTCCCCTTTCAATTAATAGGAAACACATCGGTTGAAGGAGGGTCTTTGTTGGTGTGTGAGAGTCCATACATCACCTAAACTAGAGCACCCTCCTGCCTTCTGCCTCCGCCTCCTCCCCTCCAACACACACACACACATAAACACACATATGCACACATACACACCGACAGCCCCCATCTGCTCCCAATCATGGGTGCAGCCAGCGGTCAGGTCGCTGGCGGTGAATGGCGCACAGGCACGCACTCACACAAGCTCACACATAAACATACACAACATAGGCAAGCCTGGCATGAGTTTGGCCAAGCACACACGCGCACACACGTGCACTAACTTCAGCTGAACTCCGGTGGTGAAAGCGCACCCTTGCACCTCTTCTTGATAAAAATGAAAGTAACATTCTGTCTCTCTACACACACAAATACACACATACGTGCACACAAATGGAGGCACAGTGACAGATGAACATGAGACATCCTGGCGGCGTGCTCCACTGATGACAGGGTGTCATGGAAACGCCCGGTGTTCTCCATGGTTACGCACTCTCTACCCCCACGGGATACTCTTCTATGATTGTTCAGACAGAACACTCGAGCTACTACAACAAGTCTGTGTGGCCAAAACACACACGGAAAACACACACTCACACACATTGTTTCTTATCAGGATCTAAATGGACATAAATTAGCCTATTATGTGCTTTCGGGATTAGAGTGGCGATTTAGCCTAATAGTCTGTTTTTGTGCTCGGATTCCACATGGCCGGGAAGATGTTTCCCAATAATAGCTTGACGTTTAAATCCACTCTTATGGAATCAGGTGCAGGTTCAGCTGAAGAGTCTTTTTCCTTTTATAGTTAAAGTGATCACACACGCTGGCGTCACTTTCAGGTTTCGACCGTTTGGCTTCCTGTAAAACTTGTGTCTCAACATCCTTTTTCTCACATGTGTGTGTGTACGTGTATGTGTGTGGTTGTGGGAGTGGTCTCAGAAAATAGAAATATGTAAAGGACACAGGCTGATAAGAGTTCTTTGCTTTTTCCCTAATTTTTCCCATTTTCTTCCATTTAATTTTCCCAAATTAATTTCCCCGTTTTTATTTTTTCCCTAACTTCATTAGTTTTTTTTTCTCTTTTCTCTCATTTCTTTTCCCCAAGTTTGCTTTTTCAATTTTTTTTACCTCATTCCAAATTTTTTTCTTGGTCCCTGGTTTCATATTTTATTTTATTTTTTATTTTTAGTTATTTTTTTTGTTAATTTTAGTCATTATTTTTTTTTCTATTTTTCCTTTTAAGTGTCCTTTCTTTGCCTAAATTTTCTTTCATTTAAGCGAAAATAAAATATGAAAAAAAGAAAATTAAAGCACAAACTGATGCCCGGTTTTCCTCACTTCTTCTCCTCCTCATTAAGTGCTCAATGCAGCTTCTTGTGCATGTGTCTGCAGGCCGCTGATTAATAATGCTGCATGTTGTTCATTAATAAAACAATAATGAACATGAGCACGAGTGTTCAACTCCCTCTTTTCCTTTTTTTTCCCCCAGACTCCATTGACCATCGCGCATACAGCCACACCCCCAGAGTGAGAGGGAAGGGGGGGATCTGATCGCCCATCATCTCAGCACCGTCACAAGGTGGGCTAACATCCCATATGGTTGGCATGGCAACGGCCTGCTGGGTTTAGGTTGAGCGCTTTTTTTTTTTTTTTGCGAGAGACAGTTTCTTGTTGTTGCCACATTCTTGCAACATCCTCGTCCTGACCTGAGCGCAGAGAACAGCATGTGTTTTCTGAAGCAAATCCTTTATGGAGGTGTTTGAGGTTTGGATTGTCGAAGGTGGAATAGTTTACAAAGAGAGGTTTTAGCGGAGGAAACAAAAGAGGAAAACAAAAAGAGAGGGTTGAGCTGTTGATTTTCAGGCAGATGAGGAAATGAAGAGTGCAAAGACAGCAGGAGACAGGAGGAGAAATCAAATTATTCTTTGTGCTCTACCTGCCACAGAGGCTGAAGGAGAGCATTAATCTTTTACTCCTGTCTGCAGGTGACAATAACACAAATGCACATGCCTCGGCACATACACAGACCCAGACTGACTTGGCTGAACCACACTTTCTTTTTCTTTAAATGCTGTCCCACACATTTCTGCAGTCACACTTTGTTGTGGCACTGATAGCAGCAGCGATTGTGTGCAGAGTAAAGCTGGGAGGAGATGGGAAAGAGGGAAAGTCCACCGTAGGCGGGGATATACTGGATACAAACAGTTGAGGTGCGTAGATTCAAAGAACTTCCTGTTTGTGTTGCGGTCTTTGTCGACTCTTCAGGAGTTCCACAAGAACCAACTGTTGACAGAAACAGCTTTTTATTATTGTATATTGTGGGAAGATTAAAATATCATCAGGGAAAAGTAATGAACTAGGAATTTACTGAGAGGAAAGTACCCCAAAAGTCTCTGGACTCTCATATAAAGTTGGGTATCGTTTGATTTTGAACGATTCCAAGTCCGAGTTTCAATTCCGGTTCCTAATGATTCTCTATTCTGATTCCTTGAAAAGTCAGGATATAAAAAAAATGCATGGTTTAAATGAGGGTGCTAACCGGAGTTCTGCTTTTTGGATGAAATTTCTGAACTTCTCCATGAATTTTTAAATTATATTAACTTTTTAAGAACTTCTCACAGGGCTATTTTCAACCAGTGTATAAATATTATTTTTTTGTTGTCAGGTCGTTTGTCTATGAAAAAGTACAAAGGCAAAACATTTGTTGGACATTTAAGTTGACCCACAGTACAATTTCTTTGCCGCTTCAATGTTAGCAGAAGACAGAAGTAATTTATTGTTTCACTCATCTGATTCTGGCTAGTTAGCGGAAGACTGGCAAAGCGCGTCACAGACGAGCACTCAGGTATTTCTCCTCCATGAATCCTGAGGTGTTTGATCATGTTGGTCGTTCATCCTCCTTTGCATGATATAACTGTGTTGCTAATGTTGCACTGAGATAAGAGTTCATTCTTCCTGCTAATGTTAGCCAAACTTTTGACCGCAGCCGCTGTGAGTTGCAAAGCACTCTCTCCCTCTGTCTCTCTTCTCTCTCTGTGTGGCTTTGTCTCATACACTTCGCCTTTGTTGGTGTTCGGCGGCTTCTTCTTCGTTAGTGTTTAGTGGCGTCTTCCTCGTTAGTGTTCAGCGGCTTCTTCTTCCGGTCGGTGGACTCAGGCATCGAAACTTGGAATCGAAATTCTAAATTTTTAACGGTTCCGGGAGAATCGGAATGTAAGGCTACGTTCATTCTGCAGGTTATGATGCACAATTCGGATTTTTTGTTAAATCCGATCTTTTTGTGCGGTCGATCACATTACAATAACAAATGCTGCATCTAATGTGAACGGAATGCGTCCGTGAAGTGACCTTTCCGCACCTGTTGGTTTTGTCGAACAATGGTGACGTTTGTCGCATATTGATGATGTATAGGTCAGATGAACGTGACCTGAGTGTCCACACTGCAGTCACATCGGATACATATCTGATTTATATCCACATACAAAAGAAGTCTGGGTCGGATTTGAAAAAATCAGAATTGCACTGTTCACACTTACATGAAAAAATCAGATATGTGTCACATATGGTTAAAAAATCAGAATTGACCTGCAGTGTGAACATAGCCTTAGTCCCAGTCCCCATCAATGCTCGAGACTTGATACCCTACTCTACTCTCATATCTGGACTCTAGTTTCTTACTAAACCACTGTACAGCGAATACTCCCAACCAAACAGCTTCTTATTTCTCTGGTGTGAGATCACAAAGCCAGAGCAGGACCGTGTGCCTCTGTTTTGTCAACAGAGATTATGAAAGTGTGGTTGACTGTAGAGTTATTTTCACCACCCAGCCCAAAGTGCCTGTCCTGCTCACTCTGTCACCTTCCCTCCCTCGACTTCCCAATACCCAACATCCGGTCCACACCAGCCTGACTTCATGGCTCTACCCTCCAGAGTAGGAAAAGACCAGAAACAGTCGCCTTTCAAAAACTTTCTTATTACCTCGGAGCTGTCCTGCGCACATAAAATTATAATACTTTGAATTTGACCCAGAATGAAGCCGACTTCAACTGAAATGACACAGATTTCGGCTCAGGCCAACACCGAATTTAGTTCTTTCTAATTTTTCCTGTACACTCATCGTCTGCCCTCAGTGACTTTCCAACACCTTCATGTTGGGTTGTTTTTTCCTCTGCTGTGACTCACTCTGTCGTGGGAAGTCTGGCAACTCTGCACTTTGTTTTCTGTCTACCACAACCTATTTTTTTAAACATTCATGTCAAATCTGCTGTTCAACAACTTTAAAAGATAAATGTTTTAAAACTTATATTTAAAGATGAATTGGTGAATTTGGAGTTATTGTAGACATACCTTTAATTACCTGCTAAAACGTCTCTTTTCTCTCACATGAAACTAGATCTGCTCGGGTGATCAGTTTCATAGAAATTAAGTTATTTTTAGAGGGTTAATCTGCAGGCTTCACAAGCTTTTTCAAACATCACAACAAGTGGACTTATATTAGCTTTCAAAACATTTTCAGGTGGTGTAGAAAAAAAAGAACTGAAACAGAAACTGTGGGGGCTGAAATGTCACAAAAATCCCATTTACACGAAACAAACCGCACATATAGAATATCGCAAATAAAGAGCCGCACCGTTCTCACCCTGTTTGCAACTTAATGTGCTTGCACAAACTTGATAAAATACGTCCAGTTTTACGCTCGAACAAAAAGAAATTAAACTTATCAAAATTTCCAGCAGCACTGCGGCTCCTGTGTTCTGTGATCTCTGCAGGAAGTTGTCTCTTTCTCTCAACAGTCACCTTGACAAAAACTCTTCAAAAGATGAGGCCAGAGATGACACATTATATTTTTTTATTTTTGTCCGACAAGGGATTTAGAGATACTTTGATAGTTTTGTTTTCAGGGTTTGACGGAAGGTCAGGAGTTGAGAGAAAACATAAAGGGTTCATCCTCTGGGTACCGTGCAAATCAGCAAAGCTCTGGCTTTTTGCAGCAGCTTTGCATACATTTGTGAGTTTGTACCCGAAGTTGTTTCATAATAAACCTAACTAAAATAGTATAACATCCAAACTAACCAAAACTGAAAGGCCCAAAAGCTGAAAAAAAGCCCCTGTTAACTCATTAATTGACAAGCAGCGACATAAAGGTATGCAAAGTCAGATAAAGCATTATTATAAAGTCATTACTAATCTTCTGCTTGTGCAAGATTACAGTGAATTCAGGCAGTAAAAAAAGCGATACTACATTCTGGTGCTGATTGATGTAATCTGCTGTTGCTGACTCAAAACAGTCGGGTAACCCCCTTCTTCTCCTCATCCACCAAATTATCTGATTTTTCAAAAGCACGTGTTAAAGGTTTCTCATGTGAGTTTTACTGTAACAGATGATTTTTTTTGGCTCAGCGCCTCTCAATCTGAAAAATATAGTTGAAAAGTTTAGCAAGTTTGGGACCCGAGGCGTTCATTTTTCCTTCCCGAATTTTCTTTTTAATACAGAACCAAAAACACATTTAAAAACATATAAAATGTTACTTTGTGCAAGAATGTCTGTATTAGAATGTCCATTGTAAGAGTGTCCATGTTTCTCTAGTAAAACCCACTTCATTGTAGTGTTGTAGACGACTTCTTTCAGTCTCGTCAAATCAGACAAAGCACGTGAATCAATACAAATCAACAGGATGCCAGAAAACAGTAAACCTGTACTTTAAACCTTTATAAGACTGCATTTATCAAACTGTAAGACATCTTCCATAGGCAGCCTTTCTTATCCTAAACAACAGTTGAGTTTTAACCCACAAGGAACCGGAACAATTCTTTCCACTTCCACAAAATATCTCAATAACTTTACTTCTGAAACGTATAAAAACATATTTTTTCACACCAAAACAAGTAATACTTATTTATATGTCAAGTGTTTAGGGTTCTCGCTTGAAATATAATATTTGGAGATGCACATCTTAATGCTAACAGTGATGCCAACAGTCCCAGGGGATGTTAGTGTCATTAGGTATACAGGTTGTAGAATGATCACTTCCTGCGCTGAGCGGCAGCGCTAATTTTAGCTCTCGTCCGAAAGACACGCTAAAGTCCGTCAACAACACACTTCAAACTTGCGCTATTTTTAATTTAACATTGTTTAAATGTAAGGGTATAATTTTGTGGATTTCACAGCGTACAAACCTGAAAAAAACAGTTTAAAAATTCAGCAAGATGGAGACCCGAGACATTCATTTTTCTTTCCTGACTTTCCTCTGAGGAGGGGTGGTCCCTCCAGAAAGTCGTCCAGGCACAACACACCCCGGCTCATTAATTCTCCTCTCCATTCTCTTCATTCCGTCAGTAGAGTTTAAACTCTGTTTTGAATCAGAAATTAAGTCCCAGCTTGGTTACATTTGAGCTTATGCGTAGGTGGTTAAACTCAGTTTTGGATCTTCATTGTTGTGGACTCAGGTGTTGATTACCTCACATCTGTGTGACTTTCCTGTTGCATGTGAACTTAACTGGCATTGGATTTCACGCTCTCTGGTTCACGAGTTGAACCATTTCCTCCAGTTTTGCCATAAAGCCATAAGACCTGCGCCTCCTGGTGAGCGGTGCTCCCTGTGGGCTTCAGGTTTTGGGGTCACAGGCAGGCCGCTGTCCTGTAGCGGCTTCACCCCTGGAGATGTTGACCTGAGTGATCCTCATTTCACGCCCTTCTAATGACCCTGAAAATATGTGGGTCAACTGTCAGCGTGAAGGCGGTGACCCCTTTGAAATCAGCCCGGTCAAGATCAGGGTTGAGGAGCGGGTCAAACTGAGAGTAAAAGTTCAGCTTACCTGCGTGTGTTCACTCACCTGAGGACGAGCAGGAGAAGAGAAGGCTTGTGACAGCTCAGTCATGTGGGAGGGGAATTTTGTCCTGGTCTGAAGTTGTCTCCCGAGCCGAGTCACAAGCAGCTTCTGCTCAGAAACCGCTCTGATTAACAGCCTCCTACTATCCTCTCTGATCCTGATTAATGTCTCTGAGTCATCGTCAACCATATGATTTAGTCTCTAGACTTTAATGAACTAGCAGAAACTGAATAGCCCGTGGTAAATGTTTGTTTCTGTTTAACTCATAACTGCTGCGTGAAGACGGATGCCTTCCTTTTACAGATTATTTCGTTTTACTTCTAATCATGCTGGATGTAACGGAAACAGAGTCGCCTTGATAAGTGTATTAAATTATTAGATGGTTTCTTATTGAGAGAAAACACTTTCTAATCTTCTCTCGTATTCAATAATTTTGTGTTTGATGTGATAGCTTCAAGTCAGTTGAGGAACATTGTCGTCATATTATATACTTAACAAATCATGAAAATTGGAGTAATCCATAATAGATTTGTCAATTTTATTGAGTGAAAAAGGGAGAGGCTGTACTCTTTATTACAATATGATCTGATAGGACATGGTAAGATACTATTCAATACAATGCAACACATGATAAATGGCCCATAATAACCATAATATCATGATACTATTATTCTGTAATCATTAATACTGTAAGTTAGAGTTAAGGATATCAGTTAAAGTTTATTTTTATTTTTCGGCGGTATTACATCCAGTGGGATATTAAATTTAAAAAAGGTTAAAGGGTTCAAGCATGTAAATATATTGGCTATATAAAAAAACAGCCTGTGATGCATGTATTATAGACTATATACTCATGCTAGTACCTGAGACCAGAAAAATATGACTTTATGAACTACATTAATTTTATTATTTAGTTTTTAGTTCCTGACTACATCTCTGATCCAAATTCTAGTTTGTGCCGTTATGGTACGTGACTGCGTTAGAATAAGGTATTAATTGACAAATCACTTAAGAGACTTTTATTGTGAAAAGTTTGTCAGAAATGACGTATTTATCATCAAATTAACTAAGATTTTGCAAAGTTAGTATTCAGAAATCATGCTCAGAAGTCACATTTGCCCGCTTCTTTTCATCTGTTTGGACCTGGGACAACTCGAGCCATCAGTTGAAAATCACTTTAAAGCAGGTAGTCTTGTTTTAATGGAGAGACAAACCCCAGCAAGTGTGTTGATTACCAATTTATAACTTTGAGTGAGAAGAAGACCAAGTTTACCTGAATGCTGCTTCTGATGATGTGCACCCGACACGAGAAGGAATTTATAAATTATCATGTCCATGTACCAAACAGGCGAAGGTATTGGTACTAGAGAAAACTGACATTGTAGTAGTCAAAATATTATGACCGCTGAACTGAACATCATGTTTTGTTATATTAGTGCGGTACTTATTAGTGGGTGATTCATATTGGGAAACCGAACAAATGAGCATTTTGTCTTTAGAAATGATATGTCTAAATCCCCCACCACCACCCTCTTAAAAAAAAGAAATATATCTACTGAAATGTGGCGTTGATGTCACATTAGATGTATAGATATGTATATGTAGCTCTGATTAAACTTCACATCAATCATCATTTACTTTTGATTCTACACCCACTACTCCACATTTTCTACCTTTCACTCTTCCTCCCCCTAACAACCATCTATGTGCCCATCTCTCCCCTACTGTAGTTGCCCTCCTTACCGCCATCACCTTCTCCCATTTCCCTCTTTACGCGTCTCATTCCTGCCGCCCCCCGCTGATGCATTGTACCCAGCCCAGCCCTGCTGCCTCTCTGCCACCAGGCCTCACTGCCTGTGGCGTGTAATTGACTTTCTCCCTGCGCTGGAAAAGCGGGCGGCCCGCGCCAGGCTGGAGGTGACCCATTTCCCTGGGGCATTCAGCAGCCTCCTAATCAACCATTCTCTGGGGCCACCTCATTCACTCTGCAATTAGAGCAGCTCCCCCTTTGAGAACTCCATCAATAGGCTGGCAGGCAGGCGGGCGGTGGAGCAAAGACAGAGTTTCGCTCAAACACTTTGCTTTGGCTCTTTGAGTTCTGATCCCTCCAACTTTGTGCCTCCGCCTCTCTGCTATTTTGCCTCTTCGACTCCCTCGTGGTGGGTTTCATCAGACAACAGCGAGCGGGGGTTTTGTCTAACTATGAGCAGGAGACAGGCAGACAGGGGAGTAGAGAAGCAGGTAGGGAAGCAGACAAAGGCAGCGAGACAGACAGACAGTGGGATGGGAGGTACTCATGGGAGAGATTAAAAGAGAAATCAGAAAGACACTCAGAGCAGGGGGGGATTGAGAAAGAGGATCGGCGCGTCTTCAGAGCATCTCTTGCTTTTTAGAAGATGATTTATGAGTATTCCCTCTTGTTTTCTTGCAAGGGAATTCGCTTGTGTTTCACCTGGTGTTGAAGGCGTGCATGAAAGCTGCCATCATATTGATTCTGTCTCAATCAGAAAGTGTGTTTGCAGCTTGTTTCAGCCGGATATGATCTTGTTGTGTAGCCGAGAGCGTACGACTGAAGATTAGAGCGCTCTCTTTCCAAGAAAAAAAAAAAAACTCCAAATGCAATCAGACATTTCCGTGGACAGCTCTGATCCCACAAGAAGGAGCCTGAGATGATGCTGCGTGGTGATTAAATAACAGGCCGGCATCTCTCCCCTGCCGTTGGCCTGATTTGCGATGCAGGAGAGGCAGCGCTCTGGTCAGAGGATAACCATGTAATCAATGGAATGAAAAAGCTGCTCTGGCTGTGAAGGTTAAGAGGGGTACTGGAGGCTTTCAGCCCACTCTGTGTGCCACACATGCATTCGCAACACACAGCAGACAGTCTGAATCTTCCATCTCCTCCTCCTCCTCTCACCTGTTCCCCTCTCCTCCTGTCTCTGACATGCCTTTATCTCTCTTTCTTTCCGCTCTCTCTCCCTCTGCCTCTGCCTCTTTTTCGCTCTGATTCCCCTCTCTTCGTGTTTTTTCCTCCTCTGCGTTTTCTCCATCTCCGGCTATATTTGTCCTCTCTCTCTTTCTTTTACTCTCCTCTCTCCCTCCATCCTCTCCTCCCTCCTTTTTCCTCCTACCTTTCCCCAGTGTCAGCCGCTGTCACTGTGGCAAAGAAAGTGACCAATCAGAGCTCACTTCACAGCACCGGCTTCTCCCTCCCTCGTTTCTTCGCTTCCTTCCCTCCTCTTCTTCTTCCTCCTCCACCTCCTCCTCGCCTCTTTTCGTCCCATCTGCCTCTCTCTCTCTTTCTCTGTCTCTCTCTCTCTCCCACAACCTTTATCAGCTCACTTCCTGGAGACGAAATGTGAAGCATTATGGGAGACAGACGGCTGTCTAACGGGGTTAGTCGTGCAGCGTGGCTTATCATCAGAGACACTGCTAATCCTGTGTGTGTGCATGTGTGTGTGAGAGTGTGTGAATGTAGCATATGAGCTGGTGAACTCATACATGCACAGGCCCACACAAACAAACACAACCTCACATGCTTACTCTCTTTTTCTGATGAGGAGGAGGAGGAGAAGAAGGAGGCAGATGAGACATGTTTATGTTCGTCAGTTTCTGCCTGGAGAATACAATTTGCATGATATAAGCATTTTTCACCCTTCTGTGTGTGTGTGTGTGTGCGCACCACTTTTCCAACCTGCCTCTTAATTGTTAGTTTTTGCTGAGTTCAAAAACACAATTCCCACGCCTATCCCCTCTGCGTTCACCTCTATATTGAGAGCTAAATGAGACATTATAACCCCTCTTTAAGTGTTATTTACACCTTTTATATAAGCGTGTTTGTGTGCTCCTTCCCCTCAGGTGCTGATATGTGTTCACGATGAGCGGATTGGGGGAGAACTCCATGGAGCCTCTGAGCTCAGAAAACCGGAAACGCAAGCTCTCCACTTGTGACACGCCTGGTCTGGGGTGAGTGTGTCTGATCAGCACAAAAAATGGGGAAAGTGGGCTACTGGGTCAGCGGTCTTCTAAGCCTGGCCGGCCAGTGTGGCTGCCTTGAAAGCTCTGACGTAGATGTTCGAAGATTTGTGCCAGAATATAATAAGATTTTAAACTAACTTAAAAACGCTTTTTTTGACTGAATTTAACAAGTTTTGAAAAATAGATGTCCTTAAATTTTTAGCTCTATCACTGCTCCCTTAAGCAGGTAATAATATACAATTAAAGTCACACAGACATGGCTGCTTCTGGGTCCATGTATTATCCGATCATTTGATTATTCAATTCAATCTAGTAAATGAAAAACGAAAAAAACGAGTCAATATTTTGTTTGTTTTTCTGTATAACCAAAAAAAATAGTGTTTGATTTCGTATTTTCAGCTCAAAACAGAATATAAAATAGAGAAGGAAATGAAATAATAGAGAAAAAATTGAATGAACGGATTACACACAGACCCTTCTGGAGTCTCCTTTTGTTTATTATTGGCCTCATAAGTTCAAGTATTTACTGATGCTGACCAATCCAAAAAGCAATGAAGCGGTCCAACCAGTCGATCTCCAGTATGTTGGGTCTTTGCTCAACTCTCCTCTAGCTGGGCTGTAGCTCCAGTTTACACCCAGACTTAAACCAGCGCAGAAAGACAGATGATATCTCATCACAAAATGTGGTTCTGCAGTATTTTGATCTTGATAAAAGGAAATAAAAATGTAGAAATATAGTTTTTTTACACTGGCATAAAACAACAGGAATAATGTGTAAGCAGCACTTGCATGTGGACGTAATCCTGCATGAAGAAGGCTGGTGGTGCTAACTCTGCTAATGTTAGCTACACTTGTCCTGCTAATTCAACATTTTTGTCAGCAGACTCTGGGATCCTGTCTCTCCTCTCCATTTTCCTACATTTAGTGTAATCGCTCAGGCAGAATTTAGATCCAGAAAACTGCCATGCAATATACAGTAAGAGCACTTTCCAATCCAATCCAAGTTTATTCATAAAGCACATTTAAAAACAACAAAATGCTGACCAAAGTGCTGCACAGTAAAAATTAAAAAACAATAAAAACAGACAGTTTACACAAGCACTAAAACAAAGACACAGGACCACATTGAAAACAGGGGGACATAGATGGTTCAGTAAAAACACGATTAAAAGGCTAAGTTCTCAAGAGTTAAAAGCCAAAGAGTAAAAGTGCGTTTTCAGATTTGATTTAAAAACAGGCAGTAGGGGGACAGTTGGACATGAAGAGGAAGAGCATTCCAGAGCTAAGTCCGGTCACCCCTGAACTTAAATCTTGACTTAGGGACAGTCAGAAGGCACTGGTCAGAGGAGATAAGAGATAAGAGAGATAAGAAGGAGCAAGCCCATTTCAAAATTTATTAGTTTATAACAAAATTTTAGCCAGTGAAGAGTTGCTAAAATGCAGGAGAAGCTACTATCACATCTGTAAACCTAATACAGAGCAACAGGTAGGGTTCCCATTAGCTTAGCATAGCACAACTACTCTAAACTGGGGGTTTGTAGAATGATTGTCACAGACCAGAAGATATTGCTAGGTGAACTTATACTCCTTCTACGTCTTACTTGGTTCATCTAACGAGCATTTTACATAACGATGGATTAAAATAAAATCCATTTTTGTTAGTATGAGAAGGAAAGAGACAGTGATGGACAGATTATAATCACTGGATTTATTCTGGCTCCATAGATATTTTAAAAAGTCTGCCAACAAGTGTCTTAAAAGTTTTAGGTTGTTTCAAAAGTCGTTGGTTATTTCAAAAACCTGTGCAAAAATAGGAGAAGAACAACGCTTTGTCTTTTTCAGTGAGTCGTCATCACTTTGAGTTTGTCAGGGAACCTTCAAAAAGGGAGACACTGCACTGACTCCAGTTGTAGTCCACCGCAAATAACAAACCTTTCTTCAGGCTAGCTGTGTACTCTTTGGTGAAGGCTCTCAGTCATCTGTGGTGATTCAAAGCTTGACCTGAAAAAGCCGTTGGACATGATTGAAGCTTTTCAAAATGTTGGACGTCTGTTTATAAAGGCTTTCTCAGCTGGTTTGTGGGCGGAGCTTGCTATCAGACACACGTCAAAGTGAAGTAACAACATACAAAATAGAAAAAATGAATTTACTTTAACTCAGTTTTGTACGTGAAGAAAATTACAGTTTCATTTGCTTAATTTATTTTTCTCCTTATTGCTCTCTGCAGGTGTGAGAGGAAGCGACGGGAGCAGGAGAGCAAATACATCGAGGAGCTGGCCGAGCTGATCTCAGCCAACCTCAGTGACATCGACAGCTTCAACGTCAAACCAGACAAATGTGCCATCCTCAAAGAGACCGTGCGCCAGATCCGCCAGATCAAAGAGCAGGGTGAGTGGACACGGTCATCCGAGATCCTACAGGTTTGCGGAGAGCAGAAAGTCAGGTGGACTGTTGAGAAATGTGCGCAGGAAACATTGAGGAAGGTGTTGAGGAGATAGAGAGGAGGAGGAGGAGGAGGAGACAGCTGTGGTTTCGTCGACACACACGTATAACCGCACACACGTGCCTTCTCAGAGCCCAGGTGCAAGGACGAATCAGTCATTCATCTCCCACAAATTTCACAGCCTCGACTGTTTATGTTTGGGAGGAAACATTGGCAGTGCTTTGTGAACCTGTCATCTGTGTGTCTGTGTGTGTGTTTGGGTGTTTATTTGTGTGTGTGTGTGTGTGGGTTTGTGTGTAATGGGCATGCACAGCTGTGTGCTGGCCTCGCCAGAGGCTGTTTAATTGGACGTTTGCAGGTAATCACATGCCCATCCATTCTGCTGAACTGCCAAATTATTAGTTCTGTTACAGCTGCTGTTGTCACATTTCTGTCTCTGTTACGCGGCAATCCATTTCTTCTGCGAGCGTTTTAGGAGCCGTCAGTGCAGCACGGACATGTATTAACTCAGTGTCGCTATAGATTTTTCCATTTGAGTCCTGAATTTCTCGAGATCAAGGGGGAGAGAGCCGGAGCCGAGTTTTGTGCTGTGCTCGCCTCAGTCAGCGTCTGCCACCTCGACAGGAAGGGGAAGAGGCTACAGCTGGCCCTGACTGGCTGCTGACAGGTTGCCATAGTTACAGGAAGTGAAGACAGAAATGACACAGGCGTTTAGGCTCGCATCTCGCTTTCTACCTGTTCCTCCTCTCCTCTTCTCACTTTCAGTTGCTCTTTCTGCCACTCTTTATTCTTTGCTCTTTTCTTCTGATTTCACTCTCACTTGGATTTATTTTACTCTCTCACATCTCTCTCCTCCTCTACACTTCTTTTTATTTTTTTTGCTTTTTCTCCCACTCTCATCTGTATTGCTGTACAGTGAGCAGCTGCATCTTTAGGTTTGCTCCTAAGGTATTGAGTGATTGCACGTCTAGTTCTCTGGTTCTCTTTCCCTTTGCTTTTTTGTCTCTGTCATTCTCTACCTAACTTCAGAGTGCCGGCTGTGGGCAGCGATGTCTTTTTTTTTCTTTTTTCTTTGTGTGGGTATCTCTTCCCCCTGGGAGCTAATCAGATAGAATGATTCCTGTAGCCGAGCAGCCTCCGCCTCTTGCAGACCAAACCCTGCATTAATACAACAACCAAAAAGCCAGCCGTTTTCTGTCTCCATCTGCATCCCTCACAAATCCTCTCCGCCTCCCCCTCTCTCCCTCTCCCTCCCTCTCTCTCTTTCTCTCTCTCTCTCTCTGTCTGTCCATCTTTCTCCCCCTCCCTACATTAATTCAGGTGCTCCCGCTCCTGCCCCTGCAACATTACAGTTTCCAGAGCCTCTCTAGCTCTCTTCCCGCGCTCTCTCTTTCGCTCTCTCTCTCTCTCTCTTTTTCTCTCCCTCGGCCGCAGCCTACCAGACAGTCCCTCAGAGTCTGACACTGAATATAAAGCATGAGGACGGCTGCTACCTGCTCCACATGCACCCAGCCCTCTACTTCTCCTGATGGGCTCCTCAGAGAAACCTGCCTCCGTCCGTCTCCCTCCTCACCTGTAGTTTTAAATCCCCAGAAAAAGAGACAGAAAAAAGAGAAAAGTTAAGCTTGAGAAACGCTGCCCCCTGCTGGTGCAGCCTGCGAAGTAAAAAAAAAACCTTGCTGTTTCCTCTTGATTCAGGTATCGTTTCTCTCACCTTGTGGTTCTCCTTTGCTTCTTTTTGAGCGGCTGAGCTTGAAACGGCTGTTAGTGGTCTTTTGTAACGCTCTCTTCTTTTTTCTTTTTTCCTCCTCTGCAGGAAAAGCCTCATCCAACGATGACGACGTGCAGAAGTCAGACGTGTCCTCGACAGGTCAGGGGGTCATTGACAAGGACCACCTCGGGCCGCTTTTGCTGCAGGTGAGTTCATCCCTCAAACCCCCCTGGCAGTATTTGTCCTATAAATTCATAAAACTGACTCGCTCACTCGCTCTTGCTGTAACTTTTTTTTATTTTTCCTCCCAGGCTCTTGACGGCTTTCTGTTTGTGGTGAACCGCGAGGGCAGCATTGTGTTCGTGTCGGACAATGTGACGCAGTATCTGCAGTATAAACAGGAGGAGCTCATCAACACCAGTGTGTACAATATACTCCATGAGGACGACAGAGAGGAGTTCCACAAGAACCTGCCCAAGACCAACAGTGAGAGACACACACACACACACACACACACACACACACACTCACACACAAAATCACAATCTCACATCTGCACATCAGCTCAGAAGCAAACCCTGCTCGACATCTTTCAGAAGGCCGAGGTGTAAAGCGAAACTTTGAGAGGTTATGACAACTTTGCACACGCATTTGCACATGCACACAAACTCACTTGTTTATTTATTCATGCTCCTCCTCGTGCTTAACTTTTCTGCCATTGTAATGAGGAGCTCCTGGGAGCCCTGCTAGTGTGCATGAGAGAGTTTGGAGATACACACACACACACACCTGACAAAACACACATGTGCGCAGGAGCACCCACCCACCCACTCAGTGCTAAGCAGGCAGAGCGTAGCACAGCTGTCAGTCACACTCAGTGGTCCAGACAGTGTAAAACAGGCCTGAGCTCTTTTCAGATCCCATGGCAGCCATCTGGAAACTACTCACTGCTGAATAATGCACTTCCAATCTTTCCTCTGCTTAATTCAGCCAGTTTGCATGAGCACATATGTGTCTGATTGTGTATATTTGCATGCATATGTCAGTCGTAGGATTGCATTTTTCCAAAGGTGTTTCCTGTGTGTGTGTGTGTGTGTAAAGCCCATGAGTAAGTGTACGGAGCACTATTTATAAACCTGATTAATTATGGATATGTTTGCTCGACTGAACCTGCGACTCGATTAACTCCCCGCTAATGTTCCTGAGCAGCGTGTGCTCTGACATGTCATCGACACGTTCTCTCACTTATTCCTCCCCGCCCCTCCGCACGCTCCTTTTTTCACTCACTCTTTGAAATCTTTTGAAAACTCATCTTTATCTGCTTTCCCTCCCTTCCCTCTCTCTCTCGACTCACTCTCTCTCTCCCGGCTTCATTCATACTTAATACGGCTGCCGACTAAGATGAATATTGTGGCTGTCTGTTGCTTCTCGCCGCCGCTGCTGCTCTCCCACCCTTCATTGTGTCTCGCTCTGCTGCTCTGCCCCCTTCATTATCCTCCGGGCCCATGAATGAAATGCGCTCTCGCTGCACATTCCTGTGGGATGACCGCTGACCACGCCGGCTACTGTTAAATACACACACTCGCAAAAGAAGACACTCTAACTAAAGCGGACACACATTCATGCACAAAACATGAAGACGGCTTTTGTTGTAGGGCAGCGGGTGTTTTTTGACCTCTCCCACTTGCCCCTTGCTGTTGGTTAATTGTGTCTGAGGGGAGATGTTGGGCCCTGCAACTCTGCTGCGTTTTTGTTGAGATGAGAAACCTAAGGCCTTGTTAAAGCACCTCTAACTACTATTATATGACACACACACACACATGCACACACTCCATCACCGGGTCTCACTCTCCTGGGTCCCCCCCCTGTTTCCTCCCTGCACCTGCCAGACGGAAACCCCCAGCCAGCACAAGGCCCTGATAAGGCTTCACACAGACCTTGGAGAACAGTTGGATTTCTCTCTGAAGTTTGCCTCCCCCCTTTCCTCTCTATCTCTCTCCCCCTCTAACCCCCCGTGAAGGTGACCCCGTTGAAATGAGTGTGTGTGTGTGCTGAGATGAGGAGTCAGGGCCCAAATGAGGATAGATGGCTGAGTGTCCCTGGCCTCTGCCCGCTGCAGAGCAGACTGAGGGAGAGATATTGGAAATCGACACCTTGGCTACATTAATCCCATGGTCCATTTAGTCAGAGATCCGAACAGCAGGAGAGGCTTCTGCTCTTCCATTTAGGAGCAAAAATACATGTTGCACTGTGGTTTGTTTGTTTTGTTTGTGTGCCTATCCTCAGCAGGAAGGGGTGTGAGCGTTGCTGTGTTGTTTCATTACAGGCGACCCATTCAAAGCTATATTTGTTGCTCATCCTGTGTTACTTAAGAGTGTCATTTTGCGTTTTTTTTTTTTTAGTAAATGGAGTCTCATGGGGAAGCGAAGCCGCCCGACAGAAGAGTCACACCTTCACTTGCCGGATGCTGGTTAAGTTTGGCCACGCCCACGGCCCCATGGAGGAGGGGCCAGGAGGGCCGCGCTATGAGACCATGCAGTGTTTTGCTCTCACTCAGCCCAAGGCCATGATTGAGGAGGGGGAAGGTAATGTGGTTAAGTCGCAAATTCGACCACATAAATTCATGTCCGTGATTTAAAATAAACTGTTTTTATTGTGAAAATATCTCATGACCCCTGCCGCTCAAATTTGGGTTTCATTCTCTGACTTGGACCTTCAGTGAGAGTCACTTCTTTTCATAACAAATATTTTAAATATAGTGTTATCTTTCACACTCATCTGATGGAGGAGATTTATATTCAAAATCAATCCAATCCAATCCGCTTTATTTGGATAGACCAGTGGTTCTCAAGTCCAGTCCTCAAGGCCTACTGTCCTGTATGTTCTGGGTGTTTCCCTGCTCCAACACACCTGATTCAAATGATTAGCTCGTTATTAAGCCATTACAGAGCTTGATAACGAGCTGATCATTTGAATCAGGTGTGTTAGAGCAAAAACATGCAGGACAGTGGGCCTCGAGGACTGGACTTGAGAACCACTGGTATAGCACATTTTAAAAAACAGTCTACCAAAGTGCTGCACAATAAAATTAAAATAACAGAAAATGCCGAAAACATCAAAATTAAATAAATAAAGCAGGTAAAAAGCATTTAAAATGAAATAAAATAAATGAAATAAAAACACAAAAAGATAAAAGAAATAAAGGTGATAAAAGGACCATAAAAGACATAAAAGGACAGAGATCACACAACTCTAATGCTAAGCTAAAAGCCAAGGGATAAAAATAAGTTTTAAGGCGTGATTTAAAAGTACAAAGAGTAGGGGATGTTTCAATCTCGAGTGGCAATTCGTTCCACAGCTGAGAAAGCTTGGTCGCCACAGGTTTAAGTTTTTGGTACCGCAAGTTGGAGCTGATCAGCAGACTGCAAGGAACGTAGGCTTATAAACATTTAAGAGGTTGGTAATGTACTTTTGGTGCTGATCTATTTAAACATTTAAAAAAAATAACAATAATAACATTTTAAAATGAATTTTAAAATGAACGGGAAGCTAATGTAGGGACGGAAATAAAAGCATGAATGGCTCGCTCAAAATCCTTAAAAGATAAAACCGATTTAATCTTGGATAAAAGCCTCAGATGATAAAAACTGGATTTAACAACAGAGTTGATTTGTTAATCCAATTTAAAATCATTGTCAACCTTTACACCAAGATTTACAACTGTGGGTTTAAAATGTGGTACAAGAGGGTCCAGCTCTTGTAAATCAGGCTTGAATTTGGGCCATCAGAGCTAATTTCAAGAGTGGCATGGACATTTATAATCTAAAAACTCACTAAATAGTAAAAATATTTACACAGATTCTCAGTCTTCCACAAGGCTGAAGAGTTACTATCCATAAAGTCAGTAATTTATATCAAGGTAATTACCTTTTAAAGGAAAAATAAATCAGATACAAGTTCTGATGCCAAGCAGAATATATTATGTGTCGAGGGAATTTTCAGCAGAATTTAAAAATCTTATTTTCAAAGCACTAATGAGTGGTTCTTCTTGTTAGTCTCTCGGTTAAAGTAAAGAAACTTATTTTATTTCGTGCTTATTTACTCTTCAGAAACACTAGATGTAACCTTGAATCTTATTACTGGATATGGGGATAAAGAGGAGAAATGATATTTTTAGAGCTATTGGAGCAAAACTTTTTCTGAGGTTTTCTTGTGGACACACTCCTGACACCTCAGACTTCAGGAGTCCAATACCTTTTGTCTGTCTCATTAAAGGTCCTTAAGAGCCCGATGGATTGTTAGGGAGACATCTTTAAAGCTCCCATGAGGAGTTTTTACCTGGTTATGACACACACTGAAAATGACAGTGATACTTCTTTACAACCTACGAGAGAGAGAGTACTTTTCAAAGCCTGCTGCTGCAAGAGGGGAAGAGTCAGATTTACAGCGTGTAAAGAGAAACACAACAGGTCCAGATCCCTTTGTACACAGGGGCTGCCGCAGTGACACAAACAAAACGCTTTAGGAGCTTTAATTAAGGAGGTTAAAATCCCCCAAAAAATCAACATAAAGTGTAAATGTGACCATAAAGCCTTATTCCTGTCTCCCTCAGATCTTCAGTCATGTATGATCTGTGTGGCTCGCCGGGTCACAGCCATGGAGAGGACGGAGAGTTTCAACACCAGGCATGAGCTCTCAGGTGAGAGGCTGCACTTCAGACTCAAACAGGCCATGGCGTATTTTTCTATAAAACCATCTAAAGACGTGACTGTCTCATCTCTAACAATGTCCCCTTGTTTCCCCTCTCTTCCACTTGCCCTCCTTCTGTCCTCCACGGCAGGAAAACTGATCCAGATCGACCAGAACTCTCTGCGAGCATCGATGCGTCCAGGCTGGGAGGATTTGTTGAGGCGATGCATTCAAATGTTTATTCAGCACAGTGATGGGCAGCCGTGGTCACATAAACGCCACTATCATGAGGGTGGGTCACACATCAAGACATACAGCATCTATTATCTGCTGAAATCCTTCAAATTAAGCAGATCTATTAGTTTAAGCTCTATTAAATCCACAATGGAATCATTAGGGTGTTGTATTTAATAAACTGTTTTATCAGTTGTGTATCATTTCCCTCTATCACAATGTTATTGATTAAACACTTACAGTACTATGTGGCTGATTTGTTTTGTTTATTTAGTTGTTGCCGCTTTTGTCTCAGTCAGGAAGGAATTCAGCCTCTGAAAAAGTGTGAATTCACTGTGACAAAGATCTCATGCATTAGTGTATCAATATTGATTTCATAAACACAAAGTCTGAAAGCTCCCACACTGATCCTCGGTGTGATCACAGGGTTGGTTTTGACATTAGGCTGCGATTAAGAAGCCTTTGTTATCAGAGAAGTGTTGCAGGATGTTAATTTGTCGTTTAATCTGTCTGTGCAGCCTTTCTGCAGGGTCACGCCGAGACACCTTTGTACCGCTTCTCTTTGTCCGACGGCACTCCAGTCACAGCGCAGACCAAGAGCAAACTGTACCGGCACCCTATGAGCAACGAGCCACAAGGATTCATCTCCACTCACCTATTACAGAGGTCAGTAGTTGAAAGCGCACACACTCCATTCAGACAAAGAAGTGAATGTTTTGTGAACAAAAAAAGCACTTCCAGCATATCTGTGTGAGGCAGTCAAGGTATTCAGCGGCTGAAGTGGCAGCTGAAGTAGCTTTTATACGCCGACATCCTGTGAAGAGATAGAAAAATCCACATAGGAAAAAATATTTTAGTTGAATAATGGGGCACAGAATATTAGCGGTTCCAGAGAGAATTCCTGTTTGAGAGCTTATGATAAATTAGGAAATAAATCAGTACCATACGAATCCACCAATACACTGCATAGAGGATATATCACAGAAAGATACAGTATGTTACATTATGATAGGATGCGATACATTATGGAAAAGATAATGTAATCTGATAGGATACAATGCACTATGTTTAGATATAATATAATATTATCCATTATGATTTGATATGATACATCAACTCTTGACACATCTAGTGTCCTAAAAGGGTCCTAAAGGGGTACATTCGTAATCTAAGTTTAAAGGGATATTCCGGCGTAAAATTAGTTTCGGGTCAAACACACCGTAACACCGAGTTAGACACCTCCTCGAAAGATGAATGTTGCTGACCGCTTGCTTATCTAGTTATACGATAGCAATTCACATTGGACTCAAGAGCCACACACAAACCTCAACCAAAAAGCCTCTTTAGCCACAAATAATGCTCAGAACAGCACCTAACTTCATCAACAGTACATATAGGGTCCCAGTCATAGTACTAGCCACCAAACATCTTTTTAACTTTGCCTGATTTCTTTTGCAAAGAGACTAAACACAACTCACCTACTCTCTTCCAGCAGCCGCTTGTTTGTAGCGAGACCTCGACCAGTCCATCATTGACAGAGGCAGGGGGGGCACAGCTCAAGGAAGAACATTTATGATCATTTCTACATAGAAATGCAATCAGACTGAGACGCTAAGGCAGAAGAACTACCGCATCTGCAGTGAAAAACGATTGATATGGTGATTATTACTTCAAGGAAATGATGAAGTAATGATCATAAATGTTCTTCCTTGAGCTGCGCCTCCCCGCCTCAATCGATGATGGACTGGTTGAGGTCTCGCTAGGCCTCAAGGCGTTTTGGTTGAGGTTTGTGTGTGGCTCCTGCGACCGCTGTGTATTGCTATCGTGCGTTCGTTTCTACAGTTGGTGTAACTAGAGAAGCAAGCGGTCAGCAACATTCATCTCTCGACGGGTTGTCTAACTCTGTGCTATAGTGTGTTTGACCCTAAATTAATTTTACACCGGAATATCCCTTCAAGCAGTGTGGCACATAGCAATCATAACCACCAACTACACATATTGCACATGATAAATAACTGACAAGAGATAAAGATAATTGGGTATTTTAAGGATGCATGTCTAAAATCTTGTGCTCATGTTTTCCTTCCTTTCCACACAGGGAACCCAATGGTTATCGCTCGTCTCAGGGTGGGGGCATGATGCCAAATGCGATGAGACAACAGGCCATGGGAGGCCCAAACCCAAATGCCCAAATGAACATGAACAGTGGTGGGGGGATGGGTATGGGGGGCATGGGTGGCATGAACAGGGGCTTCGGTATGAACGAGCAGGGCCACATGGGTCACATGGGTCCGATGGGGGGCGGCTCTATGTACGGAGGAAATGGTGGAGGAGGAAGTGGGGGGATGGGCAACCGCATGATGCAGATGAATCAAATGGGGCAGATGAGTCAGGTGGGGCACATGAATCAGATGAATCAGATGGGTCCCATGAATCACCCGGGACAAGGCATGCAGCAGCACCCACAGCAGCCCCCATTCCAGAGCAGTGGAGGTTTTGGGTTGAGTGGCATGAACAGTCCTTCAGGAAGCCCCAGAATGGGCGGCCCACAGCAGGGACTCCTGATGTCACCACGGAACCGGGGCAGCCCGAAGATGGGGGCCAACCAGTTCTCACCTGGAGGTACAGGTAGAACATTGTTGTCATTTAGTATCTCCTGATTTACTTGCATGTTTGACTTGACTGAGTTGATTTTTGTATCTCCAGGCATACACTCTCCAATGAGCGGCATTGTAAGCGGTGGAGGAAGTGGAGGGAGCACCACCAGCTTCTCCAGCAGCTCTCTAAATGCCCTACAAGCAATCAGTGAAGGAGTAGGCAGCTCCCTCCCCTCAACTCTCACTTCTCCCTCACCGGCTCTGAAACCTGACAGCTCTCCCAGCGTCCACTCCTCCTCCTCCTCTCAGCCCAATCAGCCGGCCAAACCAGGCCAAGATGGCTCCAAAAGCCCAGCAGGAAGTTTGGTACCTGGGCCTGGGGACCATCATCACCCTTTGCACCATCACCACCATCATCAGCAGCATCCTCAGGCTGAGAGTTCTGGAGATCGTCCAGACAGCCAGGCAGCTACGACAGCTAAAGATGGAGAGGGGGGTAATGAGGCGGGAGCTGCAAGTTCTGAGCCCCCTCGAAGGGTCCCGGACAGTAAAGGGCATAAGAAGCTGCTGCAGTTGCTGACTTCCCCAACCGAGGAACTGGGGATAGGCGGCAGTGGGCCGACAGGGCCTCCTGTTCCAGCCCCACCAGCCAGCAGCAGTACCACTGCAGGCTCAGACAGCAAGGACTCAACCGGAGGCATGACTAGCCCCTCTTCTACTGGGGTCTCCTCCTCTTCTTCAGCCAGTGCCAATCCAAGTCAGGCAGCTGGGCCAGGGGGTGTGTCAACATCACTTTCATCAGCTCACTACTCTGGCTCGCTGCAAGAAAAGCACAAGATCCTCCACAAGCTTCTTCAAAATGGCAACACCCCGGACGAAGTGGCGAAAATCACAGCGGAGGCCACAGGGAAGGTGTCACTGGGGAGCCAGGAGGGTGGGGAGGTTGGACCAGGAGGATCAGGAATTAGTGGAGGACCGGGGATTATCACAGAGCCCAAACAGGAGCAGCATAGCCCCAAGAAAGAGAAGACCCACGCCCTCCTCCACTACCTCCTCAATAAGGATGATTCCAAAGAGCCAGTGGATGTCAAGCCTAAACTAGAAGAGCTAGAAGGGAAGGGTGCCCCGGGGGCTGCTGGCGGCCCTACACGGGGTGGTCCTGGATCTGGGGCTGGCCCTGCACCTGAACATCCTGAAAGCAAGATCAAGTCAGAGCCACCTGATGATGTAAGATTAATCTTTGTTAAGACATAAACAGATAAATGTACTCATATTATTGACATTTAAGTGGGCAGGCTGAATCTATCCAAGCAGAAAGGTTTACTCAGGGACCTGAAAATGTGAATCTTTACTGACACTTGTTTATTTTAATTTTAAGTTACACAATCTGGAGTCCATCCTTGGAGATTTAAGAGGTTCGAACTCTGACTTTTACCCGGATCAAGCTGGAGGGGCGAGCGATGCAGGAAACAAACCACAGGGTTGCCTTGATGACAGCCTGCAGGGTATGTGGGTCGATACCTCATATGTGATGATATAATAGAGCTGCACTACATAGTAAAGTTACATTCAGATGGTATTAAAAACAAAACAAGAGAGGTGTATGACCATGGAGTTTTTATTTTTCATGTACAGGAAGTCCAGGAATGGGGCCAGGTCCACGAGGGCCCTTCCAGAGGGCCATGTCCATAGATGGGAAGCCTCCTGGTGGGCCTGGAGGGGCAGGTAGACGCCCCATGCTCATCAAGCAGGAGAACATTATGGGCAGTCCAGACAGCTACCCAGGAAACATGGGTATGTGTTTTTTCCTCATCTCTTTCCAGCTCCCTCTTTCTCTCACAGCTTTGTGACTGTGTTTGAATTTGTTTTATCACGATATCAGATAACCTCTAAACTTCAAACACTGACACATGCACATCTGGTGTTTATCTATTACCAGGACCAATGAACAGAGGCATGTTTCCCCAGAGGTCTCCCACAGGGGGGTCAGGGGACTGGGGCATGACTCGCTCAAGTACCAGCCCTGTGGGCTCAGCAGGACACCCCTCCATGATGCGCCCAGGCATGGAGTACAACAACAAGGGCATGATGTCAGGGCCTATGGTCAGCCGCTCCAACAGTGTACCCGGCACAAGGTCTATGTTGCAGCAGCAGCTCATGGAAATGGGTATGTCCGTTTTACCGTTACAGCTAAAACAAAACACAGAGGACAACAAGGGTTTGATTTTATGACCATGATAGGAACTCAAGCAAGAAAAATGCTCAGCTAATGAACACACATGGAGAATGCTAACACAGCTGATGTTAACAAATAGTATGACTAAGAAGTTGACTAACTCAGTTAACATGTTTTGACACTGACGTTTGATAAAGACAAAGGAAAAGTACAGCCAAGATTGACAGCGTCATCGGTATTGTAGGACTTTTTGGATCGTATACTACACTGAGAAACACTCAAATTGAGCCCTGGTTGTACTCTTTGATTTTAAAAAAATTCTTGTATCGTTTTATTTCTTGGCTGGCCGTTTTTTTGTTGATGTGTAGCACATAGCTGTCAAGTATCCTGTTTTGGTGGAAAACTACCATGTTTTACCCCTCTTTCCCACTGTCTTCTGGAATCAATATTGACCCGTAAATCTCATAAGATATGTAGAATAAAAAAGGTTATTCTGCATCTCCAAACTGAACTTTGTCACTAGCGTGGGTTAAGTACCCACCAACCAGTAGAAGTGAGTTGTCATTAGCTTAACAGGTATGGTGTAGCGTTAAAATAACATGGAGTTTTCCAAAGACCAGCCCTTCTTGGGAGAAAATTAACAAATATACAAAAGCTGATTTGTTTATCGTTGCTATGTTTTATGATGTCCTTGTTGCCTACAACATGGCTATCATAACTTGTGTATGTTTGGGGAGGTACTTGTGTAGCCAAACCTAAATTATCTGCCTAGAAAATATCTGATGATTTTTGGGGTCTGATTCTCCAGACACTTTTATGTAATATAATTAAAAGTGTGTTGTGTTTATATTATAGGAGGCTCTGCTGACATGGGCATGGGTATGAGCCCCTTCAGCCAGCAAGGCCAGTCCAACCAGTCCCCATCCTGGCCTGACTCTATCATGGGAATGGAGGGTAACAGGTCGGTGCATCATTCTTTAGTGGTCACTGTGAGTTTGAGATTCAGCTAATAGATACAAATGATGAGCTTATGTGTTCTTGTAGACGCCAGTTTGGGAACACCTTAGATGATCTCCTGGTGCCTCCCACCACCAGTGAAGGACAGAGCGATGAGCGGGCGCTCCTCGACCAGCTGGACTCTCTGCTGAATAATACAGACGGCATCGCTCTGGAGGAGATAGATCGAGCCCTGGGCATCCCAGACCTTGTCAGCCAGGTAAAATATCAGAAAAGAGACATAAAGTTACAGGTGAAAGACAACATGATCAGCTTTCATATCATGACTCATAAATGAGTCTTGCATTCATCTTTGAATTGGGTATTTCAGTCATGACTCACCGTGTTCAGGCTGTTCTTTTCTAAAGGAGGATAGATGAGCCTGGAGGGATCTGTCTGTGCTGCTGAAAAAGACAATTACAGAGTCAACCAATTGGAAATTAATCAATTAGATGGAGCTGTTTGACAAGCTTCCCTTTGTCCTCTTGTCCTGTCTGCTCCAGAACCAGGGGGCTGAGCAGCAGTTGGAGCCTTTTCCAGGGCAGGACCCATCCATGGTTCTGGACCAAAAGCCTGTGTACGGACAGGGCTATCCTGGACCCCCCTCTATGCCTATGCAGTCTGGTTATGGAGGGAATCCCATGCAGGGACAGGCCCAGCAAGGGGGCTTTGGACCCATGCTCTCTCAAATGGGCCAAGGTGGCAGTTTCCCTGGTATGGGTGGTATGGGGGGTATGGGGCACCCCCGTGCTAACATGATGAGACCCAGGATGATGACGGCCAACAAGCCCATGAGGCTCCAGCTGCAACAGAGGCTGCAGGGACAGCAGGTAGGACCAGAACCTCGCTTGTTCATTAGTTTTGTTCATTAGTTTTAATGTGAACTTGTAACTCATGATGTCCTGATATGACAGTCTAATATAACGTGGTAGTTATCCAGGGACAAATCAATAGAAGAAGAAAGGGACAAAAATATTTTCGAAATGGATTTCTGAGAACTTAATTACATGTTTTTCTCCTACTTTCATTTTCGTCTACTTTTAAGATCATGAAATGTATCTAAGTGATGTCCAACGCATTCATTTCCCCTACTTCTAAAGTTTTGCAGTCCATAAGATTGATTTCTTGTTGTCTGAATGCTTAAAAAAGTGCACCATCTCTGTCACTACACTGAAGTGACTGGACTATTTGCTTCTCCGTCTTATGGTGGATGTTCTTTTGCCCTTCCTCAGTTCATGAATCAAACGCGACAGGGCATGGGCATGAAGATGGAGAACCCGGGAGGAAACCCTGGCATGAGGCCTGGCATGCAGCCTGGCATGGGAGGACAGGTAGATGAAGGGAAATGTCATGGATTAAAAATTTACAATGAGACCTGATGTCACAGCTGTTGTTCTAATACTGAAACTGAACTGAGTTATTGACGGATTCTTTTAAGCTTTAAGGGTACTCAACTCAGCTTTATTTATAGAGCACTTTAAATACAACCAAAGCTGACACAAAGTGCCGTACATAATAGCATAAAAACATAAAACAACATAAAATAGTTGTTTAGAAATATAATAAAAAGCAATAAAACAAATGTCGTCTCATTCTGGGTCAAAAACCAAGGAATAAAAGTGGATACAAAAAACACATTTCTGCCCTCTTTAAGCTGTCTTATTGTTTTCTTGGATCAGGGCTTCCTGAATGCTCAGATGATGGCTCAGCGCAGCAGAGAGATGGTCAACATGCAGATGAGGAGGCAGCGCATGATGATGCTGATGCAGCAACAGCAGCAGCAGCAGGCAGCAGCGGCCGCCGCTGCAGCCGCAGGCGGGTTCAGCCCCCCTCCGAACGTCACAGCTCCTGGTGGCATGGACAACCCCATGGGAGGGCCGAACATGGGCCAGCCAGGCCCCCAGCAGTTTGGCTATGGAGGGAACTATGGTGGGTTCACTGAGCCAATAGAATAATGCTGCTCCCTGGTGTTGAGTTTGAGCACTGCAGGAGTTTTATTGAAGATTTGTCTCATTGAAAAAGAAAAACTGCAGATTTTTGCCAAAAAGAACTTAGAAGGTCGTGCTTTGGTCCGTTTTTACAGTCAGGTTATGTAATTATTATTATGAAGCAGTTTCCTGTGGCTGTCTCTGAGGCTCACTGTTTGTTCACAGGAATGGGCCAGCAGGGAGACCCCTCCTTTGGCCCCTCAGGTGGCAGTCCTCCTAATGCCATGATGGCTGGTCGCCTGGGCCCTCAAAACCCCATGATGCAACAGCACCCACAAGGCGGCCCCATGTACCAGGGCGCAGAAATGAAAGGCTGGTCACAGGGAGGCATGGCACGTAGCAGGTATGAAATCATATATTCGATCATACTGGTGTGTTTTTTAAGTGTGGCTTCAGTTCTTTAGAGTTAACACTTTTCTCCTTCCTGTTAACAGTTCGTACCCTCAGCAGCAGTTCGGCCAGCAGGGACCCCCAGGGCAGCAGCAGTTTGGGCAGCAGGGGAATCCGGGCCAGTATGGGGGCATGATGATGAACGGGGGCATGGCGCCCAGTGGGGGAGGAGGTCACATGGGGCAGATGGGAGGGCAGATGGGAATGAACCCAATGGTGATGGGACGCATGCCTATAGGACCTGATCAGGTGAGTTCAGTGGGTCTAAATCGGTAAAGGGCTTTAACACACTAACAGGGTTATTACTCGCTGTAAATTGTTAGAGATGGAGAACAGAATGAGGTAGTTTCAGTCCAATTAACAGCCTTTTTAGTTAAAATTTCCAATTTAAAATTCCATCTGTTTACTGGATCCCAACAGGGAGCAGGCTGAGTGAAAACATTCTAACACCGGCAGCAAGTAACTCTAACATCAACTTGAGTTTGAAAAGTAAAGTTATGAAAACAAGAAACTAAAATTTGTACGCCAAACAGACATAAATGACGTGTTTTCATCGTGTGCATAGAAAATTAAGGTCACACTTTATTTGACGCCTGTCTCTATAACCCATTATAAATATATGTATAATGCATTATAATCACATTACAGCACTATATAACTATAGTTATAAACACTCATAATGATCATAATGCTTTACAGCAGTAATCATAATACATTATAGAGCATTTTATCATGACTTACAAGGTCAGGTATTATAATGTGTTTTAACTGTTAACAACTTACTGACAATGCCCACATAGATAATGCAATGCAACTGCTGTTAAAATTATAAATGTATTTATCATGCATTGTAGAGAGAGGCGTCAAGTAAAGTGTTACCAAAATTAACTTTCTAGTATTAGTACTACATTATTTTTTTTTTAATTAATTTATCCATTTAGTTTATACGATAGGGACAATGCAAATCCTGAAGAGATTATAGTTCATTCTGGTTCACAATGGGCTCTATGCACCGATCCACTACTTCTTAAACTTAAGGCAGCTCCTTTATCTTTTGTCTTACATTATTGGACAAACTGATTAACCCAGGTGTGGCTAACTAGTCTCAATGATCAGTCACACCTGGGTTAATCAACTTGTACAAACTGATTAACCCAGGTGTGTCTAATTAGTCGTGATCAGTCACACCTGGACTAATCAGTTTGTACAAACTGATTAGTCCAGGTGTGTCTGACTAGTTGCAATGACCAGTTTCGCGTTTGTTTCCCAAACTAAGCTTATGGTGAATTTAAAAAAAAGGAATATATCAAGTTTAAGTCTTTTCTATCTAATTCTGATAGATGTTGTTCACTGTACGCTTTCATGCCTCACCATCTTGTTATTTTCTCCTCTTTATTGTAGAAATACTGCTGAGCATGGTGGCAGCAGCATTTGTCTCACTGTGATCTCCATCCAGAGAGAGGACACAGCTGCATCTCTGGAGCGTGAGGAGAAGGACCAGACAGCGCGTGTTTGAGTGTGTGTTTGAGTGTGTGCCTGTGTGTGTAGTGCTGCACTCCCACCAGACGAGGGAGTGAGCTTCCTTTAGACTCCCAGCTGGTGATGACAGTCTGGTAACCTGAGGACAAAAAAACAGTCTCAATCATTGATGAAGAAACACAACATTTATTAGAATCAGGAACACTGTGACACAGTTTCACACTTCAAAACAGAAACATTTACAGCTCTGTGATTCCTCTGTAGACTGTAGTTTTGATGTTCCTCTCTTTTGTGTGTTGTGTGTGCTTCAGTAAAGACACACACACTCACACACCACTCGTTGGACCAAACCTGGGTGATGAACATGTTGAGACATCCTCTCTGTGTTGTCGAATGTACCACGGAGCAGTGTTTGGACTTAAAACGTGGGATTCCTCTTTTTTGCTTCTGAACGTCGCCTCTTTGCTGCTCCTGAACGATCTCTTTACGTATGCGTTGAGTAAACCAGATGACTCCAGATGACAAGCCGCCAGATTGTGACACTGACATGATTGTCATTCAGCAGTAGCACATTGTTTTGTCCTCCTGGACACCACCGAGCTAAAGTACGACTGAATTACTCGTTGGCTGGTTGCACTTTAAGGAAAGGCCAACAACAAAAGGATTGTGGCAATATAGAGGCCTTTTACCCAAGAGTTAATGTAAAGCAGCAGACATTTACTGTTTATTTTTGTGTGTTTGTTCTCCAACTTTTCCTCTGTAATGATGACGGGCTAATGATTGGAAGTGGGTAACTTTAATGATCTTTGTCCTAAAGTGAAAACCAGTAGAAAGGCAGGAAGCACAGTTTGTAACAACAAGAGGAATCAGCCTTTTATTGAAATAACAGACTTCCGCTGATGTTCAAAACCACGCTGATATTTGTAAAGAGTGATGGAGCAATGAGGTAACTCTTGAATCCCACTGTTGCATTAATTCTAATTACCTCAATCTAATTTCTAGTTTTACAAATACAGGCAGTGTAAACATGGACATGGGCATTTTGAAGCTCAACCTAAACAAATAAGCATAAAGGGGGAGTTGGGACCGTAGCTTTTGTAACAGTGAAACAGCTACAACACACCCATCTGTCAATCAAATGAGTCACTCCCCTACTTATGCCTCACTTAAATCATTCACAGACTTAATATATACAAAAAGAAGAGTTTTAAGAGTCCCCATTTGGAATAAAAATCATTTTTAGTATGCATTTGTGAAAATAACTAGGATTTCTTGACTTTCAGAGCCACCCTCAAGTGGTCACCTGAGGAACTGCAGTTTTTTTGCATTGGCTTCAATTTCTTACACCAGACGTTGCCTCTTGCTTTCTCCAAATGCAAAAACAGATTGATTGTCAACATAAGGTCCTGCTGTAGGATTTGAAAGTGTGTGTTAGATTTCAGTGTGCAGATTTCAGCAATAACCTTCCTCCTGGTTTTCCTCTGAGGACAAAGCTCATTTTCTCAAAGTGACGGCACTGCAGTATTAAGACATGATGTCTTGTTTGGAGCTTTTTTTCTTTTACCTGTGAATATGAATTGTAAATAAGCTTCAAAATGTACTATATATAAATATATATATGCTTTTGTAGGTCACATACTGTTTTTGCACAGATTGTAAGGCTTGATATTTAAAAGTTTCTTAACCCGTCATAGGTCAGCTTTTATTTTTAAACATTAGTTGAAAAAGGAAGGGCCTCCTTTTTGTAAGCAGTTCATGTAGATTATCTTTCATACTGTCACTTTCTGTCTCTCAGAAAGCCTTTTTCTGAGGGTATGGTCTTAGCTGGAGAGGTGCTAGTGTGTAATTTTTGATTTAAATAAATTATTTTTCTTTTAACAGAAAAAGAAAACACAAAGTTTGCCTATACAAAAAGAGTTGACACATGATTGTGTTAGGCTGTGTCGGAGGCCCAGCTGTCTTACCAGTAATGTGGTGTTGATGTTTCTCTTTCAACTGAACCCTACTCTTTCTCATTTCAGTTTCATTCCTCAGATCTCTGTGCTTTGGATTTTGCTGATTTGATTGTTCAGACTCAGAAGTCCCTCTGTACAACTTTCAGCTCTTTAGGTTTGTCTGCAGATGTTATCCTAACAAAAAAACTACATGTTGACTTCTTTGAGTACCTGATTTAATGTCGACCTCCTAACAGAGGACTTTGTTTTTTGTCATTTGAGTCTGCCTTTATTTTTTTGTTGGATTTCCTGTAAAGCTTTTTGTTGAAGAATCTACCTTCGAACACATGCTCAATCCAAAGATTTTCGTTTGCCATTCTGCAGTGCTTAGAGACAGTTCCTGACGTAGATCGTGCAAGTTCTCGTGTGCTTTAACTGTTGCACATAATCTATGATATTCATTGAACTAAATATGTTTAAATGCATATATTATACCCCCATGATCCTTATGACATAGAGTAGACATGAGTCTGGTTCTGCTGAGGTGGTTTGAGTCCTTCGTTTGTGATTGTTTTCTTCTCTTCTGTAAATCTTATGGCCAGTTGAATTGTGGTGCTGCAAATGGCTATTTCACAAGCGAATGTTTAGATTTTTTTCAAACCAGGAAAGGAGGTTTCATGATTGATGTCTTTATGTCTCAGAGTAATAGCTTTTTTTTTTAACCCCAATCTCCATGATAAATATGAGTTTAATCAACAAATACTCAAAGGAAGGTTTTGCTGTAAAGGACAGAGACTCCTCTTGGTGCAACGTTGGCACTGAAGAAAGACAAAACACGCCTGGGAAACAGTCATTATGAAAGGATGTAAAATACTATTGCATTTTTTTCTTACCTTGTTTCTTGATGTTAATATCAATGTAAATACAAATTTATATTTAAACATTAAAATGTCTCTGTTGTCATTTCAAAAAGCCTTATAAAAATTTCATTTTGGATGTGACCTGAAAAGCTACTGTGCAGCACTCTGAATTGAAAATGTGTTTCAGTGCGTTGACAGGAGCAAAAAATAAATTCCAGGAGCAGCTTTTCTGGTCATTTAAGATGCCTGGTTTCTGGCGGTCTGCATGGAGTGGGAGGTATGTGTGTGGAGGCAATTAAGAGTGTGAAGGACATCTGTGTGGCGAATTCTCAGACATGAATTAAAAAAGATGAGTGCTTCCTCTCAGGCTGTATGCGTGTCACATTGAGGTTCATGCCGAAGCCCGCCGCCCCACTTTTATCTGCTGTTTGTTTCCTGCCACTGGTGACCCCTTCGTTGCGAGCTGTTTGTCATTTATCACCACACTTTCTTGCTTCCTTTTTAATGACTTAGTGCGCCATGAAAAGCTTTGACACCTCCAGGCTGTCACAACCCTGCTGCGACTGCCGCTGCTGCTGCAGCCCATTCAGAACTTTAAATAACTTTTTAGACTTGTGTGTTTTTTCATTTCCGAGTACATTATCTGTCAGGTTAATGCAGGCTGACTCATTCAATCCTCCGAACTGCAGTGTTGTAGGTGGGGAAATGGTTTTGGCACATTTATTCTCATAGACAGGAGGCAATTTTTCTTGCTTCACTTATTTTAATGTAATAATTTGTGAAAAAAATAATGTAGCACTGTCTCCTGTAACAATTAATTGTTATTTCATCTGTAATTCGGCAGCTGTGAAAGCTTGGGGTTGCATTGCAATGAGATGTTCAAGGGTGGAAAGCACTGGAATCTACAAGCTACTAACTCTTTGCATTTTTATGAGGTTTGCTGTTGAAAGTGAAAGTGAAATGTCATCTGTTGTGAGAACAAACTTTGATTTATGACCCCCTCACTTGTAAAATTGCCTCTAACAGTATGTCAAGCTCCTGCGAGGCTTCCCTAGTGGGCCATGAAACAGACTCTAGTTAATTCTAACGCATCTTTTGACCTACAAAATCAAAAGGGCTCATTAGCAGTAACATTGAGTGTTTTAGTGCAGCAGTTTTTAGTGCATGGGGATAACCAACAAGCTGCAAAAATCACAAAGATAAGAAGAAAAACCTGACACAAATTTGTGCATCCAATCCAGACTCTGGATGCCCAATAATGGAGGTTTAACGTTCACCAAACTGCGGCTGTGGGGGTTCATATAAAAAACAAAGTAATGCTTTCATGAAAGCATAAATTAGATATGATTCATCTGCTGTGTCATTTACTGGAGCATGCCCTTATTTAATCCGGAGTTTAGTTTCATAACTACGGCCAAGCTAGACGGTTTTTTTTTCTAAAGCATGTAAAATATATATTTAATAAATTCCACTGAACCCTCAAATTACACAAGACACCGTGAGGTCTTCAGTGGCGTTGCAACTGTCTTCCCCCTTGTCATATGCAGAAGTATCTCAGCTGATAGTCTGTCTGTATGCCGGGGTTCCCTTGCACTGTGAGTGTGTGGTTGTGTGTGATTGTGTGTGTCCGTGCGTGCGTGCGTGTGTGTGTGTACGTGCAGCAGGAGGAGCAGGGTGGAGCAGGAGGCGGGATGCGCCGATGGAAAAGACGCACCGCTCGTCTATTGGAGCAGACGCGGAGTGGGCGCCCGTAAGACGCGCCTACCGCTGCTTCAAGACAGTTTTTTTTTCTGGGACAGGAGACATGAGGTTTGGAGACACCTGTCAGGAGGACTATACATCCAGAAGCTGAATGTGAGGCAACTGGAGGCTGAGGGTTCGGTCATGGACGCGCCGCTAACGCGTAAATAACCTCTCGGTACCAAGGAGCGTAAAGTTATCCTGCTGCTTCCTTGTTGTTCTTTGTTTTAATCCTTTTTTTTTTCCTGAGCCGCATGAGTTCGCAGCTGTTTCTAGGTCAGCTGGTGGGGGTTCCGTTAGAAATAATGCACCCCACCATGGAGAAAGACACGACTTACACCAAGATCTTTGTTGGCGGGCTGCCTTATCACACCAACGACGCTTCACTTCGGAAATATTTCGAGACTTTTGGGGACATCGATGAGGCGGTGGTGATCACGGACAAGCAGACGGGCAAATCTAGAGGATACGGCTTCGTGAGTAAATTGAACTTGCTTCTTAAAATGAGGTTTCAATCACATGCTTTGAATTTATATGATAAAAAGGGGGTCATTAAGCTGTTGCAGCTTAATGACTCAAAAAGTGACCTATCTCCATGATGAAGAGTGTTTTTATCATCTCTTGGATATTACCTTGTATAGGTTTCGTTTTGGGTCTCAGGAGTCTACACACACACACACACACACACACACACACACACACACACACACATACACACATATACACACACACACACACACACACATACATAGACTGTGTCCCAGGCAGAAATGTGACTGGTGGTAGCAGTCACATGCTTGAAGCATGAGAGGCAGATTATTTCGTATAAGTGTGTCATCAATTATCTCTGCTGCCCCAAAATACACACACACACACACACACACACACACACACACACACACACACACACACACACACACACACACACACACAGTCACTCACTCACACTCTCAGTGTACAGTACAGATTCAGAGGCACCATCTCCAGAGAGTTGGACACACTTGGGTTGGTAATAAGCTGCTTTGGACAGATGTTTTTCTTTCTGCTCTGTTAGTGAGAGAGAGAGTGAGAGAAAAAAAGAAAGAGAAAAGGGGGGAGGGGGGGTTCTTGGTCACAGAGGTGTGACATGTCAGTTGGCTTTGCGAGATAAGGCTGCAGTAGTTTCTTTCTGACTTCCTCTCACTCTGCCCTTCCCCCTCTTCTTCTCTTCTTCTCCTCCTCGCCCTCTCTCTCTCTCTCTGCCCGGTTAGCTTTGAGTGAGTTTGTGTGTGACAGAGACAGCAGTGGGTTCATGTGTTCTGGACTGAAGCAGTTCAAATTATCTCTTTCTCTGCCTGACCAGTTAGCCAATCATCTTAGGCCACCGCTATGTGGATGTGTGTGTTGTGTTGTCTGCCGTGGGACAGCGTGACCACACCATCTCTGACTTCCCCTCAGAGGTTTTAATCCCCTGCTGCCGCTTCTTGAACCCTGCTGATCTCAAACCGTGTGCCGCCCGTGTTTGCATAGGATTCCAGAGTCTGATGCTGCAAAACAAAAGCAAGCGTGGCAGTTTTAGCTTTCACTGTCACTTTCATTTGCGATGGAGTCGTTTTAACCTCCATAAATCAAGTGTGGCTGCCCCGTGTGTGTTTTAACCTTCCCCAACCCCCTTTCCCACTCCTCATCTCACCCCCTTAAGGTAGACTCAAACATCACATCCTTGGCAGCCCAGTGTAGGAAAGCCAATGCCAAATCTGCCTCCTACATGGGCTCCAACGGAAGTAAAAAAAAAAACTCAGCAGTGGCTTCGTGAAGAGGTCCCACTGCCTCAGTGTGTGTTTAGCAAAGAGAGTGAATCATCCAAGGAGAGACAAGGACAGCAGCAACCTCAGGGGCCACCCAGATCTGGGGTCTGCCACTTAGCTTGAGCGCTCATGTTAAAATCACTGACTAGATAAGCCTTCATTTACTGTCATGAGTGTTATAGGCTGATATTAATGAGCCATGTTGTGACACTGTCAACAGGTGACCATGGTGGACAGGGGGGCAGCAGAGCGGGCGTGCAAAGACGCAAACCCAATCATCGACGGCAGGAAGGCTAATGTGAACCTGGCGTACCTGGGAGCGAAGCCTCGCAGCACACAGACAAGTAAGTTGGAAAGACAAATACTGAGACACCCAGGATCACAACAAATTATTCAATTTAGTTATTGTTCTTTAAAAAGTTAACCATCCAAGAACCAACAAGATTTAAGCTCCAACTGAGGATGTAAATCTGTATAGATAGTTCCAAACATCTGGACTCTACAGTTTTTAGCCAATGATCCTACATCAGGGATGTAGGTTGATAGCTATGCAAAGAGTGTCCAGTCTGTACATAAATGATCAGATGCAGAATTATGCTTTTATTGCGAAAGGAATAGCCTACAGCTAAATCCACGGCTTCTGAAAACTCTCTAAAAACTTAAATACGCAAGAGCTGCTTTCAGTTTTCTGTGTTGTCTGCTTTACTCTTAAACTGCTTTTTATTCCTGAGAAATCGCAGCACAAGGAAACCGAAACTTAAATGTCAGGTCACTGCAAATTCCCCCTGGGGTTGAATTAGGACTCTATCAATCTGTTTATGACCATCTGAATGCACTGTTTACTTCCTGCATTAAAATGGATGAAGCTCTGAAGTGGCCTATCATCTCAAATATCACAGCAAAGTGCCGTTGAAATAAGGGAAGTCAACGTGTTGTTTCTTGCTTGCAACACATTCGAAATGATGATAATCTGACTTAGACAGGGTAAAGGAAGCTGTCTGGTTTCTTATTGTATCTTAAGTGTGGTGGTTTTCACGCTGCATGAAATTCAGCTTAAAAACCGGTGAAAATATGAACAAATTTGTGGTTTGTTTGTGGAATAAAACACAGAACACCACTGGTTTCATCCTGTCAGCCAGCTGTCTTTGCTCATTCCCAACATACATTCACTCTTTGTGTACTCAATTAAACACACAGCTTTGACGCCAGCGGGCTTTTTTCGGCGTTAAAAAACCGGCGCGCACATGCTTCATGCTTCCACTTTGACTTATCTGCAAACCAAATCCTGACAGCAGCTCTGCCCTCTCCGCTCCATCCGAAGCTCGCTGGCTGAAACACTGTCGAGTGTAGGTGTGATTGACAAACAGCGTTTCCAACAACAACTGACTGTGTGTCCTTATTCCGGGCCAGCAACCGCGACGCAACTCTGCAAGCATGCAGCTGATGGGAGATGGCAGCGCTTGGTATTTTGTTATTGTGTGCGAGAGAATAAGAAGAGCAATGAGGGGATGGGACTGTTGGGAACAAGAAATAACTGTGTCCCCTTTGTCCTGTGGTGGAGGGGAAACGTGCATTAAGATATACATGTGCGCGAAAAGAGGAGTGGTGTTTTAAAACAGAGAAAGAAGGAAAAGCTTGAGGAATGTAGAAATGAAGTAAGAGGAGAGACACAGAGGAGGAGGAGGAGGAGAAGTTACTCCTTCTTACTCAGCCTCAGCTGATTCCTGGTGAACTCTGGAGGCAGCCAGGTCACAGATGTTTGCGCGCAGTGGAGTGCATCATCCTTTGTTGTGAAGCTCGTGTGTGCGCGTGGGGAATAACAGTCGGTGTCTGATACTCTCAAACTATACATGCTAACCTCACACACAATCAAACAGAGAGGGTGAGCTGAAATCCCCTCCCTCACCCTACCTCTCTTTCTTTGTCTGCAGGTCTCTCGGTTGGAGTTCAGCAAGTCCATCCCACGTGGGCTCAGAGGCAATACGGGTAAGACGGAGAACAATCAATACCTCTATTTCCACCTCACTCTCTCTTTTTCTCTCACCTGCCTCCACCTCCTCAACACAATACATTTCACTCCTCCGTCCTTGACACTTTGAAGCCTTCGCTCCAGCTCTCAGCTTGGGTTGAGGTAGTTAGTGCCACTCTAAAGTGTGAAGGGAAGGGGGAAAAAAAGCCATCACAGCACCACTGATGGCTGTTAAAACTATGAAGCGCTTCAAACATGTTACATCTGTATCTCTACATTGTATTTCGATTTGTCTCCTTTAGTCCCACTCTCCCAGTTTGGTCCATTTAACACATGAGAGGCTCAATTCTGGATTTCACTCACGCATGACTTGGGCTTCACTGAGGCAACCAGGCATTAAGTCAAACTTTCCTACATCCTTTCTTCTTTCCTCCACACACACACACACACATCGATTCACACACACACACACACACATACCGCTGACAGTGCCTCTCATTTCTTTTTTTACCCAGAGACATGTGGTTCATATATTGGTTTGATATCTCCTCTCATATTAGGTGCACTTCAGCTGCAGTGTAGCCCACATCTGTAACCAACTAATGTGCGATTATTAGTTCAGCTTTTTTTGGCTGCAGTGATCACTTAGCTGCTTTGAGGCAAGTGTATGTGAACTGGTCTCATCTACTGGTTTATAAAGCTTGTATAGGATTGAGTCTAGATAGAAGATATGAAGTTTGGAAGACAGGAAAAGCCACTGGAACATTTCATGACGTTTTAAGTATTTCAACATATATCAATCAGTAATTCTCCTCCGTTTAACCCACTCCTTATACATTATTGTGTCAACAGCTGCATTAGAGGAGTTGCTGGTTTTGTCTTAGGGACTTTATCAGCCAAGAAAAATAAAAAATCCTGTAATCCACATGTGATGACTGATATTCCTCCTCCTGTTGTCCAAAGTTTCTGTTTGAGCCCTGGAAGAAAATCTGAATGACTCAGATCCTGATTGGAACATGGAGGATGATTCATGTCCTGAGCTCTTGCAGACAATCGAGTGACAGTGCAGTTTCTTCTCGGTAATTTTTAACCTGACTTATTTATTGTTTTTGAGGTGATCCAGTGGTGAGGGTTTTAAGTAGTATCACAGCTGTTAGATTTTGCCATTAACTTGAGAACATAAGAGCAGGGCGACTTGTCCTTAAGATTAAACAGTGTTTGTCTTTGACTAGAAAATAACAGGATCTTTCATTATTTACGTGTGTTTATTCGGAGCTTGAATGATGTAGTGTTTTGAAAAAGACCTCTTCACACTGACTTTGTGCGAGATGACAAGTAGCGATCCCGCCGCTGCAGCAAAGTCCATTAAAAACCTCAACTGTTCTCAGCGCTATTAATATTGCAGTCCTCAATTTCTGAATGAGCGATAAGGGAATTGAGGGTGACCCAGATGAGTCCATGAATGAGTGATGATGGGTTGATTGAAAGTCTTCTTCAGCGAGGTGGGAGTTGGCCTCTTTCAATCTGTTTCCAGGAAGAGTAGCAGCTTTGACACCTCGCTGAACTGAAACGAAAAAGGGGGAAACGTCAACTTAAATGCTGATTAACTAACAAACCCAAAGGCAAGAACACTCACAGGATGTGGCAGCGTTTTTTCTTTTGACTGTGGAGGAGCACGAAAACACAAGCATTAAGTGAATATTAAAAATGTTTTTATACTTTATGTCCCCTCTAATCAGATCAGATATACTAAAATGTTTCAGTGGTTTGGTGTTAAAGACATAAGCTACATAAAACAAATGTGTTGGATGCTACTTTAGCAGCTTTAGTCTTTCTGAGGAGGAGGAAAGCAAGAATAGAAGGTCATCTGGAGTGTTTTAGAAGATATATTTGAGGAAAGGAAAACGGTCATGTCTTCAAATAATTCAGTGAAATATCATGCTTTTATTTTGAAAAGGCTTGAAAAAAGAAACTTAAACATACAGCTGTTTAAAATGTTGTATTTGATTGTATTTTGTATTATCACTCGATTCATTTGAAAGATAAAAGATTAGTTTAGACACATACTGACACATATTTAACCAATCTTGCTGTTTATAACGCACTGTGAACCCTGCCCCGTTTCATTGTTTGTAGAAAAAGAAGTGATACCAATCTCTGCAACACCTTTAACCTCAGGGGATCTTCGCTGCAGGATAAGTTGTACTCTGACTCAGAGACAGATTCTCTTTTTCTCCGAACAGGAAACTCTCGGTGTTAAGTACTGTCACTGTCTCATGCTGGTATTTGTCCCTCCACCTACGTGATAACCAAACTGTAAACAAACCACGGTCTTGTCTTTGTCTTCAGGCGGTCTGAGGCAATATTGACTCTTAAATTTAGCTGTCGATCCTCTACTTTGTGGTTCAGTTCCTTAGGAAATCAGACATAAGTTATATGTTACTAAATCCTTGCTTGTGAAATGTTAGCATCGTTTTGGGGTTTTGGTTTGCTCATGACAAACGGACACATCTGTTCAGTTAAGATCACTCTGCTCTGAGGCAAAATGTGTCTGTGACATGATCAGCATGACTGCAGTCAGTTTTAGACATCTCTTGGCAAAGTGAAGGACTTTTATTTTGGGAACATCTTCCAGATATAGCTCAGATTTTACACAGGCCTGTGCTGACTAGATAGAGGGAAGAAATTATTACCAACCCATCTCTTTTTTTGAATGAGACTGATACAGACAACATTTTTCCCCCAAGTGAAATTATTCATATTCAGACTTGAATTTTTATTTTTTTGTGAGAATGCATATCAAATAGAGTCTTATGTTTCACAAGATAAGTGTAAATTAAATTAAAGAAGAACAAAAATGAAATATGGAGCCCAATGCATGCACACACACTCTACCAATCTCACAAGATGCGCTTTTGACTGAGATTTTTTGGAGTTGAAACAAAAAATTATCTTTTAGATTTGTTCCCAACTTTGTCATTAAAAATAGCCAGTCTTATTTTGGATCCATAAAAGAAGAAGATGAATCTTTTAGCACTTATTTTTGGATGATCACAAATTCTAACCAGTGCTGACTCAAGATGTTTAACAAAAAGAGCAGGACTAAACTGTATAATTTGTTTATAATGTTTACAAAGACCCAACATCAAGATAGGATAAGATTCAGTCTTTTTGCAGACTTTTCTTTACAGTGCCAATAATAATGGTGAAAGTATGCATATGCTGACATTGACATATATACAAACACAATGAACCAACCAAGACAGAGGGGAAGACAGGGACACGCTGGTTAACGAGCAACAGGTGTGGCAGCTGAGACACAGGTGAAACTCGTTAACTGATTGACGCAGGAGGGAAAACTTGGGAAGTAAAACCAGACTAGAAACACAAGGAATCAACTACTACAAAATAAAACAGGAAACACTAAAGACTGATCTAAAGAATAAAACACTGAGAACAGGAGGGAAACGGGGTCAAACACAAACTGAGAGCTCACAAGACTGGATCACTGGAACAATAGGAGTCAGACAACAGCAGCTCATGCAGACTTTTTGTTACAGTGCCAATAATAATGGTGAAAGTATGTGTATCTGTAAGAACCGCAAATTCATGATGAGAGAGTGGTCTTAATATTTATGGCAAAGTCAACAGATCTCATCTAAGTATCCATACAATAAAGATGGTTAGAGTGAGGGAATGAAAGTGTCAATTAAAGCAGTTGGAGTCAAACTGTTGTTACAGTAATGATAAAGGTGATGGTAATGGTAGAAGCAGCAGGAGTTGATGAATCTGAATACATCTTCAAGCCTTTTTGTTGCTTTTTTGGGGGCTTCAGGGTCCAACTCTGTCACAAATAACAAAAGATAAACCCAGACAAAGAAGAGCTCAGTCTTTGCTCGGTGTATTTGCTCTGTCTGCTGCTCGGGAGTATTTGCTTCAAGTTTTAAGAGAACAGAGGACAGGCTGATGCCAAATGTGGCTTTGAGGTACAGCTGAGTCTGGTGAGGGGAAGGAGGAAGAGGGGAGGGACATTCACAATTTGAGAAGGGGGGGGGACATCTGTCACCCATGGCTGCCTGCTGTCTGCCTTTAGCACCCAACATTGGAGCTTGGCAGAAGTGAAATTTATTTTGTTCTTGTAGGGGTTTTTTTCTAAGAGAGAGAAAGGAGAGGAAGGAGAGGAGAGGAGGGGGGACTTCCTGTTGAAGCGAGGGAACAGAGACGGGGGAGGAAGGGAGGTCACAGAGACTAACAGCACACCTGTGGTTGGGTTTGGTTGTGGCTGGGTTCACTGATGCTTTAGAGCTGGTGGTTTGTGTGACGCTGGAGCTGGTTTTTGTGTTTGAAATGCATGTAAGGTTAAAAAAAACGCTCCTGCTGTCAAACATCAGAAAAGTGTGGGCAGTTCGATGTTGAATTCTTTCATACACTGACTGTGTTTTGGACTGCTTTCTCTCCAGGCCCCCTTTTGTCACTCTGTCCCTCTAAGCTTTCCCCCTCTCTCTCTGATCCGTCTTGTTTTTTCCTCTTCTTTCAGCCTGTGGTTTTTTGCTCTCTGTTAGCCTTCAGGTGTCGATTTTCTTACCCTGGGACCCAATTAGGAAAAACTACCCTGTCAGATAAAAAAAAAAAAACACATTCGAAATAAAAGAGTTTTACATTCGCAAGGAGGATATAACCACAGCTATAAACTTTAGGAAGACCAGGTAGTTTTTGTCCTGATTTTGACTTTTCAGGCTATATAGCTGATTTTCTGTGATCTGGATGTCCTCTTGCTTTTCACAATTATTTACCATCGTCAGGAAGTTCTCACCCATCAGGAGTAGTGTTATTTGAGCTGCTCTGTTTCACATCGCTGCACTAGGAGGATGTTTGCAAAAATCTGTTTGTGTCATGTATGGTACACAAAATAAAAAGGAAAAGGACCCAGAAATGCAGAACTAAGGATTTATCAAAGCAAGAACAGAAAGTAAAAGTCCAACTGAAAATTACCGTCAAAATTTTCAAAGAATTCCAAATTCAAAAGTCCAAAAAAGTACAAGAAGCAAAATCTAGACTGGGAAAAGAACCACAAGGTGACAACTGGGGACACAATGCTGAAATCGACATACATACATACACACACAATGAACCAACCAAGACAGAGGGGAAGACAGGGACTGTGTGCACACTTGTTAACAAGCAACGGGTGCGGCAGAAGAGACACAGGTGAAACTCGTTAACTGATTAACGAAGGAGGGAAAACTTGGGATTAGAAAACACAAGGAATCAACTACGACAAAATAAAACAGGAAACACTAAAGACTGATCTAAAGAATAAAACACAGAGAACAGGAGGGAAAAAGGGTCAAATACAAACTGAAAACTGACAGGACTGGAATACAGGGAAACAGGAACACATACAGACAATGCGCTTAAATAACAAAACCAGGGAAAAACAAAATAAACAGAACATATCATGACAGTTTGACGCAACAAGAGAAATGTAGATTGATTTTTAAGAGCATGTTGAAGCACAGTCATCATCTCTTTGCATACTTTACACTTGTAGCTCATACAAGCTGCAGCAAATTGAAATGATAATCATTCACGCTGCCGTGACAACGTCCAGTAAACAGATCACAGACCGCACATTTTCTTCCTATCACGCAGCTGTATTTGTATTCATGTATTCATTTGAATGTCTTTCTTGTCTGCTGACATTACAGCTGAGTGTCCAGTGCTGATGCTGGCCTTTCTATCCCTCACCCTCCCTCAAGCTGTGTATGTGTGTGTGTGTGTATCAAGAGGGGAGGACGGAGGGTCATGTATGTGGGTGCTCCACAAATGTGTGTGTTTGTCTCTTTGACTGACTCACCCTCCTCACGTCCCCGATCTGAACTATTAAAAGCGTGTTTGTCCTGAGGCGGCAGCGATATGATGGCTGATCCCTCTCCTTCCTGCCCCCTCCTTGCCCAAGGAGTCCTGACCTTGACCCTTGAAAAAGGAAAAAAAACCCAGATGTTTTTTCCTTCTGCTTCTTTTTATTCAGTACATCATATCGCTTTAATCCCACTGCCTGGCTTTGAGGAAGGACAGTGAGGGGGAGTGCAGAGGAAGCCGTCTGTAAGGGAGTAAACCCAGAGAGAGGAGGGAGTCGGTGGAGGTTATTCTGCTCTCATGGGTCTGTTAGTGAGAGTACACCCATGCAGCTGCACCAATTAGCCCCCACTCACCACACACCCACACACACTGTACACACATCCTCCTTTAAGCTGCTTAACTGACTACACACAACCTGTTAAGTTTGCCTTTGCATTATCAATCTCCCAGACTTGCATGCTCATTTTTCCCCCCTGAGTGTGTGTTTACGTTTGTGTAAGTCTGTGTGTCTGCATGCCTGTTTTACACCCCCATTTGTGTGTGTAGGAGTGTGTATAAATGTGTGTTTGACAGTCAGAAATGATGCCAAGCACAGGGAGAAAGAGGCGAGGCGCAGCTCCCCTCTCATACGATGCCGCTGTCACATTGGATCAGTCAGGCGGGTGCACAGGCTGGCAGGCCAGCAGGCAGCGGCACACAGCCGTGGGAATGACACTGCACTTCTGCTCTGGGAGATAGCGAGGGAGCGTGAGCAAGGAGGGACGTGATACACAGAGATTATTAGCTTCAGCTGTGCATTGACGATATATGTTGTTGTACATCGTTAGGCAGCAGGTTTTATCTCTGTCTTGGTGCGGCTTTCTCAGTGAGACCTCCTCAAAAGGCTCTTAAAACTCCTTTTGACTCAAAATATAATGCACAGATAACAGTTTCGGCAGTTTTATTTGATGTAAACATGCTGACAATGATCCAAAGGTGTTTTCTGAAACTTCAGAGCATTAGTTTAGTAGCTGCATCCTTCCTGGTTTATAGCATTATAGGAGAGTTTCGTGTGTGTTGGAAGGCAAACAAATTTCTTTTGAGTGTGCAGCTGTGATTGGTTGTGCTCTAAAAAAAAAAACATGTAAAAGATCCTCAGGAGAAAAAAAAATGTTGTTGTTCTGTTGGAAATCAATTAGTCATTTTCAGTCCAAGGTGGCTGTTTGTTTTGGCACATATGTGCGACAGGATTTCTTGGTGATATTTAGTGAAGTATGATTCTTCTTAAGTTTTTTTTTTTAATTTGGATTTTCACACTTTCATCTCTCTAAACAGTGTTCTTCAATTTTTTTCAGCTGCCAAAATCCAAATGTGAGAAAAGAGGTGTTTATAAAAATGCTGATACTTGTATTTGGGTCCCCTGATCAACATCAACAGGGAGCTGTGATAGATGTGAAAATTACCTCTCAGGCAACTTGACTGCTTCATCTTCTTTATCTGAAGCCGCACGTACACTTTTGGGATTATTAAAGCGTTGAAGCATTGTTCCATGTTTCTGTATAATGATAAGCACTCTGTAAAGTTAAGGTGTTAAGTTTGATAGTGGCATACAATCAGTCGTATAGTCTCACATTGTAAATGGCATCCATCTAACATCACAAATCCAACCATAGACTAATGTATGTTAATTTTGGCTATACTGCATTGTTAATTTAAAGAATAGTGTCCAGTAACCACTTAGAAAGATACATGTTGTATTGTCTGAGGTTTATATGAATGCTCTCTGTCAACAAATATAGATCATTATATTTATAGAGACTGTCTGAACCCATTTCCTTCAAAAAAAGAAGGAGATCTGTGATGGTTTATCTTTCAGTTTTAGTGAAATAATTTCATTTTTGTTGTTAACTGACTACAGTATCTGGAGGCTACCATCTTTGTTTTGGTCCGTTGACCAATCAGTGGTTGTATCTGCAATCAGCTGACCTTTAAATGCCCAGTTAAAAAGGAGGGCAGCCTGAAACATATGCCACAGATGGAACTATTTTGAATGAATGCATCCTTTATCAATTTATTATAGACTCAGTAGACTTGTGCTTGTTCTTTGTACACACACTTGGGTGCTTCATTTACATATGTAAAACTTTTATTTTCATTTAATTGACCATTTTAAGACATTGCAAATATTAATTTATTCAAAAGACCTAAAAACAACTTACCCTTTTATTGAATGTGTCTGTGTTGTTATAGGTTTTTGTTAACTTTGACTCCAGTGGACTCAAGCAGATACAGAAAACCAACAAATGCACATTGTAGGATATTTACAGACATACTGTGCTTGCTGGTGTGTCCCTTTGTATGTTGTGAATACATCAGGGTGGGTGTGAACAGGCCTGGTCCTTATGTTTGTTGTGTAAGCTTGCCTGATCCCTGCTCTCGCTCTGTTTAGAGGTAAGCAGCAGCAACAGGACTCTGATCACCTGTTCAGACTCAGTGACAAGGTTACCGTCAGGTTAATGGTTTGACTGCAGGCTGGGTCACCGGAGTGTGCGTGTTAAATACTGCCATGTTGTGTTGTTTTTGCTTAAGTGCAGAGGCAGAATAGTTCCTCTGATTTGATTGGTGTTGCTGTTTCCAGATGTAGCATAGGCGGTTCAGGTTAAGTGGGCGGCCTCAGGCAAGGGCATGACTGAATACAGGAGGACAGAGGAGCCCTTTTTCCTCTCATTATTACTCTGGCTCCGAGTATCAACAGTCTCATACACTGCATCTGTTGTGGCAGGTTATGCCTCTGTGTGCGTGTGTGTGTAAGTCAAAGAGAGAGAGTGTGTTTGTGTGTGTAAAACATAGTTGACTCAATGCAAAGGCAAAGCCATGGAATCTAGAGACTACAACTAGGAGCAAAAGCACACTGATGCCTTATTTTCGTATGGTAAATGGGTTTAAAATGGGTTGAATTTGATTTGGAAAATGTGTTTTCTTTTTAACACTTCTCAGAAGTGTGCTAATTACACTTCAACTCAAGGGAATAGCCTATTTTAAGGGAATAGGAATGATAATTGCTCTTAAAGGAGAAGTTGTATGATGCCTTTAGGACGCTTTAGGATTTTTAATGCATGCAGGAATAAAAATAAATCCAAACACCGAGGCAGAAAATCAGTATTTTGTGAACCTGTCAAGCTCATGTTTAAAAGCCAACATTTAAATTGACTTGATTTTCTCTAGGTCCTAACTGTTGTACTTCTGTTTATCCAGGTTCGCCCAGCAGTACGTCTACCCCCAGGCTATCCTGCAGCCCAGCTTGGTGCTGCAGTCCCAGCTCAGCCCCACAGCAGCAGCACTCGCCTCCCCATACCTGGACTACAGCCCTGCCTATAGCCATTATGCCCCTACAGGACTGGAGCAGTACCCTTACACCCCTTCACCTTCACCTTCAGCTGGCTACCTCAGCTACAGCTTCTCCCCGGGCAGTTCGGCGCCCACTCTCACCACATCTCCAACCCCTCCGGCTGCCATCCACCCACCTTTAGCTGCGCTCACCACCATGTCTGCCGCTCCTCAGGCCTTTCTTCACTATCCTCTGCACCAGCCCGACCGCATGCAGTGAGCAGCCTTGCGTGGAGACGGAGCTGCCGACCTGATGATTCAAAACAGTGACTTGACCGGCGACATCATCAGGAAAAGACTGGATAACCAGGAGGAGAGTGTATTGTAATCAAAAGGGCTTTTAGAAAGCACTCTCTTTCCTATTTCTATATATAAATTTATTGTTATAGTTAATGAAAATGTTATATTGCTACAGCGATCTGCATACAACCTGAATGTTTTTTTCATAAATGTCAGGAATCAGAGACCAGAATGAGACAATAATCCACAAGACATTTTTCCCCTGATCTCTGACTCTACCGCTGTGGTTGAAAGCACGCCCACTGCTGGAAAGCAGTTAGGTAAAGACAATAAAAAAAAATGTCTGTTTGACATGATGCTGGGGCTGCAGTTTCTTCAAAGGTACTGGTCTGGATATCAGCCAAGCTGAGAGCTAGTTCATTTTTGAAAAAACACTGGACCAATAACCTCCTCTACAAGGTTATCTTTCTGTCTTTGGCTGTAGAAAATTTCTTACTCTTTTTTTTTCTTGTCCAGTTTGTGTTCTTAAATTTAATTTGGTCTCTTTTCATCTCACCCCTGCTTTTTTTTTTTATCTATGGTGGCAAGATGACACACACAAAAAAAACACATTTTAGATAAATATGCAAGTATAATGATAAATGTGACCAAGTGTAAGGTAGACCACACTGTTTTATTGTTTTTGTATTACTACTGTGAGAATAATACTGAGAGAAGAAATGTGTTAACAATTAAAATACAGCAGCCATGACATGGATTCACTACAGCGACACAATAGGCTTTTTTGACCCCTGACTCTTGGACGTGGTACAGAGGACTGTTTGGTTTTATTCAAATTTAATTAAAAAATCATGAATACATATCAAGAGAGATGAGAGGTTAAAGGTGTCAAATGTATGTTGTTACTGACTGTGTAAGAATATTTGATGTAGGTTTTTATGTGTGATTGAGTTGAGTGAGAGAGAAATCGAGTGAGCGGTGTACCCCAGTGTCAGGACCCGGCTCCCCTCCAGCCCAGTGTGCCAGTCAGAGTTGTTTCTTTGTTTCAACAGCAGAATACAAAAAAGATGCTATAGTAATGTCGACCAGAGTCTCACAGTGCTTTGGCACTTCTTAGTAGTCATAAACCATGTCATACACAACATTTAAAACAAATATGCAAAGCAAAATGAATATTTCTGAAATAAAAAAAAGAGAAAAGACATGATATTGTTTTCTCTGAGTGTGACTGATCAAAAAATTGAGGGGAAAACCACAGCTACTAGAAACTTCCATGAGCCTTGAGTGATAAGTCTTTATGTTTTTATTTTAACGGTACATTGTCATTAACTGTAATTATTAATGTAATTTATCTATAAGTTTAGGTAATTACATTTTTAAGTTGATCTACTGCAAAGATAGTGTAACTTTTTCATCATACATAACTCAAGCAACCATTTAAATATATATATTTTTAATTAGTTTTATGAATCGAAACAGTTTTTTTTTCCATAGCATATGTTTTAATTAAATCATACCAATTATTATAATTTTAAGTATTTTATGGGCCTTTTTGCTTGTATGGATAGAATAGTTTGAGGACACACAGTACTTGGTCGAGACTGGACTTGAACCCGCAGTCACTGTGAGGACTATGCTCCCCATACATGGGGCGCACTAACCCCCTAGGCTATCTCCTTGTCTCTTATGGATTCACAATAATTAGTATAATGAATGTAATTATGTTTGTATAAATAATCTCAGACTATAATGAAGCTCTGTGGCTCAGCAGGGTGTATCAGGAACAGCTCAGATAGTGAGCAATTTAAGAGCAGAAATTATTCATTATTGTATTGTGATAGTTTTGTGTTATTTGTTCAAAGATAAATGCTGAAAATTGCCTTTAAATGTCACGTGTTTAGCTCCTTTCGAGGAGTTGTACTCAAAGCTGTGATGCGCAGGACCAGAAGACAGTGAAAGATAACCAAACTATCTCAGCTTGGACCACATATCTTATCAAACATGAGCAATATTCTGCATACTGGCAAACCCCGTCCAACCCAAACCACCACGCCTAATTTTCCTTACAGACGTCACACAGAATTTTATCTCTGTTAGTCACTGTTACCTAAGTGTTTTATTTTCTCTTTCAAATAAATTGACTTTCTTGATATGTTTCAAAGTCAAGGGCTAACATGAGCTCTTATTGCCCTCTTCTGGCTAAAATTGTTTATTACAGTTTACCCTTTTTCCTCCATGACAGACAAAATTTAAAAGCACAAAAATGACCCAAACCTTTTACCAAGTTTTTTGTTTATTTTCATTGAAATGTTTATTGAAACACCTTATGCTCCCAGTAAGAATCAAATAATAAAAGGAGACTCAATGTAAAGCTTGCACAGCTGGTCTGCAGTGAACAGAACTACTATCAAAGTCTGGGATACAACATTTCCTTTTCATTGTGCTGGTTTGGAACAAAAAAAGCAGATGGTTTATGTAAAAATTAAATATCATTGCAAATACCTCTGTAAAAGGAGGAGAAATGGTCATGTCTGTAAAACTGATGACGAAATAAACAGTAACGGGTACGAAACAGGAGAGGGGTAATGAAAATAAACTGAAATAAAAAGTACTGTATCTGCAATCTTGATCACACACATACACACATATACACACTCGCAAACAAGCTCATACGCACAAGCGGGCGCACACACATGCACACGCTCACTCTCACACATATGTACTGCATAAGTATCCAAACACACACACACACAAACATAAACTCACAGATAAAATGAAGTGGTTGAAAATAGTGAAACCCTGGTAAAATCTAATGGTATCATACATCCATGTCTTGTGTCTGAAGTGCAGAAAAACAAAATGAACCTAAAAAAAATACAAACTTAAATGGAGAAATCAGATGAATAATGTAAAGCATGCCCATCTTCACTGGTCTAACCCAGCTTGAAACGACCACAAACCCAGAGTGTTGCCCTCTTTTAGCCTACCCAAACCTCAACCCCCACCCCTCTTCTCCAGCCTCACCTGCCCCATGCCCTATTAACCTTTTTTTTATATATATCATACCCACATCCCTGCACAATGACGTTTAACCTGCTCCCACCTTTCTAATGCCTGCCTCCTCAAACCTCTGTGCTCTATTTTCAGGATCCTGATGAATGCCTGTCTGGGAGGAGGAAGCAGGCGGGCAGACGAAGTGGCTGCTGGGTTCGGTTCTGGTTGGTCACCGTTTGAAAAAATAAAAAAAAGTCCAGTTCAGAACAGAAAGTGAGGACCTTGGGGGTAGGAGTCTTGTTATGTGCTCATGTTGAAACATTTTGTGAGTCGGTTTTTACAGTGGAAAAAATCTTATCATTAGTTAATGTGAGTATGCTGGTGAGTTTTGTGCAATGTTGTTTGGAGGTATTGGGGGGCAGGGGGGGCAGTGGAGGTGGGAATGGCGTAGCTCAGGGCCCTGTCCCTCGTCCCTCGGCCCTAGTCGGAGACGGGGCGGGCTTATAGGGCTTGTGTCTTGAGCTCGATGGGCTCCCCACGGGTGTCCTGCTGGGTCTCACTCTCAGGGGGCCGGCTGCCCTTCAGTGTGGCGAGGCGCTCAGACAGACCCCTCATGCGTGGGAACAGCACAAAATCGTACAGGAGGGCGCCCATGGCACCTCCTATCATTGGCCCGACCCAGTACACCTGCAGGCAGCAAAGAAAGACTAAATAAAACAGCAACTATCACGTTGATGTGTTATTTTTTCTTGGTGAGTAATTTCAAGACTTACCCAGTGGTTGATGAAGTTCCTGAAGAGCACAGCAGGGGCGAAAGACCTTGCAGGGTTCATCCCAGCACCGGTGTAGTACATCTGAAACACAGATTACTATTTTTATGGAAGTTTTTAGTTAAATTATTAACAATAATGGTTTTTATTGATGGTTTTTATAGAATTGTGTGGTATTAGGCTACTTTGTTGTCTTTCCAAGACTCCTGAGTGTGCTAAAACTTCCCCCATCACAGCTCCAGATTTCCATCACATGATCTACTTTTCCATGTGTCTCACCCCCATGAGATGGCCAATGGTGACAGAGAAGCCAATGGAGAGGGCGGCGGATCCCAAGCGTCCATTTCTCCTCTCATCGGTCACAGCAAAGATGCAAACCACGAGCTGCAGGGTGAGGAAAACCTCCACAGTGGTGGCCATCCCCAGACTGATACCAGGCTGCAGCTGGAGGCACATAGACGGACAAAAACATGGTTGTGTGTAAGTCAGAAATTTTACTGCCGTTCACAACTGAGCTTTACATTCATTACAGAAAAATTGTTAGCTACTAGAAGCTAACACTGTTGTCTTACAGGTACTTTAAAGACTGTTTTTGGCTGTTGACCTTGTGAGATTTAACCTAAACTGATGCCATTATTGAAATCTCAAAGGTGAAACCAACCCACCCAAAAACTTCTACCCAACCAGGCCTAAAACTGCTATCCTTGATTCTGAAACATCATCATGAGCTCTTACCGTGTTCATTGCCATGTTGCCTCTCATGTTGCTGGGTGTAACCCCGTACAGCACAGCAGCCCCAGCCACAGCACCCAGGCACTGAGCAGCTATGTAGAAAATGGCACGGAAAAGAGACAACTGTGAGCCGACAAGGTAGGCAAAGGTGACAGCAGGGTTAATGTGACCCCCGCTGATGTGGCCGATGGACTGGATGAGGGTGGCAGCTGCTAGCCCAAAGCACAGGGCCACATGAAGGACATGATGAGGCCCGGTGGTCCAGCGCAGGGCAGCACCCATGCCGAAAAATACAAAGAACATGGTCCCGAAGAACTCTGCGAAGACCGCCCGCCAAAAATTCATGGACTTGAACTCCCACATGTTGACTGTTCACTTGATGCTCTCCACAGGAAGAAGATTCTCTAAGATGAAATCAGGGTGAGTCTAGTAAAGGTAAATTTACACCTTTAAAAGTCCTCTTCAATCGCCAAAAAAACAAAACAAAATAAAGGATCTTCCTCTTACAGTCAGCGGATGTGGCTGACCAAAATAAAAACAAAATCAGAGTCTGTCCACTGACAAAATAGGATTTCAAAATGTCAACAGACAAATCCACAAAACAGAGTCAACTTAGCTGCGTTGGTTTGCCACCTCTGTCCACCTGTCGCAAAGACATAGGTGTGATGTAATGGGGAGTGTGAGTGGAGGTCTCAAGTGGGATGAGCTGTCAAGAGGAGGTGTGCATCAATGCTAAAGGGGTGTTTCTAAAGTAGAGACGGGGATAGACAGAGTGTCTGGTGGACCTTTAAGCCTCTCTGACGGAGGGGAGAGGGCCAGACAGGGGCTTTATAATACCCCCCCAGGGGCCCCAGGTGACGACATAATCTCCCTGCAGAACCGAGGGCGGGGGGCGGCAGTGCTGGACACCCTTAACCAAACAAACTTAACCCTGTGTCACCCCCCCCCAAAACAGGCCGAGGCCCAATGAGAGGTGCATCAGTGAAGAGAATCAGATAAAACAAGAAGTGTAAATTAGTTTGTCAGAGGAGGACAGATTGTAGATTAAGAGACAAGAGGAAGTATTGAGTCTCATAGGTGGGGGGAGTGGGTCACAAGGTAGAACAGCCTGTTGGAGATGAGTAAAGGGAGCTGCAAGGAGAAGGTTTCATCTTGAGGCGTTTGTTGACGTATCATAACTATGGTAATCGGGGAACATAAATGCTGATGGACAAGGACAAAAAACACACAGGCATGCACAATGACACGCACACACACACACATACACACACAGATACTACAGTTGGGGCCCCGGACGGAAGTGCCCAAAGCTTACAATGCTGAACTGACCCATACATCGAAATGCCTGACCCTGTGAAACTATTGTTTGTCAGAAGCATGTGGACTACGTATAGCCATATAGGCAAGACAAAAATACTAATTAAACTAAGACAGCTGGCAAAACATCGCTTTCAAAAGCACAAGGCTCAATGCTAAAGCTCAATAAGAAGCTGTCAGTTTCATGTTTTCGCTGTTAACTGAAATCAAACATAACAAGTGAGTCGTAAACCTGAATTTGATTGTATTTTAGAGCTTTAGAGTTCTTGTGCCCCCTCCAAATTCACTTTAAAGTCACTTCACCTAGAAGAAAACATTGATAAGGAATGAGGAAAAAACAGACAATGTTAAAGTGGAATGACATTGATTAACAACTTCTGGGAGGTGCTCCATGGAGGCTTTGCATTGTGTAATACTGTTTTGGTCTGTTTTGGATAAGGATGTATGGTAAAAAAGCCCTGAAAGTTCGGCGTCTGTGTGCGGGAGCCGGGTCAAAGGAGAGGTCTAGTAGGGCCGACCAGTCCAGAGCCATCCCTGTTAGTAGTTGTTGGGAGGTGTGTGTGTGTGTGTGTGTGTGTGTTCGGGGGGGTGTTGAGAGGCGAGGCAGAGAGTGATGAAAGCAGAACGCTGAGCTTGCTGTTTTAACGCCCTTTTATACATGTTAGAAAGAACACACACAATGCAAAATGCTGGCTTTACTGTGGTAATTATAGCTATTGTGTAGCGTGTGTGTGTGAGTGTGTGTTCATGTGAGTAATAGTTTATATATGAGTATGCGTGCACGGTGCATGTGTGTATTCAAACCACATAGTTGTAGCGATGAGGCTGCTGTCATGGTTTTATTTAAGACTCCAAATCCAGACAATATTATAAATGTTTGACCTCGAACATTAACTAATATAGATAATATATATGATGTTTGGTTTAATAATTATTCCATTTTAAAGTAAACGCATGATGTCGCAGGTGTGTACTGGGATAGGGTAGAAAAATACATGAAGAACAGACCAAACAAAAACATAAATACTTGAATTATTTTGTAGCTAACCTTGTTAATAACATGGAAAATAAATAAACTGTACACGGGTGAAAACTTTCTTTAAAAACACACATTTATTACATTAAGTTATGTCTCCTAAAAACCAACCAAGTGTGCTTCCACAGATCTCTACCGGACCTGTTTTTAAGTACAAAGCTGGTTTCTGCCATCACAGAGGTATGAAGATCCATTTGATTGTGAATAGGTGGCCTCAGACAAAAGACAGACAGACACACACACACACACAGGCATATATACTGGAGGGATATTAGGCAAATTGAGAACGTCATTGAGCTGTGGATGCAGGACCTCTTTAGCATTTCAAAGCATTCACAAACACACAACAAACCTGTGAAACATGAGGAGACACTCGGTTGTTTCTCATCAGGGTTTCAATGAGTTTTCATTAGAAATTCTAATGATGTGCAAATGTGAAAAGAACAATACGGGGTCCCAGAATGTCAGCCAGACCTTCACAGTCTCTAATGATAGGCAAGCACTATCAGGCCAATTGTAAACGCAGCCTCGGGCCTTCACCTGACAACATGAAGCAAGTGCCCCAAACACACTTTCAACTTTTTAATCTCTAAAAGTGCGCAACAAACTTTGAAACATGACCAACATTGACTTGAAATCTGTCACAATTACAAACAAGAGAGAGAGAACAAACAAACTCATATTTGAGATGTATATTATACACAATAAATAGGTTAAACAGCACTCTATTCGTCCTGTCGCTCCACAGTTTGTGGTTTTTTCACCTTAATTGTTTTCTTGCTTGTTGGCCTGTTTGGCTCTCATAGCATTCTGTGTGACGGTGGACAGCGATGATCCTGTCATGCTTGCAGTTTCCACAATCTCAATGTCCTTACAGGTCAGACAGGCCACCAGCTTCTGTCGAGAAGCACTGCGCGCAAAGAAGAACTCGTGAGAAACTCCCGCTAGTATGGCGCCAAGCACCGGTCCGAGCCAATAAACCTGATGGTGAGCAAAAAAAAAACGAGATACAGTAAGAGAGGAGAGATGAATGCTTTTTATTCAATTCGTTGGAAACAGGCAACAAATAGAGGATTTAAAATAAGCTAAATATCTGCTGAGTTTAACAAGGAAGGCAATGTTGAAAGATTATTAAATGAAACTTCAGACTGGTGTTTGGCTCCTGGCTGATGTCAAGTCAAAGTAAAGCTGTCTTAGCAAAATTAGAAATTCAGGTTAAAATACCTTAAAATTTGCTTAATATCTTTCACTGTTATACTCAAAATAGATCATTTTTGTTATAGATGGTTATTTTTTTTGACGATGGACCAAACTGGTCAAAAACAGCATTGGGAAAAATCAGTCGTTTCTGTAGAGTTAGGGCACAAGGTCAGGTCTTTTTCTCTCACCCAGTGGTTTTCCCAGAAGCCGGTGATAATGGCCGGTCCCAGAGAACGTGCAGGGTTCATACTCCCACCAGAGAACCGCCCCTGACACACACAGACACACACACAATGATTTCATTTTGTTTTCCACTGAAGCTTCTTTGGAAAAATTTCAGTATGTGTCAATTTTGGTGAGTAGAGCCTATTACTAAAGACAACAAATACACTGAAATTAACAGCTTTTTGTGATACAGCTGTGTTTTGGTGTTTTAAACTCTTTAACCTTAAAAAGCTCCTGTGCCTATGTCGTACCTTATAACGAAAAATTTTATCCTGCATTGTTTATTTTTATGAGGAAATTGTAGGGACACTTACGCCTTTGCATCAGTTTCAGCCATAAAAATTACAGCATGAAAATGATATATCTGGGGGACCTGCAGATAGCGAAGTGGGTTAGCGTGTCTCATGTTTTGGGACCATGGTCCCTACAGCGGTCATGGGTTCAAGCCCCAACCATTTCAAATTAGGAGTAACTAAAGCAAAGGAAAGTTTATCATAGAAAGCTGATGGATAAACTTTGTTAGTTTCCAGTTTTTTAATTTTCTTCCATGATGATTTATCCTTGTGAATGAAAGCTTGTAAATATGTATGAACATTTACTATAAAAATATTATGTATATGGGTAGGTAACATCCTGTTTTCATGTAAACTTTGTACTATGATTATTATTTCATTGTCTTCTTTTTTTAGTAAACTTGGGTAGAGGTCCAAAAAAAGTCTAAAAAGAGGGGGAAAAATGTATTAGAATAATTTCAGTTGCCAGAGTGGTGTGCAGATGGCCAAGTGGGTTAGTGCACCCCATGTACGGGGACCATGGTATCTGCTGTGGTTGTGGGTTCAAGTCCAGCCTTAACCATGTACTTCATGTCCTCCCCATTCTCTTTGTTTCCCTATATTATCACACTGTCCTATCCATAAAGGTAAAAATCACCCTAAACTGATATTCAAAAGATAATAATTTAAACTGTCAAGAACTGGATTTTTTGCAGATACAGTATCAACCTGCAAAATAAAGTACTAAAGAATTGGCTGATTATAGTCTTGATGCCAGAAGTGAATGATGCCGAAAACTGAAATGCCCTCTTCCTTGAGGAAATACATTAGCATTGTTCCTCTTACCCCTATAAAAACTCCAGCTGTGTGAGCAAATCCAATAGCGATGTTTCCTGGTTCTGGACTTTCCCTCCGTCTCTGAGCCTCCGCTGAGAACACCGTGAAGACCAACTGGAAGGTGCACAAAACCTCTACGCCCAGAGCCTGTGCTGCATTCAGCTCTATAGGAACCTAAAGGAGATTAGTAAGGAGGATGAATATTATAAAAGATACGTCCTGATGAATAAAAGATCACAAACTTAAAACTGACCTTGTTGACAAAGTGCTCTGCTGTACTTTTAAGCGGCAGGGCCAGGTAGAGGACCCAGGTTCCTAAACAAGCCCCCAGACACTGTGCAGCTATGTAAACAAGAGCCCGGAGAACATCGAGCTTCCGAGTCGCTAAGAGAGACAGAGTCACTGCAGGGTTCACCTGATGACAGAGAACAGAGAGAGTGGGAGCTATGCACAGAGCCACAGTGGAGTTATGCTCCCTTGAAACACATCTTAGGAGTCTATGGCCTAAATAGAAGTCAACCTTTTTGGCAAATGGGACACCTTGTTGGCTCTTTTTTTAAACTTCATACATGCAAGATGGAAATACATTCACTGTCAGAATGAATGTCAAATTTACACCTGTAAATGATGTTTAAAAAGTTTTGCCGAAGGTTTACAAGTGGCACCAATATTACCAAATGAATTTCACTTATCATAACTGCTTTTAAGATGCTCACCTGTGCCCCGCTTATTTCACCAAAACAGTGAGCCAGTGCAACAATCACCGCCCCCACTGCCACTGCTGGGTACAGGGGTCCCACGGGAATCTCTCCTTGGCCTGGTACTGACGCACCCAGCACGGCACTCACCAACACCAAGGTGCCGAGCAGCTCTGCCATCATGGCACGCCAAAACTGTCGACTGCGCAGCTACTCAGGAAGAATACACAAACAAAAAATATTGACTTTTTTTCCCCAATAAACATAAAAACAAAAAAAAAATCTACACCAGATGTTGATCCTTCTCATTCTCATGTCAAAATATATAGCTATTAAAAGCTGTAAAGATACGAAATAGGTGGATAACACTCATGTAAGTTTCATGTCTTCATATTTTTTAAAAATCACATCATTAACCTGCATTTTTACTCTAAAATACATCCTGTTTAGTGTATTTAAAAGTATTTAAAATGCATAAACTACCCTGAATAAAACATTCAACAACTGTCTAATCTGACACAAGTTACACAAAACAGGTACGTCTTAAAGTAATGTGTAAATCTTGAGCATCAAAATGAAATGCTTACCTCATGCCACGCCATTTTCAGCTAAATGAATGTAATCCTCAGTTTTGATCCCCCTCTAAAGGTCCCCGCAGCCTGACCGTTTGTCTTCCTGAGAAGTCGTCAGGGACTGAGGGCTTCAGGGTCTCCACGACATCCGTCATTACCTTGTGGAGCCTGAGAGATCCTTTGATGAGAGCAGACTCCCACCCCCCATTTCACTCCATTTCTCTCTCTCTCTCTCTCCTCACCCTCTCCTTATCCAACACCTCCAGCCCAATGGATTCTGTCACCTCAAACATTAGAGAGCGAGCCCTTCAAATACATCTCAAGGTTGTGGATATAACGCTGACCCGATTCTTTTCTAAAACATCTGACTGACCTTGAGCTCCTGGGACACATTCAGGAAACTATCAGGAGCCACCCAATTATCTTCTTCTCAAGTGATTGTGGCCACTTTACAGGGTTGCACAATGGTTGAAACATCTCAACAAGGACACCGGTTGATAGAACAAGTCAGGGAAAGAGACTGACATAACTAAATCACAATTATTGAACACTGCGGCTGGTGCAGGATGTTCAAAGTGCCTGTTGAATACCAGCTGAAAGCAGTTGTGAGTGTTGAAAACTATCCTGAACACAAGTTATAAAACATTCTAGCCTCAGATGTTACCAGTCACATGTGTTAGCTGACTGCCTTTTTTAATTACCTTTATCATATCTAGAGAACTATTCCTTCTGCCCTGTTTAGAGCAGGCCGAGTGGGAAAAAGGGGGACTAAGTAGATATGTAGGGCCTTCATCTGAGGTGGGACAAGAATGAAAAGCTGTGAGGAGGCCTGTAATGAAGGCATATGTATGATCAGCCCATTGAATGACCATCACTGGAAACAATCTATAGCAAACAGTGTATATAAACTAGAAGAACTGCTGAAAAGTCTTTGTTAAATTGCGCCATTGCATTTTAAAGAGGCATGGGGTGTAAATATGCAGTGATGCACACATAAACAACACTGTTCTGCCTTTCTGGATACAAGAATACACATTGCAAACCTTCTCTTCACAAGTTTCTGTAAATACTTTGCCCCACTATTACACCTCTGATTATTACACATTGCAGGTAATTTTCATGTTTGGGCTCTAGCTGTGAGAGAAGAATTTAATCAGCTGGGACCAGAGCCGGCCCAAGCCTCAATTGGGCCCTAAGCAAAATTTGAATCTGGGGCCCCTTTATTTCTGGCAATAATATTGATTGTTGATCATTCAGACACCTTCACAAATCTCTTTGATTAACATTTAATAATGGTTCGATTTGCTGTTAGAAATACTATAAAAATATATATATATATAAATTTTGGGACCACCACATCAGTGTCTCATGACCATCGAGGGGATCCGCATCCCTGCTTTGGGAACCACTAGGATTGCTGATTTAGTTGGCCTCACAGTGACAATAATGTAACTACAACTACTAGCTTGCATCTGCCTAGTTGCTACAGCCTAAGTTAGCCCCTGGAGTTGACAGCTCTTGATGTTAGCAATTTTTTTTTTAACTTCACATATATATTTATTTTAATGAAATATATATATCATGACAAAAACACAAACAAGAGCATTTGTGTCTCATTCTTTTGGTTTCTGTTTCACTGAGGCGCACTTGGCGACGATTACTACTGATTTCTTATTTCAGTTTTAAGAGAAAAGCACCATTGGTGAACAGGGTGGACAAAATCAACTTAAACAGACATCATACTTAGGTCAGGCTGCATTTCAATAGTGTATGATCATGAGATAAATATGTCTCCTTCTTCTGTCTGTCAGTCGAAGGATCTGTAATGAGGTTTTAAGAGAGCCCAGATCTGAAGTAATTTAGAGAGGCTTTCTATCAAAGGCAGAAGAAGGAAAAACAATCTGAATCAAACAATGTGTAGTGTCGACCCTTAACCCAAAGAACTGGAATATGATGTTCTTCCACCCACCTTTCAGTCCCTCCAATTTACTCATGAGTTCCTGCTCTGATCACCATGGGGATAAACTCTTTCATGATGCTGTTGCCATGGCGCCTATTGTGATGCTGCATCTGTTCATGCTTTTCATTTTCACTCTTTGAAATTAAAACAAGCGCACACCTTGTGAAGACCTTTAGCAAAACAGGCAGAATTCCTCTATTGGAGTGGAAAGATGTGGAAATCTTGACAACTTTACTACTTTTCAATATCGTTGTTTTTTTATTTTAATTCAATTCTAACAACGCTTTTTGATTTTATTTTAGAGATCCAGGTTCAAAACGGATTCTCCTGACCCTCCAGTTATCAGAGGCCCTCAGTCAGACTGAATCCAGAATGAACTAGCAGCAGAGTTTGGGCAGGAGGGTTCTGGCAGGCCCCCATTATGCCGTGGATTACCCCCTCCTCTCCACGGCAACTGTTTAACTGTTATCCCCGCTTTTGTGGGACTAAGCCCGACTGTGTTGAGTGGGATGGGCGGGGGGCACACTGGAACCCGCTGGCGTGGGGAGTTTTCAGCCCCCTCTGCCCAGATTGCTGACACCAACACAATTTCACACACATACACACACACACACACTCATGCTAAAGTGCCAGCTCAGGGATTTAAGAGAGCAATGGAAGGCAACAGGAGAGGGAAAGTGCACTGAGACAATATTCACATAATTTTATTTGCCTAATACTATTTATTCCAATGTTAGTGTGGTTGTATAGATGTTTTTTCAGTGTGCGGGGAAAAGTGTGTGGGAGTGTCTGGAGGAGAGGGAGAGAGTGTCATACTTGAGTGTGTACCTCTGAGGAGCAGCTGGGAATGATGGCACTATGTTCCCTGCAGCATGTGCCTTAGACAGGAACTCCTCAGGGAGCTGCAGAGCCTCAACCACAAACTTCATCATATTTCCATCACGGTCATACGTTTATTTTTTTTTCTCCTTTAAATACGACAGGTGCTCATACATGGCACCTAAACATAAGTCATGAGGTAAACATGCAGCGCTTAAGGAGTGTGACATTTTTTAACAACTTTTGTTTGAGAGTTTTATAAAAAAAAAAAATAATAATTACATTTAACAAACTGATGTTTTCTTCTCACCTGGGATATCGTACATCAAATTGTAGAATATTTTGATTTAACCCTTGATAAATGAAACTTTCAAAGTATTAAAAAAAGGTTCAACTTGTGTTTTGGATGTTTCCCTGCCCCAACACACCTGATTCAAATGATCAGCTCGTTATCAAGCTCTGTAATGGCTTAATAACGAGCTGATCATTTGAATCAGGTGTGTTGGAGCAGGGAAACATCCAAAACATGCAGGACAGTTGGCCTCGAGGACTGGACTTGAGAACCACTGCTTTATAATAAGGCTAAATTAGCAAAAAGGCACTTTATCACAATTTATCCACTTGTAGGGCGTTCAGGAGCACTTTCTCAATGTTTTATCCATAAAACAGCAACTACAGAAGCAAGTTCTCAAAGCATTTTTTATGGGGAGGTCATCAAAGTGGGCGTTTTATAATGTTTTGGTTATGTCAAAAGCGTCCAATATGGCACTTCTGCGTGTGGACAGAGTAGTGAGGTTAAGCACTTTAGTCAGAATAAGCTAAAAATGAAAATATAACACTCATAATATTTGACAGTCCACTTTTTGACGATGGTATGCCTTAACAGCTAAATCAAAAATTAAAGACAACAATGAGGTTTTTCTTTCTACTAGATGTGGTTTTATTCAACTCACAGTACATTCTACAGATGCACACGTGTTACATCACCTTAATACGACAGAGTCTTGTAATACCTCCTCTTAAAAATGATGAATTGGTCCTAAAAATATAAAGGAACAAATTTAAAGTCACCAAAACTGTACATTATTAAAAATTCACTTGACACCACGTTTGGTTTTCATGTCGTGTTTTTTTTTTTTCTTTTTTGAAAAAACATCTGTCCCTTTAAGTGTAACAAGGAACATCAAAGTTTGTTTCCTATCAACGGATCCAAGTTCAGTGTAAGAAACATGTTTAAATAAAACCCAGACTGTGGAGTCATCCTATTTGCTTTCAGAGCTCACCAACCGTGCCGCGGAACATCTAACGTTGGCCCTCGAAAAGCACAAAAAATATCAGTGAAGGAATGTAAGACAGGAAACCAGGCAGGAATGAACCCGGTTTGTTATGATCAGAGCAACTTTGTATTTATAGTCTTCAAATGTAAGGATTTGAACCTTGTGCATAACCACCTTCTGGATGTTTTCCTGCTAAAACGAGAAGTTAAGTGTCATTGTCATCGAATGCTGCAAACATCATTTTTTTATCTTACAACAGGGCAAACTCTAAAAGGCGAACAGCTTCTGGAAAGCAGCATCCTTTCACCTGCGTACAGTGTGCCACAAACCAGATGGAACTAGATGACTATCAACAAGAGGGACAGTAAAATATGAGCCTTCGAGCCCAGACTGACTAAGCCGGACTAAAGATCCTCCAGTTTCACAAACCAGTGCCTTTCACACAGCAGTTGACTGTGAGTATGTGTGTGAAATTGTGTATGTGTTGGTGAAAAGTGTGCGTGCACGACTTTAAGTGGAGGTTATACAACGTCTACTCGTGACAGTCCAAAGACAGATTCCTTTAAGTTTAACTGGCCTTTTCATAAATGGTCTAGACATCTCTATAAGGTAATCTGTACACATTCACTACAAGCTATTGCTATTAAATAATCCCAGCTATTGTAATCTGTATATATATTTATATATAGAATATATAATAAAAATATATTGAGCAAAAAAGTTACTTCTAGGCATAAGACCACGGTACATTACATTTCCATTGAACAGGTAAGAAATGGCCCAGGAGTTTTGATCCATTTAGTTGTCAAGCGGCGCTGAGCAGGTCCAGTGTGCAGCAGTGAGGCTGCGACAGCGTGATCAGTCCCTGACCTTCAATGCGAGTCTGAGAGCCAAAACACTCGGGGTGGGGGGGCCTGAGACCGTGTCATCACCCTCCAGAGGGGCTTGACCGAAGGCCTCGCTACGACATGGGGCTTGTGAAAGGATCTGACAGGGAGAACATATACAGGAGATGAGGTGTTGAAATGAAGATGAGACGACATGATAGGAGGAGAGGGGGGAAAAGTGAAGAAAAGACATGCTGACGCTCTCTGTGATAGGGAGTGAGTACAAAGAGTTCAAGCCAGTTCAGCTGTGGGCCTGGAAAATATGAGGCCCATGGAGGGAACAATAACAGACAAATAGCCAAAATCTATACATATATACCTATACATAAGAGAGTACACATAGCTGGAAGAGCCTCCAGAAAGTCTTTGTAGTAATGGGAGCGAGAGTGTCTGACTGGGACGGTGAAAGCACCAACAGTTTACAGCCCCACCATGAGGAGAAACACCGGAGGCTTCTATTTGTCCTTATTTGAGTAGAACTCCGCCCAGCGGCTCTCAAAGAAGCGCCTCATGGCGTGTCCGGCCATCCCCACCTCCGAAGTGTCCTCGTTGAACAGCTCGCAGTTGTTGAAGACGAGCTGAGCGTCGGCTGCGAACTCCTCACAGCTGCAGTACCTGAGACACAACACACAGGAGGATTAGATTAACTTTATTAATATGATAAATGATATATGGTATGATAAATGATGTATGATATATATGATACATTATATGATATAATAAATGATAAATTGTATGATATATGGTATGATAAATGATATAAATGATATATGATAAAAGAAATGATATAATACATGATAAATGATATATGTTATGTTATGTTGGTTTGACATGATAAATGATATAATATATGATATGATAAATTATATATATGTTATATAATATGATAAATGTTAAAATATATATTATATGATATGATAAATAATATATGAAACAATAAATTATAAGATAAATGATATGATAAATGATGTATATTATGTTATGTTATGTTATGTTGGGTTGATATGATAAATAATATGATATATATGATAAATGATATGATATATGATACCATAAATAATATATGTTATGTTATGTTGATATGATAAATATTGCTAAAAATGATATGATAAATGATATGATAAATTATATGAAAAATGATAAATTATATGATGTGATAAATGATATAATATATATAAATTATAAATAATTTGATATGATAAATGATATATGATAAATGATATGATAAATTATATATGTTATGTTATGTTAGGTTGATATGATAAATGACAAATGATATGATATAATACATGATAATTTATTATATATGATATTATATATGATAAATGATATATGTTATGTTATGTTATGTTGGGTTAGATTATAATCAGAAGAGGTGTTAGGAAGAAAACGGGTGAAAAGTATGACTTAAGACATGGGTAGTCATTTTTCTCAAATTAACAAAATTTTAGATGTTAACGTTGAAATTTTACTTTTACCCCTACATGTACCTTGGTAAAAGTAATCACTATGTGCTTCTTAATGAGATGCCTGATTAATTTGCTCTTACCCTCCCTGAAGCAGTCGTTCTCTCATGGTCAGGAAGTCCATGGGGTTCTTGATGATGCGGCGGTAGCCTGGCACCAGGCGCGGGTTGACAGGTTCAAGGAATGGCCAGGCGTCGGCGTGAGCCTCCATCTCCATCAGAATGATCCTTGAAAAAACACAAGTATTATTAACGCACATCACTGACAACGACACAGACGGTATGAGTCTGTCAACAACTCCACAGAGAGATGATGGGATGACTCACTCGCAGAAGGTGAGGTCGGGCTGGTTACGCGTTGTCATGCGGCGGCGTTTAGAGCCACCGCTCTCGCCAGAGAAACGAGTAGAAGAAGAAGAGGAAGAGGGCGGTGGCGTTTCCTTGTACCGCGTCGACATGCCGCCACTACGGCGAGTCGATGTCGTTGTTGTTGTTGTTGCTGCTTCATCTTCAGAGCTGTCGTCTTCATATCTTCTCTTCTTCCCTCTGGTCCTCTTTTTGGACGAGTGTGACGCGTTACTTTCATCCTGCAAGACAGAGCAAATACACCGATTCAGCCGATCAAGAACAAGAAGTAAAAGTACGTGTTGCTTGGAAACAAAGATCAGACATGAGTATATTACCTTAGCAACACAGGTGGGACAAAACCAGTCTCCCTCGGGTACCTGGGTGATTTTAGGCCTAAGGCAGTACATATGACAGCCTCTATCACAGCCGTCACATAGCAGCAGGCAATCATCGTTGTCTCCTTTCCTGCAAATCTGACAGGTCTAGAAACCACAAAGAAACAAAGATAAAGCCTTAGTGGTCGAAACAACAATGACTTCTGATTTTTGAAGAACCGTCTGTGCGGTCAAGGGGCAAAGTTTCTCACCACTTTAGTCACCGATCTCTCCCAGGCGATGGCCTTCTCCAGCTGAAGTAAACACAGACAGAGCTGAGGAGCGCTGCGGCAGCGATCCAGAGCCTGTCGCCATGTGCGTAGCCGAGACGTGATCTCACTCTCCAGACTAAAAGAGAAGAAACTTGTTGAAGATTTTGTTCTTGTTGATCTTAGACTTTACATAAACCACCTGCTTTAAAAACTGTCTCCAAAAGAAGAGCATTTTAAAGACATCAAATCAAGAAATCTAAGACAAATTTCCTTACCTGATGACATCCATGGTCATCTCCTCTCCGGGTGTTGGGGTGAGAGGAGCCAGTTTCATCACCTCAGCTGGGTTCCACAGCGGCTCTTTTAGGTAGCGTCTCTCGATGTTTCGCTCCAGATTCGCCAGCCGCAGCACGGCCAAGTCCAGAGGGTGCGTGGCGATGCGCGGCAGACCCGACCACTCCTTCTTAGTCCGCACAATCCAGTCGTCTTGCGGGTCGGCGTCATGCTCGTAGTACTGGAGGTCCTCACGTGTGGAATCTGGGTCTGGGATTGTGTAAGGCTTGAAGAGAGAAGAGAAGAGAAGATTCAAATCAGTCAGGGAGATAACGAAAATGGAGTTCTGGATTACTTTAATTTTGAAAGAACCTTTTGGTACCTGGAATTCAGCCAGCGGTGTCTCTCCATTAGACTCGGCTTCATTTACTGCGCCCTGAGGAAGGGCCTTGAAATCAACAGAAGGAACAGTTAGCTTTCACACACACAAACATGAACACAAAAGCAGAACACTATCTCTGGAATTAGTCTGTTACAAAAGTGATTGAACCAATTTTTGGACATACTGTCTCCGTTAGAAGACAGTATCTTTACTCTGATGATACCTTCGTCTTCAAAATGTCGGCGATTTCTCACCTTGAGGTGTAAGTCAGAAGCGATGACCCGCTGCTCCAGGTCCTCCACCCACTGCAGGGCGCTGATGTCAGTCTCCATTGCCTTCTCCTGTACTTGCCAGGGCTGCTGCAGAGCCTCCATCAGCACATCCTTCTCCTCCACTTTCAAGTCAAACAAGGGGTCTGAGGGAAAACACGCAAGAGAGGTTGTTAAGAAATTGAGCTTGCTTAAAGTATCCCTAAACAGGTCTGGTATGTTTTCATTTTTGAAGAATGACTGTCAGGTGTAAATCTCTGGAAATTGAGAACACGGGATTTAACACTTCTTAAAAACAGAGCATATCTCCTCTTTGTGTTTCAGAGTTTAAAGTCTGAGTAACCAACAGCGTTTACCATTGATAGCTTTGGTGCACATTTCAGCCAAACTTTCCATGTGTTTGGCCAGATGCTTATGGAGCACCCTCTCCCTGACGCCCCTGGGATGGAGGGCCTGTAAGGTGCTGTAGAGTTCCTCTGGCTCCTTAATCCACCACCAGCCTCGCACCATCGCTGGAGTAGAAAAACAGGCGTTAAATGACACGTTTTAAAAAGACAGACAGACTTCACCGTTTTTAGTCGGACGTTTACTTACATGCCGGAATAGGTTTGACCACCAGCTGTGTGAAGTACTGCTGCTCCAGCTCCTGGAACACGGCGTTCGGAGGTCGACCCCGACGTTTAGCCGCAGCTCCTCTCGGCCCCCTGCGAGCGGGACTGCTGCCCCTACTGCCTCTTCTTCGCCTGCGACCCGGTCTCCCGGGGGAGGTCAGAGCCCGCTTGGTGGGAGGGATGGGCGCTGGGAGTAGCTGAGGGGGCAGTGGTGGCGGCTGGTCGCAAAAAGGAAGAGCAGGGGCTGTACAGGAAGCGTCCTGTGGTGTTGCTGGTGTCACAAGGTCGGCGGGAGCCAGGCCAGGCATGAGCGGGTCCGGCTGACGGGTGGAGAAGGATCATTTATTAACAGATTATCAACAGAGGACTAACAGATTATCAGAACAGCAGGATTAAGAGATGGTGAACCTGTACAAGTGGAGCATCTGGTCCAGATAGGGCACTTGGGATCTGTGGGAGGAGTTTGGGGGGTGATGTAGGTGGGCTCGTTGAGTTGGATATCTGGGGCTCCGTCAGAGAGTTCTCATCACACGGCTGTTTGGGGAGCAGGTTGAACCACTGTCCCTGTTTTTCGGCCATCTCCTTCACACTCTCCTCGGGTCGGTTCCCCTCTGGAGCGTCCCCCGCTCCTGAGTTGGTCATCCCTTCCTGCGATTGGCTGAGCCAGCTCTGGAAGGCGGCCTGCGTGAGGTCATGCGTGCTGTTTGGTGATCCCGGTCCTTCGTCCCCTCCGGATCGGGCGCTACTTCGACGCCTGCGACGAATTTTGGCCGTGCGGAGGTGGAGCTCGACTTCTGGTTTGATTTTCCGGGGCCGCCCTCGACCTCGCGGCTGGCTCATGAGCGACGCAGTGCCGGGGAGCGGGTCCTCCTCATCTGGCGAGAAGGTCTGGGCCTGGGCAGGGGTTGCAGAGGTAGGGGAGGATGGAAGAGTCGGAGGGGGAGTTGTAGGCAAGGCAGGTTCTTCAACTTTGGGCTCCTTCTTGAGGAAGGTGACGGGAACTTCAGCTACAAGGACCTCTCCAGAAGCTGCACGAGAAATCCAGAGTTTAGATCAAAAAAACCTCAAAACACAAGAAAGACATTTCCTTCAAATGCGGCTTCAGACTCACTCAGCAGCTCCTCTGGACCCTCAACTAGAACTCCTCCGAGGTGAGGTAGAGCCAAGTATCTACGTCGGTACCTGTCCTGGCCCAGCAGCACGGCCCGCATGGAATGAGACGACTGTAGCAGCTTTTTACGGAAAAACGCTTGTCGCTACGAAAAAGAAAACAACAGGAAGATTTAGAATACAAGAACACAAATGCGTGAAACGCCGTGATAAGTGTCGCAGCAGCAAACTCACCTTAGTTAGCTTATCTATCTGCCTTTCAAGCTCTGGAATGCTGGCATTAGTGGGGCTTTCACTCTGAAAGAAAAAAAATATAAAAATAATAACTTTATTTTTATAGCACTTTTAAAAACTGAAGTTTACAAAGTTTTACAAACAGTCGTAAAGCATGGAACATTAGCACATGGAAATAAAAACAAATAAAAAAACAAAAGCTCAGTTTAAAACAAGGCCTCTGAATTGAAGGTCAACGTCATTTGTCATAAGGAACCCAGAAAATACAAGAACCCTACAAGATAAAATGAGACCATGAGGACCAAAATAAACAAATAAAATAGGTGAGAGAAAGAAATGTAGTAAAAAAGGGGGGTAGAAAGCAGGAAACAGGATAGTAAATATTACAAAACAATATCAAAAATCATAACAAAATAATAATGATAAAATGAAATAACAAAAATGAGCAGGAAAAACGATAAAATCAATAAAAGGCCTAAAAGGTTAAAAAGGAAAAGATTATAAGTAAAACAAAGGCTAAAAAGACAGTAAGTTGAAATAAGATAGAGGTAAAGGAGATAAAAGAAAGAAGAGAAAAGACGGCATTGCATAAAAGCAAGTCTGTAAAAGTGAGTTTTTAAATTTCACTTAAAAGAAGCGACCATCTCTGCGCGCCTTATCTCCTCTTGCAGGTCGTTCCAAAGCTCTGATGGAGAGAGCTCTATCACCTTAAGTTTGGTCAGTTTCTAGAAGTGCGAAAGAGAAACACACGAGCGGAGACGTACATCACTGAGTTTGGGTTCTTCCTTGCGCGCCCGGCGGTTGCCTCTCTCGTTGACGCCGCCGCTCTCCTCCAAGCTGAGGTTCTCCTCCTCGGCCACCCTGGCGCTGCGCCTCCTCTCCTCGAAACACAGCTCCTCTTCTGAGCGTCCTGTGCGACGTGCTAGCGCCGCCTTCAGTCTGTAAGTGGGAAAACAACAAGGGTCAGCATGTTGACTAGCTGTGATGGGTCCTCCTGTAAAGAACTGAACTCTGAACTTACTTGCGCAGTTTCCCCTCAATGATCCACTTGTTCTTCCTGTAAGTCGCCATGTTTTCCAACGTGTTGTCAATGTCACTGAAATAGAACATTTACATTTTAATACACAACAGGAGAGGCAGAGGGGACAGACATGCAGGCTCTACAGTGATGCTGCTTCTCTTACTTTATCACTATGTTACTACTGTTCAGCTCCTCCACCACGAAACCCAAAATGGCAGCCTTGGTGTCAGGAGGAAGAGCGTGAAAAGTTTTGGTCCTCAGCGTGTTGCAGACTTCGTTATCAAAGCCGTACGCCTCCAGAAAGATCCGCAGCACTTCTGAGACGGTGCTGCGGGTCAGCTCCAGCTCCACCAGCTTGTCTCCGAGGATCTTCACCGACTAAATGTGGAGAAAAAGAGTGAAAGGTTCAGATTTAAAGGTCTATATAAAGGTTGGATCTCACCTGTGGAACGTGTGTTGAAGCTGTACTGCCCACCTGGTAGTATGACGGCAGGCCTGGATCGTGGAGCGCTGCCTCCATCAGTTTTATCAGCAGGTCCTGGACCTCTCCTTGGCTGTCACCCAGACCGAGGAGTCCCTCCTGCAGCGTAGAGAGGCTGGGGATGTCGTCCGGTACGCTGATGCCGATTATCTTCCCGTAGCCGTGCAGGAACTCGACCACAGCCAGGCAGTGAGCGAAAGAGGTGCCGGACAGAACCAAACCAGGAACACGGGACAGCTCTGGGAGAAGCTGGGAGAGAGACGTTTGTAAATTCATTAAAAAACACTTTCAGTAATCAGAGATTGTTCAAACAGATGACACATTAAAAAGAAAAACTCACTTTGTGGTCAGTGAGACACATGTCCTCTGTGGGCTTCTTCAGCTCTTCTGCGATCAGCTGCTGTCTCTTCCTCTCCTCCAATCGTCTCTGGGCCTGCGCTCTCCTCTCGGCCGCCCTCTTAGCTGCCTGCGCCGCCTGAGCTGCGGCCGCCGCCTCCGCCTGAGCTTTCGCCAGCGCTTTCGCTTTACTGCGAGCGCCCAGCACCCTCTTACCCTGGGCTATCCTCTCCTCATCGGTTTGCTGTACAGGTGGAGGAGCCTCGACTTTGACGGACCTCCTCCGGCCCGGTTTCTTGGGCTCTGCGGCTGGTGCTGGCTGCGAGACCTGCGGGGCTGTCGGGTCGATCGGTTCAGCCTTCACCTCGAGGTCCTTGGCGTTTTGCTCAAGCTGAAAAGCAAGAAAAGAAGTTAAGAGTTGGTGGTGCTGACGGAGGAGATTATTATCATCTTTGTATATTTGATGTTTCCTCTACCTTGGCTTTCCTTTTCTCCATTTTTATCTTCTTGATCTTCGCATCCTCCCTTCTCTTCATTCTTGCCTGGATAGAATAAAGCAAAAACAAACTCAGGCTTGGAAATCAGAGATAGTGCAACCCGAACATTAACTCATCATGTAGCGAACAAACCTTTCTCTTCATTTTCTTTTTGATTTTTGCAAGTTTCTCCTTTTCCTCCTCAGTGAGAGCTTCTGTGATTAAAAAACAAACAAAAAAAGCATTAATTTTAAGCTGCAGGAACATCCATACGCACTCAAATTCATGCAGTCTGCTTCCACTCACCCTTGGCTTCAAGCCGCTTCAGCAGCTTGGCGTCAACTTTGCTGAGGAAGTCAACCATCTTGGGTTTTGGAGGTCTACCCGGGCGGCGAGCCTGCCCTCCTTTCACGCCGCGGACCCTGCGAGGTTTTTCTTTATCGGGGTTTGGAGGTCGGCCTCGGCGTCCCGTGATGGCCATGATCATAGAGGGAACCTCCTCGTTGGCCAAGAGGATCCACTTCATACCCTGTGACGTAAAAGACATCGATCAGTCCCTAAATGTTTAGATTTTTTCATCAGTCGTTGAACAGAGGACGCCGTACACACCTCAGGAGATTCTCTTTCTTCATAAAAGTCTCCCACAGGCATGCGCGGGCTGAAACTGAAGTGTTCTCTGGTGACCACGCTGTCCGTGTGCCTCTTCAAGTACTGTGTGGGAGAGCAGAGAGCGGTCAGTGTCTCGACATCAGAAACACATCAGCTGGTTTAAGTAGTTTAAGCTTTAACTTTTCACTTTTAGATCAAGAAAACTTACTTTGATTATTTCTGGAAACTGCTTCATCCTCCTTCCGCAAGGTGTGTAGTACCAGGTTTCCCCTCTCATGCGGTTCTCCATTTTCCTCACGCGGATCTCTCTCCTCCAGCTACAGTGAGAACAGTTCATCATTGAATTATTATCGTTTCCATTAGCGACGCACACAATAAACAAAATCTATGAACTATGATGTAGAAAACTTACCCGTGTCGCAACGGGAACTGAACCTGCTCCTCTGTCGCAACTCTCCGTCCTTTGGCTTCACCTGTTGGACCAAATCCACGTCACCATGATTTGCATTAAATATGTAAAACTCAAATATGTCAAAAAAGGTTTCTCTCTGTTACCTGCAGTGGAGCTGTCGTCGTCGTTCTCCTCGGCATCATCAGCAGTTTTTTCTTCATCCTGTTTGGGTGTTTTCCCAAGGTGTCCTTCCTGGTCTTGTTTCCTCGCCCTCCGAGCCTTCTTGGGTTTCACGACTGCGGCACTCAGAGCTGAGGCGTTTGCCAGAACGGCTTCGATTGTGGCTGTGATGCTATCGATCTCCTCGGTGGACGGCCCCGCCTCTCCGCATTCATCTGATGTTCCTTGAGCGTCCGCCCTGAAGGACTTCTTCCTCTTTCTGCCTTTGACCGGCTGCTCTTTATTTGCCTCCTGCTCTTCAGCCTTCAACTTCAACCACTTAGGGGTGCGACCGCGGGGCTTCCGCTGGACCCCCTCTGGAGCTTTAAATTTAAAAGAAAAAAAAAACAAAGCAGTTAAATCAGAATTAAAAACATTTAAAACGATCTCTACAAGTTGAGTGAGAGTAATCAATACCTGGAGTTGACGCCAAAACCGCCTTTGGAGTTCGAGGTTTGCGTGGTTTCCCTGGGGTTCTTAACTGTCCTCCAGCGGCTGACGCAGTCTGATCAGTCACAGGTTGGAGTGGGTGTACGGCAGGGTCCTCTGCTGGGGTACTGAAAGCGATGAAGTTCTCATCTCTCATTTTGAAACTCAAGGGAGTCATCGGCTCGTCGTTCGGCGAAGTCTTCTTGCTGAGGCGCCCGACAGAGTCTGGTGTATCGTGTCCTCTGGGTTCCCACTCTGCTTGTGCGCCTGAGATGAAACGAAAAACATCAAATTTCAGAGATACAGAAGAATGTCATTAAAGTCTGACAGATGGGAAATAAGTACAGTGTTTTTCCCACTATAAGGCACACTTAAAATCCTTAAAATCCACAGGACTTCGGTAAGCTAGAAAGCCGCACAGCCTGATGGCTTGTTGGAGCATTTTGTTTTGCTTAATGCGCTTTATAATCTGGTGCGCTTTATGTATGAAAATAGACGCGAATAGACGCATTCATTGATGGTGCGCCTTATAGTGCGAAAAATATGGTAGTGAATAAAAATGAATGCTGCGTTCTAGTTACCTCAGAAGTCTGATGTCCGAGCTGGAAATGACGTCACACCTGAGTTACCAGCGTTTCAGTTCCCAAATTGGAGGCGGACACAAGATAGCTACATCTACGAAAGTTATTTATTGTTTATAAGTTATTTATTATTATTTTCGGACAAGGCAAGCGCTAAAACAACGTTTCGTAGATGTAGTCATCTTGTGTCCGCCTCCAATTTTGCTTTTACCAAGACGAAAAAAAAGCAAAATCGGAGGGGGAAACAAGATAGCTTCATCTAAGAAAGTTATTTAAGCGCTTGTTTTGTCCTTGCTTATAATCGGACAAGGCAAGCGCCAAAACAACTTTACTTAGATGTAGCCATCTTGTTTCCATCTCCGATTTTGCTTTTCTCCGACTTGCGCTGGTAACTCCGGTGTGACGTCATTCCCAGCTTCTGACTTCTCAGGTAACTTGAACGCAGACTAATCGAAGAAGAAAAGCTCAAATGTAGGAGTGTTTGAGTCTGTTAATCATTGTAGATCTACATTCTTCTATGCATATGTTGTCATTAATATTCATATTTCTCTTTGTCTTTATTCCTGTATTTGCTGCTGAAGGTATGAGAGGTGGGAGTATCTGAGAAGCAACATGCCCTTGTGTCTACCGATGTGCTCTGCTTCCCAGAATCAACATTAGAGCGTACCTTGCTGACTTGGCTGAGAGGACACAAACGAGTGTGAGTTGGAGACATCACCGCAGTCCACAGAGGGTTCTTCCATCTGAGAGCTACTGTTAACAGAAGACTCCAGCACCGAGTCCTCTGGGATCTGGGAGCTGTCCTCGGTCTCTTCTGCCTCAGACACTTCCTCTCCCTTCGTGGAGTCCAGCGTGTCATCTCTGTAGTCGTCCGCGGAAGAGCTGCTGTCTTTAGTGGTGTCAAACGCGGTCGACGGCTCCTCTTCTCCACGGCGAGAGCTGTCGATCCGAGAAGCTTTCTTCTGGGTGAAGAAGCTGCTGTCAAAGCGGGAGGAGTCGTCTTTGCAGGAGCTATCGTCTTCGACACGAGAGGACTCTTCTAATAAGGAGCTGACATGAAGTCTAGAGGGGGTGTCAAACTCAGACGAGTATTCGAAACTTTCTTCCTCAGTCGTTTCTACCCTGCGATGAGGATGTGAGGACTTTCTGAAAGGTGTCTGCTCCTCTTCATCCGCACAGGTGACCGTGCTTTTCATTCGGTGCTTTTCAGATTCCGTCTTTTCGTTTTCAGGCTTCTGAGCAGGTGAGGGGATTGTGGTCTGCGAGGGTTTACCTGGAGGATTTGAGAGGGGCTGAGGAGTGAGGGTCTCAGATTTTGTGGTTTCAGCAGCTTCTGCTTCCTGTGCCGTCTTTACGATGCCAGAATCAAACTGAGACAGATGACCTCCTGGTTTCCCGTTCCTTTTCACCTCTTTCGTGTAATCACTGTGACCGTGGTGCTCTTGCTTGGGAGACTTTGGATGAGGAGAAGTGGTGTCAGGAGGAGGCTGCTCAGTGCCAGTATTTCGGACCGCTCCAGAAGGCATACCCGTCGCTGAAAGCACAGACACCAAGGCAGGAGGGCCGGACATGGGTGCAGTCCTGGAGGCTTGAGTGGTTAGAAGAGGTAGGGTGGACAGAGGTCGGATTGTGGGGCTTTCCTGGGCTGGGGGGAGGTTTGTGGTTGCAGGTGGTTGTGGTGCTGCAGAGGCAGCGGGAAGATCAGAGATAGCAGGTGGAGGAGTGTCTGCCTGACACTTGGATGTGGCCGCTGGAGCTTTACCGCCAGCTGAAGGAGATTTCGACGCTGATGCAGGAGATGTAGACGTAGATAAAACAGGTGGTGTTGAGGATGGAGGTCCTGGGCTGAGGGGGGGCTTGTGTATTGAGGGAGTGGACAACAGTTTGGGGGGGCCAGGCTTCTCATGTTGACCTCCATATTTGTCTGGAAAGCACGGTGTCAGCAGAGGCGGCTTGGACCCTTGAACCATCCGTTGAAGAGATGAGATCGGCGCAGACACTGAGTAGGAGGATGTGGGCACGAGGGCAGGAGGGGAGGCAGGTCTAGGCGGGCCATAAGCAGTAGGGGGCACTGTAGACTTGTTCTGATTAGCGTCTGACTCTGAAACTGAGGAAAGAGGTGCGGGTCTAGATGTTTCAGCTGAATGAGGAGGTGTAGAAAACTTTGGAGGTGATGCAGACAAGGAGGAGAAGGAGAACCCTGCTGATGGATGCTTGGATTCAGCAGCGGAAGCGGGAGGCTTGGGGCACTGCATCATTAGAGGAGGTGTTGAGATCCGTGCTTGAGCCTGCGATGCTGCTGTAGGGGGGCGCGGTGCAGATGTGGGAGATTCAGAGACGGCAGGAGCTGCCGAGCCCTGCGGAGGTGTCGAGGCCTTGGTCGTGGATGTCGACACTGCCGCAGGAGGCATCGAGAGCTGAGAGGACGCGGGCTGAGGAGGCGTTTTCATGGCCGACTCTCTGACAGGAGAAGACATCTCTGGCCGCTGCAGAACCGCTGGCTGCTCTGACGGCTGACGATAATCACTTGTAGGTCCCACGGGGTTGGATGGGTAAGCGTCAGATTTGGACAGCCTCTGGGAAACAGATGATCTCTCTGTGCCATTAAAACTTGAGTCTACTTCTTTGACGACTTCTCGTGAGTGCCCTGAGGAAAGAAGCCAGGAAACAGTCGATAAAAAACAAGAAAGTGTTTGTCGAATAGAAATAGAGGGCATACTTTCATGATGAATCTGAGGTGCATGCTGGTAAAGGATTATACCACAAAAATTACACTTTCTACATAAAGACAAATGAGGAGCAGGGGTTACTCCTTGCAAAACACCATATGGACTTGTTATACAATTTCACAGCCAAACACTGCCCCCTGCTGGTTGAGTCATGGTACTACACTACAACTGACGACAGGTCTCATGACTGATCCCATCTCCAAACATTCACATTCAACTCATCAGTCTGCTGGACATAATCTTCACACTCAGCTCTTAAGATTTTATCTGTTCAATTCTCATTTGAGCGTAAAACAAAACCGCCATAAGTGAATCATTTTGATGTTTCGCTTGTTGCAGTTTCTCTAAAAATGGTCAATTTATTCAGGTTTGGGTATCCTCTCCTGTAAATTTGGGGTGTTTAAGAGTTTGGTGAAAGTTTGTGGCAGAGAGTCGATTTTATACAACTGTTCACAGACATTAAAAAAATTATGAATATGTCCTGTTTATATTTCAAGTGTCAATCCTCTTGATGTTGAAGTGGCATCACCAATCGGTCATATTATAATAAGGAGCAGAGGATCACCACAGCCTAATTTAAATTCAAATCAACCACAGGAAAGCCGTCCATTTTGATTTTTTTTTTACTGATATAGAAGAAAATCCACAATGCTCGTCTGCAGGAGAAATAAAGAGGATAATGGTTATAACCATCTCTTTATCAATGGAAACCGAGCAGATGATTTGTGATTAACAAAAGGCTTTTTATTGATTTGTTCATCTCATCGCCCATAAACGTCTGAGTGGTGTGTTGGGAAAACTTTTTAATGCTTGCTGTTAGTGCCGGGTGATTCCACCTCAAATCAATATCACAATTAATTCAACGTTTTATCTCGATTACAATCAATGAACCGCTGATTTATTTCATTTGATTTGTATTTGGTCTGCGAGTTTCATTGAAACGGTTTTTGCTGTGAATATAGTTAAATGTTAAAACTGTAATTTTACATTCAAAGAAGAGACACAGCTTTTTTCTTTGGTACAAGATGCTGAAGTTACTCAGTTTGACTTCTCTAAGTTGCAGACTGGACACTGGGATCAGTGGGACTACGCAAGGGGTGGCGTGTTTTTAAGGGGACAGAATGATGAAAAAAGAAATTGAAACAGTCGACATGAGGCCAGATTTTGCTTCCAAGTGTCAGTTTCAAATAATTTCAAATGAACTGAGCAGCCCTACTTAACGTGCAGGCCTCACACTGCTATCACTGGCGTTTCTGGTAAAGACAGTGACCCCTCTCTTTCTAGCTAAAATGCAGCTTTTGTTCTTGTCTTCAACAAACTTGCTAATGTCCCTTCAACACTTGGTTTTTGTTCCTACTGAGCAGCCCCACCCCTGTACGCTCAGACTTCGAGTATGCAGGGGTGGGGTTAACACAGACAGACAGGCATCTCTCAAATGCTTATGTTGATGTGAAGAAAGGCAGGTGGTTTATCTAATGCGCGGGGAAAAAAGTTGTAACACTTTATTAAAATTGTAATCGTAGCCGGCTAACACATGAAGGGTCTTAAAAGCTCAGCTGGTACTATCAAAGGGGGAAATATGAAGTTTGAGAAGAGAACTGTTTGATTTAAGGGGAAATAAAACTTTAAATGGAAGTAACCAGTTCCAGGAATGCAAATAATGGTGATAACTTCTTTTAGAAAATGGAGAAATACACAATAACTGACAGGAAATAAATGAGTCGTTAAGTTTCGAAAAGGTTGCCAAAAGGGTAAAACGGTCACCTTGAATGACAGAAGACACTCCCACAGTGCTGGCATGGGGGCTACGCTCCCTGCAGTGGCCCTTGGGTGATCCACTCTCCTGCACTGCTGATGGTGCTATCACTGATGCTGAGGATATCCCCACAGGAAGGGGGCTGCCAGAACCCCCCCTCCCCAAACTGTGGTGCTGTGGGCTGCCACGAGGGGGAGTAAAATTCTGAGCAGCAGGTGGGATCATCTGGGCCTGGCTTTGGGGCTGAGTCTGCTGCAGCGGCTGCTGCTGCTGAGGAGACGGTAGGGACGGGTGCTGGGGTTGATGCTGGTAGTACGGCATCCCATTAGGCATCATGCCATAATGCTGTGGTTGCTGGTGCTGCTGGTGGTGTTGGTGTGGATGGCGGTGGGAATGGAGGTGTGGCTGTGACGGTGGGTGCGGTGAGGGTTGTAGAGACTGTTGCTGGTGATGCTGTGACGGTGTAATTCCAGGATGTGCCTGACTCTGATAACTCCCATACAGACTGTGGGAATTATAACTCATCTGCTGCGGGCCAGGGTTACTCCTGTTCCAGTACTGACCCCCAGTCAGAGGCATGTTCGGTGGGCCTCCCACAGAGGGCTGGTGGGAACCTTCAATAGCCCCATTCAGTTGGTACTGTCCATGTCCCTGGAAGTGGTGCTGTGACTGAGGCTGCACCATGCCAGGTGCAGGCTGCTTCTGATGCATCCCGTGCCCAGGAGAAGAGCCCATAGCTGGACCATACTGAGGGTGCCCTCCCCACAAGTAGTCATAGCCCATGCTGCCCTGGTGATGGTTGCTCATGTGTGGGTAAGGAGCGGTTGGTGGGTTGGAACCAGGCATGCCAGACCCAAGTACAGTAGTGACGCCATTCACATTCATTTCGCCGTTCATATCTGTGAAGACACAACACTGGTCAACTTCAAAGGTCACAGTTCATGTTAGTTTAAAACAGTGTTTGATAATAATGGAAGTAGTTTAGATTATTTTAAATGTCTGAAACCACTTGTGGCGGTGAGATGACCTTCAGAGATGTCCCTAACTAAAATCCAAACTAGGAAACTACAGTAACCAGCTCAAAATCTAGGATGGCTGCTCCCTGAATCAACAGTAGAAAAACCTGTTTAATGTGTATTAGGAGCTTGTCACGTGTAATTAGGGCTGGGCAATAAAACGGTGATATATATCAAAAATTAATTTCCCTCGATATCGATATGAAACGTGATCAATATGCTTTTCAATAGTCAGCAATCTGCCATGTTTTGGTAGACTATACGAATAGCCAATGAAAAGGGGAGTTGCTCCAGGTCTGCGCCACGCTGAACCGAACATTTTGTCCGCTTTCTCTAACACAACACCTTACGACAAAACGACCTCACAGATGCATTGCAAAAAGACATGCTACCAATTTCATTTAACAGTAACAGTAACAGGGAACATTTAAGATTGACAAGTGATTTATTTATATTGTGATATTTATCGATATCGACTGATATGAAACAAATATATTGTGATAAACTTTTTCCCATATCGGCCAGCCCTACATGTAATTAAACTAGTGATGTTACGAGATGTGCCGAGGCTTCGAAGCGTGTGTCAAGTAATGAAGGGGGCGTTTACGCGAAGCGCGTATCGAGGCTTGCTTCATGAGTGGGGGAGCCAAAAATGATGACGTCTGAAGCCTTGTTACTCGGCTGTACCACGTGACTGATTCAAGAAGCAGTTCGCAGGTTTGGCGGATGATTTAACAGGCAGCAAAACTCAATGGAGTCCCCCCTACTCACAATCCATAGACTCGAGACTTGTTGAAAAGTTGTTTTTAAATAAAAATACCATATTTTTGCACTATAAAGGTGGTAAGGCGCACCATCAATGAACGCGTCTATTTTTATACATAAGGCACATCAGGTTATGAAGCGCATTACGCCAAACAAAACAGTCAGATAAGTCAAACTTTATTTAACTCATTCAATAACTCCGCCAGGCTGCGGTAGCTGCAGTGCTCCAACAAGTCAAAATGATTTCAAGTGCGCCTTATAGTGCGAAAAATACGGTAAATAAAATGTTTTTGTGTTCTATATTGTCCCCAAAACAAAAGTACGAACAACAAACTAAGTAACACAAACACATTCAGATCACAACCCTCTCCATAATTTAGGTCCTATTCCCCTTTTTGACAGTGCAACCGTGTCTTAAAGACAGACACTATATTATTAACTTCATCATTTCTGTATTGTATCACAAACACGACATCACATCCATTCATTCATTCAATTCAAAGCCTAACGCCAGTGTTGTTTTCATGACGATTACGACAACGAAAAGAACACTGCAGAATATATGTTTAGCGTTTGACTGACGAAATGCTCATGAATTTTGCAACTCTGTTTGTCGTCCACCACTAATGTTTTCGTCTACTCTCATCAACATAAACGCACATTCGTCTTGTCACATTGTTTCACACTTCAAGAGGTTCATCTCACCATAACTACTTTTAAGGTAAACAGAGCGCATCCTGAGTACACATGTATAGGGCAAAATCAGTAAAGTCTGCTTTGTCCACAGAGGGCGCCAAAAACAACACCAACCAAAAGTTTCCTACAGGAGCTTTAAAGTACTCACTCTTCCCCTGCTGAGGAAAACTCATGGAGGACCCGTTAGTGTAAAGAGAATCCCCTGAGGAGAGTTTCAGTCCTGAGTTAGCTGAGGAGTGGGTGCCATAGTTGAAATGATTATTTGACTCCATCTGAAAAACAAAACAAAACAAAAAATGAAACCAACTTTCAATATCCACCTCCTGCTGAATGAATACGTGCGAGTTTAGGGCGGCATAGATATCCGAGCTCCGTCTGAATCACTAATTCATTGTTTGAACTATTAGTCACATTCATTCAGTTTTTGTGCGCCACGTATTAAGGAAAATTAATCCGTGAAATGTCGCTTGTTGTTCCAGCACCATTTCCTCTTAACAGCAGCCGTCAAAATGTCGCAGCCAACAGCAGCAGATGCCAGGCCTTAGCGTGGGGATGTTACGATAGACGCTCATCATTAACGCTGATGAGGCGCCGCTAAAACAGGAGCACATCCTTCCTCCATCTAACCGTGATCAATGCTCGGCCCAGGCAGCCACAGCCACACAGACAGGATCCAAGACCCGGCGGCCTCGGCCCACTAACAATAGGGGGGATTAACGAGAACATATTGCGGCCACCTCGAGGCCCGCAGGACTGTTCCTAAACATGTCGCTGTTTAGCAGTTTCGTCCCCTTGTAACACAAAAGTAGCCCTGTATGAATTTCCTATTCAACAAGGCCACAGCAAAAGCAGGCGCCGTGTTAGCTCAGTTAGCTCATTTTCTCATATGAACATTTTGCTTCAAAGCGATGCTAGTCGGCTGTGTAAACGCTAAAGGAGAAGTTTAACACAACAAAGAGTGATATAAACATATTAGAGAGCCAAATATGTTTATTAAGAACATATAAAACGCTCTTTTTCCAAGGTTGAACTTAGCTGAGACACGCTCGAGAGATAGCTGATAGCATCCATAAGGTATGCCCAAAAGCTGCGATGTTAGCTTATAGCCAGGTAGCAGGTACCGCAGCCACGCTGGTCTAAGTGTACGCTGCCCATCATCGGTGGAGAGCGCCGCGGTTGAAAACTAGTATCCACCGGTGTGTGGATATTAGCTAATAGTAACTCATTCAGACTCACTTGTTAACAGATGGAGGCGTGCTCCCCCTTTTGTTCACGGGCTAACGTTAGCTAGCAGCCTGATGAAGTTACATTGTTTACGCTGCGCGCACACAGACACAATTTTGCAGAGCAGCATCATCATCTGCCCACACCGCCACCATCAAAAGTTTCGCTCATATTTCACATAAAGCTGTCCAACCTTTCAGTCCTGGGATTTCGAAGGCGCAGAGGCTTCTAAACCTTCGTCTAAGCGGATACGTGGGTAAGGATGGCACACGGGTAAATAATAAACAATTATTCCCTAACCTTTGGGTTTTAAATTAGCAAACATGGCTGGTGTGGTCCAGTGCAGCCATGATCACAGAACAGAGCGAAGAGCAGCGGCGGAGAGTTAGCAACAATAACAACGCTCACATCCGGTCAGAGGCCGCCAGCAAATTTCACAAGAAAAAAAATGAAGAACTCAATCACACATGGTATACATTTTTAAAATGTTTAACCTGAACTCTTCTCTTTTATACAAATTAAATATAAATAACTATCTTAGTCATCAAAGCACAAAATGAGCTCGTATCCATATACTTTTAACGAACAAACGACTTTTGAATCACCAATTACTCATTCAAATTCTTATTTTATTTATTTGTTTACCTAAAATAAATGAATCAATAAATAAATTAATAGGTAGATTGATAGATGGGTAAATAAATAAATAAATTCGATTCGTTGGCTACTTTGACGATAGTAACGGTCGTTAAGCTCATTATCTCTCGACGGAGGATGCACATTTGGTTAATGCAGTTTAATAGATGTTTCTGACGGTTTTACCAATAGAAAATATCTCTGTATTTGTATTAGACAGTATTTTACTTGAGTATAATATTTAAGTGGAGCTACTTTTCTAAGACAGTAAACTGCGTTTGTATAACTCTGAGTTTGGTTTGTCCCAGCGCTGTTACCGTACCTGTACATTGCGTATCTAAATGTATCTCCCTTTGATCCGCATATAAACTATATTACAGTAAAGTCAGTAGAAAGATATGAAAACTTACCTCAAGTGAGCTTTTAACTCGTCCATGCCAGTGTATTTTCGCTTTTATTTTAACAACGTTTTAGGGCGACAACAGGAAACTGTTCTTGCATATTTTAGTCAACTTCTTAGAAACGAAATGGAGGAAATAAGGCCTAAAGAGGAAGTATGCTAATTTTCTGGGCCGAGAACTCCGGATGCTTCGGGGTCCTAACGCCGACGGTTTCAGGTACAGAAATTCTTTTAAATTTAAAACCAAAACCAAAAGAATATTTCCGACTAAAATCGTAAAAAATGGTTACATTTACACAGAATTCAAAACTAAGAGGGCCAGTATTGTAAAAAAAATAATAATAATAATTGAATTAAATAAAACAAGTCATGACTTTTTCTAAACTAGAACTCAGGTGTTCAACAATCTTTAAAAAGTATTTCAAACAGCTATAACTACAAATTCCTTGGGTTGCTTTAAAACGATCAATATATTTAAAAAATCTCGACTATGTTAAGACACACAATGAGGCTAGAGTTGCAGAATTACATTTACAAGTGTAACGTAAAAAACAAACTTGATAACTTAAAACTACATTTTACAAAGTTTCACATCAGTCAATTTTCCAATCATGAATGGACCTTTACCAAACCTAATACCTAATAATAAATAATTATGATTTTATTTATAACACGCTTTTACGGGTGCTCAAAGACGCCTTACAAAGAAAAATAAGAAAATATGAGAAAAAGCAATTTAAAAAACAGAAAATTATAAGAAATAAAATCAATGACGTAAAAGGTTTAAAAAAAGACACAATAGAAGAACAGATTCACAGGTTAAAAGCCAATATAAAAAGGTTTTTTTTTAAGAGGGATTTAAAAGTGTGGGCATAAGTACAGTCTCGGATGGGTTTGGTGAGTGAATTCTAGAGGGTGGGGGCGGCAAGTTCGGTGCTTAGTCCAAAGGGGTAGAGCAAGAAGATTTCCCTCTGAGGATCGGAGGGCACGGGAGAGGGTGGCAGGTCTGTGCGCAGGAGGATTTTGAATTGTATACAGTATGGGATGGGGAGCCAGTGCAGTCTTTGAGAACCTGAGGCAGTTTGTGGCCCTTATGTTATCTTTGTCCAGATCAGTGGTTCTCAAGTCCAGTCCTCGAGGCCCACTGTCCTGTATATTTTGGATTTCCCTGCTCCAACACACCTGATTCAAATCATCAGCTCGTTATCAAGCTCTGGAATGGCTTAATAACGAGCTGATCACTTGAATCAGGTGTGTTGGAGCAGGGAAACATCCGAATCATGCAGGACAGTGGGCCTTGAGGACTGGACTTGAGAACCACTGGTCTAAATTTTTGCTTTCACTTACTCCATAATATATGTTAAATGAAGTTGCAGTATTCCATTACAAACCTAAGATAAAAGCATGCTATATTTAGAGGACCTACAAGAAATAACTGAGAAAAAGGGATTTAAAATGATTCTTGAACAGTTTATTAGAAAGATGTAGACAATAAAAAAAAAAGAATTTTCACTGTAATTCGTCACCATCGTCTCCCCTTACATTTTATTGACAGTGCAAATATAACTCGTCATCACACGTCAGTTAATGTTCTGACGCTCCCTCGCGTAGAAGGGAGAATCACTGTGGATGAATGAACGAAAAGGAAAGAACCTGGAGAATAGCAACAAACCACATGGTGCTGAGGTCCAACCAAGCTTCAAACCTCACTATCAGATGCAAGACATTTCACCTTGTTTCTGCAGCCTAACATGAGTGAGCATGTTAGGAGGGTACGGAGAGAGGAAATCTTAAGATATGGAATGTGTAGAATTTACTCAGATTACAAAATAGGCTCATAACCCGGAAAATGTAAATTGACTCTGCGATAATGTCAGAGTATTCCAATTGAACAAATATTTAACGAGAAGTGGAGGGAAACATATAAGCTGGTAGGTTTAGCCACGAGAAATAAAGACCGGCTTCCTGAATATCTAATTCACGGCACATGGAAGGCTTCAGAGGAACCCAATCAGTAAATGCATCTAAATCTCCTGAAGTACATATACTGTGTCTTCATCAATTATGAAATAAAACTACACCCATCGACTAACTTAGTACAACATTGGGAATGAAGTGGGCCTAATCATTACAAACCGCGCTTCATTAGAAAACAATTTTTCTTAACATGTATTGCTCATTTGAGGACTACTATACAGCTTTTCCAACAAATAATGTGTGCTTACTTGTAATATTTAACAGTAAAACAAGATACCCAAAAAGGTGCAGTACAGCAAATGGAAGTGGAGATAGCTGCTCTGTACAATACCATGCATATCAACCTTCAGTGGACTGATCGGTCAAGAGTTTGGAGCTGAGGCTATGGATTTAAATATGGCTACTGACTCATATGTACACTTTGTCACTGCCTTCAATTTTCAGATATACATTTGTCATGATTCCCCTGGCCCTGCGTTCCTCCGTTTTCTCCCCAGTCTTACAGTCTTCTATTCCAGATCTGGCATTTCTGAAAGAGAGGAACAACACAAGACGAATTAAACATTGAATCACAACAACTTTCTTTTTCAAACACAAAATTAATAAGCTGTCGTACTGAGTAGAAAGCTCAAACACTTACTCTCATCATCGCTATCTGCAGAATCATCCTGTAAAAGATAAAGGAAGCGATGAGGTTTGAAATGCTTCCTCTGACTGAATGGTTCAACAAGAGTTCACAGAAGAAAGTTCACAGCTAAATCCTCAATGTGCACCTCTCAATGATCACTAATAGACAGTAGAGGCCTGTTGCACAAACTCTGTAGAAGTTAAGTCTCAAGTTAGGATGCCAGTTGCACCATGTGGACATAAGGTTCACCTAAACTGGTGAAGTGACGCATCCAAACTAACCGAAATATTGTTGCAGAAATCATGTTTCCACCAAACTTAGATCATCTTTAAAAAAGGAAGGTTAAGTGTAGACTTATATATGCCTGTATACTGCTTTTATATATGCTAAAGGTGGAATAAAAGTGTGTAAAATATTGTATGACAAAGCATTATTATAAAAGACAGTAATCTACAATGTTATAAGTGGTAAAACTGCTACAATATATTGTGTTGGTGGTGTAAACTCCATCCTGATGCATCAAAAATAGGTAAAAGAAAATGAGTTCTTACGTCATCTGCACCATCTAGATCAGGTAGGTCGTCCTCACCTCCCATGTTGTTCATCATCTGCAAAGTTGAACAGAAAATCCACCATTTCATTTATGATGAAGCCAATAACAAAACCAATGCTATGACATGAATAAGACTCAGATGTGAGTCAGGTTTGTCTCAAGAAAAGGTTTCATTTGATCAAAAAGTAAATCCTTAGTCCTCAATTAAGGCCCATTAAAAAAAAGTGTATATGATTTTGGGTGTCAGTCCTTTTCGCATTGCATTATCAGCTCCAACCAGCCGCTGAACTCAAGATGGTCAAAAAAAACCACCTTTATTTTAAATCAACATCCCTGTACACAGCTCCCTTTCCTCATTCCTGCTCTAGCATGCTAGATTACAGCTACTCTTCCTCTTCTCCCTGTGCCAAGAGGGAGGAGCCAACTCAGGAAGGTGTGTTTGCAGACAGGAACTGACAAATCCCATTCATTACACCTACAAGTTTGGTCCATAGGTCAATCAGATTTGTCAAGCTGGCACACGGCGATGACACAGTTACACAAGTGAGGTGAGACGAGGTGTGATCAAGAAGCTGGCAGCCAATTACTTCTATTTAAAGAGGCAAACAGTAATACAGCAAATAATATGAATGACCGTGAAACACTGTTCTGTGGAGGTGAGACGGTTTAAACCACCTGATTAGAAAAACTATTTTATTAACAGAAAAAAATAACGTTCTGGAGGGACAAACTGTTTATAATTTCCTTGATTTTCTTTTACACCAAGAATAATATGTAGATTCACTAGATGGGCCTGTTTGTGTCTTTAAAAAAAATCAATGATGTCAAGTGCTGAGGTCTTCAGAGGCAGTTATGAATTAAATCACTCCCACTCATCAATGCACAGTGCTTACATCTGAGAATTGATCGAAGTTGCCCATCTCCTCATCCGAGTCATCCTCCCAGTCTTTCCAGTTGTTGAAATCGACGCTGAGCCAACTCAGCTGTAGACACAGAGAAATTCCTCATTACGGCATTTGATATTTTTTACACATTTAGACATATCTATGGCGATCCATTCACTTTTCAGACTTCTCACAGTTTTGGTTTTGTTTGTGACCGACCTTCGCTTTCTCTTTTGTTAGTCTTGGCCATGCCTTCCCTGGCTGTGCTTTTCGTAAATAGCACAACACTGAGCGATCTGTGCGTTTATGTTTGGACTCCTGTAAAAAAAGGAAAAACAGACAGAAATGAGGTTGATTTTTTGAGACTGCACAGACTAAATGTTTTAGAGCAATATTACTCACAGCTAAACTAAACTTACATTCTCATCAATGGCTTCAAAAAGGTCTATTTCATTCTCATGTTTGACGTTGTCAGTTCCACCAAGACAGCTGCAGAAACAATAACTCGTGGTTAAAACTGTCAGATAAAGTGACAAACTGAAAGTAAACTGTGCAAGCAAAAGACACAGTCATTTTAATACTGAACAGAGAACTAGAATGAGAGACACATACCTGAAACCGCACTTTGTTTTATCAAAATTGATTTTAACATCTTTGCTGTCTGCTACACAGAACTCGATAAAAACAGAGTCCCTCCTGTCGTACCACTTGGCAGTAGCCGGATGCCTGTTAAAAAATGGAAAACAAAATATAAACGACTAGTAACAAAAGGGAAGCTGTTTTTTTTTCACCCAGTCTGAAAAACCACATTGTAGGAAGTCGATCAGAACGACAATCAAGATTTCCAACATTCCCCAGTACAGCTTATCAGAGACATAACTTGCATTAAAAATATATGAAACAGGTCAGAAGTGCAGACGACAGATGGGTTAGTAGTTAGGCAAAACAGCCTGCCACCAAACAGCCTTTGGATCATGTTGCCTCACTGCATCCAGTTACACAGAGAGCTCTTGTATCCAGAAGCCTTTATAGTGCAACATATGTGCATCCTAACAAAGTCCTGCTTCATCATTACTGCAATATGAGCATTCATAATAAACATCACCAAGGTCTGAATCTATCACAATGACTCAGAAATATATTATAAGTTAACAAGCAATGCTTTCTTACATGTTGTGTTTACATTTTACCTTCTGAATGAGGTTGTGGGTATCAGGGCCATGCTTTTACACTACTCTTAGATAGTCAGATGAAGCACAAGCTAGTTTTAACCACGATATAAGAAGAGAGAGCATATTGCTAATTTTAAGACCTTTTAGACCTGATATTATGGTTTTTACTCATTACCTTTTAAATACATAACCATACTACTGCCCCTTTACAAATCTGTGCCCAGCCTCACATCTGCATGCAGGAACGCCCTTAATGCTCCCACCTCACACTGGAAAGGGGACAGAGCATTTGCTGTTTGCGCTCCTCAGCTGTGGACCAACCAAACCGCCTGAGGATCTCAGACTAGCTACATCAGTATCCTTTAAGTGCCTCTGTATCAAAAGGCTCTTATGTTATTTCTGTATTGTGTTCAAGGTTCTTTATTTTTTAAGTGTCTTACTATCATTTTTATCATTATAGTTATAATTCTAAACACTGATTAATATTCATGTAGCATTTAATTATGTTAGTTATATCAAACCTCATGTCTGTTTCATATCATGCAGTTCAAATAACCCAAAATCTCAATTTTTAGAAACCCTGTTGAAACTTGTATCCCAAGTTCACCATTAAATTATTAGTAACGCTCAACTCATCCAGTGTTACCCACTTGCAGTGTATATGCAGAAATCAGTCTGCTTTTGCAGGTGTAGCTATAAGAGATCAAGAACATGGAAGAATTGGCTGTTATAATTTAACCCATGGCAAACGCTATGATTTGTTACTGATGCTGGATATTGGATTTCCAATAAAGAGTTATATAAACGAATGAGGGCTGGGCGATATGGACCAAAAGTCATATCCCGATATATTTAGGCTTCATATTGCCTAGTTTCATGTGCTTATCTTATCGCCTCTGATTGGCTATAAGTGCTAACCATTTGGCTTGAGCGTGTGATGGCGTTTCTAGTTTTTCTAGCCAATCAGAGGCGACAGAGGCAGGACTTTCGCCCCCGGAAAGTCGCAAAATCGCATCTAGCTTTTTGTGTATAGTAAGGCGTGTCAAAATTCTCCTCCCGATATTTCGTAATTTCATGTTCTATATTCGATTTGGCACAGTGTGTTAGGACCTTAATAATCGGTATCGGCCCCAAAAAATCCATATCGGTCGGGCCCTAATTGATATATCGCCCAGCCCTATGGATTTCCAATAAAGACTTACATAAACTAACTAGCCATGATATTACGAACTGTAACTGTACCACATATTTAACTTTTGTTAAGTTTCTCACTCTTTTAATAACATGGTCATATGAGGGATTATCACTGAAGACGCAATAAGTGCTGTAACAAAAATCTCAATAAATCACTCCGATTATGCACAAGATTTCCACGCATGGTTGTACAGTGTGCTGGCACTATATTCTTCTCCTATTTAACTCAGGCCTCGCAATCCAAATCCTCTTAAGAATGATCAGAGACCAACCCCGGCAGTGTGAGGAGGCTCCCGTTATGTACAAATGACCAAACAACTTTGTGATCAAGCCAACACCAACACCATCATCATCATACATTTGACTTAAATTTAAGAGAAGACGGTTTCGACTATTTTATGACTCCAGAAGTACACTACATGAGTCAAACCAATCTGATGAAATCCCTCCTAATGAAGTGGTTCAATGAACACTCTGGTAGCTGGTCAGGCTAACATCCCTGACGCTCTCTACTACGTTCATGGAGCCATGCGGTGCGCCTGATTCACCCTGTGGGCTAAAGTAGCGGCGTTCACATGTACAACCAGGACGAACTAAATCCTCGCAATAATACACTCTTTTCATCTATTTTGAAATATATGTCTCAGACTACTAGGTTTTCTATCGTTAGCTTGTAGTCTACTGAGGCGAGGCCAACCTCCCGCCTTTGAAAAAGCATGTTATCACACGGCTAACGTTAGCTAGCTAAAACAGGTTACTATCACATTCCCCTCCGTTGTGCCCTTAAATAAACTTTCCACAACTTACATCTCTCCACGCAAAGCGACCTTTTTTTCGCAGTTAAAGAAGTCTTGAGAGGAAAATAATGATGGTCGCAGGAAAAAAAGGGGGGAATGCAAGCAACAAACAGGCAGTGCAATGCAAACGCCTCTCGCGGACTCTGGATTACTCCGGCTCCTCTTGCGTATGTCGGGATGAGAATGGCGGCGCTGACGTAGGTGGAGCGTAACTAGACGTTTCTAGAGCTTTTCATCCACAGCTGCGAGTGATGTGAAGGAGGGAGTGTATAATCTGCCGTGGACCACGTTTAATGTGATTTACTGTACCACTCAGTGTTTGAGCACCTCAAACAACCTTATCCCTGGCTGAACAGAGTTGTCAAATAATCACAGGGGTCCATTTTATTTATGAAAAACCACATATTTGTATTTGACAGGCATGTGCTCGCCTCTATTTCTCTATTTAGGAGTCAAGCCTCAATGGGGCCTTAAGCAAAATTTGAATTTTGGGCCCTCTATTTCTGCCAATATATTGATTTTTGATCATTCGCACACCTACAACAGTAAAAATTTTGAAATGCAAAATTAAAAACATGAAATAAAACACCAAATGTTTTTCCCCACATTCTTGACTATCTATCAAATCTTTCTTACTCTTGAATTTCCCAGATTTTCGTTGCTCATTAAGGACATTTTAAATAATGGTGCGAAGGTTTACATTATTATACTGAAGGAAATCTGCAGACTTCATACTGGTGGGCCAATAATAAACAAATATGATATGAGCCTGTGAGCCAGATATAATTGTTCCACGGGTCAGATTTGGCCCCCAGGCCTAGAGTTTGACACCTGTGATATAAATAATACCAATGAATGAGTGATGAATGATGTTCAGGGTGCCACATATGGTTTTTAATCTCAAAATGTCACACATTCAGCTACAAGAGTGGCCTGCGGTTGATTTTCACCACATTCCAAGTGATAAAGCCAACTGAAAACTTACCTTTTTAGTCTTGCTTTTAACTAAATTTTATATCATTAACCTTAAGTGTTTTAGCATTTATCTATTCTCGTTTTAGTCACAGGATTGTCCTTTTATTAAGCTATTTTGGTGCTCTTATTTTAGTATCTTTTACCGTTATTTTTATTTCTTTTATTTATTATTTCTTAAATTTCATTCTTTGTTTCTAAACCTCGAGTGTTTCCTTATCTTGAGTTTTAAAATGACGTTTCCTCTTTCCACGAAATCAAGCCCTTTTAAGTTTATGCATTTTAATACATGTTTCTGTTGCAATTAAATCTTGGGGTGGGAATGAGGGGTTGGGCTGGGGTAGATTTGGGAAGTTTTTCCTTGCCACTGTTTATCATGTTATGGGATGAGATGGGCAACACATCATCTGGCTTTCATAGAGGCATTGATGGAACGGACAGAGTTTGGGAAAAAGCTGTTTTGCAGTCTTTTTGTCCTGGTCCTGATAGCCCTGTACTGTCTGCCTGACGGCAGTAACTCAAACAGGGGGTGGCCCGGGTGGGATGTGTCCTTAATGATGTTAGTGGCTCTCCTGAGGCAGTAAGAGCTGTGAAGGTCCTCCAGTGTGAGCAGAGAGCACCCAACGACCTTCTCAGCAATCCTAGTGACCTTCTGGAGGTCTTTCCTGTTCCTCACTGTGCAGCTGAAAAACCAGGTACAGAGGCAGTACATGAAGATGTTCTCCATTGTAGAACGGTAAAAAGACACGAGCAGTCTCTGGCAGATGTTCTTCCTGAGGATTCTCAGGAATTATAGTAATGTAATAATTACAATGTAATGTAATGTAGTAATTATTGGGAGTCCAGATCCAATAAGTGGTCAAAACAAATGGTACCTCTGAATTTTCCAGTAGCCTACATCCAGGATGATAAATATTACAATCAACCTAGTTATGTTGTCTAAAATCAATTCCCATACCTGAAGCAAAGATGAATCAATCCACTTTTATTTGTATGATAAACATATCAAGACAAAGGCTAATCAGCTGATCTGGACCATATTCTTTATTAAAGCTATGCACTTGTTTATTAAAAATTTGGGTTGGAAAAGCAGCATTTCATGTCTAACTTTATGTATCGGATCAAATATTCAAGTCTACTAAAAACATTTTTTAAGGGCAGGCTGACTTCTTTGTTGAGAAGATAATTTTGCAAGTTTCATTCTCAGTCTTCCATGAGCTTGGGTGTAACTGATTATTTGTCTTTGATTAAAGGTCATTCATTAAGGCCAGGCTAAAACAGAACAGGTTAATTTTGCCTTGCATACTTGGATCATCTCCAAAGAGGACAGGTTTTACAGGGTGTGGCATTATTGTCTCTGAATGGGCAGAGGTTGACTGACACCATGCTGAAGGTTTGGTGAAGTTACTTAACCTCATGTACCACTAAGTTATGAGAATCAGTGATATTCAAGCTACCCTGACCCAACAAGTCTTGCTTTGGGACACACATACAGACACTAAGAGATATGAAAGGATGGAACTGTGCAATGTTGAATATGTGTTTGCATCAGATGAGCAAAATTGAGTTCAGTTGAGGGTTTATATCTGACTCAATGACAAGTGTATTCAGTGATCCAGTCACCTGCCTTATTACCAACACACCAGTATTTTTTGAAATGTTAGACAAATGATGACAAACAACAAAATTCCATTTCAAGCCACAACTTTATTTCCATCTTGGGTATAAATTGTATAAACGAGCTTAAATCAGCAACCTTTCTCAAACCCTTCCAAGGCAGGGTCCCATTACATTGTCAACTCCTGTGAAAAGAGCAGAAAAAGTGTCGAGTTAAAATAATGTGCAAAGAAGTTCCCTCCTTCATTCAAACTAAGTTTTCTCTTCTCAGGACAGAAAGGATGGCTTCAGTATACTCAGAAGAACGAAAGTCACTGTGTTAATCATCACAGAAGAGGTTTTCATTTACATCAATCTACTAAGATATATAAAAACATGTACAACCATTGGTAAAGATTCTGGTGTCTTACCATAATAGCATTGACGATGTCGTTGTTGTTGTTTTTCAGGGCGCGTACAGCCTTCGCCCGCGACACGTTGGCTTGCGACATGACGAGTTCAATATCCTTAACCTCAACTCCGGTCTCATCAACCTGGTAGAAGACAAAAGAGAACCATTACAGCCAACGGGATTCAAACAGGGCCAGAGTATTTCCCATTGTTCCATGCCCAATGTCACATCATACCTCTTCTTCTTCGCTCTCCTCCTGTACTGTTGGCGTCTGTGTGTTTTCCTGGATATTTGATACAGCTTCTCCCTGTACCTTGAACTTCTCTGCGGCTGCCAGCTGGGCTTGCTGGGAAAGATCTTCAATCTACGGCAGGACAGAATGGAAAATGAAAATGAGGACACTTCTACTATCCTTACATCACTAACATGACCATGTCGGTATCCTGCACCCTCATAAAAAGATTAGAGTAGACATGTTAGGACATGCATCATTGTGGCTGACGTTCTCGGACATACCTTAGCTTCACCGAAAACAATGTATGTGTCTGATGCAGGGCTCTTGTAGACGTCTGGTTTGGTAATGACGAACAGGATGTTCTTTGATTTGCGAATGGTGACCCTGGTGACCCCTGTTACCTGCCTGAGACCAAGCTTTGACATTGCCTGTGAGAAGAAAAAAGTGTAAGGTTTATAATTGTGGCAATTTTTTCAATCACAGAAATCAACGAAAGAGTTAAAGACATTAGTGAGATAATTACCTTTCGTGCTTTCTTTTCACTGCGGCTCTGTTTGGCTTTGCTGACAGGTTCCTCATCTATTTCAGCAGCTGCTGCAAGCTACAACAGACATCAATATTTTATGTTAAAGGAATCAAGACAATCTAATCATGAACTAATAAAAAAACTGCTGATCATTGTGTTCTCATTTTCTCTTCTCAGGACAGAAAGGATGGCTTCAGTTGACTCAGAAGAACGAAAGTCACTGTGTTAATCATCACAGAAGAGCGTCTGCCCAAATGCTTAACATTTACAGCACATGTTGGGCTCTAGTCTGATTCACTTAAAGTCAATGATGGACACAGTATTAAAGATCAGAGTGAACTCTCACCTGAGCTTGCTGTGTCTGTGTCTGTGCAGAGTCCTGTTCCTCCAGCTCAGGGACTGAGTCATCGCTGTCTGACTCAGTGCCGGATCCTGAAGAAATCAGTCACAGAAACCAACTTTAGTCACAAAATGCCACCTGTTACATTTCTGGACAGTTGCTTGTAAGTAAAATGTGCTGCATCATTCCTGGGGAACAAAAATTTGGTTAGTTAACTTTGACTCAAAAATACCATGTCTGTTACCTGAGCTGAACTAAACCCAACTCAAAAGCTGACTAAGTAAGCTGCAATAACCAAGTTTTCCTTAAATGAAGCACCAAATTCAATACCCACCTCCTAACCAGTGCCACATTGCACAACTTAACATCTTCATTCATGCTAAAAACTCACCAGCACATTTAAGCTATGAGAACAATTTGCAATTCAAAGTCTCTCATGTTTACTAGGCAACCCAATTTTGTTTTTACAAATATGTCTGAGCATCAGGTCCTGCAGAAGAGGAACAGTTGGAAAAAACAGAAGACACACAAAGAAAGAGAAAGACGGAAATACCCTTGTCGTTCTTGATCACAGTCTCCACCTTGGCTGGGGTTTTAGCTGGAGTGGGGGCGGGTTTGGGTGCTGAGACAGGCTCAGCAGTTTTATTGATTACCTCTACCTCGGGTTTAACTGGAGCAGGTGTCGCTAATGCCTCAGCAAATGTGAGCTTACGTGGGGCTGGGGCAGGAGCAGCAGGCTCAACGGGAGTGGGTTTGGATGGGGCAGGCAAAGGCTCAGCTGCTGGTTTGGTGGGCTTGGCAGCCTCAGCAGGTGCAGCCTTGACCTTAGCTGGCTCAGTCTTGGTAACTGGCTCAGCAACCTTCACTGGGGCTGGCTTAATGGCCTCAGGAGCAGCTGGTTTAGGAACCTCAACTGGAGCAGGTTTGGCCTCTGTGACTGGCTTATCAGCTTTGACAGGGGCAGGTTTGGCCTCTGCAACAATTGGCTTGGGAGCCTCGACTGGGGCAGGTTTGGCCTCTGCAACAATTGGCTTGGGAGCCTCGACTGGGGCAGGTTTGGCCTCTGCAACAATTGGCTTGGGAGCCTCGACTGGAGCAGGTTTGGCCTCTGCAACAATTGGCTTGGGAGCCTCGACTGGAGCAGGTTTGACCTCTGCAACAATTGGCTTAGGGGCCTCAACTGGAGCAGGTTTGGCCTCTGCCACAATTGGCTTGGGAGCCTGGACTGGGGCAGGTTTGGCCTCTGCCACAATTGGCTTGGGAGCCTGGACTGGTGCAGGTTTTGCCTCTGCAACAACTGGCTTAGGAGCCTCGACTGGAGCAGGCTTGGTTTCTGCCACAATTGGCTTAGGGGCCTCAACAGGAGCCTTTTTGACCTCAGCCATTGGTTTCACAGCTTTGATGGGAGCAGGTTTGGCCTCTGCAACAACTGGCTTGGGAACCTCGACAGGGGCAAACTTGACTCTAGGGGCCTCAGTGGGAGCTGCTTTCACAGCCTCAACAGCTGGAGCTGGAGCTTCAGCAATCACTTTAGCACCTTCAGCAGGAGCACTTATTACCGGCTTGCTGCTTTCAACAGGGGGTACAATCACTGGCATTTTCATAGACTTCTCTGGAGGGATAAGCGGGGGAAGCTCATCATCTACAGCAGCAAGAACAGGAACAGCTTTTGTTGTAGGTGACTTAGCTTCCACAGGTTTAAGAGGGTTAGCATCAAGGGTACCAGAAAATGAAACTGGAGCTGCCACAGCAGGCTTTGAGGTAACTTTAAAAGCAGCTGGGGCTGCAACAGGCTTTGCAGCAACTGGTTTGCTTGGCTCAACTGGGGCAACTACAGTTTGCTTTTCCTCTACCAGTGTTTCAACGGCTGCTGTCACCTTGCACTCTGCGGGTGCAGAGACGGGAGCAGGCACAAAAGCCTCTCCTTTCTTCGCTTTTCCTTGTTTGCCAGCCTTGACAACCTTTGGGGCGAAGCGGTTAGCCTGATTAGCACTGCCAGGGGAAGCCGCTAGGGGAGATGCTACAGGTGAGAGGGGGGTAGTTGAGGTAGCAGATTTTGGTGAGGTGGGAGAAGAGGAAGAGGCGGACATGGAGGAGCGTTTTCTTCTGGCAGGGACAGCCTTTGGGGCAGAGGAACCCTCGCCACTTTTAGCATCTTTGCCTTTGGGCTTTGCAGGACCTGAAGCTGCTTCAGGTTTCTGGGAGGGAGCTGGGGCAGGAGGTGTAGCTGAACAAAAAAAATATTTCTTTTGAGTTTTAAGATGAGAAAGGGAAGGTCGAACTCATGCGGGTTATATGATCAAAAACCAAGGCGCACTCTCCTAGATGAAGGTTAGCAAAAAGGACACACCAGCCTAACTCGAAATTGATTTAATACGCCACTCCGGATGCAAAATGCATACTAACTACTCACAAACAAAAAAGATCATCCAATATTAATTCACAATGCTCTAAAAGTAAAGGAGGAATTCAAATGAATGTCACCACAACACAACAAAAATATCCCACTTACTCAAAGCTAAACCCAAGTCCACAAATTCATCTACAAGCCCTTCAAGGCAAAACTGGCCAACACTTTTCCAAAATACATTATATAACTGTAATTGATTTAGTTATCACATGAGGAGGTGAAACAACAGATATAAACATCCATTTTTAAAGGAAAATCTAAAGGTCAGAATACATCCGGGTCCACCCTGACACGGTCAGCAGGACAAGCAAAACGGTCTGATATGGTACCCCTTTATCTGAAATTGAATTAAAAAAGAAAACTGTTCCCCTTCAACCAAAGAGGTGCATGTAAAAGTAAGAAGCCCCTCTTTTTCACATGGGATAAACCAACCTGACAGGTGGTGAGTGGTAAGAGTTGGGCCGTCACATTTCGAGGTTCCTTTTGACTGAATGGCTTTTGAGAGAAGTGTTACCGGATCTTCTTTGTTGGGTTTTTCGTTTCGAGAAGCCGCATCATCGTTGACAGCAGGCAACACTTTTTCTTGAGCCACTTCCACATTGGTCTGTTCTTTTACCTCAGCCTTCAGAACGTCGGTTGCCGTCAGAACTTCAGTGTCCACACTGACACCTTCAGGGGCACATTGTGCTGGACCATCTGGGATTTTTTCTGGCACAGCTGCTGGCTCATCTTCAACAGAAACCTGTTTCACTTCTTCGACGGCTGTTTCTTCGGCTGCAACGACTGCCTCTTGGACAAGAGCGGCTGCTTCAGAAGCCTGCAGCTCTTCTGAAGATATCACAGGAGCTTCAGTGGGCGGTGCTGGCTCCTCAGAACTAGGTGCTTCTGCTGGAGCAACTGCTGGTTCAGAAGAAGGCACAGACTCTTCAGGAACTGGTGCATCAGCTGGAGAAACTGCAGGCACAGACTCTTCAGAAACTGGTGCATCAGCTGGAGCAACTGCAGGCACAGACTCTTCAGGAACTGGTGCATCAGCTGGAGAAACTGCAGGCACAGACTCTTCAGGAAGTGGTGCATCAGCTGGAGCAACTGCAGGCACAGACTCTTCAGGAAGTGGTGCATCAGCTGGAGAAACTGCAGGCACAGACTCTTCAGGAACTGGTACATCAGCTGGAGCAACTGCTGGTTCAGAGGGAGGCACAGGCTCTTCAGGACCTGGTGCATCAGCTGGAGCAACTGCTGGCTCAGCAGGTACCTCTTCTAGTGAAGTTTCCTCTAGCTGCTTCACCACTTCTTGGATTACTGCTTCCCCATTCGACTGATCAACAGTAGTCTGAATGCTAGTGTCTTCTGAAGAGCCAATCTCCTGAGCAGAAACAGAGGTTTCTGAGGTGTTCTCCGGAGGGGTTGTCTTGCTCAGTGCAGGATTAGCTGTCTCAGGAGGAGAACTCAATACTGCAGCTGGTAAAGGACAGGCATCAGGAGTCACAAGAGGAGGGGAAATCACAGAAGTTCTTTGGGAGAAATTCACTTTCAGTGTGTAGTCAAACCAAACAGTGCTCCACACGTGAACGGTACCCAGGAATGTGTGAAAAAGTTTGGCGACGTGGAAGTGACTTTTGGTTTGCCCATGTTAAAAATTAAGAGTGTTAAGTGCACCTAAAGACAAGAGGGTACCCGTGTCCCATCTCCATGCAGTGGTTTAGTGTGAGATATGTGCCAAAAGATCTCTATTATTCAGAGACAGCAGACAATGCACGAAAAAAAGTCTAAAATTTAAATTCTTGGCACAACCCCAACCCCAGACCTCAAATATCATATCAATAAAATCAATATTTATTTATCAAAACCTGTCTCAATACCACAGCAACAAGAACCAATAACAGTAATGTTTAATTTTATTTCAGAGACCTAAACTCTACATTGTGGTGGTACAGAAAAAGTCACTAAACTCAGACCAACATTCGACACCGTTAATAGTAAAGGCAAACAGAAGGTTTAGCTGCCTGTAAAAGACTGAAATGTAACATTTGTGTTGTTTAGATGCTAAAAAGGACCTCACAAACATCGGTTCTCCCAACACTATGAATGAAAAAAATCAGCATCACAAAGGCTGAGACAGGAAGGAGCAAATAGGAGCACGACCTCAGAAGCAAGCAAAACCAGATCTGGCACCTCTCTGCATGTTGTGTGCAGAGATCAGGGCGTATCCTTAAATTCCTCTCAGCATCATCACTGTGAAACAGTGTGGAAATAACTTTATTTTACCATTTTGGTACAAGATTAACCTTACCTACACTCTTAATTCCATCTTTCCTTGAGGAAGCCTCTGGTTAAAAATGTGAGTGTTGATCAGTTATTTTTTACATTGGCTCTGATGAAACCTTGTCCTTATTTGAGAAGTGTCTAAAACTACTAGGGAAAAAAGCGGCAGCAGTCACATCACTCAAGTTTGTTTTCACATGAGCACTGTGATGTTGAGCTCAAAGTAAGTGCGCAACATTTTCTTTGTTAGCCCTGTTCAGTAACTTATCAAAAGCTTTAACAATGTCCTCCCACATAGCAAACTAGCAGCAAGGCTCAATGTGCAGTTTGATCTTGCCTTTCATCAGCCAAAACAGATAAACTTACAGGGGCACTGAAAAAAATTAAAACTTCAAAAATAGATCAACTACAGACTAAAACTGAACGCAGACCTATATCAGCGAGGTAAGACAGCAACTTGACAGCTGAAGCCATTTTTCTGGAGCTGTCTGCCTCTGATCAGTTGAAATCCTCTGCCCCACCCATAAACATGCACCTCCACCTACCAAGAGATCCCTAAAGAGGATCACTTCAGTGTATTCTGGTGAAAGTTGATGTCTAAGGTCAAAAGAATATGTAAAATTATATAAAGAAATGTGTGGAAATCTTAACAGTAATTGCGCTGACTTCCAAACAGTTAAAGTTATCACCTATTTATCAGCTTTAAGACAATTTTAAGATACCATCTAAAAATTGTTCATGCTTCTACTTACAACTATAGATAAAATATATATTAAAAATTTGATTTAAGCTTATGTTTAAATGTAGCAAAGACTGATCTGTGCTTTGACTCAATAACAGTGTCTGCACAGTGAGTTTATTGTGCACGGGGGAAAAACCAAACTCAACACCATGCATTGTTTGCTAAATCCCAATGTCAGTGCTAGTTCACCACACACCATTGTGAGTTTGTGTAAATAAAACAGAGGGGTCCTGGATTACTCTTTGGAGACTAGAGGGGCAGACCAGCAATCGAAATACCTCAAAAAACCATTCTACATTTACATCTGTCCCGTCTAATGGCTAGTGACAGTCAAAATAACTGCCAGCTGTTGGATCAACTCAGTTTCCAGCCAGCTGAGTAAACACCCCATACCAAATACTGAGAATGCACAGTGTTGGATTTTGCAATATCAAATGCAAACATCTTCAGTGTCAATAAATATAAATACAAATCAATGTGTGGCAATATTGTAAGCTCATAGCAGCGTGTTTTAAATAGCAGTAGTTAGCTTTTAAGCCTTTTAATGCTGACATCTACATTATACTGACAACACTGTGCATCCCCACCAAATAAACAACAAATCCTGCTGTACTGTCCCTCTTAATTTACAGATAAAGACTGTTTTTAAGTCACTTTTTAGAGTTCCAGGACCCTGTTTGATATGCAGGGTAACATGCATGTGTGTAAGAGGCTGAAATATACGAACCAGTCTCCACTTGAGGCTGCTGCATCTCCTGCTCGGTCACGGGGACCGTTTCTGTGGCTTCACCGGGCATGGTTGCTAAAGAGGAAAACAGAAAAGGCAGAGTTATGCCACCGTCTTCAGGTGTGAAGTAAGGGGACTGTAATCACATCTGAGCCCATGACTCGGAGTTGTCATGACTGAACAGGTGACGGAGCCCACGCGTGAACTCGGCGTGGATTCTCACGCATAATGCTAATGTTAGCACCGACACAGGGTAAGCAAATGGTAACATTAAGAGATAAACAAAAACGGTCTTACATATTTTTGTCATATTTAACCCTTGTATTTCAGTTAGTAAATGTAATGTCATAATGCGGCCCTGAACGGCAGCTACTTCACTCGTAATCATCATGTTCCCCCATTTTGAGCAGGTAACGGCGGAACAACGGCACGAATATCACGAACTAGCTGGACCGAACAGGTCAAATAACCGAACCTTCTTAACCACAGATCTTTACGCTTTCATCTGATATTCATGCAGGGGATAGGAATATTCGATAAACGGCTGGATGAAGTTGGATTATCAACGGAGACACTCACCGACTTGGGACGTTATATCCAAGATGGCTGTAAGAGAGGACTTCTAACCCTAGTTTCACGGTAATATCCGGTTTGGAGCGGAGACATCTTCTTCCGGGTTGTTTAAAGGTACATTCCGTCGATTTTGATGCGTTTACGTTTAGTAATTGTGAATTTGACGACTACTTCAGGCACAAGTGGAGTATTTTACACAATTGTGAACTAAAATGTTTATAAATATCAGCAAAATTATTACCCTGTCGTGTCAGGAATCTTTAAAAGACCCTAAACAGACTGAAATGAGTGCTGATACCTCTTAATAAAATACAAAAGCAACCAATAACAACAGACAACATAGACAATAATCTATTAACTGAACTCTTTGAGTATTTTTCTTTTACATTTTGTGGAAAGCTCCACTGAAAGGTTGTAAACTTGGACTTATACTGATGCTGCATTATGACCTGAAACAGCAAAACAGGACTATCAGCAGCAAGACTGAGTTTCTTGTAATTTTTCACGATAAAACAGTTTGCAGCTGAAAGAAATACTGTAAAGGAAGTCATCATAGCCTTTATATAATCAGAAATGACTTGTATAAGGACCCCTTTTTGTCCCTGCCCCTGTTCCTAAGTGACAAGAGGCAACAAGTGATCCAGCATCTGGATAATCAGCCCAGGTTCCCTTAGAGATCTGCTCTGTCCTCTTCTCCACTGAATGCATCTCTGGGGACCCCTCTAATAAATTCCTGACATTTGTAGAAAACATATTCCAGAACATTAGAAAAAGGGTTCAGCTTAAGTTATAGCTCTTGTAATTTTTCTACATCAGATACTATCCAACTTAAGTAATAACTACTGAAATAGGAAAGGCAGAGCTCAGTCCACAATTAGTTTGCTTGTTTAAAAGAAGTGGGTATCAGAAAAAGCACACAAAAAAGTCAAATTTATCAACTTCAACCTTTAAAACTTCTTCTGTTGGTGTGCAAAATAACTGGATTACAATTTTCTAAGTGTTGAAATATCAAATTTATTTTCACAAAGACTGTACAACACCAACATGTGGGGAAAAAAGTAGAAAAAGAAAATAAAAATCAGCATTTTTTAGAAAGTCAGACTGTCAGGATAGAATAAAGTCTTGATTTTTTAACAAGAGTCATACATGTGTACAAACAGAGCGAGTTATTACTCCCAAGGGGGCGATCGATGTCCCTCTTCTGATTCTTGATCCTGTTTAAAATTCTTTCTTGAGATCTAAAAAAAAAAAAAAGAGTAAAAGGAAGTTTACTACACAATTAAGTGCAAATCTTTGAAAAAGAGATTAATTTTTTTGGTTAAAAAACAAACTCACCGTTTTTTCTGATGAGTTCTCCTTTCCAGGACTGTGCAATTCCATCCAGAAACTGATCAAAGTATTTCACATACTTCGCCAAACTTGTTCTCTTGTAATCTGGAAAATAAATAATGAGAGAGTTATCACATGAAGTTCACAATGTGGAACTGGACAGTGTTGATTAGACTGTTATTATTGCATATACATAAAATAAAAAGAGTAGCTAACACATTTTCATACTTGGGAGAGTATTAGTTTTAATCCCAATAATACCAATCCATTCTAACATTCATAGGAACTTAATTTTCCCCAAGACAAAAGTTTAAGTGTAAAAAAAGCAAAGGCAAAAATTCATTTTCACCTCTGATCTTCCGTTTCTCTGCTGCAGCGGTCTCTTCCTCCTTCTCCTTGGTGTCCTCTGATTTCTCCTCCTCTTCTCCTGCCCTGGATCGATCCAGCTCCTCACAGATCATACTAAAAAATATATATAAAACAAAAGCTCCAACACGTGTCACACATTCACATATCAAAAAGCAAGATGTTTCCTTCACTCTTACCTAATTGTGGGCACAGCAAAAGGATCAAATGTGTCTAAATCCTTGAGGTCCATGGGGACAGAGATGCGCCCTGAATGGTGCCAAGAAAAACCAGAGGATTAACAGTGAAACATCACTGCCATTGCCGTCTTGACTAGATTAGAGCCATGCTCACCAGTTTTGGGATGAACACTGAAAGGACTTTTCAGCAAATGGTTCACTCCTTTACTGACGTTCACATCCAGCCGTGGGTAACAATACTGCAGCATGATTTCCTTCTCAAAGTACTGGCCCTTTTTTGCAGTTGCCTGAGGTAGACAGAGTATGATTGCTGATGTTTGTAATCCTCATTGCATATTTTAAATCAATAATGTTAGAGAGTTAAAGAGGTTAAAATAGCTATAATTCTGTTTTGTGTAAAGCAAGAATAATCCAAACCTGTTTCTTTTCGGCTTGGCCCTCGATCAATGCCCAGCGGGTTTCAGGTTTCCTCTCATTCTGGAAGCGCTGCTGTAATTCTTTTCTTACATGTATACATAAAGTGGGTCAAGGTCAAGTCTAGCTGTTGTTTTGGCAGAATTCACATCTTCTACACACACATTTATGAACATATTAGATTTTTATGAAAATGCACAAATTCTAAGACAGGATATCTTCAGGTACGAGCCCCAGCACTTTATTTACGGAGTCCTTGCGGCCCAGAATGTCCTGATCCTGTAGAGCGTAGCGGGGAAAGTAGTGCTCCACCACCGTCAAAGATTCTCTGTAGGGATTAAAATTACTCTTAAACAGTTTATCTGACAAAGTTATCAAAAAACACCCAAAAAATATCATGTGACTCATACCTGATCAATGGATGAATTGGATCGTTCAGCACAACTTTCTTCACCGTCTCGTCACCTCCCTATAAAAACATTGATAAAGTCAATCCTAATATCTCTCAGATCCAGAGCAGGGACTCATAACAAGTTATATACACTGGAGATCAAAATTAGAGAACAACTCATGAACACTTGACTTATTCTAAAATATTATGATCTTCATTGCTCAACATTCGAGGGCTTGTTTGTCGTGGCAATACTGTGCCACTAGAATAATATTTTACAACAAAACAAGGAATTTTGACAAATTAAACATCATTTTGCAGAAAACACAATGATCAAAATTAAAGAACAGCAATGCTTGTAGCACAAAGAAAGATTACAACAAAATTATCAAAAGGTAAGGACAGTCACACATTAGTAGGAAGTGTACAGGCCTTTGTAAAGATGTAATGTTCTGGAAATCACAGATTTGTAAAGACCAATATTTCTTGCTATCACTGACAGGGTCATCCCTTTGGCCTTCATCTGGACCACCTGTTGCTGGAGCGTTTCAGTAACTTTAGAGCGGCTCACCATCTTGTAAAGTCAGTGAAAACTGGAAGTAAGACAGCCAATTTTTTTAATCCGAGGCTGCCCTGAACGCATCACTCCGAGACGTGCAACAAACACTGCTTAAATATAGTTTACAGCGTTTATCAGATTTGGAAAGACCAATTTCTCTTGCTATTGCTGACGGGGTCATCCCTTCGGCCTACATCTGGACCACCTGTTGCCGGAGCATTTCAGTAACTTTAGAATGGCTCACCATCTTGTAAAGTCAGTGAAAACTATAAGTTAGGCTGCCAGTTTAATAGGGTTAGTCAGATAATTAAAGACATACGCACCAGGTGCCAGACTAACACTCATAACTGGGAGGTATCTTAAAGAGTTCTCTAATTTTGATCAGTGCTTTTATGCTTAAAATTCAGCTTTTTTACTAAAGTTTGGATCATTTTATAACAAAACAATGCAGTGAACTTGACATTTAGGAAATCGTGGGTTGCTCTCTAATTTCGATCTACGGTGTAGTTAACACAAAAACAATCTCAAACAAGCTTATAAAGATCTGTTACCTTAACCAGGCTGAGGTATTCTGCAACTGCAGAGCGGGCTGCCACTGAGAGCTTCCTCGCAGCTTCATCACACACCCAGCAATGCACTCCTCTTCTTCCAGAATAAACCCACAGCAGGTGCTGGAAACCAAAGTCCTCTAAAAGTATCACAAAGAAGAAAAAAAAGGGTTAAATATCGGTTTGTTCAAATTGAATAAAAAAAGGCTGGCACAAAATTAGGGGGCAAAGAAACCTCTAAGAGCTCTGTCCAAGATCTTAATGGCGATGGTCATCAGGGTCCAGCACTTGGAGCAGATGTCCGCAGCACTACAACAACAACAACAGTTTCAGAGTGTGATTCATGTGGATAATCAATTGACTCTGGGAATAAGTTGCTTGTATGACACACAAATGTCCTTTACCTGCAACAGCTCCTGACATCATCATAATCTGTCATATCGATATCAAACACCAGCTCCTTCTCCAGAGCCTGGAAGGTTCCTGACTTCACTGTGTTGTGTTGATTGGGCTGTAGAAATGACAAATGAGGAGGACTTTATCCAGTTGGCCTTTTGGACAGTGTCTGTAAAAGCAGGTGCATGAAAACTCACCCTGTGACTGTATATAGCTCCAATATCGATTTTGTACGGGTTCATCTTCTGCATCTCCTTCTCCAGATCTGCTTGAGTGCTGAACGACTGGTAGCGGACGTAAATGTCATCTTTGAGGGTGAAGGAGAACTCTCGGTTCTGGAAATAGTTCTTGTGCACTAAAGGTAAAAAGGAAAAATACTTCTTATCATGTTTGTTTGACCTGCAATCAACTACAGTGTGCTAGCTCTGATAGCATGCGAGTTTCCTTACCTCCTCCATAGTTTAGCCAGCGGTAGTACTGGGAGAAAGGGAACAACCGTCGGTAGTACAGCGGCAATAAGTCCGGTAAACTGGCCGGGTCATAATCTGAAGACGGCATTATCTGGCAGTTTGCTGTAAGTGTTGCGTTAGAGCAGGTTATTTTTGTTAAATCGCTTGTTATAATCCGCTCCTAGATGACACTTGGGTATGTTGTTGAAGACAGCGCGGGAAAAAGCTCAAGCAAAAAGGAGGACCAATGACAAGAGGTTCTGACAGTGACGTCATACAAATGCGGAAATTAGGTCGTAGTTGCCGTTTGAAGACGACCTTTTCTCGAAAATATACATCTTACGGACAAAACTATATACATAAAGCCATGTATAAATTACATAAAACTTAACTTAAATTAATTCTGTTTTAAAAGAAGCCTCCCATGGCTTTCATAGCGAGTCGTATCCCTTTAAGCATCTTCCTATGACGAATGAGGATGCCGGGAAGTGTCGCAAAAGGTGCTCATGGGACATGTAGTCATTTACATACTAAAACATATTCGAAAAATGGGACATAATATTGCACAAAGAGCACAAAAGGAACACTATATGTTATATTCTGATCATAAATATATACGATTCAAAATTAGTTTCTGTTTGTTTCCAATGAGACCAACGCGCAACCGTAATACAGTCAGATATGGACAAGATTTATTTGACTGAAAAATGTTAGCACTCCTGTGTCGACAGGTGTAGCACACTGGCTGTCTATATATGAATATAAAGAAATGTTTAGTACGGAAAGAGTTAGTTGCGAGATTCATCGTAATTTCAGAGATATGTCTGTAATTTCTTCTAACGGCCTCTAGAGGGCAGTAATATAATGGAGGCTTAAGCAGGGCTGGCACAAAGAGCAACATTTCAGGAGATGAAATGTTGATTTGTTAATTGCTGGTTGTCATGATACTGAAAAGGTTTTGATTTTGTCTTTCGATGCAATGAAAAATAAACAAAATGGTTCTCCTATGTTTTTATTTCTTTAACCAAACATGGTTAGAGGCCTTAAATGCAGCGTCCAGATATGGATATCTTTATTTTTACTTGATAAATTTGGTGAAACTGTGCCTCCCTTTTCTTGGATACAGGTGTGGCTATGACATTTGAAAAGGACATCGATTTGCCTTTCTAAAAAGGCTCAACAACCGGTCTGGGTGGTTCACACAGTCTACACCAAACTCTACCAGACGAGAGAGGCGCTCTTCACACTAAAGGTTGAGAGCAGTTCAGCTATGAGGGCTCTTGTTAGGTATTGTACTTTCAGATGTGAAAAACAGCACTCCTCTGCATTATGCGTATGTGTTATTTTATTTGATTAAATCTGTAATCTTATTCAGCTAGTTCCCTCACTGTTACTGTCATCTTTCTCCATGTAAAATTAAAGCTAAATGCAGAGTAAATTACAAGAAATCTGCACGCAAAATGTCTTTGATAAAGTTCTTAGACATCACATGGATAAAATTAAGAAATCTCAAGATGGGAAATAATGGCAAATAATGAATCACTTCTTGATTATCTTTAACTTTTGTGCACAACTGATGTGTCTGTACTGACACATCCCATTCAACCATATATCTTTTCCTAAGTGGAAGCGGGATAGACACTGACAGTGAGGACTGGGCTCTGTCATGCATTTAAATGAGCATAATATGTGAAATATCTGTGTGCTGACAGTAACAAACGAACGTATCTTTTGTGACATCACTGAGCTGCCTCTCTTTCAAGAGCAATTAATAGAGAAAACACCAACAGCTTGATGATAGCACTTGTATTTATGGTAATATTCTCTGAGCATGCCCTCATTTACATAATGCAAAGGCGCCCAACCACATCTTGACAGCCATAGGGGATTTTTTAATGGTCCTGCCACAGAAATTACTCGATACAGACTCGTCATTAACACTCATTGTCTCTCTATATCCTCTGTGGATTTTCCCACCCATATGCAAACAATATTAATGTAAATTGCTGTACAGAACAGCTTGTGTGCAACTGACCCGTCACCGTATACATCACACAAGTTCAAGTGATTATTACCGTAATCTACTGAAAAACACACACATACTCAGCCAGGTAGCAAAACTTTGACAATAAAGTGGCACCTGTAACATCCACAACCCTACAGTAAAACTTCTATTATGCCTCAACAAAAAAGATAACTCAACTTATTCAAAACACATCCCAAGGCAACTTTAAGTGTACCCTTTAAGCGTCCATTTAAGCCTGAGTCTTTAGCTCAGTTTCTTTTCGCAGCAGTCAGCAGGTGCAACGATGTTCAGATTCAGAGTTATACACTAAAGCATCAAAGAGTTCCACACAACTCACCATGCTCCACTTCCTCTCTGAATGGCTAACACCCTTGAATTCTCTCTGCCTCAGACTGATGAAGCCATCTGTTGTCCGTCTGGGGCTGGACAGCCAGCTCAGCCCTATATATGTCAAAAAATACTGTACATGTTATCTAAAGTTGGGCACAGGCAGAGAAAGTCGTATGTTTCATGCAACTATTTTTAGCTTCCCCACAGGGCTGTATGACACAATTGTATGACACAAAAAGAGATAACATTATGATCAAGTTTAGCCTAGGTAGTTTTAATGAAATTCTCACCATCAGTACATCATATATAAACAAAATCAGATGTAATATATTCGTAATATTTCTATTATTGGGATAACTATAATAACATATAGCAAAAACATATATAAATATTTATTTTTAATATAAATTTCTGCCTCATGTTGCCATTTTAGATGTTTTTAACAAACCAAACAGTTTGGAAATCATGTGCAACTTAAGTTATGTTGAATCGAAAGAGCATTTCTGTCTCTCCAACTGATGTAAAATTACTGCGTCAACTTTGTAATACGTACTTGGTCTCACTCACAACGAGTCTGTTAGCCAAGTTAGACAGCTGATAAACACAAGCACATCCACAAAGACTGTCACTTAGATGAAAAATATAGGCTGTCATACAAGAAATGAAAATTTTGATTGTGGTCTCGGCCAAAGTTAGCCCTTGCGTGCGAATAGCCGTGAAACAACTGTGCTGCACGATTAAGTCTTGTTTCTCAAAGAAAATCTGCCATTTCAATATGTCCAAGCATCCCGACTCATAGCTACATTATTAAGATCTGTAACAAACGAAACTATTTGTAAATCTGTCCAGATTTTAGCGAGTTAAGAGTATTTTTGATCATGCAAATTACTCACCTTCCGTCAGCTACCATACAATGTACCAGAATGGAATACTGAAGTAAGATGGCAGCCGTGTACGGACGCTGTGACTCCGCCTCGATTCATCTAACCTTTCTTATATATGTCTATGCTCTTCACAGACAGGACAAGACCTCTGACCATGTAAAGGAAGAAAACTAGTATTCCACTTTTTAGTTGCGCTCTCTGGTGGCAAAGATAATTGCAATGTGACAACTAACCCATGTGACAACAAGCCCCGGTCTCCCCTACTTGAAACCAAATCTACATTCCCAATCTTGGGCACACTTTATGACCTATGCATATTATTTATGAAAGCACAGTTGTCAGATTTGTGGGGTAATAGCTCTTTTTCAATGTTGATAAGACGGTATAAAAAGTGTCCTGACAGGAAATAATTAATCACATGTATCCTGTTTGATTTTAAACTTAATCACTCAAGTTATATTCCACCTCTGGACGTCGATGTTTGTAATCTCTGTAGCACATGATTCACCATCCACCATTACCACCACATAACAAGACGCGGTCTCGTCTCGTCCACCGCCCGTCTCCTCCTCCGGCTCGCACCCTGCGCTCATTGGTTGGCGCGACAATATAAAATTCCGCAGTGATCCCTTCATTGATTGCTGCTCTGCCTCACTCGTTACTCACATACTGACAGAGCAAGTAAGCCTACACAGCCAGGGAAACCGAGAGGGATCTACGCAACTTCACCACATCATCCCCTCTCCTCTGTTTGATAGAAACTCTTATAATTCATCATGAAGGAAAGGAGACTCACACAGCCTTTTGTCGCGAGGTGTAAACTCGTGCTGGTCGGGGACGTCCAATGCGGTAAAACAGCGATGTTACAGGTCCTGGCTAAGGACTGCTATCCAGAGGTATGAGCAGTCATTTATCATGTCTTACAATGTATTTCTATTGATTATTCAAAGATATAGCTCTGGTTTCCCTCTCATGGAAGAGAATTATTATTATAGATTTTTTTAAACATGATGATAATATGCCAGATAGACTCCAAATGCTGAATGAAAAATAGTATTTTTATTGTTTTATTGTGTAGCTTTACCTGTGGAAAAGTTAATTTCAGGGTGTGATTTCATATTTTCAGCCAACTTGATTCATTACTCAATGACAGCTGTGGGATCCTCACAGTATATTATATTGTAGCACTGTTATACCTATCATCTGGTTATTTCTACTGGGTAGTTTAGTGTCCCTATTCTGCAATTTATGATGTAATTTTCCATTTTTATTTCATCAATCTTGTCCTAACGCTTGCCTGTATTTTACATTTCTAGACTTATGTCCCCACTGTGTTTGAGAACTACACAGCCTGTCTGGAGCTTGAAGACCAGCGAGTGGAGCTCAGTCTTTGGGACACATCAGGTGAGACACATTTGATTTGTTACCGATAGTTTAACAGTAAAGAAAGACCGTGAGCTCATCTCTCTCGACCAATTCGAGAATCTCAGCATGTGCATTCAAGCAGTGAGTCAATAGGTCAGTTTCAGGAGTGTGTATTCCCACCCGACGACACAGTCAGCCCGGAGTCGAGTGACAACTCATTGTTTTACAAAAACAGAGTTGTTGCTGTTTACCTCCACGCCACTATCTGCCAATCCTGTTTTGATGAAGTTAAGCAGCTTTTCACTGGTGTGAAATCTGTTGAGAGATCTTCCTTGGTGAATTGTGGCAGGCAATAACAACAAGTCTGTCTTGTTTACCCACAGCGCAACTGGGGACAAGACCAACAATATAACATCATTCATCAGTATGTTTAATTTATGTGAATTTCTTTGTAACTCAAGGCTTGAGATTGAAAAACAACTTAAGTTTCCCATATGTCCTCTGGGCCAACGTAATATACAGATATCTGGTATGAGAGGATGTCATCATACTTTGCATTTTGTATGTTATGTAAATCTGTGTTTCTGGATGAAAAAGTGTGAATGAAACAGCACATTTTCGCTGCCAGAGCGAATAATAGATGAGCTTGAAGATTTACAGTCCCCAGCAGTGGTGCGCTCATGCTGTTTGAGGGGCAGGGGCGAGAAATAAAGGGCACCATATGCCAGTGGGCATCAGTGCAGTAGGTTGCGATTAATTAAGAACTAATACGATCTTATTTAAAGCTCTTCAGTTTGTTTTTTTTCTCTCCTTGGCACTCGTTAATCAAAAGAAAGTACAACAGCAGGGCCAGATCTAGGATTAAATGGGGGTGGGCTGGTGAAGAATTTACAGGGGGGCCCCTGGACAACAGGAATTCAGCAGGTTATAAATCCCTGATAACTATATTGTAGGTTTTTTAAGTATAGTAAAGCACAAATAATCAAATGGGGGTCTGAGTATACACCTTTAAGTAACTGTGAGCAGCTAACACTATATTTCCTGGATTCCGGTGAGTATTAGGGTCATATTTTGTGGTGTAAATTGAATAATGTAAAAGCTAGAACACTTGATTTTAATAGATATTTAATAGATATAAGGATAAAGCTCACGTTCCAGCTCAAAAGTCAATCATACTCAGGTCCCACACTCAAAAAAGAGAAAGTGGGTAAAAAGTTGATTTAAGACCTGATGAGGAACTATTTTTCATTTAGATTTGATCCTTTTAAATGCTTTATATGCATGTCACTTAAACATATTTTTGACTTTGGGATGGGTGGTAGACCAAGAGTAATATCCGCCCCTTAAGCATTGCAACCACTTGTCCCCATTATGGAAATTTTAAATGTGGGTCATTTTAAATGTTTAATAGGGCAGCCTACAAAGAATGACCTTAAATCTATAGGGGATTGTTTTTAAATAGGATCAATCAAAACGTCATGTGCTCTGGTATAGATTTATTTCATAACAGCTCTGGTTGAGGCCTTGAGTACGGAGGAAGTCGCGCAGTGCCAATTGGCCCACAGAGTCCTTGTTTCACAGGGGGGAGAGGGGGAAGCCTCGTCCATGCAGGGGGTGGAAGTCTCTGAGAGTGTGGGCAAGAGTGTGCGTTGCTGTGTTGCAGCGTTTGTGTGTGTGTGTGTGTGTGTGTGCGTGCTTGGCTGTACAGTCAGAGAGAACAGAAGGCACAAGTGAGGGATACTGTGAGAAAAGATATGCATGACCTCCTCACTGCCTTCTGGTGTGTGCGCTGCCTAAAAAAAGTCTTATGCAACTGAAACCAGCAGAGAACTAATGTAGGTTTGTGTGTTCATCTCCCACGGAGTAAAAACTTTCTGGACAGTCACTCTTTCCTGTGAAAACATTGCATAAGACCTATTTACATTTTCAGCACACAAACAGAAGATTCCCATCACCCTCAAGTGTCTGTTCTTCTGTCTCATTATTGTACTCTGTATGATCTTTGATAAGATATTAGGACTGGGGGTGAAGGCTGCAAAAACAGCCCTACTAGAAAGAAGCAAATTCTTCTTATATTTAATCAAATAATCTTGTATCAAGCAAAAAAATCTGCCCTTTTTCGCTTGACAAGAATTCTCAAAATAAGAATAAATTTATTGGCCCTGACAGACTCAAATGAAGCTTAAAACTAGACTAGACTAGAATTTTTTCAACAGCAAGCAATGAAAACTGAAGATGAAGTTACTTAAAATGAGAATTTCTGCTCCTTGAATAAATGAGCATCAAGAAAATACAGCTTAATCTAGGATGACAGTAGTTCAAATAAGACATAATTTCTTAAAACAGCATAGCAAATATTAATGTTGTCTTAAATCAAGATACCAAAACATTGTTGTTCAGACTAGCCGACTGACATCTTTATATGTCGGATAATGTTTGAGGCAGCAGAATCTGTCAGGTTCAGATGACCTGCAATGGAAATCTTAATAAAACAAAAATCAACTGTTCTTGTTTCGTGGCATTCTTAAATTGAGAAGTTGTACATATGTCTTACTCTTAAAATGAGACGAATGATCTTGTTGCTCCGCCAGTGTTGTTTTCGTCAACCCCCCTTTTTTTCCACGACGAAGACGTGACGTTGACGAGCTAGACCTAAGTCTTAGATGACTAAAATGTGACGAGACGAATGTGCGTTTACGTTGACGAGACTAGACTAAACAGTTAGTGGTGGACGACGAACAGAGTTGCGAAATTCCTGAGTATTTCGTCAGTCAAACGCTAAACATATATATTCTGCAGTGTTGTTTTTGTTGACGATGCCGAAATATTTTTGTCGACGTTATGGTCAACGAAAACGACACTGTGCTCCACCCGATTTTATTGTAAAACATTTTTCTACTGTATTTCTGGTTCATTCTATCTCAAAATTAGCTGGAATATCTTATCACGAAAATGTTAGCCAACTTGTCTTAAAGTTGGATATTTTTTTCAAATGCCACACATAATTGACAAGATTAATTCTTTTTGTACAAAAAATAAGACTCATTTCCTTAATACAAGGCTGTTTTCCTTTGTTGAAATTGCTTTTTTTGCAGTGTAGAGTGAAAACTGTCAAGTGCTTGTACACAGTTAAAGCCCCTGAACCCTCTAAAACATATGTCTAGATTCATATTTTGATTTTATAACCACTTAAGACTTCAGGAAACTTGAGACATGAGAAAATTGAGAAAAATTGTGGATTCTTGTTTTAAAAATAATTTAAATTATATTTTACTCTTTCACAGATCTACAAGTTTTATATCTAACTAGTAACATTTACTGATTTTTTACATTCTCACATGAGCTTTAAACCATTTAGAGCAAATTTCCTTCACAAAAAAGTTCATTTGTTTCTCATTTTTCAGTTTCCAAGCACGCTTATGAAACAGAGAGCAAACTGTGTAGCTCATTGTTCCAGGTGTCTTGTGATATAATCTTGCTCTTACAAAACAGAACTCAAAAGACTTTCATGTGTACCTTAAGATTTCTCACATCGGTGAATCACTTAGTGCTGCCGCCGCCGTTTTATCCAGCACATCTTTCACGGTCTAACCCTGTCTTTTGAAAGAAGAAAGTCCAAGTTCTTTCATTTGCCTGTTTTCTTGAGATTAGAGAGGGCAGTCTCGGGGAATAAACTAATATTTGCTCAACTGAAAAGGATTTAGTGTGTATATGTTTGTGTTTGCAAGTGTTTGTGTGTCCAGGCGGGGGGCTGTCGATGTGTGGGAGGCGGTGGGTGCCAGAAGTTGTGTCCTCTTTAGATCTTTCTGCCTCCTCTTTCTCAAGCCTTACATCACCCTGGTTGGTTATGTGACGGCCGCTTTGATTCCCACCAAAATAAAATGTTATTGATAGATCAAGTTGTGTAAGTAGCCCAGTCCTACTTTTACCGATTCAAGTCAGAGATTCAGACTCTCTGAGTAAACCAGCGGGGCCTTCAATTTCACCACCTCTTAGTGATGATATTATGGTAGAAATCCTTTTTCTCGTTGTCACGGGAGACCGCCGATTTATTCAACACTACATGACTGTTAGTTAGTTCCGGTCGGGTCTTATTAGAAGTATCTATCCCTGATATAATTATACCCTTTTATATTTGCAAGGAAATCCTCTGATTCGGATGTTACCCCTAAGGACAGCAGTAGGAAATTAAATCCTAGTGCTGCTGTGTGGGGAGTGATTAGGTAGCAGAGGGAAGACAATAGAGAGCGGACATCCTGTCAGTCTGTTTTTAGCCCGAGAGCCTTCCTGAGAGTAAAAAAAGCTTCAACATAAAGCTGTGCTGTTTATGGAAATCTGAGGAAAAATGTGTTTTCTTCTCGCTGTTACCCTCAATTTCCTCAGAGAAGGTGTTGTATTCATAAGGCGGTTATAAGGTGAGGTGACGGTCAGTCCCTGTTATCAATGTGAAAACTTAGTGGATTTGTAAAGAAGTGGCCTTGAATGGCGAAAAAAAAAAGACCTTTTCATCTTTTATGTCCCTGATATAAAGAACAAACTGTACTGACATGGATTAAAATAACCTAACAACCCGAGAATCCAAGCCAAACCAACAGATCAGACAAAGAAGAACTTAAAATGCCAGTTTAGTTTGCAGGACATCTGGTACTTTTCTTCTTATTCAACTCAAGGTTTTAGGAATTAGAGTTGTGCAATCGACTAATAATAATGAGAATAAAACAGTCTGTGAGTGTTTCAGCGCTGCCTGTGACTCAGTCGGCTAGTTTTCTTTGCTGGACAAATTCTTGTCAGTGGGCAGGCGTCAAGTTTAGTGTAATTATTTGCTCCTTTATCAGTTTGGCAGAGGTGGATGTGACTGTTTGTGTTTGTACAGTGTGAAAGTGAGGAGGACGGTTGTATAAAGGCATTATAAAAGTGTCAGCAGGATATGGACATCAGTCATGAGGGTCTGTTGACGGGGTGAAAACTCAATCAGAGGTTTTTTCATTTCCAAAGATGCTGTTTTGAGCCAAGTGAACCACTTTTTTCTGCATCATATGTTAATGTGACAGTGTGATGTTGTCACTGAGCCTCATGACTTTACTGTCTGTCTGTCCAGGTTCTCCGTACTACGACAATGTGAGACCCCTCTGCTACAGCGACTCAGACGCAGTGCTCTTATGCTTCGACATCAGCCGACCAGATATAGTAGACAGCGCCCTAAAGAAGGTATCAATAACATTAATTTCATTATTTCCTGTCTTTAACTCTAATTTACTCTTTTACAGCATCTTTCATTCAAATGTTGAGATATGACGTCTTCTGTTCTTCTCACAGTGGAAAGCAGAGATCCAAGACTTCTGTCCCAGCACACGGATCCTATTAATAGGCTGCAAGACAGACTTGCGCACAGATGTATGTACACGCATGGAGCTGTCCAATCAGAAACAGACGCCCATCTCCCATGAACAGGTTTGCTCCATCACAATCCTTTCTTAAGGTCCTTACACATCGGGAACGATGCAAATACGCGACACGAAATTTCGAAATATTTGGAGGCGAATGTGAAAATACATATGGTATGTTGTATCTGAACAGGTTAGCTTACGAGCTAAAGTTACTTAGCGCAGATGAAAGTTAAAACAAAGACGTTTAGCAAAATGTTAAAGCACACAAACTATCGTCATATGAGAGATCCGGCACTATGACTCTCCACAAGTTGTCCTTCAGGTTGTTATCTTTGTAATATTTGTGTGTGTTTGTGTCTTTTATCAAAAAGCACTCTGTTCCCTGACATGTAAACAATCATTCGGTTGGCCATGTTGGATATAACGGTGAATCTGAGGTTGCAACAACACGCATGGGAAACTTGACGTCCAAAATGATCGCACAAAAAAAAAACGCTCCCGGTGTGAAAGGACCTTTCCCCTTCATGTCCATTTCTTGTCTCTTGTCTATCTTTGGTAATCCTACAAGCTCCACTTTGTTAAGCTCAGTTTTCTTCTTCAGGGTTTGTCCTTGGCGAAGCAGCTCGGAGCAGAGACTTACCTGGAGTGCTCCGCCTTCACGTCAGAGAAGAGCATCCACAGCGTTTTCCGTACCGCGGCCCTGGCCTGTGTGAACAAACTCCAACCTGCCAGTAAACCCAGCCCGGTCCGCCGCCTCTCTAAGAGACTGTTACACCTGCCAAGCAAGACAGAGCTGCTCTCTTCCACCTTCAGCAAGGACAGGTCCAAGAGCTGCTCCATCATGTGAGCGCGGCTGAGGCGGTGCTGCAAATGAGAGACAAAAGGACAAGCAGATGGTTTAGCCGGGGTCGGGGGTGTGCAAGGGAAAGAGACTCCTGCGTCTCTCTTTCTTTTACAGCATCCTCCCCAAAACTCCCAGAAAGTAACTTCTACCTGATCTATAACCAACGTTGAACTTTTTATCATGACTTAGCACCAGCACGCACAGTGCAGTGACAGACATGTTGAGAAATTTCCTTCAGCTTTCCATGTCTATACAAAAAGGGCATAACTGGCACTTTAAAGTATAGATGCCTCACATAAAGGTTTCGATGAGAGGAGAGAGGTCAGCGCTTCACCTTTACTGCTGCTGGAAAGTGGTTGTAAACACAGCATTTGACTGCATTACCCCGATGAAACCTATTTGAAATTCTGATAGCGGCTTCCTCTCCCATCCATCTCTTTAACTGAATGTCTTCTTAAGGTCACGATTCGAGCTGAGTGACGAGATGAAACGTAAAATCTGACAGTGACAGGAAGCTGTATCTACAGAAATGCGTCTTGGCGGGATTCAAAACAGTGGCTCTTGAAGATATTATCCTTCGCTGACCCCTCGCTGTGTTTCATTTTGGAAATTAAAGCTGACAACAGAGAAAAGGGAGGAGAGAGAGGGAGAGAAAAGGGAGGGATTTGGCAAGCAGGAGCGTTCATTTGCGAAGGCGGTGGGAGGACGAAGCGAGGGCTCATCTTAAGGAGCACAGTGTGACTCAGCACTCACATGAGCCACCGAAACAAGTCTGGGGTGGACATGTTGTGACAAATAATCCTAAAAAAAAAATCCAGGCCATGTGAAGACGGCCTTGTTGTGTTTTTGACAGATTTTCAACACCCATGGTTTCAGCAGTCTCAGTTTTTTCAATGCGATGAAAAACTGTCATGTTGAATTTACGTTGCACGGTCTCTAAAACAAACAAATTTCCTTCCACACGTTTGGAATTGATTTTTTTTTAGTGTACTGAGAGGAGTCTTTGTCTAATCAATATGTGAGGAGAAACAGTCCTGAGTGTTGAAGTTGGACTGTAAAAGTGAAGATCAGCGTCTTTTATTTGTTATTCAAGATGGTTCTTGTGCCGTTTCCAGTCGGGATCGCTGAATTCATGATCCTCAAACTGAGAGGTGAAAAGTTAAAGTGAAATCACCCAAACAGGCTGGTCCTGAGTGGAGAGGAGTTGTTTCTTCCTTTCTTTATGCATCAGAAATTTCCTTTTTACCTCCGCCAAGGAGGTTATGTTTTCGGTAACGTTTGTTTGTTTGTCTGTTAGCAACTTTACAGAGAAAGTTACAGACGGATTGACCTGAAATCTTCACCAGAGGTGCGTCTCAGCCCCAAGAGGATCCCATTACATTTTCGCCTTCTGGATCCAGGAATTTTTTGAAGGATTCTTTATCATTGTGAGATAGGGCAAATTTTGGAATTTTGGCATTTAACTCTATAAAAATGGCCAGAGTCTTTAGTAAAAAAATTACACAAAAGGATCTCAATGAGTTTTATGAGGTGTCAAAGGTTGATCCTGATCCAGACAAAATTCCAGATACTGTGATCCAGAACACACAAAAATAAGGGTGTCGTTGGAATTTTCAATGCTGAAAGATAACCAATCGGCGGCACAGTGGTGTAGATGGGTGGCACAGTGGTGTAGTGGTTAGCACTGTCGCCTCACGGCCAGAAGGTCCTGGGTTTGAATCTGGGTCAGGGCATTTCTTGTTTTAGGAACATTATGAACAGTAAACATACCAGTTTAAATACAAATAAAAGACACGTAACAGTAAAAGTTTTGGTGTGAATCACAACATAAGGGGGGACATGAGCTGCTTGGCGGAGGTCTGCGCTCTCCGAGTGCTTTTCTAGATTTCTGTTTTTTTGAAGTCTTTGCGACTTCCCTGAAAACTCATTTGAACATTTTCTATCTCTCGACTGTGTTTTTTCTTTATGGGTGTATCTACTTGCTCGTGGATGTCAGTGTGTTTTTTTTGACTAGATGTTCTTAGTGTATCCACTTGAGTCCTCTAGCATTAGCAGCTGTTGACAGCTCAGCTAATGGAGGACTTGATGATTAGTGGGTCTGCATCAAGAAGCCCTGAGTCTTCGGGATGTACAGAACACCAGACTTTGACGTGTTGCCTAGCAACAGTGCAAGCAAGTTGGAGGGGGGGTAGGCCTGAGGTTCACGACTGACAGAGAGGGGAGGGTCGGCTCTCTATAAGGGCACCTCACCTTTTATTTGTAGCATTAGAGAGGGGACGGGACCGAGGCGACGAGCCGGGTGTTCGAGGTAGCAGCGGGCTGCTCGTGATCTCACTGCGGTTTCCTGAAGACCCCTCTGGTGGGCCACGAGTGGGTTCTTAGACTGAGCATGCAAACTTAAAGATGCCTCTGTAGCTCTGCTTCAGTCATTATTTCGTCTTTCTTCTTGTCTGATGCATTGTGCCATCCTCAATGAGCTTTTTTTGGAGTGAATAAGCAGCCGTCAGTTGAGTTTTAATCTCCTTTTTTTTACCATTTCTTGACAGACAGACTTTGTTTTTTGTACATATTTCTGCCTTTAACTCTGTTTTTTGAACAAATGAAAAGAATGTTACTAAAGCAGAACACAATGCCTGTCGAGTCGCCGTTGAAGGCTTAAATTAATGATTGAATTCTGTATTTGTTATGTCATACACTACTTTCTTTAAACCTTTATTTAAATAAATACATTGTAAAGTCATCAACTAGTCCGTGTTTGATTCTCACCAAAAGCTTTGATAGCTGAATGACTTTGATGTGTTAAGAAAATTAATTTACATAAAGCTATATACTGTACATTGAACAAGCCAAATTTTGTGGGACATCTGGGTTAATACCCTCTAGGTCTATGTACATCATTTTTAACATCTGAAGTCTGAGAAACAATACTTTTCGCACAGAAGAGAGCCAAGAGCGATATCAAATTAGAGCCAAAGATTATTTGGTTAATTTAATCAAATTCAAGGCTCCTCTATCGAGAAAGACATGCTGATAGCTTGGCAGCCCGCTGTCTATTTTGTCTTCAGAATTATGATAACGTGGACCCATTTCTCCGCTCAAAGGCACAGCGATAGCTTCACAAATGTTTCTACTTACTGCCAAACTTAAAGGTTAACTTATCTAACTTTACGCCCTGGATGGTTTTAAGAGTAAAATCCACATTATAACACAAATGGGATGAAAGTGGAAAGAGAAGCATTGATGAAAATTTCTCTTTATCAGTTATGTGGCGTATATATAAATGTCAACGGTGTTCTAAACAAATGTGCTCTGCAGCTGGAGAATAATGCCAGCTACAAAATTTGGTGTCAAAACAAGTCGTGGATCTTCTCCCACTGGAGCATGAATACAGCCTAAAGGGACAAACCCCCACTCTAAACACATACACAAACATGCATGTCCATAGCAACACACTTACACTATGTAACATGCATAATACAATATGAGTATGAGATGATTTAGTGCAGTGGTTCTCAAATCCAGTCCTCAAGCCCCCCTGTCCTGCATGTTTTGGATGTTTCCCTGCTTCAACACCTGATTCAAATGATCAGCTCGTTATCAAACTCTGAGACCTTACTAACGAGCTGATCATTGGAATCAGGTGTGTTGGCGAAACATCCAAAACATGCAGGACTGATCAGGACTGCTTGAGAACCACTGATTTAGTGTAATAAACATGGTCTGTAATATCTGTACTGGGTTTTATAACTGACTCTACCAGCAAGACAAACAAGTGATACTTTAGTTTTACCCATAATCCAATATTCAAATCATTCTTCAGTATTGTAAATGAGAGATAAATATTGGATCAACCTTCTCTAATCAACTTATTCATAAAAGAATGCATGAGTTACCCCATAATAGGCTAACAGTTTAACTGGTAATACTACATTTTATGCCTTTAGTGTTCTCAGGGTTGAGGCGTAACTCTCAGTTGGGTGTGGGCACATTCAAACTCGCACATTTCCTCTTCTTTCCAATTCCTCGTCTATCTCTGCGGTTTCCTTTTTCTTTTGCTCTTCACTTATGTAACCAACCTTCCTCCCTGACCTCCAATTTCTCTGTTTGCTTGGTCTCTCACCGGACTGATACCGACTCTTATCAGGATCTCTCTGGCTGCGTCCTGCTGTCACACTAAGCCCACTGATGAGATGACATGGAAGAAGAGGCTGAATGTTTGCCATTCCTGAACTATCACACAGGATACAGCGAGAGATTCGACCTCCATTACCTTTTGCACAGAAGAGCTGACAGGAAACATTGTGGGAATATTCTGCATCACTAGTCTTAGATAAGTTTAATCTCTTGTCTGCTCCGGCATTGATTTCCTAAAGCTGAAAATGGAAGTGGTTTGATGGTTTTTGGATAAACAAGGCTGCCAGTCTGTCTGACAAGGACACAGCTTTCTCATATCTTTTTTTTTGTACTGTCTTCCTGTCTGTCTCCTTCTCACAGATACATGCACTCATTTATCAGGAAATTGGCTCATGTACACAACATGTCTCTGTAAATCAGATGAACCTCTGACAAAGGCGTATTGAGCTTGTCATCTATGGCAGGTTGCTCCGAGGCATAATTATACTGTATGCTCACGGTGGATGTGGAGCTCAAGTAATGCAGCAGCACTCAAAGAAAGCACTTTTATGGATGAGGTTTTTCTATCTTTAAGTGCTTCTGTACTAAATTAAAGGGGTAAAAAATACACTGAGTGACGTTCTCGATATCCAGACTTATGTTAATGCGTTTAATATAGAATCCAGCAGATATAGGCTAAAAATAAAGAAAATTAAGACAAGGAAGAGGAGGAGAAGGCTTCCTTTTACACGCTGTCTAACTCGCTCAAACAGATTCAGGCTGTATGAAAAAAACACAAAATTTAATTCATAACATTACAAACTATGGCTGTAAAAACATCAGATTTTGACTTTATGGTAATTGGTGTCATAGAATATCACAATAACAATATTATCGAGTATTTATTAAAAACTTAAAATTAAACAACACAGTCAGTCAAATTAAGGAAAGGCAAGTTGCATGGATTTATTATTTTTTATTTTTTTGTCTTGCTTTGAGGTTTCTACTTATCCTACATTATCGAACTATGCTTTTATTCTTTGACTTATGCTTTTATTTTTGAATTTCCCTCTGGGATCAATAAAGTATCTATCTATCTATCTATCTATCTATCTATCTATCTATCTATCTATCTATCTATCTATCTATCTATCTATCTATCTATCTATCTATCTATCTATCTATCTATCTATCTATCTATCTATCTATCTATCTATCTATCTATCTATCTATCTATCTATCTATCTATCAAACCATTAAAAGAAAGGTCAGACAGTATGCATATTTAATTGATTAATAAGCCTGAAAATACACAAGCTCTAATGTTGTTTTTAGCTTCACAATAAATCGTTAATATCAGATTTAAAAGTGCCTAAACTGCTTCAACTAGCTCAACTAGCAGTGTGACACTTCCTCATCTATCCTTCTTATGACTCGTAGTAACCAGTATGATGGACCACTTCTGTGAACTCACAGTATTACTATATGCTTACTTCAAGCACAATATCAATACAAAACTATATTTATAAATAGTCAAATTGCTGATAAAAAGCTATAATACTCAATTGCAGTTGTTGAAATTCAGTGAGTTAGTAGATTTCAGTTTGTTGCAGATTATGTATAAAGCTCATAGGAAAATTTTACCACTCAACATCCAGAGCCGATTTGAAAAGAGAGAAAGTTTTTTATTATTTAAAAGGATTTGAAACATTTAAAAAGCCAAGATTCAAAACTAAACTGAGAGAGTGCTGTGTTACAATGAGAGGAATAAGTTTGTGGAACAACCTGAACAAAGAAACTAAAGACGCTCAATCAAATTTTAGCTTAAAAAAAGTGTCAAAGCCATTATGTTAAGCAAATACAAGGAAACGTGTAAATCTAAGGCTACGTTCACACTGCAGGTGATGATGCACAATTCAAATTTTTTGTTAAATCCGATCTTTTTGTGCAGTCGTTCACATTACAACAACGAATGCGGCATCTAATGTGAACGGAATGCTTCCGTGAAGTGACCCGCATGCGCACAAAGCAGGACGTGTTGTTGTGTTGTCGAACAATGGTGACCTTTGTCGCATATTAATGACGTATAGGTCAGATGAACACAACCTGAGCGTCCACACTGCAGTCACATCGGATACATATCCAATTTATATCCACATACAAAGGAGGCCTGGGTCTGATTTGAAAAAATCAGAATTGCACTGTTCACACTTATATGAAAAAATCTGATATGTGTCACATATGGTTAAAAAATCAGAATTGACCTGCAGTGTGAACACAGCCTAAATCTTGATGTGTTTGTTTTGTGGGAAAATGTGAATTAACATGGTCTTTTCTGTTTGTTTTTGAAAACTAAGAAATAATGAACTGTAAAAAGGCATGTTGGCCTGCAGCTCTTATTTATTTTTATTGTGTTTAGTTGATTTATATCTTATGAAAGAGGGGCAGCAGACTAAGATTTTTCCTCTTTCTGCTCCTTTTAATTCACATGTTTGAGATCTTTCCTTGTTTGTGTTGAATGTTTTAAATATTAACTAAATGAAATAAAGTATGAAAATGAAATGTTCACTAAAAAAAGTCTAAAGATGAGTTGTTCCTTTTGTTGCATTTGTTTTGTCTTTGAAGGTTATGTTGATGTATGATTATAAATCCTTTTTTTTTAGCATGTTATTTTTCTCCATTTTTTTCTACTTCCTTTTACCTGAGTGTATGTCGAAGAGGATGAACCAAACAAAAAGAGAAAAACCGGGCAACCATAATGCAGGAAAAATCAGCCCATGCTTGAAAATAGATTTGTACAAACCCTCAGTGACACATGTACAGCACTGACATACCTGATGTAAACTAATGATCAGGTCGGCAGCAAGTGATCTGTACAGTCTAGACATTTCTCCTCCTTGTTGGATGGATAGGTGCCTGCAGCAGAGACGACGGAGAGACTATGGAGGATCAGGATTAGGATACAGAGGATGATTTAGGGAATTGTGCTGCCATCTGAAACCCTCTCGGGAAAGTCTGAGAAAACGGTTGCAGTATAGCGTGGCTCATTACCACAAAAGCGCATCATCTATCAGACATGGCAGAGCAGGAACACATAAAAACACACACATGATGCCGTCTCACACATCTGCACAATCAACCTATCAGACCTTTCCAACACCGCAGCAGCAGCAGAGAGGGAAGCAGAGGGAGGGGGTTTGCAGAGCTATGCTGCCTGGTTACTGATGAGCTATCTGCAGACTGACATATAGGTTACATTCCCTTATATGCCTGTGCACGCCAAACAGCCCCCCTCTCTCCCCGTAGACACAAACACATACACACACACACATACTCACACTACTTTGCCCCAGCTGCTCTAAAAGGGTCATAACTCCTGTCTCTGGAAGGAAAATTGGGTTGTATGTCAAAGGCTCAGCTGGGTGAGGAGCGAGGTTCTCCAGTGTCCCACATGGCCATCTGCCTCTCCTCTGTAGAGTCCCACATCAATACTATACGGCATTTCCACATATCGTTTTTGAACAGTTCTTGTCTTCTGTATGTTTTAAAAATGTATAGTGTTGTTTGACATTTAAAGAAGTACTTGTGTAGGGATGCAAAATAACAGCAACTCAACGGCTTGTTTGT